ATTTAGTTGACTAAATCGTCATAAATCCAAATCTCATCACTCCTATTTTTCTTTTAATTAATTAAGAAGAAGATAGTATGAGCTTCTATAAATTTTAAGTTCAAAAAACTTTCATTTAAGAAGATACGTTAAAGAGTCATATAAATTTTTTTTTAAAGTCTTATCTAATAATTTAAATTTTTGAGTTAAAATAATTGGTTGACGGTGATTTCATTTTGGTTATTCTTACGAGCGTATCAATTAATTATATGCTGAAATGATACACTTTCACTCACTACGTCACTCATCGCTTAGATTCCTTACACTAAAATATAATCATGCAAACAATTCTTTAAATAGATAAGAAATTTTACTATCCTTTTATTATATATGTTTTGCCCTTGCAATCTTAAAAAAACTACATGGGTAATAAATACAATCACATAATTATTTATTCAAATTAAAAATAAGACATCAAGAGCATAAGATAATGTTTTTTTTTTAATTAACTTTCATATCGAATAAAGTTGAAGATAGATGAAAAGATAATAACATGGGTAGTAAATGAAAATGGTGGAAATATTTTAGGAGTTAGAATAAGATTATTAAAGAAATGGATTAATGATAAATGTATTTAAATGAAAAGGAACAAAAAGCTCTAAAAACCAATATCTTGTGTGCAAATTGTCCTTTATGATAGATTAGAGCTCATTTTGACACCTTATATGAAAGCACTTGATGAATCCATGCAAGTTAAAGGCTCGATTGAGTTTTCCACAAATTTATTATATCATGTAGATTCAACTATTTCTAGAACATACTTAATTTCTTTTCTTTCTTTCTTTTTTCCCTCAATGAATTACCAGTCTTGATAATCCAACAATTAAAGTACTAGCTACTTATTCAATCGTACAACCAGTTTGCATACAGAGCAGAGCAGTGACAAAAGAAAGAAGTACAAATGAACACATCCCTTAACTCAAATTGAGAAAGTATGGAATATTTGTAGAATTCAACCAGTCATTTCCTTGTATAAATGCCCCAGCTGTAAACTGACTGGCCACAGTGGAGTTTGTGATGATCCTGTAACCAGGCCATGTCACCCTTGCACTTGTATTTGAACCTGGACCTCTGTTCATGTACTCCCCATAGTAAAGGGTATTCAATGCAAATGATGCATTCCATTCCAGCCATCCAGCAGGATCTACCAAATCATCAATATATGATCGAAGAAAAACTGTCCTCGAGTACTCTTTCCACGGCCGACCTAAAAACGTTTTGAATGATGATTTAACTGGAATGAGATCAGCAGCAGCAGCAACCTTGCAGTTGAGGATTGATATCCCAGTGTTTTGGTTAGGGTCTTCTCTACCTTGGGCGGTGAATATGTTTTTTTGGTTTGAATTTGGTTGACGAGCGTACAAGTTGCTATTTTGAAATACCACAGCCGCATTACCAAAAATGAAATCAACGGTGCCATATATGTCACACTGGCGATAAAATTGTCGAAGAGAATGGACATATAAGGTGTCTTGATAACCAACAAAGCTGCATTGAAAAAAAGCTGAGAGATCTGAGCCACTTCTTAAGGCCACTGCTTGGTGTTTACTAGGCCCTGCTGAGTTTTCAAAAGTCATACCCTTGGCAATGAATCCGTCTCCAACCACCGCTGAGAGTAAGTAAACGAATCAAAAGGGCCGGGTTAGTTAGTTGAAATATACACACGCATACAAATTGAGACGGCAATAAGTATTATTCCAGAAAATCTAACTTCTATGTATCCGCGAAGTAAATGATTATGCATACGTTTCAATAAATGAATAAAATACTACAAAAAAGTATTGTTTCTTAATCTGGGAGTAAAAGATAGTGGCGATTATTAGTGCGTGAAGCATTTTTCTCCATCCTTTGCCCATATAAGTGTGTAAATGGGTTTAATGTCTATCTATGTAAAAAAATCAGTCTTTTTTTTTTTTAATGCAATTATGCAGATGCAAATGTTACGTCATTGGATTGGTCTCTCTCAATAAGAACTTTGTCAATGGAAAAGGCCAAAAAAAAAAAAAAAAAGGGATCCAAGAAAACAAAAAATCAACGATCTTGACCCAAATTTCCAACTTTCCAAATTTCAAAAAGACAACGCTCTTTTACCGACAAAAATGAGCAGCTAAACGCGTTTCAATGATCCACAAGACACGCTATGCAGGATATGCACGCGGGTCCTGTGGCTACGCATCCAGACCCACTGTTAAAGCTGCGTATTAAGATCGCTAAAAATCTCATGTATCTTCTCGTTACCAACAAAAAAATTAAAAAAAATCTCATCAATCTAATTTAAACGTTACTCTATAGCCTCTCCTTAATTTATAGATGAAAAAAATAGAATAATAATTGTTGCTCTATGTGTAAAAAATTTTACTCTCTACCTCAAAGAGTGTTAGTCAATTTTGATTTTTTATATATTTTAAAAAATTTATTAATTATAATGTCATACCAGCGTTTTTTAAAAATATTTTTTTTTGTTTAAAAGAAAACGATTTAATTATGCATTACAAAATATAAATATTTAATAAGAAATATAATATTAGAAATTTTGATAAACTTTCGACAAGATAAATATTTTAAGATGAAAATGAATAAAAAAAAAAAGACAATCTTTTTAAACCATAGACAATATAACTTTTAGTATTTATGTGTATGTGTGGTGGTTGATCCTAAAACTTTTTAAAAACTTAAGAAAAATAGAGGAGCGAGTCTGATAAATAGGATTGGTTTAAAAGATGATAAACGAAACACTGCATAGAGTGAGTCAGTAGAATCTGTTTTGACAAGACATCCTAAATGAAGTTTAGCAAGACCAACAATTAGCTCACAAAAGAAAATTGAGTGGCAAGATTGAATAGATGAAAAAAAGATAAATTAGTCACATATTTAGAATCAGATAAGGATAAGCAGTTAATTATCATAGGTAATTATTCTCTTGGGATTTAGGATAATTATTTTTTGACCACTGTAAATATGTAATGATTGATTTGTAATCAAATCAATCAATCAATAATATTTTCTTTTAATTATTTTAGTTTTTAACCATTAGAATTAGTTACTAGTTTAGTTAATTTCTAACCTAAATTTCATTTTTTTTCTCTCGACCTGTGATCATTTATTATTGACAATTCCAATAGTGATCATATTATTGATTTCAAGACGACGTTCTTTGAAATTGGACCACCAGCAATCATACAGGCCATGTGCATGTTTTTCTATTTTCTAAAAACCTGTTTCTATCTTTTTTTTTTTCCGGCTAAAAATATTTAACCATTTCCCAACTTTAAATCACTTGAGGTCAAGTGCTTAATTTTTTTATTGATTTCAAAAAATTTTGAGTTTTAAATTATTTAAGATTTTGTCCATCTAACAATTTTCAGCTATCATCTTCTCATTAAAAAATAATAATAATAATTCTTCGTATTTTAAATTAAAATTTTAGAAACATATTGAAAAAAATCAACCTCTTTTGTAAAAAAATTTCATAATATTTCAAAATAAAAAACAATATTTGTGTATTTTTTTGAATATTAAAAATATAAAAAAATAAAAAATAATCCTGAAATAATTTTAAATTTTTTGAGAAACCTTATATAAATCTCATGTAATGATTTTTTTTTATGAAACTATTCATGTAATTATTGTTTTTTTGAGATAAATAACAAAAAAAATAAAAGAAAATAAGCTAAATCTAAAAAATTAAAAATTTAAGAACTCAATCTCAAATGACCTAAAGTTCAGAAATAATTAGAGTTTTTAGTTTTTTTTTTTCTTTTCCTCCTTTGATATTCTAGCATAATGAACGACCTATTTAGCTGTATGAAACAAGCTATACATGATCAGATGAAGATACAGTAGCATCTCATGAATTTCTTTTTAAACTAACAGGTGCCGTTCACGTGTGATAAGTTACGAATTTGATATTTAATTCGGACAGCTGAATTAAAAGAATTAGTGTTTCAAAACGTAGCGAGTCTCCAAATGATCAATTAAACAGAAATCAACGACTACTTCACTCCAAATGTGTGTTTGATGTCACGGGTGGCGTGTAAAAACTTAAATAGCAGAAAGGCCAAAAAAAAAACTCGTGAAGTACAAATACACTAATGATAGCAAAGGACAAGAAAAGTAAAGGGCCTAAAAATGCAAGTTCTATAATAAAAATCAAAAGGCACTGCTCTAATCTAATAATGGAAGGTCAATGCCAAATCCTAGCAACGTGACAATCATTGTTTGGACCTACCATAGATAATAAGAGGAATTACTAATCATAAGACTTTGTATCTAGTGATGCTGAATTTGTTCTGCGTTTTCCTTAGTGATATACTGACTTACAAGTTGTTTTCTCCATGGTGATTAAGTGATTTTTAACAGAAAAAATTATGGTGAGTTACACAAAGTTGAACACGATTTGCTGTCTCTCCCAATGTTCACTTATCATACTTCTATGGATTGGACACGCATATTTATGTACTAATTAGTGTCATGATCCATTGCATGCTTCTCAATCCGAATCTGCAACTTTTCACTTGGCAACCAAATTCCGACTTAAATCATGGGCATCTTACGAGTGGATGGAAAATTTTTAATCTAAGCAATGCCAATTGTGTCCCCCACGGACCCACCCATAAAATTGGTATTTGGTACCAGTTTTTGCACTATAAATTCTCATGCCATGGGATGCCCAGACTAAAGAATAAAGACAAGAGATAGGAGCTAATGTTAAATTTTGAAAGCTCAGTCCCATGAGTGAGCTATCTCTTTTTCTAGAATGAGATTTCAGTTGCCCACAAAACACGCCAGAACAATTCAAGGTTCAGGACCAGTACTATGACGAGAAAGCCCTGCTACTAAGTAACCTGAATTAATCTAACGTATGTAGTGATGTTAGCACTTTATGTTAGAGAAGGGGATGCAACAGGCTCTGTTGCTTCGAATTAAATACTCCTATAACAGAATCGCCAGCCAGCAAATAATTAAAAAAATCTGCCCTCATTAACCACACGTGATTCGACCACAGTAGCGGTCCCATGAGCCATTATGTACTCACAGTCACTGGCATTACTTTTATACTCCCACACATAAAGGCCACCAGTCACAATGCCGCTGTCATCCGAATTTGTCTATGATCACGAGGAGACCCATTAAAGTACCAACATGATAGCCATTTACTTCACCAGTCATCATTTGGAACATAAAAAAGTTTTAAATACGACTATTGAAAAATGGACAAAAAGATCATAGTTAAAGAAAGAACAGAAAATTTACACTCACCGACAGTGGCTGACCGGAAAGTAGTCCATCCATCAACAACACTCCTATTTGCTTTGACCAGAGTCTTTCCAATCCCATCCCCAACGAACATCAGCATCTTCTTCTTTCTTTCCACCTCCACATTCTCAAAATATGCCCCGGACTTTATATGTATAACAAACCTACACAACATGTAAACAATGTAATCTTAAATATACATGCAACCGCTTTCTATTTTCAAAAAGTTTTAAGGAAAATGGTAAAAAACAATGTGTACGTACCTTGTATCGCTTGAGTTTGGAGCTGCCCTCACTGCTTCGCTAATGGTAGTAAAGTTTCCTGTACCGTCTTTAGCTACAATTAAATCAAATTTGGTTGTATTGACGGAAGCCTGCAAAAGCTTTCGATCTTTGGGCGACAACCACGAAGGGAACCCGTGTTTTACGTTACCATACTCAGGGAAAACCTCGGACTTAGATGTGTTAATGCCAGGGATTTTTTTGAGCATGACTAGAGAGTTACTTACGTGGTGAGAGATGTTATGCAGGCTCTTCTGGATTGCATTCCTAACTTTTCCTTTACTGTAAGCAAACCCATCAAGGCACGTGTACTGGTTCGTCATGGCACCACTTAATAAAGTTTGCAAGTCTTGGTAATGCTTTGAGACTGATTTTCTGGGGGAGAGGTCAGAGAGAGCTGATTTGAGCTCGGCAATGGTGTCGTCAAAGAGCTCGATACAGTCTTTGAGAGCTACATTTTCAAGTGGGCCTAGCTTAATTTCGTTTATGATGGCATTGCAGCTCGCGGAGGAGGCTCTGACCTCGTACATTGTCTTGTTTAAGGTTGCGGAGATAAATTCTGGGAGGGATTTAGAGGCGAGATCTGGGAGGAATACAAGAGTTGAGACGCAGAGTTCAGGGTATAGTGTGCCTTCACATGCTGAGTGGGCAATTTGGATGTGTTTGTGGATGTGTAATTTGGGGATTTCTGTGCTTTTCGAGCTAAATTTAACAGGTGTTTTTGAGAAGAGCAGCAGAATTAAGACAAGGATTGAAATGGGCAAGAGAACGAGCAAATGTTTAGTTCTTCCTGTGGAAGGATACATGGTGTCAAATGTTGAAAGAAAGGATGTTAAGTTCAGATTCGAAGTGAAAAGGATTAGAGGAGCGCGTTAAGATGAGGATGGCTGAAGCCAACTTGGGTGGAGCAAAGGGTACTGTTTTGTTTTTGGACTTCACTTGAAGAGCATACAAAAGCAAGTTTATTGCGTTTGGTTCTAGAGGTGCTGGACCAAAAGAAAAGAGGAGCCTGATTTTGATTTGACGGGAGTGAAAATTAAGAGCCGAAACTAATTATGTTTTTTTTTTTAATCAATTGTTTTCATTGATGAAAAGAAACTCAGTAAGAGCTTAACCTTCCTGTAAAGCAGTAAAAGAGGGCCAAAAAAAAAAAAAAAAACCGAAACCCAGGACCTGCAAAATGATAGTAGCTTTTTGCAAAAGTCTATTTTCACACATTCTGTAGTTTGCATGGTTCACCCATTAACTCAATGGTTGCATGGATGACTCAATGATCCATTTACTGAATCAGGTTGATAACCAAGCATGTTTTTAATTAAAACATCGTGTAACCTAATATAACCAGCTAGCCAAATGGAAAGTGATCACCGATGTCTTTTGATATTATGATTTACTATGCAGATTAAATAACTATTGAAATTTTAGTAGCAAGGTTTCTTCGGATATGAACTTTGCTTTCACGATGGGAAACTAATAAATTCTTTCCTGCGGCGTGTATCTACGGTGAAGTTGCTTAGTCAAATAACTAGTTTTTTTACTCGTTTTAAAGTGAATCGAATAAAATACATAAAGTTATTTAAAAAAAAATATTTTAATTTAATTTTTCATGTTATATTATATATATACCAAAATATATCAAATCAAAACTAAATAAAAATTTATTTAATTTTATTATTTTTAATTAAAATTTTGAATTTGATTGATTATTTTTTATATTTTTCATAAATTTTTGAAACATTATTTATTTATCTCTATCAACGGATTAAAAAATTTATAATAGTATAAAAAATCAAAATTAATGGATTCTAAGCTAAAGATTTATTTTGTAAATTATTTTTTCTAAATAATTTTTTACCTTAAAATTTTTAATTTAAAAAAATATAGAAAAATGATCAAAGTGATCAAAATGAAACAAAAGAGAGGAATCAAAATGAAAAAAAAAACATTTTACATACTAAAAAAACAATGTTTAAAAAAAAACTAAAATGTAATGTTACAAAAATTTTCATAATAAATATCTTTAAAATATTTAAAAATTATAAAACTATCACTATATAGTAAAAAAAAATAATGCTTGAGTTTTGATAAATAGTATGAATGAATCTAAACAAATAATATTTTAAATAGTACATTGAATAAGAATTCATCAATTTTCTTTATTTTTTTAGTTAATTGTATATCAGGAGTATGGTGCCATCGGTGGTTCAAGAAAACCACCAGTAATCTCCCTTGCAGTACATTTGCACATGTCGGGATTTAATTGGGTACAATGTAGTTCTATTTTGTTTTGTTTTTTTCTTTTAACACACAAAAGAGATAGGCCCAAGCCATTTACGAAGAGGCAAATAAGCCTCGTTGAAGTGTTGGCCCAAACTACCGGGTAATTTAAAGGTCGATAAATGCCATTAAAACCCGGTTTAAAACCGAGATTGATACGAGAGCCTTTTTATAATTGAAACTACTGAGTAAACAGCGTATAACAAAGCGATCAAGCCCTCTTGGAGTTATTTGGGCAAACAGAGAGTCTAGTCTAGTAGCTCTACGCCTATACCTAGCCAATCTGCAGACTGATTTGCATCTTTTTGTAGTATGACAAGTCTCCACATTTTGGTAACGTTCCATCAAAACTTAAATATCCCATGGCTTAAATTAAGCTAAATATCATATTGGATTTATGGGCACTAATTTTTGATCCAGTCAACTCTTAAAAATATAATCTTGCAGTTTTAGCATACTCATTTCCATAAAAATTCTCATAATTTAATGTCTTTTTGCTGGTGTTTTTTTTTAAAAAAAAAGTTCTACGTATTTATGTTTTAAAAAATCTAATTATACATTGTTCTAATGTTGAGATAGTGAAATTCTACTATTGCTAAAATAGGCTAGAAGCTATTTGTTACTATAATTCTAACAATCCAAACATTTTTCATTTTCAATTTACATTCACAATGGATGCGTGATACATGAACATTAAGGTGAAGTTATTCGAGGACTCTTAAAAACTATTCCTCCTGTGTGGTGCTCGGTGGGAAGGGAGCAGTGATTATGTACTGCATGCATGAAAACTAATCGAAATCAACACATAATATTTTGATTTATGTATTCATCGCTTCCAAAGCCATTATTGTTGCGTTCGTTTTTGCCAAATTAAAGATGTCAAGGGCCTCAACAATATACCTTGAATACTTGCATCCACATTGCACACACATGAACTTCAAGAAAAAGCTTAGTAAAAAATAAAAAATAAAAAAAATAAATTCCTCACGAGGCTTGAACTTGGGAAAGCCCTCAAATAGGGCAAGTACGTACCAACGATATCCTAGGAGCAGGGACCTATCACCCATCCATTATGTTAATTATGTTAATAGGCTGCATGAGACTCCTTTTTATTTTGATTCTTTTGATTCGGACTGTTGTTAATTAAAAACGAACCAAGTAAAAAATAATAATTATACAATATAAATATTTTATGTAATTAGATAATGATGCATACTTTTTTATTTTGATTCTAATCGTTGTTAATTAAAAACGAATCAAGTAAAAAAATAGAGTAGAATAAAAAAATAATTATACAATGTAAAAATTTTACATAATTCGACAATGATGCATACTTTACGACTACATTAGCATTTTTTATTATATTTTATCAAGTGACGGTTATAAATAGAACATACAAATACAAGTGATGTTGTCTCTATTTGCAATGTGAACAACTAGAATTATAAAGTAAAGGATCTAATAGACTTGTACATCCGATCGAATATTTCGCAAACATTTTGGAGATTTTGCTTCAAAACCCTCATATTAAGTGTTGTCCTATTGGCTCCCACTCGCTAATCAACTAGCGAAACTGTCATGGTGCATCTTAATTGTTTTTTATACTTGCAAGTCTCCATTCATATCAATTTCTACAATTTAAGAGCCATCCTATACCCTTGAATGAATTAAGAGATTAATTATTAATCGGTACTAGTGGATGCTACAATCATTATACAATTTTGAATTTTAATTTTTAATAGTTTGATCTAATTACATTACATTGTATGTCGTTACCCGACGTCGGATGGGACTCCTAAAATTAAAATGCTAAAATGTGATTAATATTTACAGAGTTTATTTACGAGCTTTGGAGTCGCCACCTAGTATTAAGGAACTAGGAACCTAAAAATAACACTCGGTCTAGAGATTCTATGGTAAGCGAGTTGGTTACACTTTTAGGAAGATAATTATTCACCCTAAAAGTGCCATTTCCGAAGAAAGGTACCATATCTTGTTCTAGTCCTAAATTTATCTACTACATTGTTCATTTATGCCAATTTTTTTTTTAATTTTTAAACAATTATTTTAGCAAAATTTGATTTTTAGTTTTGAGCGTGACATCGTATTGAAGCGATCGTCGGTCCCCTTCATCGGGCGACACGTCGGTTCAAACATCGGATCCACTTAAAGCCTTGACACAACCGGTGCATCGGAGGACACTCGATTATTAAATTATGATTTTTGGTGACGAAGGTCCCTATCAAATAGGAGACCTCACTATGGAACGACAACCCCTATTAAGAAGAGACTTCGTCGAGAAAATTTATTATTTATTTTTTTGTTTTTTTGTTTTTTTGTTTTTTTTTGTTTTAATCTATCAACACACGAAAATAAGTTCACCTAAAAATTAAAATACCAACTTTAAAGTACTGCAACAAAAAAGAGAAAAAAAAAAGAAAAAAAAACAAAACGAGAAATAAAAAAAAATAACAATAATAATCAAACTATAAAACATGTTAAAATAAATTAGCTTGACCATAGACCTAATATATGTAACCTATTTCCCTCATACCCCTTTTCAATTCTGTTTCTTTTTGTTTTTTTTAGCTCCTCACTTTTACCATCTTGTTTCTTTACTTCTTTATTTATCATTTTTTTCCATGTGAAGGCTGAACTAACTCCAGCTTTCTTCTAAATTTGGAGGAAAGGGAAAGGGAGGCTGGACCGAATCCAAGTCCAGCCTCTTTCCTCCTTATTTTTTATAAAAAAAGAAAATTGCAAGGCTAAGGCCGGGTAGAAGTCAGCCCAGCCTTTCAATTCGCGTGGGTTGGGTTTAGCCCAACCCACATGATTCCTCTTTTTCAAAAGAAAATAAACCCCACGGCTGGACCTTACCCAAAACAACTCCCTTCTTTATATTTCTCATTTTATCAGATCAGAAACGGGAATCTCAAGCTTTTGACACCCTCTTTCTCGTTCATATTTTTCTTAGTTTCTCTCTCTATTTCGAATCTGCATTCTACTTAACAAGAACCTAAGCACTAATAGGATGCAGGTGCCATTAAGATTACCTGATTGAACTTCAAAGGAATGAAAAATGATTTTCAGAAACTTGCTGTTGTTGTGATTGTTGATTTTGCAGGTAGAATTATTTTTTGAGACTGAATCGGCGGAGATGATCACGCTCGCTGGGTAGAACTTGACGAATTGGAAAGAATTAAATGAACTGGTGTGGTGATGTTGAACTTTCTGTTGCAGGTGATTGGTTACGGGATTTGCGAAATTGTGTGTGTTCGTTCGGTTTGGAATGATTGAATAAACATTCGATTGCTTGTGTTCTTGAGAACCCAGGAAACCGAAAACGGGAAAGCCAGAAATCTATTCTGGTAAACCCAGAAATATGAACACTACCAAGAACTTGAAGATGATGAAGCACAGACGAACCCCTAGAACTAAAAGCCTAAGGAACTCTGCCCAGAAAACAGAATGCAGAAGAATGCTACTGCTCCAAAGCTTGAAAAATTTTTCTCCCCTTTTTTTTTTCTTCTCCTTTTTTTCCAGGATACTGACTTTTTATTGATACTGAGAATTTGAGTTTCACCTTCAATCAAACACTTTCAAATTCAAGTTTCATCCTAAATTAAATACCTAAAAATTCAGATTTTTTAGTTATTCAATTTGAATTCAAATTCTGTTATTGAAAGGTGATCCAACCAAGCTAAACTGAATTTTAAAAATTGAGATAGACTTCAATCTATTTCTTTTATTTATTTATTTATTTATTTTTAGTTTTTTGTATTTTTTAAATAAATAATAAAAAAGTGGAAGTGCTTTTTTTTTTTTTGGTTATTACATTGTATATTCGGAAAAGAAATTTGGGCATTGATTTAATTCATACTGATAGGTAACCGTGTAAAAACATCATTTCAAGTTTTCAATTTAAATATCTATTAGCAAGTAACGGCCTGATGGAGAAATTAACAAGCTTTCTAAATTTATTTTTATTTATAAGAATTTATCAATTTTTTTGGTTTAAGAAAATATATCAGATGTATGTAATCTCCTCAGCAGATGAAAATAATTTGTAGCTAATTCCCTGAATTACTGTTTTGATTCTGCCGAACTTCAAAATAAGTCGTTGGGAACTTGGGGGATTTTTCGTCACAGGTAATACAATCTGGAAATGGACCTAACTGTTACATATGGTCGTATTTTCCAAACTCAGGCTCGGGCGGCTATGGGCTCTTGCGCCTCCCTGCATCTTACATGGATTCCTTGATTGCAACGTACGGTTTAATTCGATGTGAAAACCCTTTGAAAAAATAAAAAATTATGATTTCCGCAAGTCATCGAAGTCGGTGGTTTTACGAGTTTAAACTAACAGGAATGCGACTTGGAAGCACATAGTGGATCATAGCCAGCCTGTTGAGGGATCTGTTTCAAAATTCCATGCATCGACTATCAACCTTAGTTCACATAATGGCCAAACATTTTATTTGAATTCAAACTTTCAGTCACCTATAACTCAAACTCCGTCTTTGACTTTGTTAATTAATTAGGCAGCATATCGAAGTTATATTTCTAACAACTATTTTTCTAAGTCAATAATATAAAATTATTATTGCATTATCAATCAACGGTTGGAGTGTTTATACTTAGTGGCCTTTTGATATATATAGTATTCCGGAAATACTCTTCTATCTTTTTTAAAATTAAATTAAAATTTTAAAACAAAGTTTTAATAGATCTATACAAATTTCAATTTAAAACAAAACCTTTCACTATAAAAGAAGTATAATTAAAAAAATTAATATTAAACTCACTTGATAACAATTTGTGATCAATTAATAGTTTTCCAACCAATCTCATTCTATAATTTTTGTTCCGTATTTGATCATCGATCCTGATATGGATAGGTTCTTGCTAAATCTTTGGAAGCATTATCATGGATAAACGTTCCCAACCATGACCATAGTTTAAGACAAGTCAAGATGTTTGAGAGTTGACGATTATCTGGCGAAGCTTCATTTCTTTTGTAGCACATGTTGGTGATTCAATTCCCGAGGTTTTATTTTGAAACCAACTTGTTATACGTAGCATTCTAGATTTCTTCGATAATGCGTCGAGTAAGGTTTAATTATAATCAACATGTAATTTGATAGTATCTATTATTTTACTAAAAAGTAGTTAAATGAAGAAACTTTCACGCGTTTTGCACGATTTTTTCAGCAGTAAGTCAAACACTTTTGTCGATATTAGCATTATAAGATAGAAAGGTATAACCAATTTGTGTACTTGCATCGAATAAACACTCTAAATGTCTAAATAATATTAGGGGAAGTCATGTGTCTCTTCAATATTAATATCTGTCTAAAAGTTCGGATTTAGACTCAGTTAACATAATGACTTGTAACCTCAATAATTCTAAGCGTGTAGAATATGTGACGATAGCAACTATTCAGCGTGGAAAATTTTCCTTTGTTTTATAATGGGGCAACAGATCTTAAAACCACATAATACATAATCATCTTCCATACCTCAATCGGTCAATATGAAATGTTACTTAATAGTGACGTACTAGATCAATTTTCTCCTACCGAAAGCAGAAAAAAAAGTTGTTGCAAAACCTATGCGGTGAAAAAGTACATTTCATCGATTCATTTAGAACTTCTTTATTTTTCCGACTTGAGTTTGATTTCATTGAGGAGAATTCATCTTTGATCCACCCATGGCTGACATGCATGCTGATGTAAATTAGTTAATATAATTGAGGAATAATACTGTTTCGAAACAAGTTCCAATGTGTATCTCTATACGTAAAACAACTAACCAATCCCCATGTTTATGTTGACGTTAAATTATAATTGTAGATGTGGGGTTCAAATGAATTATCAGTTTGGTCGTGTTGGATACGTCCTATGGCCGTGATGAATCTGGCAAACCCAATCTTAAACCCACCTTTTTCACCTACCATGTTCGGCCCCACGGTGGAGCCTCCACCGTTGATTGAACAGGTTATAACATGTTGGGTGCATATATTGTGTGTATACAATATTTACTTATAGGTGAATTTTGACTAAAACGAATAATACGTTTTCTCATATTTAAAAGTTGTTTCTATTTAGCGTTAGTCATTTGGCCTCGTTTTATTTTATTTTTTAATTTCTATCTTCTAGCTGGTTGTTTGGCTCCCATTTACACAGTGTTTTTCTTAATTTTTTTTATTCGTGATTTTTATTAGACTTTATGTATCCCCAAATAAATTTGCGGATGTGTTTATATAATGAATCACAGGCCTAGTGCCATTCTATTAAACAATAATAACAAAAAATTTTATTATACTCAAGAAATAACTAGTAACATGTAGATAGTTACTTTATGAGCTCACTTTGAGAAGAGAGATAGACATATAAAAAGAAGAGAGAAAATTTAAAAAAAAATTGAGCTAAGGTGAAAATCTTTTTTTCACTTTTGGTGGATCCGAATATAATTCTCTTTCCTTTTTATGTGTCTATCTCTCTCTTTAAAGTGAAGCTATAGAGTAACTACTCGTATATGTCACTGAGTTACTCTTTGAATATTATAAAATTTTTCGTTTAAGAGATCTTAAGCTTTTTATGTTAAAGTAATGGTGACTTACAGTCCATTTTCATTCAATTAAATTTTAAATAAGTCATTTATATTCTAATTGTTATTTTTTTAATTTTTATTTATATATTTCTCAAAATATTTGTATATATAGTTTTTTTTTAATATTCTAATTAACCTTGGTTTCTTGTCATACAGAACTAATTTGATAATTCATAATTTTTAAAAAATATAAATAAAAAATACAGAAGATATAATAATAATATAAAAAGTATAATTTTTATTTATAATTTAAATAATAAAAAAGAAAATAACAATATTTTTGTTATTCCACAAAAATCGTAGATCTTACGGATTAATTTTAAGCTTTGCACGATCTTACTAAAAACAAACGGACCGTCATTAACTGGTGCATTCTGGGCCCAACCCTCCTAAAAAATGTAATTAATTTGCGTGGAGGACTTCTCGGTTTTTCGTTTGCATCTAGTCGCCTACCATAAGCTGCCAGCTTTACTATCAGCACATTAAAACAAAGTAAACTGATGATTTGACTATAATGAGAAAAACAACAAATCAATTATTTGAAAGTTTACTACTTTTTTTTTTTTTTTTTGACAATTTACTACCCCCTTGAAAGTGTATTGCCTGGTCTGGACTCTTGAATTCTCCTCATTATATATTCGGCAACTCACTCTACCAGTAACTTGCTACTTACTTTAAACAAGATAGATAGAGTTTAATGTCACCCAAAAACTTAGAAGAGCTAATCCAATTGATTAAAGAAAGAAAGTGAGATAGACTTACCAGCAGGTTAGCCCACAGAGTTGACAACCATTAAAGAACGACAAGCACCGAATTACAAGGAGAATTATGAATAGACTACGTTCAGTCAGAATACTCCTAGGTAGTAACCCGCATAGAAAAGAACTTGGATTTTATGTTAGATGGAAAAAATTAAAATATGCAGCATATATCCGTAGGGCAGCACAGGAGACCAACGCGTTTGTCCAGAAAGTCATGCAAGTTGACTTGATAAAAAATACAATTAAGACTGTGTGCATGCCAAACAAACATTACTACAACTAACAATCATCATGTAATATGAATCGAATCATAAGCCACTTAATTTCTAATCCTCTATAAATACAGCAACCAATTTACACAAATTCCTCAAACTAGCTACTTATAACTCTTCTTTGTCCAAAACAATAATGGCTTCTAAGCTCATCTCTGTATTAGCAATAGCTATTGCTGTTCTTCCTTTCTTCACCCATCCATCTTTAGCAGATGTCCCTCCAAGCAGTCCTGTCAGCCCTGGAACCCTTTGCAAGGATACCCCAGACCCTTCCTATTGCAAATCTGTTCTCCCTCACCAATCTACCAATGTCTATGATTCTGCCCGACTTTGCGTCCGCAAGTCACTATCACAATCCCGTAAATTTTTGAAACTAGTTGATAAATATCTCTCCCGCCGCTCCACTTTGTCTATCTCTGCAATTCGGGCTCTTGAGGATTGCCGGTTTCTGGCTAATCTTAACATAGAGTTTTTGTTGAACTCCTTTCAAACTGTCAATGCTAATAGTAAAACTTTGCCCACTTTGCAAGCTGATAATGTGCAAACTTTGCTCAGTGCCATTTTAACAAACCAGCAAACCTGTTTAGATGGCCTACATGACACGTCTTCTACCTGGAGTGTAAGGAATGGTCTCTCAGTCCCTTTGTCCAACGACACAAAACTTAATAGTGTTTCTCTAGCTTTTTTCACCAAAGGTTGGGTTCCTAAGAAGAAGGAAGGGAACACACGGCAGCCTAAAAGCAAGCAGTTTGCATTCAGACATGGACGAATGCTATTGAAAATGTCTGCCAGGAACCGTGCAATTTACGAGTCGGTGAGTGGAAGAAAACTTCTCCAGACAGAGAATAACGATATAGAGGTCAGTGATATAGTAACGGTGAGTCAGGACGGACAAGCGAATTTCACAACCATCAATGATGCTATCGCTGCAGCTCCAAATAACACAAACGGCAGCAATGGCTACTTCATGATTTATGTCACTGCTGGCAATTATGAAGAGTATGTATCTATTGCAAAGAACAAGAGATATTTGATGATGGTTGGAGATGGTATAAATCAGACGGTGATTACTGGGAATCGTAGCGTTGTTGATGGGTGGACTACTTTCAATTCTGCAACATTTGGTAAGAGCTTGAAACCTTCAGCGTCTTTGTCTTAGACTGACTAAACAAATTTTATAATATTTCATGACCAAACAATTATATGCGCTTAATCTAGCTAATTAATCAGATTTGTGATCCATGTTGCAGCTGTGGTGGCACCCAACTTCGTTGCAGTGAACATGACATTCCGTAACACAGCTGGAGCAGAAAAGCATCAGGCTGTAGCTCTTCGAAGTGGAGCTGATTTGTCCACATTTTATAGTTGCAGTTTTGAAGGGTACCAGGATACTTTATACACTCATTCTCTGAGACAATTCTACAGGGAGTGTGATATCTATGGTACTGTTGATTTTATATTTGGCAATGCTGCTGTTGTTTTCCAAAACTGCAACTTGTATCCACGGCTGCCTATGAGTGGCCAATTCAATGCCATCACTGCCCAAGGTAGAACAGACCCGAACCAAAACACGGGCACTTCTATACATAATTGTAATATTAGAGCTGCTGACGATTTGGCTTCAAGCAATAGAACGGTCCAAACATATCTTGGGAGGCCATGGAAGGAGTATTCAAGAACCATTTATATGCAAAGTTTCATGGATAAATTGATAAATCCTGCTGGTTGGCAAATTTGGAGTGGAGATTTCGCACTGAATACATCATATTATGCAGAGTATAGCAACACTGGACCGGGATCTAACACTACAAACAGGGTAACATGGCCTGGTTTCCACGTTATTAACGCAACTGATGCTGCTAATTTCACCGTGTCTGGCTTCTTGCTGGGGAATGATTGGCTACCTCAAACAGCAGTTCCTTTCTCTAGTGGCCTGATATGAGCAACTTCTATGACAAATTGGTACTTGTTCTTTCATTTTTTCCAAAACTGTTTCTGGAGTATGTAATAAGGGCAGTATCCTAGCAAGAGGCAGCTGTCAATGTAATTGTTTTATGGATTCATAAAAATGTAGTACATTCTTTTTAGCTAAATATTGTACTAATTGACGTGCATGGAAAGATTAACCGACTTGTCAGCTGGTAAAGTTTTGATTAAGTTTTATAATTAAATTTGTTTTCATGAAAAAGCGCCTTTGAAACAAAATCAAGTAGAAAATTAACTCATTTTTCAGCACTGAAAATAACCGGCTTATGTGAATTCTATCAAATTAGCACCTTTACAATTAATTTTTTCAAATCCATCCGCGTCAGCATAAATCTCTCAGTCCATCAATTCTGCTAAACCGACCCAAATCCATCAATTGAGCAATTCGATGATCTTAGTTCATATCACATGCCACTCACTAGTACAAAATGAGATTGTATTATTTTGTAAGATAAAATCGGAAAAAAAATTTTTAAAAAGGATTTTAATGTTTATACAAAAAATTAAGAAGAGTACTAGGATAATGAAATAAATAGAAAAAGGTACTTATAAGTTCATCTTTTAAACAAAATTTATCAGGAAGTTCTATCCTAATCTTTTAAGATCAATAAGTTCATTTTTTATATTTTATCTTTAAAAAAAGTCAAAATAAATTATGCTAGTTATACTATCTCTTCATATACTTAAAAAATACATCAATTAATTGATTTTTTCTGTTCTTTTTTTTAGTTTTCTTAAAAAACATTTCATAATATTTTTTTTTAAAATGTTCAATTTCTCTCACTTGTAAAGTAGCTTATAATTATAATCTATTTTTTTATATCACCATTATTGTAGATACATTATTGTAGATACTGCTTATATTCAAATCAAATTATGATGGTAAAATAAAAAAATACAGTTCTCCATATTTGTAAATCTTGTTATGAAGAATAAAAAGTACAATGGTAATTAGAATAATGAGATAACTTGAACCTTTTCTAAGAATCATAGAAATTAACAAGAATAAAATTGTATAATAGTAAATCTTTATTTTATTTTTTTAGGAAAACAATCACAAAAAATATAAATTAATAAAATATATAATTAATAAAACTTTTTGTAAAGATTAGTAAAAAAAAGATAAATAACAATTTTTCAAATGCATTTTAAAGATTTGGTAGCAAACTATAAGACATGAAATTATTTGGAAAGGAAACTTCAAATACTGAACTTATTGATATTGTCATAATCCAAATTTTAAACCACGCCCTTCCCCCTTTTTTTACTTTATTTGCAAATTTTTCAAAAAATAAATAAAAAATTGCATGTTGCTTGGTTTCTATGAACTTTTGTAGTTTTTTTAGATAGTTTTATCATTTTTTTTTATGATTTGGATATGCTTTTATTTCTAATTTAGGAAAAGTACTAATAATAATAAATAAATAAATAAAGAACAAAAAAGAAAAGAAAAAAAAGAAAAGGATGAAAAAGAACATAAAAATGTCAAACAAAAAACAATTAGAAGAAGTTGGGATGAAATTATATTTAAGTGAAAAGGGATGTGCTGAAACGAAACAATAAAGGGTTAAATGAAAGATAATTAGAAAGAATAATGACCAAAATCGGAAGAAGAAAACTTTAATTGCCAGTTAAAGGGCACATTTGAAGTAAAACCACGTTTGAGGGCCAAATATGAAATGGCGGAAGAACTGAGAGATGAACTTAATGTTTGGCATGCCAAACGACGCCGTTTTGGGACAAGTTTCATAACCAATCTCTCTTCTTCTTCCTCTTTCCCGCGAGTTTTTTTCCTTCTCTTCAACAGTTATGGCCTGATACTTTCCCCCATTATTAGACTTGATCTTTGTCCCTAACACAAGCCTAGACACTTTCTTCAATCCCCAATTTATCTAGACTAATTCATGGCCAGAAAATCACCCCCATCAAGCCTTAATCTCGACCCAAAAATCCCTCTATTATATCCCCTAATAAACACAAAGATAGATCGTCCCACCAACCCTCATTCCCCACACTATAAATAGAGAGGACACAACACAAGAAAAAAAGGGGGAAGAAAATATTGCATAAACAGAAAAAAAATATATTGGGAAGATTTTTAGAAACTTGGGCAGATTGTGGGGTTGACTTTCGGCTAGATTTTCTCATCAACCCTCCAATGAAATTCTTTTATTTCAGTTTCTGCTCGTAGGTGGTATGTCCCTCTACACTTTTTGTTGTTTAAATGTTTCATTTTGATCTCTTTTTCTCTTTCTTTTTGGCCGCAAAAACCACGGACAAAACTAAAAAAATTGCAGTAGCATTCTGGGTTCCTTATCTTCATGTTCATAATTTTGATTTTTTTTATTATTTGGTCCTTATGATTGTTTATTTATTTTATTATGTATGTTTTTAAAAATTTATGTTTCAATCGAGTCCCTATTCATCAATTCATTTGATAATACCAGATTTATTTACTTAATTTGATATAATTATTGATTATTTTGGATTAATAAATTAGTTAATTGGACAGAGTAACAAGTTAATTAATGGACAAATTGAATTAAAACTATTTTATGAAATAGGGGCTGTTTTGTTTATTCAGGATTTAGGTAAGTTTTTTATGTTATTTTAATCAAAATTTTTAGTATGTTGTAAATAAGCACATCTTCTAAATTTTTTTCTAGTTTTATAATTTTCTGAGGTTATTTGGATATCTGTTTAAATTTTATTATGTTATTAAATTAATTAATAATAAGATTAGATTTAATTATAAATTGGGCAAGCTTCTGACATTGTAAAAATCTAAAATTCTGATATGTTGTAAATAAGAATGTTTTTTAATTAATTATGTACCAAATTTTATAATTTTTTTAGAGTGTTCATCTGAATTTTGTTTTTTAGTACTACACAATCAATTATTATTAATATTTTGTTAGTAAATTTAATTAATACTTTCTTGTCATTTATTTGGAGTACAAATTCACATCTTAAATTTTTAGGGTAATCTTAATTTTGATTAATGTTAATATCCTAGAATATTATATTACTCATCTACATGATAATGAAATTTAGTTAAATTCAACATTAAAAAAAAATTAGATTATTTAAACTCCATCCTTTGTTTATGATATGATAATAATGCTAGAACTTTAATCGGATGTAATATTAAATGGATAAGATTCCTAATTTTAGAGTCTAATGTCAATTCAACAAGATTTCACTACAAAACTCAGTCTTTTATATGTTTAAAATTAATGCAACTTTCTATCTTGGAGTCCAACGATTATTTAATATGGCTTTACAATAAGTCATAATCAATTTATTATACCATAAAATAACTTCTTACGTTACATTGATACAATTATTTGAAGTAAACAATAGACTCGAAAATAGACTTGTAAGTATTATGAAAAAATAATGCTTAGGGAAATGATTTAGGAAAAGAAAAGGTGAAGTAACTTTTCTTAAAAAAAAATTATCTTTTCAATAAATATAATCAATTTCTTATCCATGATCTCTAAAAGATCAATAATTTAAGCTTTCTAATCTCCTTAAAATACTAGTAGCGACTTCTCATCATTAAATATAAATACAAACTATATTCGAACCTCAAGTGTCGTTTAAATTCAAGCTGAAAAATTAAAATTAAGATCAAGCTGTAGATGGATTTATATTCAAGTTCTAACTACAATTTAAGAGCAATATTGGTGCGATAAGTGACAATGGATTTCTTTGTCGACGACTTAACGTTTTTGATGTGGGGGAGGTTGCATTTTGTGGAGCTTGTGAATTTGGCTCTCAAATTTGATGATTGATTAAGTTTAAAGTGCTGGGTTTGATTTTGGATTGGGAAACTAGCGGTGGAGCAAAAGTCTGGGTTTGTTGAAGTGGGTTCATCAATATGGGTATAATTGAGTTAATTTATTGGGCATATCAAGGTGGATGGTGCCGAGGGTTATAATAGAAAAAAGAGAGGGTGATTTTTATGGTTAACTATAGTTATTTTAAGTTATAAATTATTAAATATTTTTATTTACTATATGGTAATAATTTATCTTACCACAAATCAGTTTAACTAATTATTCTAGAATTATGCTAGTCACTAATAATAATATTCAATTTACAATTCAAACATTACAATGTTATTTTTAAAAAAATAAATAAATAAGTTATTGGTCTAGAGAAGAATTAAATCTTGAATTACATTTGTTGAGACTAGTTAAATCTTAATGTTTTCGTTTTGAACAGATAAATCATAAAAAAATAAAATAAAAATATCTTGGTAAAATAATGATAAATAAATACTATTCACTTCGTAAACAAATGAGTCATTAAAAACTTTTAGATAGATTATGAACAATTAAGTACACTTTTAATTAAAAAAGTTTCGTTACCTAAGAGAATTAAAAAAAAAATTAAGTTGTAAAGAAACCAACTTTTAAGTCTTACGGACTAAAATGCTATTTTATTATTTAGTAAACCTAAAAACATTGTAATTATAATGAGCAACCATAGTAAACCTCAGCAAAAACAACTGGACGAATTAAGGGGTCGTTTTTTCTTTTGAGTTGTAAAGGTTTGGGTTTTAATTAGTTGTCATTATCTAAGTTCCATATATATATATATATATATATATATATATATATATATATGAACACTAAAATCCTTTAAAAATTCTGTTTAGAAATAATTATCGAAAAAATCTTCTAAAAACTTTTTTTTATCTATAAAATCCATAAATTTATTTTTACAACTCTTAAATCCAAAACAATATTTTTTTTATCAAAATACCCAATAATTAACTATTGAGTATTTTATTAAAAAATATTATTTTAAATTTTATAAATTTAATAATAAATTGATAGTTTTTTTTAGAGTATTTTCTAGTAATTATCCTTTTGTTTATTAGGCATTGATAGATAAAACGTAGCATTATCAGGATCCTCGAATTGATCGCCGACTGTTTTGGCTCAATAGAATAGAATTAATGGACGGAGAAGTTTATGTAGATAAACGATAATAATAATAACATAGGGGTTGATTTGGAGGGAGATGGGTTGATTCTCCGTCCATTTTCAGCCTCTTGTTGTCCTGACAGCATTTGACAGTTATAATAAATCTATATAACTATCGCTAAGAATTGTTTTATGTATTTTAAACTAGTGTCTGTACATATATGAAATTTGTTGATATAAATGTAAATTTTAAAAAATAAAAAAAAGTATTATGGTGCATTAAGATGAAATTAAAAAAAAAACTTTAATTTTTATTGATTGCAAAGTCATAAGAATTTTATATATAATTGAAAGTCATAATAGGTATGGTAAAAAGTTAAATATTTTTTTCTTTTGCTTATAAAAAAATAAATAAGATTTTAGGATTAGATGAGAAAACTAAATGATATAAAAACTATTAATTTAATACAAAATTAATAAATATAAGTAATTCATTTCGTGGTTTCTTATGCAAGAATAAACCACTCATAAGTTAAAAAAAAAAAAAAAAACCCACAAATCACGTATAAAACATATATTATAAAAACTATGATGCGTAACACACAAACCTATGTCTCGGGTACAATTAAAAAAAAAAAAAAAGCACGATTTTCTCTGAATACTTTAAAATCATTTGCCGTTTTGATTGATATTGATTTAGTTGGTGCAGCATATCAAATAAAAAAAATTAGGAGGTCAGAAAAATTTCAAGATTTGACAAACTTATTTTTTTAATTAAACTAATTGAATATTTTAATCATTTGCCATTTCTTACGCTTGAACGCTCTTTTTTTTTTTTTTAAAGAATAATACTACTTTTATATAATTATTTTACAGAATTTTCTTATCAAAAAAACATGAAACTTTGAATGCCAAACTCTACTCCTAACTACATCACTCGGAGTCAATCCCATAGAATTTTGTGAATTCCAAAGTGCCATTGCCGGTATGGTTTCACTGTTTTGTTAATAAGTAGGAATATTGTAAACATGTATAAAAACACTGCAACGATGAATCTACGCTATTTATCAACTAATATAGTTCCCTTCTTTTTCTTTTTTTCTGCAAATTATAGTTTCTTTTTGATTTTTTTGGAATTCTTCAAGGTATCTCAAAGTCCAAAGACTTCAATTAATCACCCATTGTTATGTCAGATGAACAAAATAAAATAACTATTTAAAAATTTTTTTATGTATAAAAATATTCGAATTCAAGATAATTTGTTTGAGTGATTAGAGTCTTTCCTATTCAAATTAACTCTATATATTTATTTTTTAAATCCTTTGGCACCATTTATCAGCTGGATCGATATGCAATTACTTCTTAATCTAGTATTAAGATTTAGTCGGTGCAAGAAATCTCATGATTTGAAAAACTTGATTTTCTTCATTAAAATTGAATATTTTGATTTGTGTAAAAAAAAGACCCGGCTCCATCGATCTGCATGCATTGAATATTTTATTTTTAGTAAATTACAATGATTCTTTTGAGACATTTGTCAACCATTCAAAATTTTGAAATTTTAACAAAAGTCGTTTTTTAGATTGAAAAAAAAAAATTGTTAAAAAAAATATTATTTTGAATTTTATAAATTTTAAAATAAATTGATAAATGTTTTAGATGAATTTTTTTAGAGTATTTTTCTAGTAATTATCCTTTATTTATTAGATATTGATAAATAAAATGCAGCATTGTCAGGATCCTCGACTGGATCGCCGACTGTTTTGGCTCAATCGAATAGAATCAATAGACGGAGAAGTTTATGTAGATAAACAACAATAATAATAACATAGGGGTTGATTTGGAGGGAGATCGGTTGTCTTGACAACATTTGGCAGTTATAATAAATCTATATAACTATCGTTAAGAATTGTTTTATGTATTTCAAACTAGTGTTTGTAAATATATGAAATTTATTGATATAAATGTAACTTTTAAAAAATTAAAAAATGTTATTGCTACTCGTTGAATTCAATCTCAAAACAGAGTGTATTGACGCTTCAATTTATGACCAAGAGCTTCGCGATGAAATAATATTGGTTCGGTTTTGTCTAACAAGCCATTAGGGCTTCAGTGGATATTCAATTTAAAGAAAAAATAATAAAGTAAAAAGAATTTTATTAATCGAAAAAGACAAAATTCATTAAAGAAAATGCAAACATCATAGATTGAAAGATATGATACTTATATCATTAGCTATCGAGATATTCGAAGTTATTTGTTCACAATTACTAACGGATCGACACTTTTTAAGTTACACAAATGAAATTACTAAAAGCGAGTAAATACTATCAAACTACTTACAAGAAAGTAAAAACAAATTGTTACGGGTAAACTAGGAAATTTGAATAAACTTGTATTGAAAATGTCTTATCTTGTCTCCGATTCTATTAGTCCTTCCTCTTTAAATAACTCTCGATCGATAACTCGTCTTGGATTCAAAATTAAGTGCAAATAGTTATTTGATCCCTTGATTTTCTTTAGACAAATTGTTTTGTCGAAACCGATTGACTATAAGACTAAATGCATCGTTTTACTTAAGTCTTATGATTTCGTCGAAATTTGATTGATTATATGACCTAACGCACCGTTTCATTTAAGACTCGATGTTCCGTCGAAACTTCATTGGTTATAAAACCAAACACATCATTTTATTTAAGACTTAAATACTTTATCGAAATTCGATTGGTTTATAAGACCAAACATACTATTTTATTTATCTTTTACGTACTATCTCATTATAAAGAGATATTATACTTGATTGATGTGTAATCTTGAATTTTGAAGTGCCAACAAATGTATTATAGTGCATTAAGATGAAATTAAAAAAAAAAAGGCTTTAATTTTTATTGCTTGCAGAGTTATAAGAATTTTATATACAATTGAAAGTCATAATACTCCATGGTATAGTAAAAAGTTAAATATTTTTTTTCTTTTGCTTATAAGAAAATAAATATGATTTTAGGATTGGATGAGAAAACTAAATGATATAAAAACTATTAATTTAATACAAGATTAATAAATATAAGCGATTCATTTAATGGTTTCTTATGCAAGAATGCACCACTCATTAAGTTAAAACAAACACAAATCACGTATAAAATATATATTATAAAAACTATGATGCGTAACACACACCTATATCTCTGGTACAATAAAAAAAAAAAAAAGAAGCAAGATTTTCTCTGAATCCTTTAAAATCATTTGCCATTTTGATTAATATTGATTTAGTTGGTGCATCATATCAAATAAAAAATTTTAGGAGGTCAGAAAAATTTCAAGATTTGGCAATTTTTTTTAATTAAACTAATTGAATAGTTTAATCATTTGCCATTTCTTACGCTTGAATGTTTTTTTTTTTTAAGAATAATACTAATTTTATATAATTATTTTACGGAATTTTCTTATCAAAAAAAGATGAAACTTTGAAAATCAAAAACTCTACGCCTAACTACAACATTCGGAATCAATCCCGTAGAATTTTGTGAATTCCAAAGTGCCATTGCCGGTATGGTTTTACTGTTTTGTTAATAAGTAGGAATAGTGTAAACATATATAAAAACACTGGAACGATGAATCTACCCTATTTATCAACTAATATAGTTCCTTCTCTCTTTTTTTCCCCCCTGCAAATTATAGTTTCCTTCCGAATTTTTTTTGGGATCCTTCAAGGCATTTCAAGTTTGATGTTTTCTCGGATGCACAAAGCTATCCAAATAGGTTTTTATATACAATAAGATTCAAATTTGAGACAACTTATTTAAGTGATTAAAATCTTTTCTACTCAAACTAATTCTATAATTTTCTTCTTTTAATCCTTTGACACAATTTACCAGCTGGATTGATATTCAATTACATCTTAATCTAGTATTAAGATATAGTCGGTGCAAGAAATCTCATGATTTGACAAATTAACTTGATTTTCTTCATTAAAATCGAATATTTTAATTTTATCTGAAAAAAAAACCGACTCCATCGATCAACACTCTTTGAATATTTACTTTTAGTAAATTACAATAATTCTTTTGAGATATCAGTTAACCATTCAAATTTTTGAAATTTTAACCAAAGTACTTTTTAGATTTTTTTTTTAAAAAATACTACATAAACCTATTGTGTATTCAAAATGCTCTTAATTATTAATTAAAAAGATAATTAAATTAAGAATTTAAAAAAATGAGAAAGGATATAAAAAATGGAACATGATTATTTTTCAGTACATGAACAATATTAAGTTTACTATTTAATTTCTATTAATTTTATTTTGAGTTTATTTTTTAATATTTTTCTCTAATTTTTTAGATTTCTTAATTTAACTGTTATTTTTAGTAAATAATAATTAAGATATTTTAGATATAATCAAGATTTTTAAGTTAACTCTTCAAACTTTTAAATGTTTGTTGTAATTTCATAATATCTAAAGAGACATTGTAATGCATCTTTTTTTTTTATATATAGAATGGACAGACATGATTTTTTGTTTTATTATTAATAAAATTGACAATGAGGGTTCAGAATTCAGAGCAATACCGGCCATTTGATTGCATTTAAAAGCCAAAACTCTGGAGCTAGCACTCACATGCTCTACCAAACTATTCCTTGTCTCTTCCAGGCTGCTCTAGTACTCCACCTTTAAGAACCACGATTCCCAAACAAAACAAGACCAGATCATAAAGAATGGAGAAGATAGAGCACACAACAGTGGCCACAAATGGCATCAACATGCATGTGGCATCAATAGGGGAAGGCCCAGTAATCTTGTTCATCCATGGGTTCCCTGAACTCTGGTATTCGTGGAGACATCAACTCCTTTCTCTTTCTTCTCTTGGCTACCGTTGCATTGCCCCTGACCTACGCGGTTATGGTGACACAGATGCTCCTGCATCGGTGAGCGAGTACACTGGCCTCCACCTCGTTGGTGACCTGATTGGACTTCTTGATACTCTGGGAATCGAGCAGGTGTTTTTGGTGGGACATGACTGGGGTGCTATCATAGCTTGGCATTTCTGCTTGTTTAGACCTGATAGAATCAAGGCCTTGGTCAACACAAGCGTTCCATTTATGCCCAGGCACCCACTAGTAAATCCTGTGGAGGGTTTTCGGGCTTTGTTCGGTGATGACTTCTACATGTGCCGATTTCAGGTTATTTTTTTCTTTTTGATTTTTTTTTTTTTTTGGTTACAAAGAAGAGGTTGGAAAAGTATTTCAATTAGTAATCACAATCTTTTAAATTGTACATCTTGTGAAACAAAAAAAATTACATTTTTGCTACAGGAACCTGACGAGGCTGAAAAAGACTTTGCTCAAGTTGATACTGGAAGCTTGATCACTAGATTTTTCACGTCGCGCAATCCAAAGCCACCTTGTATACCTAAACATGTAGGATTCAGATCATTACCCGAGCCCCCAAGCTTGCCTTCTTGGCTATCAAAGGAAGATGTCAATTATTATGCCAACAAATTTAACCAGAAAGGCTTTACTGGAGGATTGAACTATTATCGAGCTCTCAACCTGTATGTCCTGCACAGCTTATTTATGATTTTTTTCTTCAGTAAATTTAATTTTACCGTGATTCATTGATTGACACTTAGCTAGGAAATTCATATATGACCTATCCCTGTGCTTTATGTCGTTAACTGGCAGGAGTTTTTTTATCTAGTAAAATCTATACATCGGTTGTGGGAAAGCACCTGTCGGGATCGAAGAATAATTAAATTGCTTGGTCTTTCATTTTCAGTTTAGATGTAAATGGCATGGCAGACACGGGTTTTTCATAGAATTATTGAACCTTTGCCATTTCAGCTGTGGATGGGCGACGAAGTTGACAAGCTAAATTTTTATTGTTTTTAAATTATTTCCCTCTCATTACAGAACTTGGGAGCTCATGGCGCCATGGACAGGGCTACAAATCAAAGTGCCAGTTCTTTTCATCATTGGGGACCTGGATATTACTTACCATATTCCTGGTTTTAAGGAGTATATACACAACGGTGGCTTCAAGAAAGATGTGCCGCTTTTGCAAGAAGTGGTTGTTCTGGAAGGCGTGGCTCATTTTCTCACCCAAGAAAAGCCAGATGAAGTCAGCAAATATATTTATGATTTCATCAAGAAGTTTTGATTTCTATCTATGCAAACCCATTTCATCCTGTCGCTTCCTATGCCTGAATCTTTATCTGATCAGCTGATATAAAATGTCTACGTCTTAATAAGCTAGCCACTCTGCTGTAGCATAGGCTTTGTTGTAAGCATGGCCCACTCTAATTTGGGTGTTAAGACCAATCCACATATAGTTTTGCCATCATGCGCAAATTTTTCGGTAATTTTACAAGGAAGAAGTGGCTGTTGAAATTAAATAATTTGAATTTTCTAAATTTCTTCTATAACTAGATGCATGTGTCCTTTGATGTTTTTTTAAGTAATTAAGTTCATTGAGAATATATATATGTGTCTTGTAATGTTTTGTAAGTGACGAAGTTCATTGAAAATATATATATATGTCTTTTGATGTTTTTTAAGTGACTAAGTTCATTGAAAATATAAATACTTTGTATGAGATAATTTATGTATTTAGTATTTATTATGGTTCATGTATAGGATATTAATTATGCTTCATGTAACTAGAATTAGAAATACCTATATATACCACTTGCATTTGACATTTGAATGGATGTTAGTGAAGTGGGTATTACAAATATTTCTCCTCTAGATTTCTTCTCCCTCTAACAGTGCCTACATTTCTCTAGAAAGCTAGAATTTTCCAAAATTGTTCACTACTCTCTCACAAATTTGAAGTAAGCTGTCAACATGGCTAACTAGAGCTATTCTGATACGGTCCATCCAATAACAGAAATATCTATTTCTCATCATATATCAGAAACCCAAATTGTTCAAATTGCTGAGCAGTTTAAAACTGCTTTTGCTACTTCTTCCTCAAGTTCGGTGCCTCCCTCTACATCTCATCCTCCACAGGTCCAGCAGAATTTCCAGCACAAATGGAATCCTCTAGACCCTGGTGATCAGGCTTCTCATACTTCTACTCTGCCTTTGAATCCTAGAGTGATGGTGGTGTTTCTCATATGGATAGTGACTCCTATGAAAATGGTGCCGTTAATATTGGTGTGGATATGTTTGTTTGGAATACCAGCAATTAGTAGTTGTGTTATTTTATCTTCTCATATTTCAATATTTGATGATTAATCAGCTTAATCTGATAGCTTGGAATTGTGGGGCACTTAATAAGGATTTTCGGGCTTGTTTGCATGATTTTGTCAGTTTACGCAAGCCATAGATATTTATTATTGTGGAAACTCATATTTCGGGTTCAAAGGCGAAGGATATATCTACGAACTTGGGTTTTGATAGTATCGAGTGGGTGGATCCTGACGGATTTTTGAGGGGTATTAGGTGTCTATGGAATAGTATCAGCTTGCAAATTCACACTGCTATGACTCATTATCGATGTATCCATCTCTTAGTTTCTCAGTCTCGGGGAGTTAGCTGTTTTCTATTGCAGTTTATGCTAGTACCGTGTCGCAGGACGTGAGCTATTTTGGAAAGATATGACTCGTATACATGGTATTACTTCTTTGCCTCGGGTTTTGTGGGAGATTTTGATGACTACATCTGTCACTCAGGACTTTCTGCACGTTAAGGGCTAGGAAATTCAGAGAAAAAATTTATTTGTGTGAATTGATAGATTTGGGGTTCAAAGGTTTTCCTTTCACTTATTGCAAGAAGAAGCATGGCCATATTTCTACTCTGGTTCGTTAGATAGACAACTGCGTAACCTAGAACATTTACCGAGGACTCGTTCAGATCATAATACCCTTCTTTTATGACTCCATGTCTATATTCCACGGAGCCCTGCAAGACCTTTTAGATTTCAAACTGCTAGAACCTTACGTCAGGATTTTGCTGAGGTGGTGCGTGGTGCTTGGTCTGGTCAGTTAATAACAGTATCACTATGGCCTTATAGAATTTGACTAGTGCAACTCTGAATTTCAACCAATAAGTGTTTGGGAATATTTTTCGAAGAAAAAGAAGAGTTCTTGTAGAATTAAAGGGATCCAAAAGGCTCTTGTCCTTCACCGTTCTTAATTCCTAACTGCCTTGGAGCAGGATTTATTGAATGATTATAGTGCTATTATTCAATAAAAAGAGCTTTTTGGTTCCGAAAGTTCAGGATGCAGTGGCTTCAGCAGGTAGATCAATGCACCCGGTATTTCCATGCCACCACGGCGTGTAGAAAACATAATAGAATCGAAAGATTACGAGTCGACGATGGCACTTGGATTTTGGGTGAGGAAATGGTTAAAGCTGAGGTTCTTAATTTTTATAAAAAGCTTTTTTGTGAAATTAGTGACATTCAATGCCTTCCTCTTCTATTGGGGACTTGGGGACCATCCTAAGCTTGCACTTAAACATGTAACTAATCTTTTAAAACCGGTTACTAAAGCTGACGTTTGTGATGCTATCAAGTCAATGGAACCATACAAGGCCTTGGATCCAGATGGATTCCGATCTCTCTTGCATCAGAAGTACTGGCATAGAGTCGATAACTAGCATAGTACTTGCGGATAAGACTATATAATATGTTTTATTATTTAAAATATTAAAAAATTTAGATGTAAAATCAAAATTAATTAACACTAATTATGAGAATTTGTGTATATATATATATACACCGACTTATAATCTTATTTAAGTTAAAAAAACGAGCTGGGTATGAATTAAAAACGGGACAACAACTGTCCCTCCCATTTTCTTTCTTCTTTTTCCTTCTTTCTCACGCATTTCTCTCTAAATTTTCTCCCATCTCACTCTTTCAAATCCTAAGCTAAGACTTTATTAAATTAGCTTAGAAAAATCATAAAACAAGTTGATTAAGAGGAGTTTAGTTGGATTGAAAGTTGAAAAGCTTAGAGAATTGGAACAGAAAGTGGGATTGAAGAGCACATTGTCAAAGATAAGAAATTTGATCATTTGATCTCTAAATTGTGACATTTATACGTGTAATTGATGATTTTAAAGTTGAATTAGATTGTATTTGTTATTTGGATGAAGAATTGAGTTAGATTAATGTTAGGGTTTTGACATCTATTTGGGAAAAAGTTGATTAAGTGATTTTAAGTGATTAAATGATATTTAATTGCTTTGGAAAAGTGGTTTATAAAGTTAATTTGAAGTTGAATTGAGTAAATTTGATTAATTGAGAGGTTGAAGATGATGAATAGTGCAAAATCCAAAATTTAGGTTTTAAGTCGAAAAACAAAAGGGGAAAATGAAGAATTAAGTTATATAAATAATAATTAAAGATGAATGAAATGAGTATTGAGTGAATTAGAATGGAATTGATTGTTTAAAGGTTTGAATTGAATTTGAAAAAAGATGATATGTATGGAGGTTGATTGAATTGAGAATTAATGGTGGTATATAGTTAGGTAATTGTTTAGAATTATTGAAGAGATTATCAAGCTTAGTTAAGGCTATTGGTTCGAGTCCTTTCGATCAATTCTATTTTTATTGATAATCTTGTACTCCTACTTCTAGAATAATTCATTTGTTTTGAATTATCCTTCAATATGTGATGTTGATGGTTGTTCCATCATCATATGTTATTAGATTCTTCGAAGTGGGCGACTCTATCTCAACAACTTTGATTCCTTTTGATCTTTCGTTCGTATTATGAATGGATATTATATAACATGTTATGTTTTTAAATTCTATTAACATTTCGTCATGCATTATCAATTTATACATGATTTAAATACATTTTTTAGAACTTAGACGGGAACGAACGCGTATTTGAAGATATTTTGTTTCTAAAATTGTTGGAATGAATTGTTATTATTTCAAAAGAGATTTGAGTATATGTTTGAGCAAGTGTTTTTACTTGGTTTGATATGCGATTATGAATTTGAATATAAATTTACTTTAAATTGTTATTTTGATTATACATATAGTTTTTGTAAATATTTATTTGATATGGAATTATACTATCAATCGATTTTGAGCATGCATTGTGTTTGAAATACTGAATTTAAATATATATATATAAAGTTTATACGGTTTTCAAAATGTTTTCGTTATATTAGGGCACCTAGCTACAAGAGGCGTAGTCTTTAGCTTAATGATACGAGGCTTCGGCTAACGGGAGAGGTAGAGTGCTAGCCCGTATATCAACGAACATACGAAACCTAATTACAAGGGGCGTGACCTTTGAATATTCGCATCTAATGATACGTTATATTTCACCCCAAGGATTATAAAAATCCTTGATATGTGGTTTGATTTGATTATGAGGTATATATGTATACGTTTCAATTATTTGATATGAATTGATTTTGAACTAATTAATTTACGATGTATGGTTTGATTTTATGATATGCATTTGTTTTGGAGAAACTAGGATTGTATCTTGATTCAAATTTTAAGTTATCATCCTTAGTCTATTTCCCTCCTTTAGATGTGTTATTTATTATCTACTCATCGAGCCGTTGATTTGCTCATCCTCCATAATTTTCGGTCTTGCAATGTTTGTGAGAGTATCCTTTTAGCTTTCACTTAGTTGCTTGTTTTGAAATCGACACATTGATTGTGCAGTTTATTTACTTGTAATCTCTTAGAACTTATGTTCAATTTTGATGTAATTATTAAAAAACTTTACAATTATAGCTTGTAGGTGTTGTATTAGAAATTAATTATGATTAATGATTTGAGAAATACAAGAATAACATTGAATCGTATTTGTGTTGGAGTTATAAAGTAATGATTGTTAAGTTGGATTATTATGAAATGAAATGATGTTAATGTAATATAAGTTTGAGGATTTAAGTTTAGATATTCGAGACTTGCTTGAGTCGAGGTGGGCCTCACGATTCCTTTGATTCTCGCATCGATCATGGCCCACTTCAAGGGTCGTGAAAAATTGAGTTTAAATATATATTGTGAATATTTGTTATTTTGATCAATAAACAAAAGAAAGAAGAAAACATGAAAATAATTATTTAAAAAAATTAAATTAGAAGAATTTGCTAAATCAGTTTATATTAGAAGAGTGTTTACTAGTTAATTAGTCTATAAGAAAATAAAAAAGTAACCATTAATATTTTATTTTAATATTTTAAATAATTAAAAAATCTAGTTGTAAAATAAAAATATATTAACACCAGTTGTGAGGATATATATATATATCTTAGAAATATTTTTATTTTTAAAAAATAAAACATATAATTAATTATTTTAAAAAAAATAAATTTAGCTAAATCAATTTATATTAGAATAGTGTTTATTTTAGTTAATGAGTCTAAAAAAAAAAAAATAATAACCATTAATTATGGAGAAAATTTTTATTTTGTATAAATAATAAATAATGAAAAAAGAAAATCATAAAAAGAAAAATTTTATTTTGAGTAAATAATAAATAATGAAAACAAAGTATAAAAAAGAAAGAAAAAAGGGTTGGGCTAGGATGGCTGGACTGAAGAAAACTAGGCCCACATGCTTGGGCTGGAAGAACAGTCCGGCCATAAAAGATACGGGAACCTTTTGCAATAACAGTTAATTAATGGCCGATTTTGTATGCAATTGTAATTCAAAGGATCAAAGTGTAAAAAACTTGGCAAAATGACAAAAAAAAATTCAATTATTTTCTTGAGAAAACAGCGTGGTTTCAAACCAAAAAATTCAAAACAACCATTATAATTTACTGTAGCGGAACTTAGGTATAGTAAAACCCTATTTCCTTTTGGTACATGTATAATATTGTTTTTAACATGGTTCAGCAGGCTTTTAGTTGGGTTGTTTGTCCTTCTAATTTGGTGTAAACTCTGGGGGCTCTTATCCCTAACGAATGACAATTCGAGTCATCTCAAGCAGTTTCGGCCCATTAGCTTGTGCAACGTTAGCTGCAAGATCCTGACCAAGTTACCTGTTCAACATATTCGCCCATTATTAGATGTTTTGATTGGCCTTTTACAGGGTGCTTTTATTTCCGAGAAGACCGCTGCTAACAATATTCTGATAGCCCAAGACCAACTTTATTCTAAAAAAAAAAAAAAAAAAATCTAAAAAGAAGTCAGGTAATCTTGCCTTGAAAATTGAACTTGCCAAAGCTTGTTCCATTTTGGCTTTCCTCATATTTATATTAGGCTCATCATGTCTTATGTTACCCAATCAGTTTTTGTTTATAATTTGGAATGGAGGGCGATTGCATGTTTGTAATCCTAAAAGAGTTTCGTCAAGATGATCCTCTTTTCCGTACTTATTTGTTCTTGGCATTGAGAAGCTGTATCATCTAACTGAATGCATTTCTAATTGGCGGATGCCAGATTCTATATGTAGACGAGGTCCTGCTCTTTATGCTGTCTAGTTCCCATGGAGGTGATGATATTTTTTAACTAAATCCATTATTTATACCATGTGTTTTTACTAATTTATAAAAAAATTATTTCGTTATTAATTTTATTAAGTGAGTATTTGTAATTTTGATTTCAGTCAATTTAGTACTATTTGTCTTAATTGAAAAGGAGATTACTCAATAAGAGTGAAATGAACTATGATACTAATAGGAATGAAAATTAAATTGATAATAATGAATCATATATTGAAAAAGAGTATTTAATTTACTGAAATAAATTTTTAATTTTGAAAATTATACTCAATTATATGAAATTGAAAATATATTTATATTTAATCGATGGAATTAAAAATAAATGAAATTTTTTAATAAATTGATAATATATATATATATATATATATATATAGCCATATTTTTGTACGAGGTTTAAATCTCAAGTTGGTAGGCAACTTGGCTTTTCAAGTGGACCAGCACAACTTCGAATACGTGGTGATAATCAATGGTCTCCAACAGCTTTATGTAAGCTTGTATAATCAGACTTGATTGAAGTAAAATCTTTGATTCAAACGTTTTACATCCGTACTTTACAAATTCTTCTGTCTTCTTTCCTTCATTCCATCGACTGACGTAGCTTATTTAATTTATTAATTTTTTAAATTTTTTATAACTCACCCATCCAAAATACATTAACCCTATGTTTGGATAATTCCTCTTGGGAGGAAAGAAAAGAAAGGAAAGAAAGTGAGAGGAAAGAAAAAGGAGGAAAGAAAATCATTTTTCATTTGTTGTTTGGATAAGAGTGAAAAAAAGAAAGAAAATACATTTCTTTTGTTTGGAAGAGGAAGAAAAGAAAATGTATGATTGTATATTTACTATAATACTCTTGTGATTGTATTTATATATTTAAATACTTATAATAAATTTGTATGAATATTTTTGTCATGAAAATAACACAAATGATGATAAAAAAAATCTAACATGTAACATATATCCGAAATGATAAGATAAATAATGAATCGTCTTCATAGCATAACCGATAACTCGTTTATTAATTAATTAATCCAATAGCCAATTTATATTAATTATCAACATAAAATTAATTTAAATATGTATAACATGTATTATTATCTATACATATAATAAGTTAGTTGCTTTTACCCATCATTTTCTCAGCTTTTGTTTTTTATTAAAAATTATTATTTAGCAATTAAAAAAATAAAAGTATATTGTCTTGCTTGAATTTTGAAAATAAGAAAGCACAGATTGTCTTGTTAGTTGCCCATCTACTCACTGTCGTTTCACCAAGCTTCTTTTGTGGAGCTTTTGGGAATAAAAAGGTGCGTAAATTTTTAAGTTCAGCAATGCCTTTAAGATTGCTTACAACATGAATTGCTATAAGCCACGTCTATGAAAAACTCTCCAGACACAAATTTTGCCAAGTCATGTTGAATGTGATGGCAAATAATAATAGCTCACTCGCAAAGCAGGAAGAATTTGGTCATTTCTCAGATCCCACAGATCGCTCTTTAATATTTTCTTCCACTTCTCAACATCTGTTTCAGATTTCAAGAGACTCCCAAGTGATCTCGCAGCAAGACTGATGCTACACTTTGGTTGAAATTATTCAGGAACTTTTGCTTCCATTGTTCAGGATGATGGAGATCTGTTCTGCAGATCTGTTTATGTGGAGAAGAAACGAGGAGGATGGCTGCAAAGGCAAAAATGCGAAAACAAAAAAAAATGATTTCTCTCATCTTTTTCTCCCGGTTTCCTCCCAACTTTGGGAGAAAAATGGATCCCATCATTTTTGTATTGTTTATTATTATTATTTTTTTTCCATTGCTTTCTTTCCACTTCCCAAACAACATAAATATTTCTTTTCTCCCTTATTTTCTTTCCTCTCCCTCACTTTCTACCCTATCCAAACAAGAGGTAAAGCTACTAATGAAATTAATCTATTAAAATTTAAATTCATTACTTCTTTCAAGACATCACTGCCAACGATCCACGAGCTCTTTCGTTATTTAATTTATTAATTTCGTTCGGCCGGTCCGAAAAAAATCAAAAGCAAAACCGGGACCCAGTAGGTAAAAAAAGTGCGAATATCCCAACGAAAAATATGGAGAACATCGAGCACACAACAGTGGCCACAAATGGCATAAATATGCACATAGCATCAATAGGAACAGGCCCAGTAATCTTGTTCCTCCACGGCTTCCCGGAGCTATGGTATTCATGGCGCCACCAACTCCTCTCTCTCTCTTCCCTCGGTTACCGTTGCATTGCTCCCGATCTTCGTGGCTATGGAGACACCGATGCTCCCGCATCAGTGGGTGAGTACACTGGGTTCCACATCGTTGGCGACTTGATCGGACTTCTTGACTCGCTGGGGATCGATTTGGTGTTTTTGGTTGGTCATGACTGGGGGGCCATGATTGCTTGGAATTTTTGCACGATTAGACCTGACAGAGTGAAGGCTTTGGTCAACACTAGCGTCCCGTTCTTGCCAAGAAACCCGCAAGTAAATCCTGTGCAGTGGCTTAGAGCTTTGTTTGGAGACGACTACTACTTGTGCAGATTCCAGGTACTTCTATTAATCTGTCCTTTTTTTTTTTAACTTCTTTTCTTTTTTGAGTGATGATGTCTGATATGAATTATTTGGGAATAGTTATTGCTAACGGATAGAATGTAGAGTAAATTATAAATTAATCAATGGAGAAATGAATTAAGTAGTTATTTTTGTTTTAAAAATTAATTATTTAATTTTTTTATACTTTTGAATTTTCTTGAAACTAATTTTTTTTTAATTTATTTTGATTTTTTTAAAATAGAAAAAAAATTTTGAGAAAAAATCTTTTTTAAAAAATGAATTTAATTTGAATCAAGGTTAACGGATTAAATAAATAATTTTTTTAAAAAATTATTTATTTATCTTAAAAAATAAAGAGATTGATATATAATTTACTTATAGAATGTAATAAATGCCTTCAAATTTCAATAAAATCAGAATGATTGACTTTGTGTCTGTTAGTTAAGGGAGAGGCTATTGGCACAGCCTTTCTAATTTGGAAAATGCTTGGTAACAACAGATATCATTTTTTAAAATAAAAAAAATTTAGAGGTAAATTTAAAAATTAAAAATGTTAAAGTGACATAATATACATTGAAATAAAATATATTTTTTATATTCCTTCAAAAAAACATTACACTTATAGAATTACGATACTCGTTGAAATAAAGTATATTTTCTTTATTCTTTCAAGAACATACTATTTTTTATAGAATTATGGTGATTTTTTTTTTTTATATATACACCATTGGTGTCATGTAGAATACTCTTCTAATTTTTATGTGAAATACCCAATTTATCCTCATATTCCAAACACTAATCCAGCAAGACCCCTGTTCCCACCTTCCACCATGCTATCCCTCCGTTCTTTCCTTACAGGGTAGCAGCTATGTATCAACAAAATCCACCATAACCATCTCAAAATTAAAGCCAGCTGGGCCGCATCTACCACTATCGCCCAGTCTACAAACCTATAGCGCACCCATAACACCTGCAACCCATGAGCATTGCTAGTTTGATGACAAGCCATGAAAATTTGTCAGGCTTTGCAAGCCCACTAGAACTCTCCACGCATCCTATACCCACCTGATGGGTACAAGTCAAATATCTTCTGGAATTTATACTCCAATTCCAATCTTTTATGGGTACTCGATCAGAATAAAAATATCTCCTCAAACACTTTGTATTTGGTTGATGCAATCATGTGTTCTGCTTGGGTTGTTAGGGGTTTTACAAGGCAAAAGATACGTGACAACGCCATTGAAGGGAATTGGCGAAGTATGGGGAAGTCTGAATTGAATTGGGGATTAATTCAATTAGGGCTTGAAGTAATTCGAGAGAGGAGCTGGGCTTGTTTTAGTTTTATTAGCTGTATTGGACTTAGTAATTATTCTGTTTTGTGAGCTGGAAACACTAATTGTCATTGGGCTTAGTGGGCTAGTCTGTTTTGGTTTTGTTTTTTGCTAGTAGTAATCTGGTGTCTCGTATCATATATCTATGAAGAGGACAAGAGAAAACAATGGCAATTCTGTCTCTTTCTACTCTCCTCCTCCTTCCTTCTCTTTCAAGAAACGTTACTTTTGCCTCACCTCTATCAAATACTTCACCAAGGGAAAGGAGATTCAAGAAGATCTTCTCAAAGGCGCACCACCTGTTTGACAAATTGACCTAATGAAACTTTACAGTGACATAAGCACTATTTGGCTTCAGTTTCAATGTGACCGTTGCTTTGTGAAAGAATTTTGGTTATTTAGTGCACAAACGTGATCCGAAATTTAATGAGACCCGCGGAGGCTTTCAAAAGCAAAGGATCAAGTTAATTACAACTCTGCTCAAAACAAAGGAATTAAATTATAATTTACAAATATAATATTTTATTTTCGTTTGAATACCACCTATACAATATTTTGCTTACTTGTTGTAGGAACCTGGAGAAGCTGAAGAAGAATTTGCGCAAGTTGATACCACAAGGCTGATGATTAAATTTCTTACGAATTTCGGTCCAAATCCACCTATTATACCTAAAGGAGTAGGAGTCAAGGCGTTGCCAGATCCTCCAAGTTTGCCTGCTTGGCTGTCGGAAGAAGATATCAACTATTATGCGGGAAAATTTAACCGTAAAGGTTTCACTGGAGGACTGAATTGTTATCGAGCCATCAACATGTATGCTTCATCCAACTTATTAATTAATTTTACCTAAAATATGGCTAATGTGAGAACATTGAGCAGCATTAGTTTTTTTCTTTTTTCCTTTTTTCTTTCTTGTAGAACCTGGGAGCTAATGGCGCCTTGGACAGGGATACAAATCAAAGTTCCAGTTAAGTTTATTATAGGCGATCTGGACCTTCTCTACCATATTCCAGGTCTCAAGGACCATATACACAGTGGTGGCTTCAACAAAGATGTACCGCTTTTGGAAGAGGTGGTTGTTATGGAGGGAGTAGCTCATTTTCTTCAACAAGAAAAGCCAGAGGAAGTCAGCAAACACATCTATGACTTCATAAAAAAGTTCTGATGCCATATCTGTTTCGATGGAGAAAGATAGTGTCTGCTTCAGCTGGCTTGCCTTGTGTTTCACCTGCCTACTCTGTTTCTTGTCCTAGTTTCCTTCTAAATAAAAGGGTAAATTTCAATTTACCCCTCAAAATTTATATGTTGCTGTAATTTAAATTAAAACCTCTGATTTCTTTCGATTAAACATCATATCTTTCGTTTATGTTTCAATCAGCCTCTGCATCTTTTTCTTTTGTTCCATTTTTTCTAATGTCAACCTGTTTCCATCGAGTATGTAAATTTAAAGTTCATCCTTAAAGTTTATAAAATATCTCAACAACATCCAAAAAATAAAAAACAAATAAAATAACTGAAATTAATAAAGATAAAAAAAAATCAATAAAAAATATTTTTTTATTAAAAAAAATATAATAAATTTTGAGAGGGTTGATTTCTCAAGAAATTCTCAAATCTTGCTAATGTTAATTTTCACTAAGCAACGTCATCTTTTTCTTTGCTAATACTATAGTTAAATAAAAATAAAAATTCAAATTAATTTAATTTTTTTCCTTCAAAATTTTCACCATTGGGATTTCTATCGGTTATGGTGTCTCCTTTCTTTAATCATTATCAAATAGCACATTTGATATCTGCAAACAATTACATCATATGTGATGTCAAAATTATCACTCCAGCTTCTATTCTATTCATATGAAATTTCAGTTTCTTTCCTCTAGAATTCTTGTTCAGTATTTTAATAAAAAATTAGATAAATATGTAGATATAACATGCCAGTGAGAGACTATACAAAAAATAGTGACAATGGTGATTGATACTTTTTATTAAAAAATATTTTTTATTATATTTATTTTTAGTTTAATTTTATTATTATATTGACAAATGACTAGTAGATAGAAATGACTAGTAGATAGAATTGATGAAAAAGATATATTTTTTTAATTGAAAATGCCTTTAGTTAATGATTTTTTATTCCAATTTTTTCAGTTTCAATTTTTATATTGAAATATTTCATAAACTTTAAAAAATGAAATTAAAAGTTACACAAAGTAGAACAAAAATAAAGAGTTTAATTCAAAAAATTTAGATGAAATTAAAAAAGCCATATAAATTTCAGAAAGACAGACTGAAAATTACCTTGAATATAAATAAATAAAAATCAAAGAGCAAAGCTGATTGATTGATAAATATCTTATACGGTCTGAAAAGATAATGCCCAGCGTAACTTATGAAAGGTTAGTTTTAACTTTGATGATGATGGAATTGATGGGGAATTAATTATTTTGATTAAAAAGTAACTGCTTAAGAAATTTATTAGGGATGATTACCAACAATCAACATGATTACCAAGCTTATGATCCTCGAGAAGTGACTGGTTAAGTCTTCTAAAGACGTGACTGGCAAGGAGGTGGTGGTTGAGGAAGTCCGTGGATGGATCATTTATTTCTAGCTTCTCGATAATATATTTTGATATCGAATCTCTCTCTCTTCAAATTAGTTTTTTTTTTTTTTCAAAATATATTTTATATTTGTTATTTAGTGATTAAGAGGGAGTGGGTCCAAAGAGATTGAGACATGTACATCATGTGGGTCACAAATATCTCAGATTCTGTCAGGTGGGAATATTTTGAAGAAAAAAAAAAGATGGAGGGAAGGATAATGTTTGCCACCATGATTATGAAAGGGCAGTTTTTAACCCAACAAATTCGATATGACAGATATTCTCGGGTAATGCTTTGTTGGCCATGGTGGTTTCATTGACGGATAATTTGTTATTTTAATATTATAATCTTTTTTATATAAAAAAATCTGAGTAATTAATCAAGTTTTGTTTAGTTTAATAATTTTGCAGTATAATTAGATATTTAATTAAAAACAATGCCATGAAACTAGTGCTTGCAGTTAAAAGAATGCTTAAACTTGAATTTTTATTTTCTTAACTTATATTCGCTTTAATATTATCTAGTTTCCTTCTCTTTTTCGAAAATAAGTAAATGGTTAAGAGAATGCTTAAATATGAATTTTTTTTTTTTTTTTTTGGGTTTGAGTCAAAGTTCATTTGGACTTGATGGCAGAGGTTCGCTGTTCTGTCGTTGATTCCTTGAGGAGGCTTGATGGAGTTAGAGACGGGGTTACATAGGGGACCAGTTCAAACAAATTTTCTATATACAAGGACCGAACGTCTTTTATTTTTAGGGCCCGGAAACTCATCGAAACCACTTTGCACTCTGCATCGTTCTTCCCGGTTGGATCTGTTTTATGCACAACTTGACGGAGTCCAAACTGAATGCGAGAAAACTCTGCCCTGTAAAACCAGGATCGTGTACGAATGTCACCCGTATTTATCATCTCATATTTTTACTTATTTTAAATTTTGTGCTATTATATTAGTTTTTGATCGGTAAATTTTATTTTATAACTAACTTCACATCATGAATAAAAGAATTTCTTTATTAAGGAAAAAGGTAAAATAGTTTTTCTAGACAACTAACAAAAATAAATGTAAATACATGAAGTAAAAACAAGATATATATATATATATATAGAAAGTCAATATTATTTAAAATTGTTCTATTAAATTCTAAAAGGTAATGATGTAAACATAGACGTTGGGCTATTTTTTTTAAGTTCATCGTATATGTCTTGATTGATATATTAATTCAAAATTATATACATAACAACTAAATATAAAAAGATCTTGAATGAATATTTATGCAATTACGTTAATGGTAATTATTACAAATTAAAAATGCATGACAAAATAATTTTATATTTATAAATATTTTTTAGTATTTATATTTTAAACATGACTACGTATTACTTAGTATTATAAATTCATAATACTAATTGGTTTTGTAATAAACCTGGAAGGATAAAAAAACAATGATAGGTTGAAAACGTGGTTGATATCCAACAAGTAAAGGAGACCAGACCAGCTCCAAACTGATTAGATCGAGAGTAGAAAGGGACGATGAGTTTAGATTTTATGGGTTGGGATGAGAATATTAAAAACTCGTCTCATCCCGATGTACTGCCATTTTAATCCTTAAATGAATAGGGACGAAATTGAACAATCCTATACTCTAGAGGGACTACAAGTAGCATTAGCCAAACAGCATCATTACGTACACGATAAGGAAATGTTAGTCTGCTTTCTTTGCTTCACTTTGTCCACTCTCCCGTTGTCTGCACTTCCAAAACATCCGCCTTCAAAAACAAAGCTAACGCACCATCCATCACTGCTCATCACCATCGTCAACCCAGCAGAAACCCAAGAAGAAAATTAAAAAGCCAACGAGATGGAGAAGATAGAGCACACAACTATTTCCACAAACGGCATAAACATGCACATAGCATCAATCGGTACAGGTCCAGTAATCCTATTCCTCCATGGCTTCCCTGACCTCTGGTACTCATGGAGACACCAGCTCCTCTCTGTCTCCTCCCTCGGCTACCGTTGCATAGCCCCTGACCTTCGTGGTTACGGTGACACTGAGGTGCCCAAGAATCCTAGAGAATATACAGTATTCCACATCGTGGGCGACCTTGTGGGGTTGATTGACTCGCTGGGCATCGATAAGGTGTTTTTGGTGGGTCATGATTGGGGGGCAATGGTGGCTTGGCATTTTTGCCTGTTCAGGCCCGACAGAATTAAGGCCTTGGTTAACTTGAGTATTGTGTTTCAACCCAGGAATCCACACAAGAGTTTTGTTCAGATTAGTAGAGATTTATTTGGTGATAATTATTATATCTGCAGGTTTCAGGTTTGTGAAAATTTTTCCAATTTATTAGAATTTCTCTTTCAGCTTCATAGCTTCTTCTCTATTTCAATTATTCTGTCTTGTTGGCTACTTATTGGGTTTATTTTTTATTTTATTTTATTTTTGGTTTTATTAATGGTTTTGGTGTTAAAAGGATAATCTGGTATTAATTCAATCGTATGTTTGTTCTTGGTTGGTGGTTTGTTACTAAAAAATGTTGCGAATTTGTTTCATTTGATCTCAAAGTGGATTAGAATAGAATGGCTTTATTGATTTCATAGTTTTTGCATTTTCCTAAAGTTGGAGTTTTTATCTGTAGTGTCATTAAATAGATGTTTGGATTCAGATTTGGAATATTATAGGTGTACCAAACTTTAACAATTATTAGATTCTTATCATGTCCTTAATGTTATTGTTTTCCTTGGATTGTGGGCTTTACTCTTGAGCTTTAACTAGTAAAGCAACTCATTGACCCACGACAAAGCGATAAGGAGAGTGGAAAGCTAGTGTCTGTCATCTTGACCTAAGCGAAAAAAAAGAAAAGAAATATGGACTCTAAACACACAGTTTCAGGTCTGACATTCACAATCCTGCTGGCTACCCATAATAGGTTGCTAAACGGTTTTAATATCTAGACTAGACGAGGATCAGCAAAAAACTGTCTTTTTTTAATTCAGTTATCATCTTGGACTGAGAATGTTTTTCTCCTTTCTGGTAGATGTGCTCATGCTTGGTATGGACTTGTGGCAGTCACCATCTTTTATATTCTTCCCAACGCCATTTTGCAAACAAACTTACCATTTCTGTTAATTTACTTTTTCATGCTGTTCTTTTGTATGGCAGTGTTACTGAAGATAATAATGCTTAATTAATAGTAATATTATGAAAGCTGAAAAATTTTGTTGCTAATGCTCTAATCCTGATCAGTACCCTTGTGGATCTAAAGTCAGTTTGTTCCAAGGATAGTAAGGGCGTATTATTGCTTCCTTTTTTCTTCTCCATTCTTAACATCACAAACATATACCAATGACATAAACTTCTGAGTTTGAAGATTTTGACACGGTTAGGAGATCCAATGCATGTTGATGCATATAATTGTGAAAGATCTATCTGTATATATCACATTAATGTCTGTGAAAACTTTGCTGGAATTTCATTTACAACTTCAAACGCATTGCTCATTTCAGGCTGCAGAGTTGTCTGAATTAAGGATTTCTCTTACTAAACGTCTTACTCTTTGAAATGCTATGAATTTTATATAGACTTTACTGAGAATTATCTTGGATATATAGCCTTCTGGAATACTACTCTTCTAATCATGATATGCTATACATGCTGAACCTGATTTTCAGTTGTCTTCTTCTAGTTGCTGTAAATGCTGTTCATGGTTCTGTCTTCTGATTTAACAATCATAAAATGCGGCAAAACCTGTGATGCAGGAACCTGGAGAGGTTGAAGAAGACTTTGCTCAAATGGATACTGCAAGAATAATTAGAAGATTTCTGACCTCTCGTAATCCAAAGCCACCTTGTGTACCTAAAGAAGTAGGATTCAGAGGTTTACCCGACAATCCAAATTTGCCTTCTTGGTTATCAGAAAAAGACATCAACTATTATGCCGACAAATTCAACCAGACAGGCTTCACTGGAGGATTGAACTACTATCGATGCTTGGACCTGTATGTCTACTCAATTTCTTCTTATTTTAATAGAAATATATGTGACATATGTCCAGGACATTAATTTTCTTGTTCATTAGTAATAAGACACTTTGCTTGATATAGGATTCATCTTCAATGTCTTTGTTTGGTGCACAAGTCCATTTCAGCTCCAATTCTAATACAATACTAGTCTCGGCAGAGCAATTGATTTCTTCCACTGTTTTCTTGTGACATTTTTTTGAACAAATTTTTGTCTAGCCATAGACTTTTGCATTCTTGATTGGCAGATATATGAGGTTTAAATTGCTGCTTCATTTCTGGAAGGAATTGATTTAGTCAACTCAATTTTTGTTCCTTGTTGCAGAAACTGGGAGCTGATGGCAGCATGGACTGGGTTACAAATTAAAGTACCGGTTAAGTTTATTGTGGGTGACCTGGACATCACCTATCATATGCCTGGAGTTCAAGATTATATAAACAAAGGTGGCTTAAAAAATATGTCCCCTTCTTGCAAGAAGTAGTTATAATGGAAGGAGCAGCTCACTTTCTCAACCAAGAAAAGCCAGAGGAAGTTAGCGCCCATATCTACGATTTCATCAAGAAGTTTTAATCAGCAATAGACACCTCATGCATGTTCCTTTCAAGGTTTTTTTCATCTGCAAGACTCGATTGTTTGCTTTTCCTAGAAGGCAACGCTCCATGACGCGGGGTGACCTTAAAGTGTGTAAAATAGGTTGCAACAAATAATAAATACACCGTATTTGAACCCAGAGTTGGAGTTGGGCATTGTATGCTCCGTCTGAGTTCTGACTTTAATGTATCTTATAAGAGGATTATTTTACTCTTGACTCGTCTGTCTGGTTTTCATCTTACCTAGAAATAATCTCTCGATTTCAGGACCCAAGGTATAGAAATCAGCGGATCTTCAAAATTAGGACCAGTCGACTACAGTTTTATCACCCATAGGTAAGATTGCCAACAGGCTTTGCGTCATCTGGTAATTGGGGGGCATCATAACAAGAACAATAATTTTTATGGTCCGTAGTGTTGTGGTTGTGAGAGATTTTCTCTAAATTGAGTGTTGTTTAAGCTTCTTGACATTACTGCTGCTCCTGGCAGTAAATCAATTGCCAATATTGAGAGCCTTGTCAAAAGAAGGGTGTATTTTCTTTCCTTTTTGTCCTGTTGTTTCGTTTTTTGATAACAAGTCAAATATATAAGTTTTTATGGTCGCTTCTCAAATTTCAAAACCGGGAATCCCAAATTGTAATACACAAGATGGCGTTTTCCGAATACTGCCGACTGATATGTATATGAAGGGAAATCTGATAATCTTTAGGGACATGATAATCGGAACTCGCTAGCATTCATGTTTTCTTCTTGGCTTTTAAATAATATGTGGGGACGCCCCAGCAGAAATTACTTATTTTTTGAGACCCCACCGTATATATAGACCCCACTATAAGTTCTATCTCTATATGTTTTGATCGCCAACCCATAATAGGTTTAGGTGCATTTTATTGGAAGTAGGAGACGGTCCAAATGTCTTCAAGTTGACTGTCATCCAGTTTTAGCCTCGTTTCTTGTAGTTGGCATCAGCTCCCTAGCCAGAAGACAAGGATTTTGGCGATAAAAGAGGAAGACATCAAATGCAAAGCATATCTAAACATTTGTAGTGTGTTGCAGAGCCCAAACCATGTTAAGTTGGGCCTAGAATTGAATATCAGCCATCAGTAGTGAGTAGCTATTGCCGAGAGGATGTGCTAGAACAGTAGTTTATCATAACATCCAACTTCAAGTTATTGAACTGCAACAGCAACGCAATCCAGATGCCAAAAATAAGCACGCTGTCACGAAGTCCCGCACATGCTCTCTGCAGGCCCACTGCCCTAGCACCAGCCAATGTCAAATAATTTCTGAATTTTTACTTGGGTGGATGATATAACTTTAATTGTGCAGAAAAACAGATCCAACGTTATATCTAAATTGACAAAAACATTAAAATCGCTGTAGCCCGTGAGGCCTTATTTCTTGAGAACTGTAATTCTGAAATTGCAATTCGTGCATGTAAGATGAGACAGTCATATGTAACAGAACTCTATTTCTGTACCAATACCAACTCCTAGTTAAGTTTGCATTCAAAAAGCCATCTAAAATTAAAAGGATTCACACAATATAGATCCCCTCTAAGACATCATCAGTACGCCATAACATTGCTGAAATTCAGAAGTAAACAGTCGTCAGTTGACAAACAAAATCATTGCTTAGATCAAAATGTTGAAAAGAAACTGAAAACTTATAACTTTCTAAGGGAATATAATTGTTCCACATGAGAGGATAACAAAAGAAAAAACAATAAAACAACCAAATTGCATATTGGCTTATAGATGCATCTGCTTGGATTTGGTACGCTGATCTGTATTTTCTGCATGAGATACAACATTCAAACCCTAAATCCCTTGCTGTTTCTTCTACCTCTAGCCTTCTCAAATTTTCTTCCCTTTGATCGAACATAGGGTTTGGTGTGGCTATGTGGCACACCAGGAGCTGGTCCAAAGTGCTTCACAGCCTCACGAGCATTCTTGGGACCTCTGAGAAGAACCTGTAACATTGGCCCATAATTGCTTAATAACATCACAGCCATAAGGCTTCAAGCAAAACAAATTCTTTCATCAAACCAAAAGGGAGTGGATCAATAGAAACATTTGCAAATGCAAACAGAAACATCATCCAAAGAAAAAATAGAGGCAAGAGGAAAAAAGTGCAAACACAGCTTAATACATGAATAAAAGAGAACCATCTAGTGCAGTGAACAGAGAGATGATGTTTTCTAATGGAATTTAACTTTTGAAGGTTCCAAGATTGGTCCACCACTTTATGCTTGGTAAATGAGATGGAAGGCAAATTTGAAACCAATAAAGTGGATCCAGGAAATCATTCAAACTACATGAGAAACACTTTTAAAGTACTCAAGCAACCTGCTTACAAACTTACTTCAAAACCCACCAGCAATTTCAGGGTCATAATCCCATCACAAGACAATCCAAGTATATCCCAAAATTTAGAAGGATTAATATGGTGCTTAATTTTGTAAGAAATTGAAGACATTTACTTCCATAAAAGCAGTACGTTGCAAGAGAGCCATATTTTAAACTAAAAGAATATTGAACACCTTAAAAGCTTCAAATGCTTCTTTGCACATATTTTAAACTAATACATATTTTAAAGTGAATTATATAAACCTCCCACGTATACATTCCCTGGCCTCGCATCTAACACTATTAGGTTACTTCATTATCCCTTATCATATTACAATAAGAAGTATAAGAAGGATTTAAGAAAACCAAACCTGTTTTACATAGTTTTCATCAAGCTTTAACCAAGATCACAATCATGATCAGCTCAACGACAGAATTAACAAATAGCACTAGAGTCCTCAAGCTTAATTAAAAACCAGAGTTCCAACTTTGGATCGACAACTTTTAACCCTGCAACCTAATTTATTATCAACATTTCATGCCAATCAAAGCATGTACAAGATCGTCAAGATAACACAAAATTGCAATTATGAATGCACAGCATTATTTAATTAATGCACAATAATATCAGCGAGATATGTAGAATATCAACAGTTGAGGAAACTATCAGCCAAAAGGTTGGTTAGAGTTGGCATACCGTGTTCTGACCAAGAGGAGCGCGAAGAGCAAGTTGGTCAAAAGTCAAGCATTCACCACCAGCCTTCTCAATCCTAGCTCTAGCAGTTTCGGTGAACCTCAAGGCAGTCACTTTGATAGAAGGGACCTCATAAACCCTAATATCATCAGTTATAGTCCCCACAACCACTGCAATCTTATCCTCCTGATTAGGAAACACAAATAATATTACTAATCAGTAACAATAAAAAATATAAACGAAAAAAAAAAGAACAATAACCAGAGTGATATCGAGAAAGAGATGGACCTTGCCCTTCATGAAAGTGATCAGACGAGAGAGAGAAAGAGGAGGTTTGTTGATCTTGCTCATGAAGAGTCTCTTCAGTATCACCGCATTGAACTTGCTGCCAGTCCTCCTCACCAAAAACCGATACAACTGTTCAGAGATCCGCCCATTTATTTAAAAATAAATGCATAAACAAACAGAAAGATAAATATAGAGGTAAAGTAATATTAGCGACCTACCTTGACGATGAGCTTGAGGTAGATATCATCAGACTTTGGAGCTGTTCTCTTAGTCTTCTTACTCTTGCCGCCGGCCTTCAAATCGATACCCTGCAATTACATGCATAAAATAAAGTGTATAAGAGATTATAAGTATCTTACAAGTTTTTTTTTTAATTTTTGTTGTAGATGAAGGAGAAAGATAGATAGATACCATTGCAGCTAGGTGGTGCTGTGCTCTCCTGCTCGACTACTGAGGAAGAGGCAAATCAAATGTCCTTAAAGAGAAGCAGCGAGAGGGAGGCTAGGGTTTTAGGACCCTTTGTGCGTACAGAGAAAACACGCAAGTTTGGATTGGGCCTGTTTTAGGCTGGGCTCCTTTGTTTATCCAGTCAATCACTTTAGGTTCAACGACGTCGTTCTACAACTTAGTTGTTTGACAGACTTGAAAATGTCGTTTAATATGTACACGTGGCAGATTAAACTCCAAAATTCTTCTGAATTTAGAATTTAGATGAAGCAGAGGAGAATGATTCCCTCCGTCTTATGCGGGACAGCAAGAAGAGTGAAAGCAGAGGAGGTTGTCGCACTTCCTTCAGCATCAGAACAGCAGAAGAGTGAAGATGGAGAGCAGTCGCAGTAGCAGGGCGAAGGGAAAAACATTGATGGAAGTTGGAGCTGATGGAGTGGCCATCATAACCATCAACAACCCACCTCTCAATTTGCTTTCTGTTGATGGTATGGTATCCAATCCATCCACTCTTCACTCTGTCTGTCTATGCATTTCTTTCTGCTACTGCTACGCTTATTCAACAACTTGCTCCTCATCTCATCTCAACGAACTGAATTATACTTGATAATAATAATAATTAGCCAATTTTAGGCCAAGTATATTGAACTCATCATCGCCATTATGACAGTTTTCAAGATGTAAGAACTTCAACGGGAAAAAAAAGTGAATATGATATTTGAAAAAAAAATTAACAGGTTTGCTATTTAGATTACTTATTTACTCTGTTTCTGTGCTGCTGAGGCTTTCATGGTGTGCTCATCCTCGCTTCATGTGCCAAGAAAAGAACATAAGATGTTTGTCGTTGATAGAATTGTCTAATCTGTTCTTTTCACTGTTTTTGCTTTGTAAAACTTCTGTGAGACAGAGTCCCTTTTTTGAGGTGTGTTGTAGTTCCAATCTGATCTGACCTCGATGTATTCGTTGTTTGTGTTTTGCTTGCTTCATGCTTTGTAGTAGGGATTGACTTCGTGCTTTTCTTTGCCTGATAATGAAATTTGATCCGTTCCTAAAAAAGAACAAAGAAAAAAACATGAGACCTCGCTTTAGATGATTGACAGTTGATGCATTGCTGACTTTTTTGGGAATTTCGGCAAAATATGTTCTGCAAAATATGCAATGAAATAACGTTCGATAACGTGAGGTTCATTAAGATTTTATCTTTGAGAATGCATTAATTTCTCTTAGGCAAAGAGATCAGACAATTTTGACGCTGCTAGACTGCTACCCTCTTGCTACTTTGAGCTATGTGTTTATAGCATGAGTCAGACTGCTTATGTAATGGATTTTTCTTAATCTGCTGCTTTGGACATCTGACACTAGTATTTTTTTGCGTCTTATATGTTCAATTCCAGTTATGCTCAGCTTGAAGGAGAGCACTGAGGAAGCTCTGCAAAGAAATGATGTGAAAGCAATAGTTATTACTGGTAGACTCAAATAAATGATGCTGTATGTTGTTGTCAAGGAACCACATTGTCAATAAGTGGGACTAATATCTTGAATTATCCGAGCAGGTTCAAATGGAAAGTTCTCAGGAGGCTTTGATGTCACAGTTTTTGGACGAAAGGGTAGGACTACACTCCTGTATGTCTTATTTCAACAGTTTCTAAACTGCTATAAGGTGGTATAGCTTTATAGTTCGTAGATATAAATTTGCTTAAGCATTGACTTGAATTTTGTTGTAGTGGGGCAAGAAAAGGTTGGCTTTTTTTCAGTAGATTTCATCACAGACACACTGGAAGGTACTTCATCCTTTTTGAATTTATCTCTCACCAATATCTTCTTTTTCCAATAACTTTTATGATTAATTCTGACAATGCTCTATTATGATTTGGGTGGAGCATAGCTGCAAGAAAACCATTAGTTGCTGCTATAAGTGGCCCTGCCTTAGGTGGTGGATTGGAGATCGGACTGGTATATCCTCAAAACGTTAGTGTATCTTATTTTTCTGAGATTTCTTATAGATGGCCTAATTCTTTTTCAGGCTTGCCATGCGCGCATATCAACTTCTTCTGCTCAATTAGGCCTGCCCGAACTTCGTTATGGAATTCTTCCTGGATTTGGAGGTAAATCCGTGCTTCTGCATGAAATAACCAGTAATTAGTGTTAGGAAACAAATCAAGCAAGAAGATAACAAACAGAAATAACAAAAGCAATCATAGACACAAGAATTTACGTGGTTCGGCAATTGTGCCTAGTCAATAACTGCACTAGGATTTCTTATTAAATTTTCTTATTAGAGAGACAGCCATGCTAGTTATGCATAGCACACTAAACTGCAGTTCATATCTACATCAATCTCCACAAATTAACAATCAGGAGTTGATGAATTGTGATTTAGTGCTACGATCCAAAGTGTGAATCAAGATCAGTAGATTGACAATTGAGGTTTGATATGGAATTGAAGCTGTTTATTGATTGAAATCAATTACAAATTGTAAAGGAAAATTACATAAGATTTCAGATTAAAACTAGAATCTAAATATGAAAACAGAACTGAAATCCAGAGGGAGAAACGTTGAGAAGAAATCAGTGAAAGGCAAGATTACATTGTGTTCAAGATAACTCTCCTAATAAGATTTTGCTTCCTACACAATGCTACTTAAAAAGATGTACTGACAGCTAATCCTACTGTTTTCCTGCCAAAATAACAGTCCTTCTAACTGATCCAACTAACTCAGCTAACTATCCTCTCACTTGTTGCCTAGTATTGCCAGCAACTGTCTTCTCACTTGCTGCGATGTGTTGCTCATTTAACTGATATTCAACTCCCAGTTTAGCTTGTGACACTGCATGTGTAGCTTATCATCGAGTGGATGTTTAGACTTCATGATTATGCAATAATTTTCTTCTAGGCCATTTAATTTTTTTATTTTATTAGGATGAGCTGGGGTTTTTGCAGAAAAAGTAAATGAGTAGAAATAAACCCTATCTTAATGCAAATGGTGCATTTTTCTACATGATATGCATGTTGCTGCTATCTTTTTTCTTTAATAGAAAATTCCTTTTTCACATATTTCTTCGACTACCTTCTTGTTTCAGGGACGCAACGGCTCCCTCGTCTTGTGGGCATTCCTAAGGCTCTTGAGATGATGCTGGTATCATTCTATCTCTAAAAGAACAAGCAATGACCATGACCTTTCTATAAATTAAGCCTTCATTTTCTTCTTTTAGCATTTCACGATACTACTTTGATTTATTCTTTTACCCACAAATCTGAATCTTCTCCCTCTTTCTCTAGATGTCAAAATTGGTGAATGGGGACAGTGCTCAGAGTTCGGGCCTCGTGGACGCCATAGCTACTACAGAAGAGTTGGTTGATACTGCTTGCAGCTGGGCCTTAGATATATACAACTGTAGGAAACCTTGGGTTCCTAGTCTATACAGAACTGACAAATTAGAGCCCCTGGCAGAGGCAAGGTTGATGTTCAAGTTTGCCAGACTTCAGGCTCAAAAACAAACACCAAACCTTAGGCACCCTTTGGTTTGCATTGATGTCATTGAAGAGGGTGTGGTGTCTGGTCCTCAAGTAGGACTCTGGAAGGTTCTCATTTCTTTCTTTTTTTCTATTCCAGTTTTCTATAACAGTCGATTGCCTCGACATTGTATGTAATGTGTGATTCTTATTTTCATTTTTTTTTCGGTTTTCATTCAAATTGATTACTTAGACATCAGGCGGTATATGATTTTATTCCTATTCTTGGTCACAGGAGTCAGAGGCTCTACGGGAACTTCGACAATCAGACACTTGCAAGAGTTTGGTTCACTTCTTTTTGGCTCGGAGTGGAACCACAAAGGTTTGAACAAACTAAAAAATGGCTATATTGTGTTGGTATCATATTGAAAAGAAAAGAAATGCTAATTACCTGTGCAATTCTGTGAAGTGATGTTGTCCTCATATGCTTTGCCAATATCTCTTTTTTGTTTGACTGTGTTTGGATGGGTCTTCTCAAGTAGTCTAAACCCATGTTTGAGCTGATAAGGAGTCAACTCTTGATTAATTGTTGTTTCTCTTAGAGTATAGAGTTCAGGTCATATTCTATGGTTTAAAGTATGTTAGAGCATAGTCTTCACAATAAGATAGCTAGGGCAGATTGAGCTCTCAAATTTTAAGTCTCACATGGTAAAGACTATATTGTTATTCAAAAAGACAATTGTAGATAATGACATCGATTTGGTGTGAAGTATCTCCCCTGAATTATCTTATGTTTAGCAGATACCCTTGGTTAAATGTTTAACAGGTTCCGGGGGTTTCTGACCTGGGCTTGGTACCTAGAAAAGTGAATAAGGTTGCTGTTGTTGGAGGAGGATTGAGGGGCTCTGGGATAGCAACAGCACTTATTCTTAGCAAGTACCCGGTTACTTTGAAAGAAGTAAACAAGAAATTTCTATCAGCCGGGATTGACAGAATCAAAGGTGAGGCCACCAGGGTGCAATATTGTTTTAGAAATTATCTTTTCAAAATTTTATATTTCTTAGAATTTCATATTTCGGCAATGTATTCTCATCCTTTTAGCAAATTTGCAAAGTCGTGTCAAGAAAGGGAATATGACCCGGAAGGAGCTTGATGAAACTCTCTCTCTTCTTAGCGGAGTTATTGATTATGACAGCTTTGCTGATGTAGATATGGTTATAGAGGTCTGTCCTAACTATCACTCCTTATGTTGTTATTTTGAAGTGATTTTTCTCTTTCCCTAGCAATCTGCCTGCTGCCTCCAAGCAGACCAATGAATTTTAGTAGGTGGGAGTAAAATTTTGTCTTCACCTCAACTATTAATTTTTCATAAGAAGCTTGATTGCCTGCATGAAGTTTTAGTTGAAAAGGTCTAACAATAATGAATTACAAATATTTGACTGAATTTTTGGTGTGAAAGAATGTAATTAAAATGCAAAACCTCCATAAAATCCATACCCCTATTGTAAAAGAAAAAAAGCATACCTCCACTCTAAAGCCACCTATGGTCCTGCTTAATAGGAGAGTGAACCGAGCATGTGCAACCAAATGAAGAGGAACGATTTCAGTTCAAAAGCTAAAGGTGCACAAGAGGTCTAAGGGAAATATTTTCCTCCAGTTGTAGTGGGAAGTTCCAAAAACATGCATGCATGTGCACACAAATACCATCAGCAGCCAATGTAGAGAAGAGAGGAACTCTTGTTTTCTGTATTGAAGATACCATGAAACTTACATGGACATTCGTCTACAGAAGAGGATATGCCTGAATTCACTTTTCTGCAAGTATTTTTATATTCTTTCATGTTTTTGGGCAGGCAGTCGATGAGAACATTCCTTTAAAGCAACAAATTTTTGTGGACCTTGAAAAACATTGCCCACAGCATTGCATATTTGCTAGCAATACCTCTACTCTCAACTTAAACCTTATCTGTGAAAGGACAAATTCCCATTATCGTTTTGCAGGTGCCCATTGTTTTAGGTAATGTATGATCGTATGCCTCACGCTTGCTTTTATTATTATGCTGCATTCCAGCATTAATATGAGATTATGATGCAGACCAGCTCATGTGATGCAACTTTTGGAAATAGTGCGTACAGAAAGGACATCGTCCCAAGTGATTGTTGACATGCTATATGTTGGGAAGAAGATGAAGAAAACTCCAATTGTAGTTGGCAATTGCACTGGCTTTGCTGTCAACCGCATGTTCTTTCCATACTTGCAGGCAGCACTGATGCTTGTCGAACATGGTGCAGATATATATCAAATTGATCAGGCAGTTACAAAGTTTGGAATGCCAATGGGGCCATTTAGGTACTCCCGTTTTGTTATTTTAAACTCCTTACTATTCAGTAATATTGTGAAAACAAATAGAATTGTGTTTGCGCTGACATACAGAAACAAACAAATTTTTCTTAGGCTCCATTTGTTCATTTGTTTCCGTGCTGTGTTTTAGAATAAAGCCTTTGTTACACTACTCAATTTAGTGTTTATGCCGGACAAAATTTCCTAACCAAACAAATGGCTACCTAGCAATTGCATGTCAGGATGCCAATGCATCTTAAAGTGCAATCAGAGAGAAGAGCAAAGTTGTTAGGTTCATGTTTTAATACTTACAAAGAATAATCTTCTTGCATTTTGGGTACCAATATATATGACCTGGAATAGTTGGTTTTCATATGAATTTCTTTCCGATTCTAGAGTTCAATCTCTTGTTTGCTTTCCCAGATTCTTTTATTCTTGTCCAATCTGCTCCAACTTTTCCTTTTTCAATGCAGAATGACAGATCTTGTCGGTTTTGAGGTTGCAATTGCTGGTGGGATCCAGTTTATTGAGAACTTTCCAGAGCGGTCCTATAAATCATTGTTGATTTCAGTTATGCTAGAGGACAATCGAGCAGGTTACACATTTCCAATGTTTCTGAAATAATTGATCGATTGATATAGAAAGCCCAGTAGGCTAAATACTGAGCTATTGATCATATAGGTGAAACTACTTGTAAGGGTTTCTATATATATGACAACAAGGGCCAGGCTACCCCTGACCGTGAGGTTTTGAAATATGTTGACAAAGCGAGGAGCATATCTGGTGTTACAATTGACTCTGAGGTCGTCTTTTTTTTTTTTTTTTTCCTTTCTTCTGTGTCTGACTCCTTTAAGGTGCACCAAAATGTCGGCTTCTTTTGGTTGCCTCCACTGCTAATTTACCCCTAATCAAAGGAGTGTAGGCACTCTTACATCTCAGTTTTGTAATTGCTAATATCCTGTTTATGATCTTTCTTTCTGCTCTGGTGGCATTATATGTACACAGATAATGAAGTTGTCTGATCAAGACAAAGTCGAGATGGTACTTTTTCCCGTTGTGAATGAAGCCTGCCGCCTCCTTGCAGAAGGACTTGTTGTCAGGGCATCTGATCTTGATGTTGCAGCCGTTATGGGGATGGGGTTCCCAGCGTACAGGTTTGTGTGTGTTTCCTGTAATAGAATACTTTATTCCAAGCATTATGATTGAATTTACAATAGTGACTTTTATTAGGGGAGGGATTCTTTTTTGGGCCGACTCTCTTGGTTCAAAATATGTATGTTCAAAATTGGAGAAATGGTCAAAGGTGTATGGAGCGTTCTTCAAACCTTGTGCGCGTTTAGCAGAAAGAGCTTCCAAGGGGTTGCCTTTGGTGAGAAATTTATCTGCTTATATGTTGGGTTATGATCTTTGTGGTATTTATAGTTTATGGTAATAAGTATTCACCATGAAAGACATGGCATCCTTGTGCATATAAGGTTTTTGGCCATCCCACTCGAAAAATTTTGCATCTTTATCCTTTCCAGGACAATCTGTTATGCAGGTCTGTCATTCTCTCATCAGATGCTATCCAACTCATCTTTTAAATGAAGTCACCATAATTTTTCTTCTTATTCGAATTACTGCTCTGAAGCAATAATGGATATTCTGCTTGTTTAAAATGATTGTGGTATACTTCAAAATGATGGAAACTTAGGCTTGCTTCATCAAACGCACATTTCCTGATTTCTAAATCTTTCTCACAAAAAATTAAGTCGTGTGATTGCCACTGGACTAGATGATTCCAAAGCTTTTACGGGTCTGTTTCCTTCTGAATATTGTATTCCACAATGACAAATTCCAAGTTTACTGATAGAATTGAGTACATCGGGTGCAGGGGGCGACGTGCACGCCAAGTCTCGGCTATAAAATTATGCTGGCCGTGCCCTAGTTCCATTGCAGCCTCTGCTTCCCTCTCATTCCTCGATTTTTCTGATATTTTCAGAATTTGATCAAATGAAAGAAGATAGCTGGTGCTGCTGAACCACGGTTGACTATACCGTGCCAACTTCATTGTTTCGTGTGATTGTAATTGTTACCAGACTGATGTATCCCTAAGCAATTTCATTAAATACCCTTTAATATGATCTAGTTGATTTAAGGAATTGTGAACATGTAGACAGCTCACATTGACAGAATGTTTGTACTTTTTTCGTTGTTTAATTGATAGATAGGAACTTTTCATGCTTGGTTTGTTTTTGTGGGCCAGTTCTTTCATTAATTTGTGTTGCCCTAATTGCTTGCCAAACTGGGTTTTATTTTTAATAAAAAAGAAATAGATGTACCGTACATCTTGTTTAGTATGTCTTTCGTATCCATGCATGTTATTAGAGATTTCACAAATGATGCTAATTAAACATAGATACATCCCTTTATTAACAAGTCAAAGATAGGATTTCAGCCAAAAATATCATACCGAATTTGTATATTTCTTGTTAGCTGAATCAACTTTTCAGAACAAATTAAAATTAGCATTATTGGAAATTTTGGAATTTTCGGTAATCATACCAAAAATCTTTTAACTTTAAAGTTTAGTGCTAACCATTGGCAATAAGCATGGGACATGATTTTTAAAAAACAAAACAAAAGCAGTCTTACATTGATTTGCATTCCCGTTGTGCTTTAATTTAGAACATACAGTTGTTTCAACATGCGGAATAAAATCCAAACTTGATCGGAAGATGATTGACAGGAACTTTTGTGGCTGAACAATGCTATATATATAGGAATAAATCATAATGTAATTTTTTTATGTACAAAAAACTAATGCGGCAATTATTATTTTTATCCTCAATCAATCATTTACCCATATTTCATTGGTTATAATTTGTCACGTCTTTCTGGACATAGTTTTAGGATGATTTGTTTGTATGTATGTATTGTTATTATTATTATTATTATTGATTTCTTGGCAAAGTTGGGTGCTTGTTAACTAGAAGGAATTGTTTATCGCGTGGGATCATCTCCATGCTGATAGTGTTGTACTCTTTTGCCGTGGTTAGTTTTTGTAAGAACAAATTAAAACACCTAGGAATTCTAGTATACTTAGGAGTAATTGATAGATTTAATCTCAGTTCACACAAAAATTGATTTCAAGATATTTCATTCCTTACAAAAAGAAAAACATAAAGGTCAAAAGTTGTCTGTCACATAAGATTATAAAATAGTGGAGATAATTACAATATAAGTATGTCAATTTTTAACTTTTTTTTAAATCAAAAGTATATAAATTTTAATTTTTTTATTTGAGTATATATTTTTTTTAAACAATCAATCAAGTACTTTAATCAATTTTTTTTATTAACGATAGTGTGTACGTTACCTTTAAAATATCAAATTATAATTTTGTCCTTTATTTCTTAATATAGTACATAAACTTCGGTTTTTCAGATTAAGTATATCAAGCTGTTTTCAAAGCTGTTAATCAAGTATTTTCATCAATTTCTCCATTAATTAAAGACGTGTCCGAATACCAAATTATTTTTTTTCATCTTTTGTGGTAATAAACTTTCTCCTTAAATTATTCTATCATTTTAAAATTTGACAAAAAATAAAAAAAATTATTTTCATACAAAATCTCAAACTAAACTTAGTAAGGTTTGCTTCGTTAAAAAAAAAAAATCCAGTTATGTTTTGGGCATAAAAATCAAAGGAAACACGGATGTGAGATTTTTCATCGAAGATATTTATTTGTGTTTTTCTTCGACCTTTCACTTTTAAATCTAATTGAGTTTTTTTTTTTTTTTTTTAACAACAACAACCAGATTAGGTTAAGTTTGAAATTTAAGAGATAGAAAATAATTTTTTTAATTATTTTTCAAATTATAAAATAGTAAAATAATTTGGGGAGAAGGTTTCTTTCAATAAAGAGATAGTGAAGTTATAATGTTATATTCAAATGCATTATCAATTAACGAAAAAATTAATAAAAATTACTTAAATGATAGTTTTGAAAAAATCGATGTACTTAAACAAAAAAAAAAAAACTAAAGTTCATGTAATTGATTGAGAAAAAAATAAAATTATAATTTGATATTTTGAGGGCATCAAATACACATACATTATCGATTAATAAAAAAATTAACGAAGCACTTGATTGATAATTTTTTTAAAAAATCAATGCACTCAAACAAAAAAAATTAAAATTTATATACTCGGTTAAGAAAAAGTTAAAAATTGATATACTTATAGTGTAATCATCTATAAAATAATGTTTCATTTTCACTAAGTAGAAAATTCAAACAAGTAACCATAGCGTTTGAATAGATTAATGTTTTATTTGGTATTGTTTTTATAAATTGATTCAAGTTGTTATTTAATTTTTAATTCATAAAAAAACCCATAAATATGTTTAGTTATGATAATTTTTACTTAAATCAGAATTTCATAATACTAAAAACTGAATCATAATTTTTCCTTAATTAAAAAGTTAAAATTTTTAACCTATTGGTTCTAACTTATACTACTTCCTTCTTTCAAAAAATTGTTTTGACAAGTATGTTTCTAATTTATGTCTTTTTTTATCGTTAGATATTTATATATAAAAAACTACTTTTTGCATGTGATATCAAAATGATTCTAATTGTGATAAATCCTCAAATGTCGGCATTGAGTTTATATATATATATATATATATATATATTATCAAAACCCTTAACTATAAGCATCTATCTAATAGTTTTATGGATTTTTAGCAGTTAAAAGAGATTTTTTTTTCTTTATTTTTTTAAAAGGCAGTAGAAGAATTTATGAAAAATTCTCTAATTATACCACGTGATGCTAGATGAGCTTTTAACATTGTCCAAAGAGAGAATTTCATTTTACATGCAAACTGGTCTACAGACACCATTTATTTTATCAAACGAAGGTAATAATATTTAGCATCTCCTAATTATTTTAAAAAATTTTATTTTTTATAATTACATATAATAAGATATTTTTGGATTAGTTTTTGTATTAAACGAAACTAAGTTAGTATTTTTTATGCTAAATTAATACTAAATTACACTTATTTTTGAATCAATTCTAAAAATGGATTCTTGGAGCTTACTGATAATTTATACCTAATACCACACAAAGAAAAATAAAGGATTTTTCAAAAGTAAAAATCAAATTTAGGATCGAATGAATAAGAAATGTTTTTGGTACCACTACTGCACTACACCTGCAATTCTTGAAGATAGCACCTCCTGATTAGATTACACACCCATCCTGTAACTTAAGGAGATACTACAAGGAAAAGATTAAATTCAGTATTTCAGACACCGCCTCAACCGGGCCGCCGCCGTCGAATTTCCAAAATCAAAGTGACGAAAAAAGGTGCAACGAAAAAAAAGTTTTTTCAGTCAATGAAATGACCATATTACCCCCACTCATTTCAATTTTTCTAGTTTTTACCAATCGTCAAATTAGTCAAACCAAAAAACACCCACCGTTTCTAATCTGTCCGAATAACCGTTCCTAATCAAATCCTCTCTCTCACTCCCTTCTCCGATTATCTGGTACTATGCTTTCAGCAAAGGTTCGCCGTAAAGTAGCTCCGGCGAACGGAGACGCCGACAACTCCGCCGACAAACAAGACCAGCTCCTCCTCTCTTCAACCATCTTCAACGGCGAAGACCTCGGCCCTTTCGTCCGCAAAGCCTTCGCATCTGGCAAGCCCGAGACACTCCTTCACAATCTCCGCCACTTCGCTCGCTCAAAAGAATCCGAAATCGAAGAAGTCTGCAAAGCTCACTACCAAGACTTCATCTTAGCCGTTGATGACCTCCGATCTCTCCTCTCCGACGTCGATTCACTCAAATCTTCGCTTTCCGATTCCAACTCTAAGCTTCAGTTCGTCGCTGGTCCCCTCTTAACCTCCCTAGACTCCTATCTCGAAGCTCAAACGGTATCGCATAATGTGAACTTGGCTCTCAGTTTGATTTTCTCTTGTATCAAGCTATTAGAGCTTTGTTCTAGAAGTAATTTCCATTTATCTCGCGGTAATTTTTACATGGCCTTGAAGTGTGTGGATTCGATTGAGACTGATTTTTTAGATAAAACGCCGTCCTCTACTTTGAAGAGAATGTTAGAGAAGAAGATCCCAGAGATTAGATCGCATATAGAGAGGAAAGTTAGTAAAGAGTTTGGTGATTGGTTAGTGGAGATTCGTGTCGTGAGTCGGAATTTGGGGCAATTGGCAATTGGTCAAGCCTCTGCAGCGAGGCAGAGAGAAGAGGACTTGAGAATTAAGCAGAGGCAAGCTGAAGAACAGAGTAGACTTAGTTTGAGAGATTGTGTTTATGCTTTACAAGACGAGGACGACGACGACGGGCTCGGTGGTGTGATCGGTGATGATGGTAAAGATGGGTATAGTAATGGTGGTGGTAATGGGTTGTTGGGGTTTGATTTGACTCCGCTTTATAGGGCTTATCATATACATCAGACCTTAGGACTTGAAGATCGGTTTAAGCAGTATTATTTTGAGAATAGGAAGCTTCAATTGACTTCGGATTTTCAGGTATCGTCCATGACTCCATTCCTTGAATCGCATCAGACTTTTTTTGCACAAATTGCTGGGTTTTTTATTGTGGAAGATCAGATTTTGAGGACTGGAGGGGATTTGATATCGAGAATGGAAGTTGAGAATTTGTGGGAAACTGCTGTTAGTAAGATGTGTTCGGTATTAGAGGATCAGTTTTCTAGAATGCAAACTGCCAGTCATCTTTTGTTGATTAAGGATTATGTGAGTTTGCTTGGAGTAACTTTGCGTAGATATGGATACCCCGTTGATGCTTTGTTAGATGTTTTGAGCAAGCATAGGGATAAGTATCATGAGCTATTGTTGTCTGATTGTCGTAAGCAGATTGCAGAAGCGCTTTCTGCAGATAAGTTTGAGCAGATGTTGATGAAGAAAGAGTATGAATATTCTATGAATGTGCTTTCGTTTCAATTACAGACATCGGACATTGTACCGGCATTTCCTTATGTTGCACCATTTTCATCCACTGTACCTGATTGTTGCCGAATTGTGCGATCCTTTATTGAAGATTCTGTGAGTTTTATGTCATATGGTGGGCAGCTTGAATTCTTTGATGTTGTAAAGAAATATTTGGACCGGCTTTTAAGTGAGGTTTTGGATGGAGCTTTATTGAAGCTTATTAATACATCAGTTCATGGAGTATCCCAGGCTATGCAGGTTGCAGCAAACATGGCTGTGTTAGAACGTGCTTGTGATTTCTTCTTTCGTCATGCTGCACAGCTTTCAGGCATTCCCTTGAGAATGGCAGAGAGGGGTAGGCGACATTTTCCACTAAACATTGCTCGTGATGCAGCTGAAGAGATGCTATCTGGACTGCTTAAACAGAAGGTTGATGGCTTTATGACATTGATTGAGAATGTGAACTGGATGGCTGATGAGCCCACCCAGGGCGGCAATGAATATGTGAATGAGGTCATGATATATTTGGAAACTTTGGTTTCTACTGCTCAACAGATATTGCCAACTCCTGTTCTTAAAAGGGTTTTGCAAGATGTTCTTTCTCACATTTCAGAGATGGTTGTTGGGGCTTTACTCGGGGACTCAGTCAAGAGGTTCAATGTTAATGCTATCATGGGGATTGATGTAGATATCCGATTGTTGGAATCATTTGCCGATAATCAAGCTTCATTGTTCTCTGAAGGGGATGCAAATCAGTTGAAAACAGCACTTGCTGAGGCAAGGCAACTGGTCAATTTGCTTTTGAGCAATCATCCTGAGAATTTTCTGAATCCTGTGATCAGGGAGAGGAGTTACAATACGTTGGACTATAGGAAAGTAATGATAATATCAGAGAAGTTGAGGGATCCTTCAGACCGGTTATTTGGAACATTTGGGAGCAGGGGAGCCAGGCAGAATCCGAAGAAGAAGTCTCTTGATGCATTGATAAAAAGACTCAAGGATGTCAGCTGATTTCATTCAGAGCTGTACGTATGGTCCTTCTTTCTTTTCACCTTCTTCTGATCATTGCTACATTTATTTGCTTACAATATTTTTCTTCTCATTGTATTAATAGTTGTGAAAATTATATCTGTATTTATTGTTCTCATAGATATGCATCAGATTGTTTGATTGAATTCTTTTGAGTTATGTAAATGAGGGCTGTTAGTCATCGTGTCATGTACCCTTGGATAGATTTAAGGTGAAACTTGTCGCCTTAGCTCCTTCTCCCGAACCTCTTTGTTCTGGAATAAGATGGGATAAAATTCCACCCTCTGCCGCACTCGAAGCAGGGAAAGAATGGGAGAACAAACAAACAGTAAACGAAAGGCGAAGCAAATCTTCCGCCCACATGCAACTATCTTTTAGTGCATCGAGATGGCATCTAACAGGAACTGGAGCCACTGCTTGCTGTGGTGATGCCTCTTAACATTAGATTTACATTGGCCAAGATACATTTCTGTTAGATAACCATGATTTGGGTTGGTGTAATAGATGTCATTCATAATCGAGCTTCTGATTTTTTGCATTATCTAGCTGACCCTTTTCCACTAGAGTTTCAATTCTACCTGCTCTCAGGCTGTGCCAGGATTTGACTAGATTCGTGGTGAGCTGACCATAGCTGTCAATAGCCACTAGTATCTTGAAGCTTAATTATGCTTGATAGAAATGAACTTTTCATACCCCAACAGTAGGTGGTTTAATAATCAGCAATAAATCTTCAGTGGCGAAGGCGTTGATTATTGGAACCGTAGTTTTTGGGGTTGTATCCTGAGTCGAATATGAGACGGGGAAGCTTTGATTGGCCATCTCCTGTCAGGACAATCATATTGGGGTAACAGATGAGAATTGGGAAGACAAAATTAGAATTCGCCTCTTATTAGAATATCTAAAAACAATCTAACATATAATTGGAAGAGGGGACGGGGCCAATAAAATGGCGTATATTCTTTACAGTAAGAGTTCTGTCTGGAGGAGAATTGGAGGATCTGAGGTCGACGAAATAGAAGATTTTTACGTTGCATGCTTTGGTTGAAGACATTTTGCTTCTTTTAGTGGACTGTGTTAATGAAAGGATTTAAGAGCTCTATGGCAGGAATTGATATGCCTTTAAAATGCGGCTCTCTTCTGCAGAGGTCCAACCCATTTCACCCATCATCCGTTGCCATGGTCTTGCATATTTGCAACCTAGGTCATATTGAGGAACAAAATATTTGAGCATGAATGGCTCATTGAGCTGATGTCTTCGTACTGCAACATTTTTAGAAAAATCGAGTCTCCCTTGCCTTGTACTTGCAGTCCAAAGAAACCCAACCCACTGCAATTAGAAATTTCATAACGAAGCATCAATAGGTGAATTGTGGTCTATGGACATATTTAGTTAATTTTATCATTTGGTTTGCGTGTGTACGCCTCATAACCTAAGCTGAGGTAGGCTAGTCTGCCAAACTAATTAATTATTTTGTTCTTGAAAAAATAATCAGTTACTTCATCTTCACGATCTCCAATATGAAAAATCGAAATATAGTGTGTCAAACTAATGAAAGGCTAACCTTCAACTTTCTGATCCAAGAAATATTTGCCTATCGTTGATGAATCAAAGCAGGATTTAAGTGCCACATGGATTTCACACTGAATTCCTATGAAATTTCACACTGGAACTCCAAAATATAGTGGTTGGAAACTTTCTGTACCATGACTCTTCATTAAATTGAAATGAGATTTTACACAAGTAAACAAATTAAAATGCTGAAAAGTATTGTCATCTATGCTTTGCGTCTCTTTTATTTTCATAAAATTAAAAATGACAATCGTAACTAGATAGAAATATGGACAACAATGAGAAACATGCTAGCGATTGCATGGAACGTATCAATCATGCGTTTTTCTAACAGTAGTTAAGATTTATCCTGGTTAATTTGGAGGTAATATATGGAATATTGGAATTTTTTTTATTAATTAAAATTTGTTCTATCTAAAACAAAAAATATGGATTGTTTGAAATCTTCATATTGGAGTGTGGACGGAATCTAAATTCTTGATTGCTGATAACCAGACTAAGCGTCACCATCATCTGACATCCATGCTTGCGTGCGCATGTATGGAGACATCGTCTAGAGCCGTCTGCCATCCACGTTTGACTTCTCTGATCTGATGTCTATGAGACTGAATCTGGGTAAAATTCTTCCTTGGCTAAAATTCTTCTTTTGCCCCTTCATCGTCGATATCTATCATATATGTGAGTCACACGATTCAAACATAGCCAGCTGATCCAGTGGCTTCTCCGTTGAGTTCAATCCCACCTTATTCAAGAATTTGAATCTGACACCCATTAGAGCATTTTGGGTGCCCACTATAAGATTTCCTTGAATTTTAGGGCTCCTCGAGTCTGAGACGAGGCCCAGAGCATGTTTTTAGAACTGCTGGACACCGAGTGCAAATGGCACGTGGCAACCGCTAGATCTATTGCAGATTTGCTGTGGAAAAATCTGATGTGCTTGTAGAAAAATATACCATGAATAAACTGATGATCCAAAGTCAAACTTTTAATTCATTAAGGACCTTTAATGACAATTGCGACAAAATGTTCCCCTCAATCAATCGATCTAGTCGCATTTAATACTTTATTAAGGAGCATCACGGTCTATTTTGGGGCCACACTCCATGAAAGCAGCAGCAAATACAAGTCCACTGATATCTCCATCCATATAAACTGATGTTTCGGGAATCTTAATCTGCATAACCAACGTTAGAACTGAGAAAGAGGAGATCTCTAGAAGGTTCTGTCATCGACTCTGAAAACTCTACCGGCTCTGATGGGGTATCTATGTCCTATCTTCGTGCTCGTTTTGTCTTCTTTTACAACCCAGTTTGCTTTAAGCAACGACATGCCATCAGCATATGAAGTTCTTCAGGAATACGACTTCCCAATCGGTCTGCTTCCAAAAGGTGTTACCGGCTACAAGTTAAACAGAGACACAGGTGAGTTCTCTGCTTATTTGAACGCAACTTGTAAATTTTCTATTGAATCGTATCAATTGGAGTACAAGTCTACCATTACCGGGGTAATATCTAGAGGAAGGCTCAGTAATTTGAAAGGTGTGAGAGTTCTCATTCTGTTTCTGTGGATAAACATTGTGGAAGTGGTTCATGATGGGGAGGAGCTTGAGTTCTCTGTTGGGATTGCCTCAGCAAACTTTCCTATTGACAACTTCGGAGAGTGTCCTCAGTGTGGGTGCGGATTTGAGTGTAATTTGTTGGACGGTGGTAATTTTGTGTCTTCTTTTCAGGTGGAAAGATAATTTTGTGTCTGGGGCTTTTATGTCTGAGCCCTCTTATGTTGTTTCGTCTGGAGGAACAAAATAATAAGAGTACTTTATTTCTTCTCCTTCTACGATATCTGCCTACCTGGTACATCGTTTATTAAATTTTAGGTAATAGCTATTGAACAGATGCGTAGTAATGAATTCTTAACAGATGCATAGTCATAAGTTTTTAAAAATACAGAAATGCTCGGTAGGTTGCATGATCTATTTGTTAGCATGAGAGTGTATTTTTTTTTTTTAATTATTATTATTGTTATTGTAGAGAGTCTCGTATCGAATTTAGCTTATAAGAGCATCTCTCAATTGTGCTCTTTACTTTTAGTTAGTATTTTTAATATAAATAGAGAGTATCGTTAATTATATAGATTGAAGATTAATATCCTTTTTAATGTTATTCTCTATTTAATTCTTTATTTTGACAAAATTTATAAAACCTGAGAGACTATTGGTGAAGAGATTAAATGACATAGAATATAATAATTTTTATTAATAAAATATAAGATAAAGAGTTATTTTCACTCTCTAGTATTGGAGAGTCAAAGACACTCTCTATATCAATTTTAAAGATAGAGATTATGATAAAGAGAGCATTGGAGATGAAATTTAGATCAAACCTCTTTATTATAAAGAAAAATCTTAATATAAAGAGATAATTAGAGATACTCTAATATGCAAGTGGGAGATAAAAAAAATGAGTTTGGATCGGATTGTTTATTTAAAAAAAAAAAAAAAGACACGCAAGCAATCGTTTTATAGTTGAATTGCAGATAATAAATGATGATTTGATAATATTATTTTAATTTAATGGAATTACTTATAGGTAAGTTTTATTTGGATTCTGGATTTATTTATTTTATTACAACTTAGAATTATTCTTTATCGAGATTCATTATTTCATAGGATCATTAAAGCAAAATTATATAAATACAAGCACTGATTTTTTCATCTATAATCTCATATTGCCATTTTGTTTTGTTTTAATATGCAACAGCAGGTAAGGTGAGTCCCGATGTTTGTTAAGACAGTGAAATATGATCTTGCCCTCGCCATTTTTATCTGCCATGAGCACGTATTTACGCTAACTCTATAAAACATAGGCCATTTTCATTTTATTTTTATCGTAATATTCTTCATAGCCTAATCCGTGATATTCTGTTTAGAAATTCTTAACAATATAGTAACATTTTAAATTTTCAAGAACTTGCATATCATCATATCTATATCTGGATGGTACTTTGTTAAAATTTAGGTCGTGTTTAAAATGAGATGAAGATTTTGAGGTTAAACTGAAAATTTTAAATAGTGTATTTCTAGTGAAAGTATCTTAATTAAAGTCTATTTCTAAAATATTGTTTAAATACAATTTTTAAAAAAAATATATAAATAAAGAAATATTGATAGGACATAAGAATTACTCCATGTTTTATTTTAGAAGTCAAATAAAACGATTTCTTTGAAATGGAGAAAATAAAAAATTTTAAAAATAAAATATTAATGATATTTGGTAAATAAAAAAGTTTTTTTTTTAGATAAATTGGTAATAGTAGTAGGAATATAAAAATAATGACAAATCTTATACTTTAAAATAGACAAATTAATAATACTTGATAGGAATCATAGTTAACACGTGATGAAAAATATATTAGTAGGATTCACATTACAAATTTTGAAGGGTAACAATTACCCTCCATGCATGAAGGGTAACGTTTCACCCATTTTTTTTTTTTTGGAAAAAAAACAACTGTTCATGAGAAATTATTAGTCATATTATAAACTATATTTCACTCTTATAAAAACATGGAATTTACTTAAAAAATAATTTATAAATCTCATATTATGAGAAAATATAATTTAATTTTTAATATACTGAATAATTCTTCCTTCTTCGCGACTTTTTTTCCCTCTCTGTTTATTTTTTATTTTTATGTTTTTTTACAAACATGGTAAAAGTGGTTGAAAGTTTACTCTAGTAAAATTTCACCCCTTTCACCCTAACAAGCACAAACTTTGAAGTATATTAACCACGGCGAAAACTACAACAACCACGTGGGAGCGCAAAAGACGATATCTGTGAGAGACGGGTGTCGCCTCAGCATTTTTAACTGCCACCCTACCGAGAAATTTTATAATACTTAACGTAACTATACATCTACCTCTTGGCACGTTCCACTGCCCAACGACCGGTCAAAAAACCAACTACACAAGATTGACAAACCGAATTGCAGGTCCAGATAGGACTATAAATGGGTTCGCCTTTTCATTCAAGATCCATCTCTTCAATGGCTTTTCTTTGGGCAACTTTCTTGTTTCTAACTCTCTCAACATCTTCGGTCGTCAATGCAGATGACACACCAACTGTATACGAAGTTCTCCAAGAATACGACTTTCCAATCGGTCTCCTTCCCAAAGGAGTAACGAGCTACGAGTTTGACAACTCCACAGGTAAGTTCACAGTCCATCTTAATAGCACTTGCTCCTTCAAAGTCGATTCATATGAGCTCAAGTACAAGACTACTATTAAGGGTGTGCTAGCCAAAGACAAGCTCTCAAAATTGAGTGGGATCCAAGTTAAGGTGCTCATTTTGTGGCTTAGTATTACTGAAGTGATCCGTGATGATGATGAGCTCGAGTTTTCTGTGGGGATTGCTTCCGCTAATTTTGCTGTGAGTAATTTTGATGAGTGCCCCTCTTGTGGATGTGGCTTTGATTGTAAAGATGTCAACTTGAGGAAAATTAGGCCCAACAATCCATTTTCTTCTTTTTAGAATTTTATTTAGGTCCCACTTACTGGTGAAGGACCTCGACACGCGTGCAGCACATGGATATGCTAGCTGTCTGTAATAATCAATTACTTGTCTTCGGTAGCTAGCACTTAACCTCGATAAATTAATGAATGCTTTATCTCTCTATTGTTTTGTCTTCATTCATTCATTTTTTTTTAATATCTTTCCATTGTGTGATGTAGCACGTGTCTTTCTATTCACCTTGTGGTTTTCGCAATTTATTTTTTGTTCCCATGTTATTCAGCAGAAAAGGTTCTGTTGAAGTGCAGAATTGGTCATTTATCACTTTTTAGAGGTGAGAGTATAGTTCTTTTTGTAATAAAACTAAATATGCATGGACATATAAGCGTAGCGAAAATTAATAAGATATATATTTTATGTCATGATTGATTAAGTGTTCAAGATATTCGTTGAAAGAAAACTAGAGTCGCCAAGGAAGAGAGAGCCTTCTAGTCTATGCCAATATTTTAGGGTGTTTTTTTTGTATTGATGAAAAACAAAGGTTTTACTTACTATTTATATGGCTAGACCAAGGACTCTTTCTTTAACTTAATTTTGCACCTCCATCCATCATGGATGTGCCTAGCCCACTACTAAAGTCCATTGAGCTCTAAGTCTTTAAATAGTCATTTATAGATTTAAAACAAACATGACATATGGGCCACACTATAAAATATTTCTTACATTCTCCCACTTAGCCCATATGACACTACCTAAAAATGACATTTTCTTTATAGAGTCCAAATGATTAGTTAGTGGAAACACTCATACTTAGATTAAGAATGCAATATATGAATCATAGCGGTCATGCTTTATAACTAAGCATTCCCTTCCATGTATTACAATATATTACATCCTTAAAACAAGCACTTAATGAGCAATAAACTTTATGAATGAACTTTTAATAAGTCATTCGAATCCAACTTTATATATCAAAATTAATATAAAATTAATACTTTATTGTGCACAAAAATCACATCAATCTCTAAGAACAACTTAAAAAATGTCTAGACAATCAATAAAAGAAAATGAAGTCAAACAATAAATGGGTTAGCTAGACCCATACGATCCACATGATCTCTATACTTGTTTTGCGTAGCATGCTTTAGTCATAGGATATGCAATCATTAGATAAGTGCTAATATGCTCAATGAGCACTTCATGTTCCTTCCCTTTCTCTCTCACAATGAGATACTTTATGTCGATATGCTTGTTTCGGCTTCCACTTTTATTATTTTTAGAGAAGAAAACCGCAACCGAATTGTCACGGTAAATCTTTACTGGTCTTGATATGAAATCGACAATTTGTAGACCGAAATGAAGTTTCTTAACCAAATAGCTCGTGTCGTTATTTCGTAGCATGCAATGAATTCTGCTTCCATAGTAGACGAAGCAACAATAGTTTGCTTAGTGCTTCTCCAAGATACGGCTCCTCCAGTGAAGAAAAATGTATCCCGAAGTAGACTTTCTTGTGTCTACACGACCAAGAAAATCGAATCCGAATAACCAACCACCTCGATGTGATTAGTATGCACTGTAAGTCGATCTATAATTCTTGGTTCCTTGTAGATATCTCATGACTTTCTTAGCGACTTTCCAAATGGTCCATTCCGGGATTGCTTTGGAACCTACCTAGCATTCCTATCGCAAATGCCAAGTCGAGTCTTGTACAAACTCGTGCATACATCAAACTCCCTACTGCAGATGCATAAGGAATGTTACTCATCCGCTCCCTTTCCAATGCATTTTGTAGACATTGATTCATATTGAATTTATCCCCTTTGACAATGGGTGCTACCGAAGATGCACAATTTGACATCTCGAATCTTTCCAAGACTTTTTCAATGTAGGCCTTTTGAGACGGTTCTAATATTTTTTGAGATCTGTCTCCGTGAATCTCTATGCCAATGACATAAAAGGCTTCACCTAAATCCTTCATATCAAAGTTTTGAGAAAGAAATTGCTTAGTCTCATGAAGCAAACCCAAGTCACTACATGCAAGCAAAATATCATCTACATATAGGACAAGAAAAATATATTTGCTCCCACTAACTTTAAGGTATATGCATTGATCAACAATGTTCTCAATAAAACCATACGAGGTAATAACATTGTGAAACTTGATATACCACTTGTCGGGAGGCTTGCTTTAGCCCATACATAGACCTTTTTAGCTTACAAACCAAGTGGTTATTTGTATCATCACAAAAACCTTCGAGGTTGATTCATGTATACCTCTTCATCTAAATTTCCATTTAAAAATGTTGTTTTCACATCCATTTGATGTAGCTCCAAATCGAAATGAGCTACTAATGCCATTATTATTCCGAATGAATCCTTTTTAGAGACTTGGAGAAAATGTCTCATGATAGTCCATGCCTTCCTTTTGGGTATAACCCTTAGCCACAAGTCTAACTTTATATCGTTCGATATTACTAGAAGAATCTCTCTTGGTTTTATAAACCCATTTGCAACCAACGATTACTGATTCTTTTGGTAATTCGACGAGGTCCCAAACTTGATTTTTATGTATTGACTCTATTTCTTCTTTCATGGCATTATACCATAAATTGGAGTTTTCTCCATTCATGGCTTGTGAAAACGAGTTTGGATCATTCTTAAGTCCAACATCAAAGTCGGACTCTCGAAGGTATACAACATAGTCGTTAGAAATTACTTGGTCTCCTTACTCTTGAAGATCTTCTTAATTCAACATCTTCGTATGGGTTTGGCTCATCAAGAACTAGTTGCTCTTAAACTTGTTGCTCGGGAATTGGTTGTTGTTCAACATTATCTAATTGACTTTCTTGAACAATAACCAATTGTCTTTTATCCTTATGCAACACGAGTTGAATCTTGTGTTTCCTCAAATTCTATTCTTTGAGGAAAATCACTCCCACTAAGGTTAAGATCCTCAAGAAATTTAGCATTTCTTGCCTCTACTATTCTTGTACTATGAAAAGGACAATAAAACTTATATCCTTTAGAGTTTCTTGCATAACCAATGAAATATCCATTGGTTGTTCTAGGGTCTAATTTCTTTAATTGAGGATTATAAATCCTTACCTCAACAGGACAACCCGTATATGTGTATGATTTAAACTAGGTTTTCATCCATTCCATAATTCAAAAGGTGTCTTAGAGACGACCTTGGATGGAACCCTGTTTAGAATATACACGGCAATCTTTAATGCTTCACTCCATAAGGATAATGGTAAATTAGAATTACTAATCATGCTTCTAACCATGTCCATGAGCGTACGATTCCTTCTCTCGACTACACCATTTTGTTGTGGTGTGTCAAGCATTGTATATTGTGCAATAATGCCCTCTCCTTCAAGGAACTTTGCAAATGGACTCGGCATTTGTCCTTTTTTAGTGTACCTACCATAATACTCTCCACCTCTATCGGACCTTACAATCTTAATGGTCTTTTCCTTTTGTTTCTCTACCCCAACCTTAAAGGTCTTAAAAGCATTAAGTGTTTCAGCCTTATCATGTAAAAGATAAAGATACATGAATCTAGAATGGTCATCAATGAATGAGATAAAATATCTCCGACTATTTAGGCAAGGAGTATTAAACGGTCCATATATGTCAGTGTGTATGATTTTTAAAATTTACGAGCTCCTCGTGGCACCTTTAGTGGTCTTGTTAGTTTGCTTTCCCTTTATGCAATCCACACAAGTACCAAAATCAGTAAAATCAAGAGCATTTAAAACTCCATCATTCACCAATCTTTTAATTCTTTCAATGGAGATGTGACCTAATCTCTTATGCCACAATGTGGAGGAATTCTCATCAATATTGCTCCTTTTAATACCTGTATTAACATGCATTGATAAATAGTTAAGCTCAAAAGTGGGGTCTAGATCAATTTTATATAAACCATTAATTAATGTTCCACCACCAATAGAGATTTTATTTTTCAAAATACTAAAAATGTTTTCATTAAACAAAAATCCATAGCCAATACTACATAGTCCGGAAACCGAAATCAAATTTCTAAAAAATGATGGAACATAAAAAATATTTTTCAAATCCAAAATAAATCCAGATTTTAAAATTAATCTAAAAGTCCCCACGAACTTCAACTTTAGAGCGCATCCGATTTCTCGAATAGATGCCTTCTTCATTTCCTCTCGGCTTCCTTAGGTCCGGAAAGCCCTGCATGGTATTCACGATATGGATTGTAGAACCGGAATCAATCCACCATGTATTATTAGGAGTCTCAATAAAAAAAGATTCATGACACACTAAAGAGATGAGTTTACCTTTCTTCACGAGCCACTTTTGATACTTAAGGCAATCTTTCTTAACATGTCCCCCTTTCTTGCAGAAGAAACATTTACTAGTATTACCATTTTGCTTTATAGGCATATGTTCATGTTTCTTCACTTTTAGAACATTTTTACCCTTCTTGAAATTTTCTTTAGCTTGAGAAACCGAATGAGCACTTTCGGGTTTCTCAAGTTTCAATCTCCCTTCTTCTTGAACACACAAGGTCAATAATTCATTAATTGACCATTTTTCCTTATGTGTGTTATAAGAAATCTTAAACGGACCATATTTCGCGAGGAGATAGTTCAAAATGAAATGCACCAAGAATGACTCGAAAATCTTTACCTCTAAGGACTTTAATTGAGCGACGGTGTCCCTCATTTCCATAATGTGCTCGCGCACACCTTTAGAATAGTCAAATGACTTGTCGAAAGCTTTTTCATTAGGGTGTCGGCTAATGCCTTATCGGAATGAACAAATTGTTCTTCTATGGCCTTCGGAAATCTTTTGCCTTAGAGCATTCGGGGATTGAACCATTTATACTCTTATTTATGCGAGACTTTATGAGCATTAAACTTAAGCGATTAGATCGCTCCCACCGCTCATAATTAGTCTTTTCCCGTGCATCACTTGAATCCGTGAGGATGTGTGGTTCATCCACACGTAAGGCCAAATCCAAATCCACACACCCCAATGCAAAAAGAATATTTTCTTTCCAATCACCAAAATTATCACCACATAGCATTGGAATACTAGATGTATCAATAAAAGCGAGTAGGAAAAGGCTGCAATAACCAAGAAAAGACTTTAATACTATGAAAAAATATACTTTATTTAAATTAACCAATGTCAATTTAATAGTAAATTCTAACCTTCCCGTGGGTAGAGGTTGCATCATGCATAGAATTCACTAATTCTTTAATAATAAGACTAATAAATAAAATATTAAGAATAAAAAAAATATTCACATCCGAGGGCCTAGAATAAAATCCATTCTTAATATTAATTTATTATCTTATTCTAATTAAATCATAAAAATAACAACCTCCCCGTAGGGCCAAGTCATTATTTTTATAAAATAATTACAAATTAAGCTATGTACTTTATGAGCATATTAATTTAATAAATTTTAATATGATCATCAAAATAACTTAAAGATCTTGTGGCTATTCCTAAGTTAATTGACATCATCATCTCAACATAGCATGCTTTAATATCAACTCATAACTCTACGTTGACATATCAAAATAATAATAATAATATAAACTAAAATTGTTTACAAGCAAACTTCCTGGCAATCTTTAATTTGTGTCTTTCATATATATATATATATATATATATATATATATATATAAGCATGCACCGCCAGAGTTATGTTGTTCACGAAGTCGCACCAGACAGAAAATAACGTAAACTAAGCATAACTTAATTTATGTCTTATATATATATATATATATATATACACACACACACGGTTGCACCAAAGAGGTGAGGGGAAGAAAAAATCCATTGGAAATCAAATGGAAGCAAGTGTACTGTCAAAGTACACAAAGACTTGATATATGTAATATATATATATATATATATAAACTAGGCATGACTTAGGCGGCCAAATCCGCACCAGAGGGAGAGGGAAAGAAAAAACTGCATGTTGATAAAAATCCGTACCAGAGGGACATAATACTTTTTTTTTTTTTTACATCAACTTTGTCCTTTTTTTTTAATCAAATATATATATATATATATATATATATATATACACACACCAGAAGAGTGAGAAAAAAAGCCACCGTTTGAAATCAAATGGTAGTACACTATATATATTTAATTCATGTCTTATGTGGTGCATGCGTATGATTTAAAGATTTCAATTATTTAACTATACCATGATCTATAATTTTCTCTGTAGAAATCATACTATGTACTGGATAAATATAATTAATGAATTTTATTAACACTAATCAATATAGCAAGAAGGAGGCTTTGACACCACATGTAATAAAATTAAATATGCCTATGCATATAAACGCAAGTGGAAATTAATAGGATACATATCTACTCGTCATGATTGATTAAGTGCTTAAGATATTCGTTGAAAGAAAACTAGAGCCGCCAAGGAAAGAGAGAGCCTTCTAGTCTATTCCAATACTTTAGGGTTTTTTTTTTTTTTTGTATTGATGAAAAACACAAGCTTTACTTACTATTTATATGACTAGACCAGAGACTCTTTCTTTAACCTAATTTTGCACCTCCATCCATCATTGATGTGCTTAGCCCACTACTAAAGTCCATTGGACGCTAAGTCTTTAAATAGTCATTTATAGATTTAAAACAAACATGACATATGGGCCACACTATAAAATATTTCTTACACTTTTTTTATATATACGTGAAATCTAATTTTGCATTCTGGCTCTGGAGATTTTTGGCAGCTAGCAAGTTCTTGGATTTTTTTTTTAATGAGAATTGGCAATTACATTTACATGCACCTTAAACAGAAATAATTCTCGAACAGTGGAATAAAAGACCATTTTCTGGTTTAATTTGTATTGGCAACATGCTACCATCAATTAACACGCTTTAAAGTGAGAGAGAAACAACCACATAACCTTTCGAGGTCCAAATTTCAATCAAAGCATGAAGCACACCCACATAATTCGGTTTTTTTTTTTTTTTTCATTCAAATACAAACATATGTAGATATAGAGCTCAAATTTTAAAATTTAAAAAAAGTCTGCACAAGTTGAGAATTTTATAATATTCAAAAAATAATTAATGATATATGCAGTAGTTATTTTATAAATTCATTTTTTAAAAAATAGACATATATATATATATATATATATATATATATATATATATATATATATATATATATAAAATTGAACGAATTTAAAATTTTTTTTATGGATTCGATTATAATTTTTTATGTGTATGTTTTTTTTAAAAATAAATATATAAAATAATTATTATATATATCATTAACTACTTCTTACGTACTATAAAATTTATCGTTTAGGACAATCTATTTATAATATCCTTGTTGTCATGACTTAAATAAAAATGGGAAAAGGAAAAATAAAAATGATAAAAATCTGTGACTTAAATAAGTCCTCTGCTAGTGACGTTATCCATACTCGCCGACCAATTTCCATAAGACGTTTGCTTGTCATGACTCGTAACTGTGTCCTTTTTATTTTCAATAAGCAGTAAAAACAACGACCATGTGCAATCTCCGTTCGATAACCACGTGGGCATCAAACTAAATAGCCACAGCCTAACAATAAAAAAGAACTCCGAAACAGCGTCGCAACTCACACTTCGCAACTAAACGTCGTCGTGTCCCCCCTCTCACCGTTACGTGCTCGATTATCCTACCTTCTCTCACCATCACCCATCCAGAAATTATCCGAAATATCCAGAACTGTAATTTTCTTTCCATAAAAATATAAGATTTATAAATTATTTTCACAGTTAAATCCATATTTTTATTAAAAAATAGAGTACAACACCTAATAATTTATTCCAACAATCATCATTCAAATAAATGATAAATTAGTCCTTTTAATTTTACAAAAGGAATTAAATAAATCCTTTTGTCTACAAAACTAATTAATTAATCACTTAATTAATATTGATAATATTTAATTTAATATTATTTTATTGTAAAAAATACTTTCTTTTCTTTTCAATTTTCATTTTTTTACTTATGTTTTATTTATTAAAATAGAAAAAAGGGAAAACAATTAAGTTATAAATATAAAGACTAATTAATTAATTATTAAAATTAAAATAACTATTTATATTTTTAAAAAGAAATAAAGCAACTAATTTATAATTTTCTCGTCATCATCCATAGCAACCAAACAAATAATAATAAAAAAACATCGGTCCAACAGCCGCCCAAGCAGAAATCAACAAAAATGATATAAAAGTAAAGAAACAAAAAAGAAATACGGCTCCTGCTCTTTACTCCAAACGCGCACCCATGTCTTTCAACGCCATTTTCAGCCTTTTCCTCATCCTAACACAGCTCGCCACCTCGTCATCACTCACCATCACCGACAATCTCCCAACGCCGTATGAAGTCCTCGCCGGATACAACTTCCCGATCGGTGTTCTCCCGAAAGGGGCCACAGGCTACGAACTGGACAAAACCACTGGCAAATTCCGCGTTTATTTGAACGGCTCGTGCAGTTTCTCTCTTGAAGGTTCGTATCAGCTCAAGTACAAGTCCACAGTCAGTGGTTACATAAGTGAGAACAAGCTGACTGATTTGAGTGGAGTAAGTGTGAAGGTTTTGTTTTTTTGGTTAAATATTGTTGAGGTTGTTAGAAAAGGAGACGAGCTTGAATTTTCTGTTGGACTTGCTTCCGCCGATTTTCCAATTGATAATTTCTATGAGTGTCCACAGTGTGGGTGTGGGTTGAATTGCAACAATGTTGAGTTAGTAACCAAGCTTAGATCCAACCCTTTGGTTTCCTCATTTTAGGGTACTGTAATGGATATTTCCTCATCTTAGGGTGCCGTAATGGATATTTCCTCATTTTAAGGTACTGTAATGGATATTGAATGGGTGAATAATGGGATGCTTTTCTTTTATTTGGCCTTGGGAATGAATTGAAAACTTTTTCTATGTATAATTTAAAAAAAAAATTGGAAATTGTTGAATATTTATGCAGCTTTGTTTGATGAAATTATAAAAAATAAATATTGCATGTTTGGTTTGTGTGTTAATTATGTGTTTTGTGGTTTACTGCTTAATTGGCCTAGAATGCGCTTCGTGTTTAATTAAAGAAATCAATTGATGGGGCTTGCTGATGAACCTGTTTTTGGCTGCTGCTAATAATCAGAACCTGCCATTTGTTATGTTTGCACTCTGGCTCGAGGTCGAGGGATTGTGGAGTAGGATTTTATCTTCTTCGCTTGTTTATGTTGTAAGGGTAATTGATTTTAACTTTATTAGAGGAGAGTTGTATAGTTTGGAATGGGGAAATATGCTTTCTTTTCATCACAATAGAACAGAAGTGATAAATGATCAACAAATTGTCAATGAATAGGCTGCTACCGGTGTAGCTCAATGTAGGATGCCTTGACATATCCTTTGGTGCTCGTTATAGCATCGTAAGTCTTCACGGTGTTCGTGGAGCAAATTAAGGTGGATGGAGCATGTTTGAGGTGGATATATGGGGAGCACCATTGTTATGTTTGGACTCTGGCTCAAGGTCGAGGGGTTGTGAAGTAGGATTTTATCTTCTTCACTTGTTTATGTTGTAAGGGTAATTAATTTTAACTTTATTAGAGGAGAGTTGTACAGTGTGGAATGGGGAAATATGCTTTCTTTTCATCACAATAGAACAGAAGTGATAAATGATCAACAAATTGTCAAGGAATAGGCTGCTTCCAGTGTAGCTCAATGTAGGATGCCTTGACATATCCTTTGGTGCTCGTTATAGCATCGTAAGTCTTCACGGTGTTCGTGGAGCAAATTAAGGTGGATGGAGCATGTTTGAGGTGTATATATGGGAAGCACCATTGCTGGAACAGTCTGTTACTTCTCTAGGGCTGTGTTTGTTAGGAAGATGGATAGGGTAAAGGATGGGTGGAGTAAAGTAGAAGTATGAGGAGGAGAAAGGATGGATGAGTTGTTTGACTAATAAGGGAGGAGAAGGATGGGACGTGTGGTTATTTAGATACAACTTATGTGGTGGTTTGAAAGCAACTGAACTAGTTGTCATACTAATTCTGCATAAATTGAATATTTGAGTTCTATTATTGTTTAGAAGGTAGTGTGTGATGGCTTGATTGCTGTTGGAGTAGCTTTCCACAAAATTTCTTTTCTTTTAATACATAGCATATAATCCATCATGATGAATTTTAACATGGTCCATTCAGCAATTAGCTTAGCGTGCAGGCTCGCCTTGGGTTTTAGTATGTGTCATTAGATTTGCATGAATACTTTGAAGCTGTCAACAAATTGGAGATGTTGGCACAATTTGCATAGTTCTTTCAAGAAATTGGTAGTAGAAGCTACCAAATCATTAATATTTCTAACGGATACGGAAAGCCAGTCTTGATACAAGGCAGAAGTACTATCGCTGCATATTGACATTTTGCAACAAATCACCCTAGTCCTGATTATATGTTAGCTTTAGTACCCCTTGTGCTTCTTCTTTTATAAGGAAAAATAACTTTGAAAGAAGTTATTTAAAATTATCTATTATATGAGATGATCTGTTCAGTATAGAACCACTATTCTGGAGAAGGTTCTGCCCAGAAAGCTAAAGGTGCATCTCTTCATTTTAAGCAGTTATGTAATTAAGTAGTTGTTATGTTTCTTGTTCCTTAGTATGTCTATGCTTATTTGTCGTTTTTCTGATTGGAATCTAGTCCTTTCTTGCATGAATACTAGCACCTCTATTAGGCCTATGAGTTTAAGAACCACGTTACCCCTTTCGATGCCATCACAACTGCAATATGACAGCATAGACCTCCCCGAAGCTAGTCAATTGTATTGTAGTACTGGTAGTACTGGCAGTTTGCCAGAGTTATTTCTAACTTTATTCACTTGAGATGCAAAAAAATCTCTGGCCCTGGACCTTGTTGATAAGTAATAGTAACTTACTATAGTTTGTAAGGTCGAGAATTTGTTTTCACCATTTGCAATTTGATGTTACAGTATCCATGATAAATTGATGAAACAAAGGCTTGAAAGTATCTGAAAAATCCAATTTCACTGATAAGCTTGAGTGTTCTGAGGTTATTCTACCAAGTTCAAGCAGATACAGATAGTAACTTGGTTAGGTAACATGTTTGGTAGAAAATTTGAATTTCTTTGGTGGCAGGAATGCGTGTAAGGTGTAAGGACCTTGCAGGGTGTAATGTAAATTGCTATTCTCCCTTGCTATGTTTTCTCATGCAGTGCTCATCATGTCTTAATATAGTCATACACCTCAGGATGGAGATATCAGCTGAGTCACATTTGTTGAGTGAAGGCATTTTTCTTAGCCTTACTGGTTTGAAATTAATGAGGTGCTGTTGTTAAAAGACTGCATCAGTGTACTCTGCCTCATTTAGGGATGGCAATGGGGTGGGGCGGGGTGGGGATCGTCATCCCCGTCCCCATCCCGTGTCCTATTCAGGGTGAAATATCGCTCTCTATCCTCGTCCCAAACAGGGTGGGGTGGCATCAGGGCAGGTTGGATTGTCATCCCTAGCCTCATTGCTTGCACCTCTCAAGCAGTGATGCCTAATATGGATTTGGGAATAGAGAACGATATTAAATGATAGGGAGCAACAGAAAAATTTCATTTTTTATGCGCACGCACATGCAAACGCACTTCATTATAATTCAATAATAATATCAACACTATTAAAAAATTCATAATTCATGATAAGTACAAGTGTCAAAGACATTATAATTTAACCTATCTTTAAAATTATTATTTAAAAAATTGTTATAATAAAATTATAATTTAGTTGTTGATTGCTAGGGTTAAGGAAAATTCACTTATAATTTCTTTAATCAGAAAACAAAAGTAAAAACATTATTAGATATTTTAAATTATATAAAGTAAAAGAAGGTACAAAAATAATTCTAAAACTAGATTCAATCATCAAATAAAAACCATATAGAAAAAAAGGCCCAAAAACAATTGTATCAATTGGTTTATTTATCATAGACCATACACATGATTGGCCCAAAATATATCCCAGTTCTCTAGTTTTAAGTCAGGGCTCCTAACAAATTTTGAACTTCTGCAGCCGTCTATGTTTTTCTTTCTCTCTCCTGCACGACACTTCTATTTTGTTTCAGCAGCTGCTTTTTTTTTCCTTTTTTTTTTAACTTTCATCTGTATTCTTTGTCTTTTTATGTTGAAAACAACTTCTTTTTTTAATCTGTCTTCTTCTAAAATGAATTCTTCCTCCATATTTCTCTGTAGGTTTCAATTGAATTTGACAGAAGATTGAAGTATTCACAAATTTAAATATCAATGAAGGTACAATAATTATTTTTTTTTTCTTTTACAAATAACGGGTATAATGACAACTAACTTTATGTAACAACATAACAGTTGTTATACATGTGAAACGCTATCTTTTATCTTGTAACGTTGTAAACAATAACGAATAACAAATAGAAATAGTGCCCAATCCTTTATAAAACGACAACTGACTTTTTTCAAAACCACGATAGCATCATTCCGAAATCCTAGTTCCTTGATATCTCTTTGCTCCTGAAACATTACAAATTACAAGGGTGCGCTAGTGTTACCCATATTTGTATTTCGTCGCCAAAACCAACTTCGTCTTGTGAAAACTTGCTGCAGTGTATCCATCATGACCTGGCATGAAAGATACCATCTCTAGTGCTACTGCTCCAACAATTATAACTTGTTATTATTTGGGAGGCGTAGAAACTTTAGCACCTCGAGCATTTCCTAAATTTGATTTGTGCTTGTCAAGAGTATAACTGTAGAACCGAATGATTGTATGGTTAATTTCTTGATTTGTTACGCAGTCACTCATTCATTCATTCCAGAGAGGCCAGAAAGATCTCATCAATTCTAATAGAAATTGAGTTTCTATTTTTTAAAATTTTTCCATTTTGCCACGACTTATTGGGTGAGCCCACCACATAATGAACCTCTTATTACAACTACATATTGCATGTATTTCAATCTTCTCGTTCGAATTCGAATGATAAAATCATGTTGAAATGACTCCCGAATAAAATCTGACAAAACCAAAAGAAAAGCTGTACATGTCCTTGTCACAATCACAATCAGACAGCATTGATTTTCTACGAACCAGGCACGACAATTCACCGCATCTAGGCCTCGCGCTGCTCCGTCAGATTCATCACAAACTTTATACAGCAATTACAAAAAATACAAACTTTGCCTAACTTTCCCTTCTCACCATCCATTATAGAAATCAACAATCATGATGCGATTTCAATTACAACGATCCCACTAATGATAAATATCGAAGTATTTTTAATGAACCAAGAGAAGGATGTCAAAAAAAAATTCTCAACCGTCGGCAATTATGGTGTACGAGTTCAATTTTTAAACCATTAATTGGTACATAATGAATAGAGAATGTCATCCTCAGCGGCAGAATCTTGTTAAATTATTTGGAAAGGCAGAAGACAACCAAAAGGTGAATTATGCAATTTTCAGGGGGACCTGCTCTTGGTGGCGTGGCTAACATTATTAGATTGATCGACATCAAAGGAGTTTCATTTTATTATAAATGTTAGTATTGGACTCCACGCTTTCATCAAAATATATGCTATTAGACTACACGTAAACAGGTGTTTCTTTAGGTTAAGCTTCATTTATTTCAATCTAGGAGACGCCAGAGCATTCTCCGATTGGCTCCGATATATTAGTTATCGTATGGATAAGGTTTTTCAACCATGCTTTGTGGCTTATATATGCAATAAGAATGAACTGAAAATCGGAATTTAGATTGTTTTCTTTTTAATTAGTAGTATGGTATGAAGAAATTAGATCGTTTTCTTTTTAATTACTATCTTGGTATGAAGAATTCCAGTCACTAACATTTAATTTAACAGTGGTGTATTCAATCACTTTTTTAATGAAATAAGATTTGAATTTTAGTGATTCTATTTTTTTATATATATATATATAATGAAAAGAAGAACTTTCATTGTGGCATCCAAAAAAATCAATAAACTTTCAGCGAAAAAAAATAAAAAATTGATTGCTTGTGATAGACTGATCACTTAAAATAAGGAGCAACTCTAATTTCTTGAGGACTAATATTTTTTTGTCACTAGCCAATCGAAAGAGGGCATTACAATTCAATGAATAGCTAATTGCACAGGGGCTTCAGATCTGAACGTTGTCAATTATGCAATTTTTTGTTATTGTCCTAAAATTATATCAATTTCATAGCTAGGTATTTTGAATTTTCTGTGGAACCAATCACAATATGCGCACAATAATTAACCAACCAATATCATGAAAAATTAATGGTTTTCGCATAAAATAAGAAACAAAAAACTAATACTTTAGATCTCGTGCAATAAATAGCCTATTGATAATCATGGACGAAAAACAAACAATTATATCAATATCAAATCTATTGAGAAGACCGAGATGCATGCCGTAACTATGATCAAATCAAGCCAAGATCTGTTAAATAGGTCACACTACACAACGATAGCCCATGCCGGCAATACATTAGAACCACCCCCACAACCTCCACGGCTCCCATCGATCCTTGTTTTGTATTGTAGAACACGATATAGTAATCAAATTTACTAATAACCTTGATTAGTATTTTATTTTAATGTTTCTTCAAGAGAGAAGCACGTAATTCAGCTGCATCGATTTCCTCAATAACATTCTCTGGTCTGTAGAATCCGGTACGAGGATCTGGAACCCAGGAAGTCTTCTCGGTAGACTTGCCAACCTCCTCCCCTGTTTTCTTCACCATGGAAGCAGCACTGCTTCTTGCCTTGGAAACAGCAGCTCCTTGAGATGCAACAGCTGAGAATCCTCTGCCGTTGATTGCCCTGCTGATCAAGCCAGAGATAACCTTTGCGTTTGAAAAAGAACGAGCCATTGTAATTCAATACAGCTTTTGTTTTGATTCAAAAATTTGTGAAAGAAATAATAGAAACAAAACAATGAATTTTTATATTTCAACTGCTGTAGAAACTTGTATGTTTCTTTCTTCTGCTTCTTCTTCTACAGCAGCTGAAAGAGACAAAGACTCTTTCTTTTTAGGTTATAAAATATGTGATTAGAGAAGGGAGCGTTAAGGGCTTTATATAGAAAGAGGCGGAAGCTGAGACGCGTGAGGCTGGGAGACTAAAATACCATCCACTAGGGTTAAACGGATGGACCCTGTCAAATTACGCTTCTAGATATACGCAGAAACCTCTATGTTCTTGCCACGTGATCTCTGGTACTTATTGGCTACTGCAGCTTTTGCTCGTATTTTTTAAATGCCCGTTTGGTATTGCATGCTCTGCTGCGATGTGTTGTGCTGTCCTTAATCTGAAAGTAGTATTTGGGGATTTGCTAGGCTGTTTATATATATTTACAGCACTTAAGTAGTATTTAGTTAAATTCTATTATTATGTTTTTGAAATATAAGATGAGCAATACAGATTTTAAAGTATTAAAATTATTTAACAAATATATTTCGCTTGTATTAAATAATTTATCATTTCTTAAACTTATATATATATATATATGATTTAAATTATATAAAACATCAGTATTTTTAGTTTATGTATTTTTTTCAAAAAAAATAATAGAAAAGATAACAAAAAGAAAATAAACTCTGTAATAAATGTCCTTTTTACTAAATGTAGGGTACCAACTTTGTTTAGATTTAATGACATATTTTACTTTCCAACTATTAGGATTGTGGTAAAAATAAGATATATATCATTAATTTAGGTTATTTATATTCCAAATTATTATTTTTTGAAACAAAATTATTCTTTTATTTCATATTTATTGATTAAAATATCGATTGTTAACTAAAATGTATAAAACGATGTCGTTTTAAACTTCTTCTTTTTAAGACTTGAAATTAATTAAAAAATAATTAATAATAGTTAGGTTTAAGGAAGTTTATATGATTTTGTTATCTATGGATCTGACTTTTGTTGTTAGATAATTAATAATGTTACTCGGATTCCTCTAGTAAAAAAAAAAATTGAATTATTTTTTATATGATTAAAATTAATTTAGAAAAAAATATATTTAATATTAGTTAGTTTTAAGAAATTTTAGATGATTTTATTATTCATAGATTTAACTTTAATTTTTGGGTAATTAATAATGTCTACTAGATCCATATACTAAAAAAAACTCAAATATTAATTTTTTTTAAAAAATAAAATGCTTAAAACAACATTGTTTTAAGCAATGTAGTTAACAATCAATACTTTTTAACCATAAGGCATAACATAAATGGATAAATTTTGCCTAAAAATTAATAATTTTAAATCAAAATAACTCAAATTGATAATATATATTATTTTAGTACAATTCCAATACTTTTAGGACAAACTATATCATTAAACCATTCCAAAAGCAAAATAGTTTTTATTAAGGTGACACCAACATTGTTATGCTTTAAAAACATAACAATATCAAACAAATTGTTGACTTAGAATAAACAAATTGATTTTCAAACAAATTTTTTATTAATATATAAGATTTAAATATTAAAATTATATTTATTAAAAATAATTAAATTTTATCGTTTTCGTTTTAAATATAATTAGTAATATCTCTAAACTAAGATAGCAATGCCAAGGTAAAATTGAAAAAACAAAAGTCCCTTTTTGTCATCTAAGAGAGAAAATACGCATTTCTTTATTGATGACTTGATTATTGGTCTATGCTCGATTTTACTAAATTATACAGATTGACGATGAGAATCATGGATGATGAAACGGTCGAGAAAGTCAAAGAAGGAGTCAGACTTTTCATACATCGAAATGAAGCATGTGAAGAAGAAGAAGTAAACCGCTTTTGAAAGAAGAAAGGTCCACGTGAGTGCCGTGCCATGAAAAGTTAAGAACTTACAGCCGACGATGATACGTGTACAAAGTGACATCTGCAGTCCATGTGTTAGGAATTACTTGGAGGAAACAAAAGGTTGAGTTTTTTTTTCTTTATTATTATTATTATTATTTTGTGATTTGCTTTATTATTATTATTTTTTCTTTCTGGAAGACAGATTCCTGGCCCTACGAACTCCTGAAAGGTCTATGAGATTTCCAGCAAAGTCAAGAGTCAATAATAAACCAAAATTGCTTTGATCAGTATGTGCAGATTCTAGATCTTTAAATCGATGAGCTTCAGCTTTGGTTGCCCAATTTTGAATTGAATTATTGAGATGCGAGTGGCTAGCTCAGTCCTAATCTCATGTGAACATGTTGTTGGTTGTCCCTTTCGCGACAAGAGAGTCTTTGTGCATGGGGTCTCGTCCAAGGAAATTGAAGCCCCCTTTCCCCCAAGTTTCTCGTGCTTTTGCTTGGTCTGTTTTTTCCTCCTCTACTTCTAGACATAGGTTCTTCCACGATCATGGCTGCTGAAATTTCGCCTCTATTTCCTTTTCTATTTTGTTAAATTTGGAATCATTATCGTTTTATTCGATTCTTTCTCAAGTTTTAATCATCTCATTTCCAAAAAACATTGTTTATCTTTTCATTTATGTTTGTATTAAAATATTTATATAATCAAAATTTTAAACAATATTCTTTTCTAAAATATATCTAATTAAAAATTATTTTATAAAAAAATTCAAATACAATTCTAAAAAAAATATGAGTAAAAGATTAACCTATTCTATAACAATTAATAACTTTTTTAATTTATATGAAAAGATAAAAATATAATCTTTTTAAAACAGAACTTCAATTTTAAGTATAACGTTATGATTTTTTTGTGATATAATAATTATTATTGTTATTATTATTTTTTTGTCCTAAATAGGACTTGCAGTCTATAATTAATAATTGGATAGGTAGAGAGGGAATTATGATCTTTTGTATAAGAATGTGACAAGAGTTGTTATACTTTGTGTGTGTATGTGCATGCGCATGCACGTGTTTGGGTGGACATGCTTACGCACGTGCTGGAGTATGCATGCGTGTGTGCGTTCACGCATGTATGTGTGCTTGCATGCTCTCATGTGTGTGTGAACGCACATGCATGTATGCATGCGTGCATGCGCATTCACATGTGCATGTGCGCAACACGTTAGTGTTAATAGAATACGAAAATCGTACTTATATGACAAATTGAATTGATCGTCACTCCAATGATGGGCTATTTTGATATTATTTCTTTTATATATATAATAATATGTATTTTTAAACTCAAATATTATAGAGAAAGGTTTTTTTTTTTTTTTTATATTTAAAGGCAATGAGATATTTTTGGGCCAACTTTCATATCAACTGAGACTAAATCTATCACTTTTTATACTAAATCGATATCGAATACGTTTAGTTTTTTATCGATCATCGAATTACGTCTTAGGTCAATCAGTCTAAATTTGGTACCAATAAGGGATAGTTATGGTTAATTATTTAAGGATAATGAAAATTCAATTTTGATCTTGATCAAACTAAGACATCTTTTTTACTAATATATCACATCCCATAAACAAAAAAAATTTACATCGTTGATCAATTGTAGATACGTGAAACTTCCTACTAAAGGTATATTAATCCTTCATAAAGTAATTTATTTATGCATATAACTCCCGAACAATACATTATTATATAATAATGAATTTATTTTTCAAGGTTGGAGATACATGTTTTAGTATATTAGCTTATAGGGAGAATTACCAAAAAAAAAAAAAAAAAATCCTCTAAAAATATCTCATATCTAAAAAACCCATCAATTTATTTTTAAATATCACAAACCCTAAATAATTTTTTTTTACCAAAACACCCAATAATTAACTTCCAAATTAACACCAATTAATTATTAGGAGTTTTAGTAAGAAAAATATTATTTGGGATTGAAGAGATTTAAAACTAAATTGGTTAATTTTTTATATAATATATTTTTTTAGAGAGTTTTCTAATAATAATCTTATTTCATAATTTTTGATGAGACTGGTACTTATTCTTTTCTATTTATTTTTTTTTCATTTTTTTTAATCATGACCAAGTTTAGGTTTCTTTTGACTACAATAGGAAGAGAGAAATTTTTTTTTTTTCCAATTATTTTGATTGATGATACACTCACCTTCAACTATTATTTTCTTACTTATTAGACTAAAATTTCTTCGTAAGATTTTTTTTTTTTTTGTCGATCATTTGTTATATCAACCAAAGAATTAGTTATATTACCCAAGTAGCTACAACAACCGATACAATTCAATTACTTAATATTGATGAAATAGGCTCATGCTATCCTCTTATAATTTAATCCATAAAGTATCACACATATAAAAAAAATTAAAAATATATATGTATGATTATAAACATTAGTGATCTAGTAAATATTGATAGAAAAAAAAATCACCATCAATAGTACAAGTCTTTAATTAATACAAACTTAACACTTTATATCAAGCAATTAAATTAAATTACGCAGTGAATGCATAGTATATCTTGGTACATTAATTAAATAGAAAATGAGGATTCACAATAGAAATAAATATTTTGAAAGATAATGATTTTCTTTTAAGTTAGAGACAACTACAAAAACACTAAAAAAAATTTCCATCTAAAAAACCCACCAATTTATTTTTATTTTTTTCAAATCTAAAACAATATTTGTCTTACTAAAACATCAAATAGTTATAACTAGTGTTAGATAAGAGGTTAATTATTAGGTGTTTTAGTAAAAAAAATATTACTTTGAGTTTGAGAGATTTAAAAATAAATTGATGAATTTTTTAGATAGAAGATATTTTTTTAAAATGTTTTTTTGGTAGTTATCCATAGATTATATCAAATTAGTATTTTTATTTCGGTTAGACAACAATTCAATAACTTTTATTCGGACAAACAAGCTAGTAGGGATGGTAATTTGTCCCGCCTCGACGGAGCCCCGCCCGACCCCACCTTGATTTTCCCCGTTCAACGTAGGGATTCCCCGCATTGACGGGGGACGGGGCGGGGCGGGGATGGGATGGGATTTGCTCGTCCCGCCCCGTTTGCCTCCTTTTTGCTCTTTTTTTTTCATTAAATTATAATTATACCCCATATAAAATATATGATTAGTGACTTTTAGGATTTATTTTCTATATAAACTATCATTTTTTTTTCTATAGTTTGAAATTTAATAGTAGAATAGGATAAAAAGAGATGAAAAAAAATTTACTCCGTTTACGCCCGTTTGCCCTGCGAGGATCCCCATTCCTATTAGGGGATGAGATGAAAAATTCTACCTTATTCGAGACACGAGGGAAAGATGGGGAATTTTTTTTAGGGGCGAGGCGAGGCGGGGATGGGGATGGCGATCCCCGCCTCATCACATTGCCATCCCTACAAGCTAGCTAGTGTAGTAGTTGTGCTGCTTCTAATGTAGCATAATGTTGTCGTTGTGCTGAATTTTAAAATATACTGTAATATTGTAAAAATTTAATTTTGAAAATCTTTTTTTTTCAATTTTCTAAATTTTTTTTGTCATTAAAAAAAAACAAATATTTTTTTCATATTTTGTTTTTAAATATTTGAAAACAAAAATAAAAAATAAAAACGTTACCAAACTTCTCCTAAGTTTTCCTTGAATTAAAATTCATAGATAAAGCAAGGATTCTTTTATGATGTTAGAGAGAATTCCAAATATACTTTTGTTGACGTTTTTTCTCCCCTTGCATGGAACATATCATTGTTCTTGTCCTTGCTAGTAGAATTGGCGATGTAGGCGCATTTGAATGGGAGATTATTTTATAATATATTCTGGCGTAATTGCAAATCATGTTATAATTACATAATACAGTCATAAAAACCGAGTTTAAGCAACTACCTCCCCTCATGACTTCGAAAGCAATCGTGCGTCATAGTGTTCCTTGATAGGCTAGCAACTGCAAGCTTTTCTAGAGAACATTAAAAAGAAAAGCAAATGTTCAGACGGCATTTTAAAAAAATTAAACAAATGCTTATAGTCCTGCTGGGAAATAAATGTCGTGATGAAGCAATCAGTTTTTATGTTAAACATAACCACACCAAATTACGAACCGCTGGTCCAAGAACAAAAATCTCTTTGCGGACCTCCACAGGCAGCCCAGCTGGAAGCTTTTTGAGAGACTCAACACCGAGGCAAATGCCAACTGGTAAGCCAACAGTAAAGCAAATACCACTCGACAGAGCATTGCTTTCTTGAAACTCGGGGGCCGCATAAAAGGTTATGTTGCAACCATTTATTTTCCTCTTCTTAAAAAATTTGTTGAGGTCCTACAATATGTAAGAAAATCTGTGGCTTCGTACTGAGATTCTGCTTTTACTCTTTTCGCTCTAACTTTGTCATGATCCAGCTTGCTCACTGTTCAGTCCTTGGCACGCTCAATTCTTCACCTTTACGATTACGTGCAGCCTTGCGAGCTGCAGCTGTCTTCTGAGTCCTGACAGTCACCGCCGCCAGTAACAGCTGCTCAATGAAGCTAGGTAGCAGGTTCTCCGGCAACTTGCGTGAATTGTGATTCAATGACTAAAAGGATCTAGCATAAAGTCTGCATTTCCAAGTTGGATTGTAACGTCACTGATCCAGTAATCTAGTTAGGTTCTTCGTCATCAGCAACTGACTAGATTAGAAGCAAGATTTCTTTTAACTCTTGAAATTCTGATAGATGTAGAAGGACATTTGACGTGCCCAATTACAATTACTTTGTCAACCCCTAAAAAAAAAAAAAAAAAATTTGGCAACTCTCTCTCTCTCTCTTCCTTTTGTTTTCCTCGTAGATAATGTTGTAAATGATTAAGAAACTTTAGATGAACAAACACTCAGTCTCCCCTAGCAAAACAAGACTACAAGTGACAATAGATAAGGGTGACATAAATTTGATTTGTGACAGGGCAAATAGCCCTAAGATATTGCTCAAATTCGTGGTCAATTGCTTTGTTTTCTAGTTGGGCACTGAAGGAAGCTACAACAGAACCAAACTAAGTGGAGTGGGAATCAGAGCAAAGTCTTATATGCATATATAAATAAAAAGTCCTCTGGCCACTTGAAAATTGACAAGAGCCAAATTTCATCCATCCTTATCCTCTTAATATACTTGGTGATCAAATGACCTTCCTTGTCTAGTTAGCTTCTGAGGAGTATTGTATACCAAAAGATGCTATGTGACCTTTGTGTTGATTACAAAGGTCGGGGTCATACAACTTCAAGATTTAAGAGGTCAAATTACATGCGCATCTTTTCTCTGAGCTCCAAAAGTGAGGGCCTTGAATAATGGGCCAAACCCAAAATTGAATTTAGCTTAATAATGGGCCAAGCTACTGCTCATGGAGTTAACAAACAAGCCAGCTTTCTTACTGGCCCATCTTAATCCAAGTAGGTGGATTGGGTAGACAAGTTGGGCCTAATGCACATTTCCTCTCCATGATTGCAATTAGATTTTTAGGGCAATTTGTAGAAACCTGAAGAAATCAAATTAAACCCCAGTGCGAAAAACGGGCAAACTCCCAGTCTTGCTTCTTCTCATTTTCTTTCAGCAAAAAATTTAGAGTGGGAAATCATGGCATTACTAGAGAGAAAAGACATGGGGGATATGAGCAGCAATAACAATAGTAGTACAGGCACTGAAGTTCCTCAGAACATGACTATTTACATCAACAATCTCAACGAGAAGATCAAAATCGATAGTAATACCCAAATTCCACTCCTCTTTCTTTCTTTCTTTTCTTTTTTCCCTTAAATTTCAATTTTCTTTCCCTTTCTCACATATATAGTTTGTATGTGGCAATGTCTGATTTGAAAAAAAAAAAAAAGAGTTGAAGGAATCGCTGCACGCAGTGTTCTCGCAATTCGGGAAGATACTGGAGATATTGGCATTCAAGACATTGAAACACAAAGGGCAAGCTTGGGTTGTTTTCGAGGATGTTCAGTCTGCCTCTAATGCTATGAGGCAAATGCAGTCTTTCCCCTTTTATGATAAGCCCATGGTATGTATTTATTATTGGTATATGTATGTAAATGTTAATTTTGTTTTTTCGATAATCTGATATCATTCGTTAGATACCTTTTTCATGTCATGTTTTATGTTTTGAAATTATCCTATTTGTGTTCATATGTGAAACTATGGTTATAATTTTAGATTTCTAGGCAGAATTTTAATGGGAAAGTTCTTGAAATTGCCTAGGATTTAATAACCCTAGGGAACCTTATGAAGAAAGGGTTCTGTATTGTTTTCCTTAGAGATTAAATGTCTTTCTTGGGTAGGATAGGAGGGGCTTAAATGGACTTTATTGCCCTCGCTGAAGGTTAGGCTGCACTTTCTGGTGCTTATCTGCTCATTTCTTATTCCGTAAGCATTGCTGGTTTCATAGCTTGAGGTAGAAAGAATTAGATCCTAGTTTGCTTCTAAGGTACAGGTTCATACTTCTGCAGCATCCATCGGTAAAAGTAGAGTTTCTTTGATAATTTTCTGGGTGGGATTTGATCCGTTCTACCTACTAGTAGAGAAGAACCTTGTCGTGTTTTTAACAATTTTTGCTGTTTAATCTATTGTCAGAGAACCATATTTAAACATGATTTCTTTCATTTTTTTTTCCTCTCTCGCTTTGACTTAGCTCATATTTCATGTTTCAACTATGGTAAAGCATGAGCCCCTCTCTTCTGCTAAACGAATAATATATATAATGCAGAGAATACAATATGCAAAAACTAAATCAGATATTGTAGCAAAGGCTGATGGTACTTTTGTTCCACGTGAAAAACGAAGGAGGCATGAGGAAAAAGGTAAGACATCTCTCTCTCTCTCTCTCTCTCACACACACACACACACACACACACACACACACACACACACTGTTTCTTTTCTGTATGTTAGTGAATGACACAAAGAAGCTCACTGATAAGTACCAAGCATTTGCTTATAGCATGTTTGTGTTTCTGTTTTTCGCACAAGGGAGTAGTAGCAATTTTGGTTTTTTGGATCTTGCAAGGATAGAGTGTGACCAATTGTAATTTTGTACGTGTTTACTGTCTGAGTTAGCAATTTCAGAGTTTTGATGTCATGGCCTTGCACATATATAATATGGAATGAGTGATTTGTGTAACTATGATAATTAGTTTATTGTAAGACTTAGCAATTTCATAATTTTGATGTCATGGCCTTCGCATATAGATTGTAGAAAGAGTGATTTGTGTGTTATATATATTTTTTTTCCGCAACAGCACGAAACAGAAGAAGTAGTTGCTACTCATAAACAAATATGCAGAGATTGCGCAGTAAAAATTTGTTTTGAGAACTCATACACCATATATTTTTGCTTCTTTTTTATGGGAGAAGTCAAGTAGCGATTTCATGGCAATAGGGATTAGTCCTAATTGGGGTAGTGGTTAGTTCTTTTTTTCGGGCCTTTGGCCCCTTCTGTAACCATAAAAAATAAAAAATAAATACATATGGTTATGAAACAGGAGAGTGTGCATATGCTTGATGTTACTTTTAATTGAGCAACATGCAGTCTTTTTTTTCACCCTTAAAATAGTAGGAAAACTGGGATAAACGTATGAATGTGTAGATTAGGCTTCTTTACTGTCTCTGATTTATTTTCCTCTGAGTTATATATTTTCCTAATGACAGGGAAAAAGAAGAAAGATCAACATGATGCTAATCAAGTGGGAGCGGGTCTGACTCCTGCTTATGGTGGCGCTTACGGGACAACACCTCCTGTAAGCATGTTTTCTGCTTTATTAGGATTGCCGCTACTAGGTTCTTTAGAATATGTGATTTTTAGGTTAACCTCATTTTTCTCTGCATCTAGATTAATTGGATATGGATATGGCAACATTTTTGTGTTTACTATTCACCTGAAATTCAGCTGTGTAAATTAATTTGATATTTGGATTTGACCACTAAGATTGACTTCCATACAAACTAATTTTTGGATGCTATAAAGTACAGAGAGCAGGTCAATATTTATACTTTAGATAAACTTACCTTTTAGTTGTTCAATCTAGAATGTTGCTTCTCTTTACTGATGGAAAACAATTATTTGCTTCTGCTATGTTGATTAGGTTATCGACCTTCATTATCCAGTTGAAGTCATAGAATGGAAAACTATATCTATAGCTAATTACCTTGGCTAATGAGAAACTACACTTGGAAATTAGTTTCACATCCATTAATTAGTGAAAGACCTAATTTCTGAGATTCAAAACGATGCTGCCTGTTTTCTGAAACTGTCGAAGCTTAGCTGGCAATTGTTCGTCATTTTCCTTTGTTTTGAAAAGAATGTCCAATGCCTCTTAGTAGGATCCTTACTTTTACTTCAACTTGTTGCAGCTATCACAAATACCCTATCCAGGTGGTGTGAAATCTATGGTTCCCGAGGCTCCAGCTCCACCAAATAACATTCTGTTTATTCAAAATCTTCCCAATGAGACTACTCCAATGATGCTGCAAATGCTCTTCCAGCAGTACCCCGGATTTAAGGAGGTCAGGATGGTGGAAGCAAAGCCAGGGATTGCCTTTGTAGAGTACGGAGATGAGATGCAATCAACAGTTGCAATGCATGGACTTCAAGGATTCAAGATACTACAGCAGAATTCTATGTTAATTACCTACGCCAAGAAATAGACGATTATGTTTTGGTTTTTGGCTACTCATAGGAGAGGGCTGAAGTTAGGACCTTTAATTTCTTGTAACTGTTTCCTGCATCTTTTTGAATTTTTTTTTTTTTTTTTTTGAACAAGAGGTTTAAAGATTTCATGTATCACTGTAGTTATGAGAGACTTCTGTCATATTTTCTTTCGATTCTGAGAATCACCCAACAGTTGTTTTACATGATTGTAATGCTGCAGATTAAATCAGATAATGCTGTTGCCCGTTATAATCACATTTTGGTCACCCAAACTCATCGGGGATTTTCAGTCGATCTTTGAGGCGTGGCTGTTATCAGAAGCTCGCCAAATGTTTGATTAATTGCACATACTCAAAAGTAATGGATAAAATAATGCCGGGCAAGAGCTTGAATACAATAAATATTATCGATCCCCACTTGGCATCCCAAATATTAGATTAGAACAGGCTTTGTTCATTCATTACACTCTCTCTAATTCAGTGTTGTGTTTTTCCGCTTGATCTTTCAATTCCTTCCTCCATCCTTGAATCAGTCTCTCTTGCTTCTTGATAAGCTCGTCCTTTACTTTCAACTCTTCTTCCATCATAGCAATATCCTGTTAAGACGCAACAAGTACACCCAACACACCATTTCATCAGAGTCCCAGTGAAGCTGTGGGGAAGTGGAGCAATAACAAATAGCATCTGTCCAGGTGATAGACAATTTACCTTCCTCAGCGTTTCGGCCATGGTTGGTTGGTCTTCACGTTGCAGACCAATAAAATACAGTTGAAGCTTTTTGGCAGCCTCCATGAAATCCCTGGCATGTCGCTCCACATCAACTGGGACAAATTGGAAAAAAAAAAAAAAATCAGCATTTATCATTAATAGTTTTTTAGATTAACTAGCACCCTCAGTCTCAGCTTCTAGTAATATGAAAGCGTGCAGCACTTCAATTAGCATTAACAGCTGATACTGCAAGATAAAATATCATGAAAAGAGTGATGAATGGAAAAACAAGGGGGATGGGTAAGGAAAAGTCAAGTTATAAGAGGAATGAAGAAAAACATTTATTCCCATGCATGCTACAATATCAGTACATGCATCAAAAGTTCGGCTCCGAAAAACCTCCACCACTTCCTTTTCTAGCTGTTTCCATCATCGATGCAATAGATGAGAAATGGACCAAGAGACATCAATGAAAAAGTGAATCTCCAGGAAAACACCTACAAATCTTCAACTATCTATAAAGGTTTGGGGTCTGTCTGTTAGTAAAGGGGTGTGAGGGGATTGGAAGGATCCCTTCTATCCTTTCCCACTCACAATTTCCAATCCTCCCAATATGAGCAGATTGGCTTCCATCCTTTCCCTTCCCTGTTAGCTAAACAACTTAATAGATAGGTTAACATCAACCCTTTTCTCCTATCCATCCTTCCTGACGAACATACCCTTAGTTTTTGTTCAATGGGAGGTAAGTTTGACCTTAGGCTTCATACAAAGGGTCGCCCCCTGAACCCTTCAAATCCCAAGTATGAGTCGGATGATGACAGGCAATTCTCTCAACACACTAATGGTTGAAACAAGCAGCAATACCAACTTCATGGATAAACCGGGAATACCAGCCATTGTGGCTCCAATTATCCAAAACCTGAGTGAACCGATTATATTGATTATACTGCTTGCTTTTTAATGATCTACGTCCTCCAGATTACTAAGCCTCAACTCCAATTATATTTATATCAGAAAATAACAATAACAATAACAATAATAATAAGGAACGGGAATTAAAAAGAGATAGATAGATAATTGGTACTAACTTTGATGAGAAGGATGGGGAGAGCGGTCAATGGCTTGGAGCTCTCTGGCAGGCAAGCATGGAAGCAAAGCCGCCTCTAAAGCCATCACACACCCAATCATGTCTTCTCTTGCTGCTCCCTGTTGTTGCTGCTGCTGCGATGGAGATTGTAGCTGCGGCGGCTGCTGATCTACACCTTGTCTATCACCCATTTTCAATTACTCCCCTTCTCCCTACTTGCTTCGGGTTTTCAGTTTTCTTGCTTTGATTTCATATAAGAGAGAAATCCCTTCCTAGCATTTTTGGCCTCTGGGGACTTGTTGCGGGGGGTTGGGGGAGTCGGGGCGGACGGCCGTGTCTAGTTAGACGACTTGTTGTCTACGCTGCCTTTCAATTTTTTTATTTTTGAAATAAATTCCTATGACGCTCTGCTGAATGAAATAAGAATAGAGTTTTTTTTTTTTTTTTTTTTTTTTTTTTTATCAGTTTAAATTTTACGAGAATTTCTCATTAAAAATGAAACTCCGCTCCTGAGGAATATCTAGTACAACTTTTTTCGTTTTTTCTCTCCTATGAAAAAGAATAATAAAAAAAATATTTGAAGTTCTCAATTTTTATTATTATGATATATCAGCAGTTTCTATTGCTTCAAAATCCAAGTACAAATTCTAATATATATATATATATATATATATTTGTGTTTAAAGAAATGGAAAAATACTATCAGAGAATGACCAGTTGCACTTTTTAGAACTTTTTTTTTCGATAAATTTAATTAATGACTAGTGATATATATATATATATATATATATATATATATATATTTTAGATTTCCAAGTATCCTAGGGGGTGGGGTGGTGGCCGGCAGACGGGCCTTTCTGATCTTAGATGAAGCGTCTTTCATTCATTCTAGTTAAACGACTTGTTATCTATGCTGTCTTTCAATTTTTTTTATTTTTAAAATAAATTCAAATGATGCTCTGCTGACTGAAATAAGAATAGAATTTTTTTTAGTCAGCTGGGGGTAGGGGAACTTTCCGATCTTAGACGACGTGTCTTTCATTAGTTTTAGTTAGACGACTTGTTGTTTACGTTGCCTTGCAATTTTTTTTTTTTGAAATAAATTCAAATGATTCTCTGCTGAATGAAACACGAATAGAATTTTTTGTTTTTTTTGTTAGTTTAAATTTTACTAGAATTTCTCATTAGAAACGAAACCCCACTCCTGACGAATATCTAGTGCTACTTTTTTAGTTTTTTCTCTCTGATGAAAAAGAATAACCAAAAAATTATTTGAAGTTCTCAATTTTTATTAATATGATATATCAGCAGTTTGTACTGCTTCAAAATCCAAATACAAATTCTAAAAAGAAAAAAAAATTGTATTTGTGTTTCAAAGAAATGGTGAATACTACAAGAGAATGACCGGTTGCTCTTTTTAGAACTTTTTTTTTAAAAAAATTAATTAATGACTAGTAATGTTTTTTTTAAGATTTTCAAGGAATCCTAGGTTCGAAAACCTAAATTAATCATTGTTTGACAGGACGCACAAAGTGGACATATGTATGTAAAGAGAAGCTTTTTCCACTAAGTCAAATTTTTTGGTTACGAGTTGTGATATTTAAACATAATGCACAAGATCTATTGAGCCTGCTACGGTGCTACCAACTGAAGGAAACTAATTTTTGGATGTTCCAAAGGTGATCGAAGTCTAGACGCAGAAATAGAGTATCATAGGCTCGCGTTTGGCATGGAATTTCAGCAGAATAGAAATGTCAACAAAATACATAACAGGAAACCCAGCAGAAGCAGAATCAGCCTTCGCAATGTACAAAGCAATAACAGCTCCCAGAAACGGAAGATAATCTACAGAAGAAACGAGGATAAGCCTTGACTTGTATTCTCACGAGTTGAATTTGAAAGATGCCTCTGAATAAGATAGAAACTGATCACGTCCTGATGATTTCATTTCCTAAAATTGGATGGCATCCATGCATAATTCAGATGAGCAAATTGGCCAAGAGAATCCACTATACTCATCACGCGAAGATTTCATTCCATTCCTTCAAAGATGAATAAGCCCTCTAAAAGCAAAAGCAATCCAAATATAAGCATCCATAGACAGTAGAAATTGAAACAGATGGTGTTACAAGCACGCAGAGTTTTCTTGCTTTCCAGCAAGTAACGGGTACAACTCCTATATATCTTCTCAAAGAGTAAAAGCTACACCAGTGAGAATTGTAAAACACATTTACAAGACTAAGCCAAGATTTCACAGGAATTAGATATTGGTTGTGAAAGAAAATAAAAGGTTCCAATTTCTCTGGACCAACTCACCTCTGGTGACTCTTTGTTCATCTCATAGTCTGTTTCCAACCAAATATAGCACTTTGGGTGGCATATGAAATCTTTCCGGTTGAGCCAACGGTTCTTCGTCTTGGAAAAGAATTTTGCTTCAAACTCCTGAATAGCACTGCCCCTTGATGTGTAAGGGCCTTGCAACTTGTCTTGACCTTTTATTCCTACTCTACCCCATCTAGTGTACACCATGAACTTGCTAGAGTCATTAGATTCTGCAATTGGTTTGCAATTTATACCATTAAGGGACGAAACCAATGTAACAGAACCATTATAAAATTCTTGTAACTCAGTCAATCAAGCACAAAATAATAATAATAATAATAATTCAAATGAAAAAAAAATCTACAAAATCATTGAACTCGAAGAGAACAACAACTAACCAAGGGCTTGAATCAGATAGAACTTGTTATGATTATCCCCAACATTTGTTTGGTTCAACGTGGCATCATAGATACTATCCCCCTGCATGGAAAAGGATGAAGTTTAAGATGGCTTGTGCTTGTAAATTAGCAACAAGTTTCAGACATTATATTAAACGTTGCATATTAAAGTAGAATGTCCTTTACATGCTCTAGAACATGGTACTGTGTCCTTATATGATCAGGCAGATACTGATCCAGCACTGCAGTGCCCTTGTTGCCACTCGTAGTAACTTTCTCATCCTTGTTGCTTGTTTCTTCTTCTTCATCTTCTAATTCTTTGCCTGCCAGTGCTACAAAAACAGATTAATCTACTACATAATATAAAGTTTTGTGAGTTTAATTGGTCAGTAATTGCACAAACCTTCGGGTTTAAAGTTCTTTGACTCTTTCTCTGACTCTGCACATAGCCTGTATAGTAGTTCTTTCTTTGACCCAGTTGAAGAAAGGCCTCGAAGAATTGCTTGTTCGCGTAGCTGACGAATTCCCATGTCGCGAAGATCTTCAATGGCCTTGATTTTCTCAGACACAATATTAGAACCATCAAGTACTTCTGATTCCCTTCGCCTCTTGTTGCCATCTATTACTGAAGCGTCATAACTAGCAGAAACTTTTAACGCCTTTTTGAGACTGTTTGCCATTAGAAAAGCTTGAGATTGAGTGGCCTTTGAGTTTTTAGAAGTACTGTCATTCAGGATTGAAATGGAGGGCCTGGCTTTTATAAGAAGCAGGCATTCTTTATTTTCTGAATGTTTCAACGGCTTCTGAGAGAAGCTAGACAGACCCATTGCTAAAATATGGAAGATACCGCGAACCAAAACTTACAAGCTCCATTTATTTATTTATTTATTGACACATCAGAATTGAAATTTGATAATTTGATGGTTGCCTTTGTTAATTAATATGATAATCTTTTCTTACTGTGAAGATAGTAGCATTCTCACTCTAGCTTTTGCGCCAGTTATTTCTTCTTCTTCTTCTTCTTTTTCTTTTTTAATATTTACATCAGATTATTTGTCTTTTGCCTCTTTAAATTGATTCTTTATCACTATTCTTTTATCTTGCTTGCTTGACTTTCTTCTTCTTTCCTTGTATTAGATCGTTTTTCCTACTTGTCCACTGTATATATCTATTTATTCTATTTTTCTCTTACTTAATCTTTACTATATTTTGAATCTTAAACTTCAGTTCAGGGTTGAAAATTTCCACAAAACTATGAAGGCTAACGTTGATATTCGCTCCCAGTTCATATGTCAGCAAAAACGGAAGACAATCGCTTTTTAATCATTTTGAATCATACCTCTGTGTTGTTTCGTGTCCTTTTAACTTGTAAGAATGTTTGCTAAAACATTAATTCCATTTTAGTTGTCATTGGCAATCCTTCCAGAGGGCAACAAGATGGTCACCATGTGTAGAAATATTTCCAAAATTGGAGAAGAAGAGACATGTGGCATTGGATCATTAGATGGTATATCATCAATCATGAAGATAACTGAAATGGTTGAGGATAGTAAGGCTATTTTATGAATACAAACAAGATAATCGATTTTAAAGCTATTGGTGCAATAAAAATAACAGACGAGGTGAGGAAGCTATAAATAATCAAAATTCAAAATAATGTATATTATCCTAAGGTAGAACCTAATATTTCTCCAAAACCTACAGTGAGGTATGTGGTGCCACTGCTGGAGTTTTGTTGAGAATTTATTGGTGCCAATTTTTTCAAGAACTTCCTCTTGAGGAGGCTTGCTATGGTTACTTTAATGCGTTATAATTACAACAACTTCAAGTATATGAAATAATACGATGCTATTTATTAGTTCGTAATCATTTAGAAAACATTTCTTTACAAGTTAATTAGTATTTTTTTCCTTCTCTAATTAAGGTCACAAAAAAAACATTTTATTGGAATTAAATTTAATTATTCATAACTATCATAATTACTAAATAATTAGCTAAATTACAAAAAAAAATATTTTTTTATGACTCATTAAGTAAATGTATTTAACGGGCTTGCAATCACTTGTAGTGATGTAAAAGATTAATATTTTTTTGTTGAAGATAATGATTTACCTTTTGATTTTTAATTGTATAATATTATTAGTAATTAGTATAATTATGAGATAATTAGTTAAATTATTGAGTGGGAAGATAAAATTATTATGATACAATAAATAAAAATATTTAATGATTTACAACTTGAATATAATATTTATTTTTCTTTTGAAGGTAACCATATACTTTTTTATTCGTAATTGTATAATATTATTAGTAAGTAGTATAATTACGACATAATTAATTAAATCATTGAGTGATAAGATAAAATTATAATGAAATAATAAATAAAAATATTTAATAGTTTGTAACGTGAATGCTCTATGATTATAATTCTTTTAAGTAAGCATCGAAATTGTCTTCTTAATTATTAGTATTGGTTATTTAAAATGCATTAGTTTTTGTTCCTTGACTACATAAATTTGCAAATAAAGAGTATATTAATTGTAGAAATATTTTTGTAACTCTATTTTATTGGATGTTTCTTTATTTGATCTATTATATACCTTATACTTAGATTTTTTAACCAAACTTTAATCAATTTGTTAGGAGAAGAAAGAAGAAGAAAAAGAGTTCCTCAAAAGATCAAAATCCAATGTGCTTAACACGACCATCGTCTCCTCGAGTCCCAGGATTATTATTTTTGTTTGAGCAAATCATAGGATCATCTATTGTACATTTATAATTATCTATATATCCCTGTTTCCTGGTATAAGAAATAATGCTTAGGTATAAATCCCATGTTGGACAAAATTTAAGTGGTTGTGTATTGTAGATACCTGGCATATATCTCTTTTAAATCATCTCAAATTTGGTGCTTAAAAAATAATATACATATATAGCCTGCAGTTTTTTTAATCCATTAATCCATTTCTCTAAAAAACGACAACGTTGTCCCATTGCCTAGTGCGCTCCACGTTCTCCATTTAAAGCTCCGTTTGTTTGATGAAAAATAATTTTTAGTAAGAAAATCAATTCTGAGGAAGCTATTTTCTAGGAACTTGTTTTCTCAAAAAATATTTTTCAATATTTGGCAGTTGAATGAAAAAACTGTTGAAAAATATTTTTCAGTGTTTGTTTAATACAGAAAATAATTGTTAGATCAATAAGTTTTGAAAGAATTTCAACAAAGCATATTGACAATCTTATAAATTTAAACTAATAAATAATAATGTGATATTTTGTAGAATTAATTTCAACAAGGCATACAAAAATTATTTGAACTTTTTTTAACATGTTCCTATTGATATTTATTAGTAGAATTAATTTTAAAATGTTTTTACTGCCAATTGATTCCCAAATGAAATATGGATATTATTTTTTTTCTCAAATAAAATAAAATATCATGGATATAGTTTTACTGAGGAATATATGCATAAACATTTCGTGAATAATTTCCCTATTTTTATGTAATAAGACAAGTTAATTTCACTTTCTCTTTGTGCAAAAGGCAAGTTTTTCTGTTATATGTATAAACTTATGCTGCTCCACTACTGACATCATGAACATGGTGGTCCTGAAGTTGGGTTGTGGTTATCTATCAAAAAATAGGCAATTAATTATATTTAATCTTCTCTTTCAGTTTAATTTTCAAAGGAATTGGGTTTTTTTTTTTTTTTCATAAGTTCCAATTGAACTTTGTTTTCCACCTCACGGGTTTGGGATTTTGAGTTAATGAAATATATATAGCTTCATATATAAAAGAAAAGGAAAAGTGAAACAGTACGTATAGTGGTCAGCCAACTCCAATGGAAATCACAAATTCTCACACGAATTCATGAACATAGACAGCAAAATCACTACATTAAATGAGAACAAATCATTGGCAGCATGGCTAGCCTGAATGAATGAAATTCTCATGGAAGCTAGCCAAAGGTCCATTGCTAGGTTGTCTAACCAATGGATTTGTTGCACCTGAGTTTGCTGCAATAGCTAACAGATGCCTCTGATGATCAGCCAACTCCATACTCAAGGTTTTTGTCAATGATGATGCTGAGTTGATGGAATCCTGCATTTAACACAATAAAAAAAGGGAATAAGATAATGCCGCAAATATGGAAGAAACAGATAGCATAAAACTGACAGAGAAGGACCATTGCAGCACATCCATTTTCTTTGACTTGCAATACTATAAAATGTGTGGGTTTGGGTGAGAACGGGACAGCAGCTCTGGATATGGAAAATGTTTTTCCGTTTTTTTTTTTTTGGGAAGTCAGTTTCCCAGAGTTTGCCTTTCAATTTTCCTTGACTGGAAAATACTTTTCTTTGACTTTTTTCCAATGGCCAAACAAACATGGGAAAACGGGGAAAGCAAGTTCCAGGAACTTGTTTCCCTGACACAAACGCAGCCTAAATTCCCTCTTTCTTCCCAAAACTCTACAAAATTCCCTCCCCCCCCCCCCCCACATTTTCCTCCCTCTCTCAGCTACCTTTGAAATGGCAAACAAGCTCAAAGTAGACGAGCTTCGGGCCGAGCTCGCAAAACGTGGACTCAGTAACACCGGAACCAAGCCTTCTCTGGTTCCTCCTCTCCTCAAGTTTTTACATTTTGCCGTTTGAACGTCTCAAAAACTATACATGAAAAAATTGTATAAAATTGTTGTGTTTTTTTTTTTTTCAGGTACGGAGACTGGAGTCGGCACTCAAGCAAGAAAACAAGCAGTCAGCAGCAGGCTTGATCGATGTTGGATGTAGTAACAAGACAAGAGAAAGGGAGTCTGAAGATGGAGGAGAAGATTCTAATAATGGACCAGAGAAAATCAAGGGTACTGACAAGTTTCGGGACATGAATGTCAAGCAATTACGAGAGCAGGCCAGGCTTCTGGGAGTTTCCACTGCCGGAACCAAGAATAAATTACTTGACAGGCTCTGTAACGCTGAACCAGACAATTACCATTCACTTCAACGTACTACTCAAAACTTCACATTGTTTATAGGTTTTATTAGGAGTTATTGGAGGCCAACATTATTTGTTTCTGGAAATTGACATTGTTTATGTGTGTATGTGGGTCTAAATTCAATGGGTTTTTTTTTTATTAATTTCTGTTTTGTGAAATTGGAAAAATAATTTTTTTTAAATGATTGTGGTGCCAGCAATAGAAGAAGAAGAGCAAGAACAAGGTGAAAAGGAAAAGGAGAAAATTGTAACTGCAACGAGAAAGGGCGCAGCGGTGCTAGATCAGTACCTTTCTGATCAGATAAAGTCAGAGTATCATGTTTTGCAAATAGTGAGTCTTTAGCATTTTTTATTAGGATCATTTAATTGCAGTTGTGTGCGACTGTGCGTTAAGTATCTTTGGTTTCGATGATTTTGTTAGTGTTGTGCTGGCAATGAATCGAGCTTCTCTCGTTTTTTTCTCTTCTTTTTGGGGGATGATGCAGGGTGATGATGTTTATGATGCAATGCTGAATCAAACAAATGTTGGGGACAACAATAACAAGTTCTATGTGATTCAACTTCTAGGCAAGCTTTCACTTCTGCCCATGTGGCTGTTTAAATTGCCATACCTTAATTTTTCGAGGAACATTAGATTTGCTATAACTGACAATCCTCCCAAATTAGCTCTCGTGTTCTACTTAAGCGAATTAACTTTTAAGGAGCTCCTTTTTTACTGTTTTTTCTTTTTTAATGGCGTATGTGATGGAAAATAGTACGGGAATATGCTTGTCCAAATCTTGAGTTGCATGAATTAGTGCTCCACAAGCAGAAAATGATATATGTTACAATAACATTTATTAATTTCAGACGATTTGCGCTGGTTTTGCTAATATCTACTCCTTTTTCCCTTTTCTTTTCAATGAAAATCTGTTCCCAGAATCTGATGATGGTGGTAGATTTATGGTCTATAATAGATGGGGTAGGGTCGGGGTGAAGGGTCAAGATAAGCTATTTGGTCCCTACACGTCAAGAGATCTTGCTATTTCTGAGTTTGAACAGAAGTTCTACGCCAAGACGAAGAACTGTTGGTCTGAGCGAAAGGAGTTAAAATGTTACCCAAAGTGCTACACTTGGTTGGAAATGGACTACAGTGATCAGGAAAAAGAACCTGCAGCTGTGAGTTTCATCCATACTCTATATCTACCTCTTTTCGGCTAAGTGCATGAGTTATATATTTTGATGATTACAACATTAAAACAACCCTCTTCCTCGTAAGCAAAAGGAGTGGCAATAGAGAAGAGTAAGAAAATGTGTAACAGGAAAACAAGACAATCCTCATTAGTGGAGAGGCAATCTGAATTTTGTTTGCTATAAAAATCAATCTTGGTTTCTTGAGTTCTTTGGCAGAGACGGGTGTCAAATTTAGCGAGGATGTTGATTGGGTGAAACATGGGTGCTCCAGATTTCACCCTAATAATTAAACTTTGCATGCCATGTATTCCACTGCTTTTGAGATACAATCGTTCTGTTTTCAGGTTAAAGAAAAGCCCAACTCTGATATAGCAATTCAACCTCGGGAGACGCAACTTGATTCACGTGTTGCCAAATTTGTCTCTCTTATATGCAATGCTAGTGTGATGAAGCACCAAATGATGGAAATAGGTGGGTTATTCTACCTTTCAATAAATCCAAAAGTAAACCAGATGCTCAATTTGTTTGTTTAAATTTTTAAACGTTGGTAGTACTTCATTGGTGGTTCTTTTATTCTTGAATTTATTACTTCGGTTCTATATGCCTTTTCTTTTAGGTAATTAATGGTCACCTGGGAGGTCACTAATGTATCTTATCTGTGTTATCTTTCAGGATACAATGCTAATAAATTGCTACTTGGTAAACTAAGCAAGTTAACTATATTAAAGGTAAGTTTTTGCTCCATGGATGGAGATAATCTTTGTTATGTGTTTGATTTCATGACATTTTTAACAGAATCTGCTAGTTAGTGCTCATAATTTTAAAATGCCATTGCAATGATTAACTATGTAGAAGACATTCTTTGAGTTGCTAATACACAGAATAATATCACAGTCACGAGAACTACAAATACTTTTAATTGATGAATCAACTTAAAACTAATGTTGGTCTGTCCCACTTTAGATGTTAAGAGTAGCATGGGGTGTAAATTTTTCTTATGATGCTAAGCCTTTTTTCCACTCTGTTTTCAGAGCTCTTATTTCTACTAATATGAGTATTGAAGATAATGTAGATGCATTCTCCAGCAATAACATTTCTTGTTTGGGAGTTAAAGAGTGCTGGATAAGACGAATAACTAAATCTCATAGTTAGTTTGCTTCAATTTGTTTATTTTTTTATTTTTGGTCCTGCCTAGCTATTATGTATCAAAATCTGATGAACCAAGGATGAAGTCAATGCGGTTACTAGCTACTGTGTTTTTGAGGTTTTCAATTGTATGATGCATAATATGGTATCTTTTCTTTTTCTTCAATGTTCCATGGAATATCTAATCAATTAAATTTTCTTTAAATTTATTTAGGGTTATGATGTTCTGAAGAGGATTTCTGATGTAATTGGGACAGCAGATAGAGTAAAACTCGAACAACTAAGTGGGTAAGTACCAAGCACATGGGCTAAATCTTTCACTGTGTATTTTTCCTTTAATTCTGTTTTTATGTTAAGACACTGGAATCTGGCTTGGAAGAAGTTTAAGAAAAGTTTGATTTTTTATTTAATTTATTGCAGAGAATTTTACACTGTCATTCCTCATGATTTTGGATGTAAAAAAATGCGTGAGTCTCTCTCTTTCTTTAGAGAATTTTTATTAAAACATACATTGGTGTTCTCTTATTTTCTAAAAAAGTAGTTCTCAGTAATAGGATAATTTGATCATGGCAGGAGAGTTTGTCATCGATACTCCTCAGAAGTTAAAATGCAAGCTGGAAATGGTAATTCCTTTTCTTTTTCCTTAAATATCTGTTGTTGCTTTTAGCATCAAGTTAGTTAGCTTTGTTAGTATACCTGCAGTCTGCTGATAAGATATTCTACTTACTGTCTTCCTTGGTATTAATCTTAAAGGATTGTGGTGATACAATTGTTAATATGCGGAATACCTTTCTTTCATATATTCTAATAATATATATGCAAGATACAAGGACCTATATATATGGTAAGTAGATCAAACCTACAGTTGTGTGTATATTTCTAATTTAAGAGAAAACTATATAGGAAATATACATGATAGGAAATAGGAAAGAATACAGCTCATTCCCGCTAACGCTCCCCCTCAAGTTGGGGCGTAGATATCACACATGCCCAACTTGGATAGCGAAGTATAGAATGGCCCACTAGCGACACCATGAGTCATAATATCAGCCAACTGATCCGAACTTCTGGTATAAGGAATCTCTATTATGCTAGAATCGAGATTATCTTTGATATAGTTTCGTCAAGTTCAATATGCTTAGTTCGATCATGTTGCACCTGGATTATTAGCAATCTCAATAGCTGCTATGTTATCACAAAACAACACCATAGGCTTCTTTGGACCAAACGCGAGTTCTTCTAAGAGGATTTTCAACCAAGAAAGTTCAGTGATTGCAAGATGCATAGCATGATATTCAGCTTCGCACTTGATAATGAAACCACATTCTGTTTTTTACTTCTCCAACTCACCAAGTTGCCACCAATAAACGATAAATATCCGAAAGTAGATTTTCTATCCAATCTACTACTAGCAAAATCGGAGTCTATATAACCCACAACATCAAGATGTCCATGTTTGGAAAATAAGACACCTTTACCAAGAGCTGATTTTAAATAAGCTAGAATTCGATTTACAGCATTCATGTGTTGATCACTTGGATTGTGCATAAACCGACTCACAATGCTAACCGCATATGCTAAATCCGGCCTTGTGTGAATTAAATAGATCAACTTTCCTACTATCTTTTGATATCTCTCCTTGTTTGCTGGAATTTGATTAGGATAAATAGACAAGCCATGATTTACCTCAATAGGAGTATTTATAGGCTCACAAGCGAGTTACCGGTTTCGGTGAAGAGATCTAGAGTATACTTCCTTTGGGAAAGAAACAGGCCTTGCTTAAATCGAGAGACTTCAATGCCTAGGAAGTATTTAAGAAGCCCCAAATCCTTTATCTCGAATTCTTTGGTTAAATAGCTTCGAAGTTTCTCAATCTCATCTCTCGTTATTGCCTCGTTACAATCATATCATCAATATAAACAAGAAGCAAGGTAATATCATTATGATCCCGTTTATAGAACAAGGTATGATCTCGCCAAGGCTTGCTTGAATCAATACTCCTTCATTGCATGACTCAACCTCCCAAACCATGCCCTTGGTGATTGCTTTAATCCATATAATGTTTTTTTTAGTTTGCATACCTTTCCTTCTTTCGATGTAAATCCCGGGGGTGGATCCATAATTACTTCCTCCGTCGGATCACCATAAAGGAAAGCATTCTTCACCTCAAACTGTCGTAGAGGCTAGTCCAAATTAACTGCAAGTAAGAGTATGACATGAACAGTATTCATCTTAGCAATCGGTGCAAAAGTCTCTTGATAGTCAATACCATAGGTTTGGGTATAGCCTTTTGTGACCAGCCTACCTTTGTATCTTTCCATCGTCCCATTTGGCTTGTATTTAACGAGTGTATACCCATTTGCACCCCACAATCTTTTTTTCCATCGGTAAATCGACCATTTCCTAAGTAGAATTCTTTTGGAGAGCCATCATTTCATCTACCTTTGCATTGCATCATTCCACTTAGGATTTTTGAGGGCTTCCCGAAAATGACTAGGAATAGATACAGAAGACAACCGAAGAGCAAATGTTAAGTTAGTTTTAGACAAACGATGATAGGATATAAAATCGGAGATCGAGTAAACAACATTGGAGGTTTTTGAGAAATCGAATCTATCGCTTGCTTTTCTTTCACGAAGAGGATATCTCCTATTCCGATCAATATTAGAATTGAGATTGGAATTTTCGGGAGATTCGAAAGAATAAATGCATACCTCGAGTGTCGGTCTTAGAAGATTCATCCAATGTCACAGTAGTATCATCAAGGGAGACACTAGAATTAGGAGGCGAACAATGATATCTTCCTTTCTCCTAGAATATCCCTTCTCAAAGAAATATTCTGGTCTCTCAAGTCTCTCATCATCCGGTTCAATTTTATTTTCCTTAACAAAAGGATCATCTAAAACTAAGGATTCCCTATTTATCTTAATGTTATCCGTACCCGAGGTCCATATGTGTTTTTATCTTAACCATAGTTGTCCCTCTTCTTTACTACCAATTTCCCTCTAAAGAGGAATCATAGATATATCGCCGTAAAAATAAGATTCATTTTCACGGAATTGAACATCAATCGACACATAATAGGTTCCTGTGGGAGGATGAAAACATTTGTATCCTTTTTGTGAATTAGAATAGCCAAGGAACACACATTTGATAGCACAGGGATCAAGTTTATCGCTATGAAGAGAATAAATATGAACATAGCATACACAATAAAAAATCTTAGGACAACTATTAAGAGCGAGATCGAATAGGATGAAATCTAGATAACATCCTTAAAGGAGTTTGAAAATCAAGAATCCTAGCAGGCATTCGATTGATAAAAAAACAACAGTCATGACGACTTCAATTCAAAAACGTTTTGGAACATGCATAGTAAAACATAAGGCTCAAGCCACTTCAAAGAGATGACAATTCTTACATTCCGCCATGCCATTTTGTTGGGGTGTGTAAACACAAGTTGTTTGGAAAAGAATGTCATGTTGTGTCATAAACTTAGCAAGAGATTGATTCACAAACTCAAGACCATTGTCGAATAAAAAACTTTAATTTTAGTGTTAAATTAGGTGAGAATCATGTTGTAAAACTAAGAAATAATATGAGAAATATCACTCTTAAATTTCATCAAATATACCAAACCGACCCCTAGTACAGCTCATCAATAAAAGAGATAAAATACTTATGTCCCGAAGTAGAAGTAATGAAAGGACCCCATACATCGATATGAACACATGAAAAAGGAATAGTGCTTTTATTAAAACCGACTTTAAAAGAAACACGATGGTTTTTAGCATAAATGCATTGTTCACACTTTAAACTAGAAATAGAAATGTTGGAAAATAATTGAGGAAACAATCGCTTTAAATAAGAAAAAGATGGATGTCCCAACCAAAAATGCCAAAGCATAATTCTCTCTCTATCGATTTTTCTCTCTTTGTTTGAAAGCCACGAGGAGGTGCTACTACGCCTCAATTGTCCTCCAAATAATACGGACCATCCCTCTCTTTACCAATGCTAATCGTCATCTTCGTAAGATTGTCCCGAAACACACAATGAGTATGGTGAAAAATGACAGAACAATTTAGATTTTTTGTTATCTTGCTAATGGAAAGAAGGTTGTTTGAAAGTCTATGTGCAAGTAGAAAAGAGGACATAGAAAATGTCGGAGAAAGAGACACATTTTCAGCCCTCGTGATTGGCATAGAGTTCCTATTAGCAATCTATACGTGACTTAATTGGTGGAGATTTTAGGAAATTAAGGATAGAAGAGTTACTAGTCATATGATCGGTGGCCCTTAAATCAATAATCCAAGTATTAGGACAAGTAGAAATAATGGATAAACCAAAATTACCTTATTGGGAAGATGTCCGAGATACATGAGAAGCGAGAAGATGGAATAGTATCTATGGCAAGTGGCATTCCGAGTAGAACTTCGTTTTTCCTCTCAGCTTGCTTCGAGTTTATGCCATTTTGGATAGCCATGCTTCTTCCGAAGAAACATCAATTGTATGTGTATTCTTATGACGAGTAGGTGTAAAATCGAGATTGAAAAGTTGTAGAAGTGCTCTTTTGGACGGTTAGAGCTGAAGCTTCGAGTGGATTTCTACCCTCATGGTAACTTGTCGTTGAACTTCTCGATGAACCAAGGAGTAGGCTTCTTCTAATCTCCGTAGAGGAGAAGTAGCTAGAACACGACTACTAACTTGATCTAAATTATGATCAAGACCGGTAAGAAAAATATAGACCTCGCCTTCGCCATACGTTTGCTGTATTTTTCTATATCAGCAGCACATGTCATATCATTGGGCCTTCGATAATCAATCTTCATAAAAATTGAGTTTAATTCATTGTAATATTCAGCTAAAGGCCGGCCACCTTGACGTGATTGGAAAGACTTCTTCATGAGTTCATAAACTTGAGAAGAATCGGATGCATCAAGGTAACTTCTTTTCACAAGCATCTCGGACTCCTTTTGCTATGCCACACCGCACAAAGTGTGACATTAGATTATTGCTCATTGAATGAATGAGCTAAGATTTGACAAGTGCATCTTCGACCTCCCATTCATCATAGCCTGGATCATCTTCTCACGGTGCAGCCTTCTTTCCATTGATATAACCCTTCTTTTCTTCCAAGCAATATGCATCTCCAAGATCTTAGATCGGACCCGATAGTTAGCACCATCCAATTTAATATGGATGGATGAAGGAGCATCGTGATCGATTATGGTGGAGGTTTTCCTGCTGTCGGTATTTACAACCTTAGGTTTGGTAGACACACCGAGGTGTGGCTAGTGTTTTAGGGAAGAAAGGAGCAATGAATCGTGGCTAGGGTTTTGAAAAAAAGGAAAAAGAGCAGCTACAGCTAGAGTACAAGGCTCGATACCAAATTGTTAATATGCGGAATACCTTTTTTTCATATATTCTAATCATATATATACCGGATACAAGGACCTATACATGGTAAGTAGATCAAACCTACAGCTGTGTGTATATTTCTAATTTAAGAGAAAACTATATAGAAAATATACATGATAGGAAATAGGAAAGAATATAGCTTATTCCTCGCTAATCGATATCGATACCATCTATCATGCTTATAGATGTATTATCTTGACTAAAGCCTGTTGGTGAGGTTTTGTATGGAAATTGGTTTTATTTCATTAACTTATAAAAGGTCTCCTCAGCTCGCTGTTCATAATTCAGGTAGGATCGCTAAGCGAGATTGAAGTTGCAACAAAGTTGTTGGAGGATGAACCTAGAATGCAGGTATCTTTTAGGTATTCTTAGTTCCTGTAAATTCTTTGCGTTTTGCAAAATATTCCGAATCTCAATTTGTATTTAATAATAATCTTATTAATATATGAAAATAGAAGAACTATCCAAACTTATTCCCTTTTTTAGTTTATAATAACAATAAATAGATGCAAATAGAAAATAATCCAAACTTGTTCTAGCCACTCAATTAATGTGGTTTATTATCGATTCCCAAGACTTCAAAATCGATGTGCTGCTGGATTTTGTTTGCATGTTCAGGTTTTTTCTGATATATTTTTTTCAAAAAAATTCAAGAAAACAAAAGCTACCTCCATTTATGAATTGTATCACATCATATTCACCATTTTACCATTTTTATTTATTTATGAAATCACCATTTTCTTTCTGATGTTGCAAGTGGTGTATTCATGAGTTACCCACTATCTTCTTCTCTCTTTTGTTTAATACTCGTGCACATTGCTCTCAAGTATTCTGATGCAAAGTTTGTATGATTTTTTGTAGGAAGATCCCTTGTATTCTCATTACAACCGGCTACATTGTGAATTGACTCCAGTTGAAGTTGATTCTAAGGAATTTTCCATGGTATTCTCAGTAACACAATTTTAGAATTTAACCAACTTAAGCTCTTCTATTTTTGTTTGACCATTGTTGTTTTTTTTTTGTGGGGGGGGGGGTTGGCGGAGGGAGAGACGATTGAGGTGCAGTAGTGGCATCTGGAGTCATTTTCAATCCCCTTTTGATTACTCTATCTAAAAAATCCACCCTAAAATTGCAATAAAAGCATTGTGTTGTGCCTTTTTTTGAAAAAAAAATTCTTTTAACATTTTGCTTGATAACTGACACTGTCCTATCCATGGCAAGATTGCCATGTATTTGCAGAATACACATGCAAAAACACATTCACAGTATACTGTTAATATAACTCAAATATTCAGGGTCTCAAGAGACGGTGAAAATGAACGCTTCAAAAAGGTAACAATGCATTTTCTAGTCAGATAAGTCGTCACCATCATCAAATAATCTGGTCTTTTTGGGTAAGAAAAAGCTACCCATTACCAAAGTAACGTCTTTGGAGGGAGAATATACAGACAATTTACTCTGTGGCAATTTTCTTGAAATATCTATTCTCGAAACTTGAATTTGTGCTGTCATGGTTGTAAGCTTAAGATTACATGATCTTTAAAGAGACGCATGTGTGCATGAAGTGTTGTTGTTCTGGACATCTAACAGTTAGAAAATGTTCATAGTTGGTTCACTTTCACTCCTGCAAGCAATTTTTAAGCTGTTGTAACATAATGTCATTTAACTCTTGTGAGCAGTTCTCTAATACAGAAAATAGAATGCTTTTATGGCACGGCTCACGCCTCACAAACTGGATTGGCATTCTATCCCAAGGTCATCCTTTCGTGCTATTGTTTTTCTGAATATCTGCATTGTATATGCTGTGCTATTGCATCCGCTTTAATTGCGTCCATGCATGGGTGTCCTATGAATTTCCTGTCAATAACTGCAAAGTGCAACTTCTGCCTTGAAAACCACCAGGCTTGCGTATTGCTCCCCCTGAAGCACCAGTAACAGGTTGCATGTTTGGAAAGGGAGTTTACTTTGCTGATATGTTCTCCAATAGTGCCAATTATTGCTATGCAACTAGTGCTGCTCCTGCTGGTGTGCTGCTTCTGTGTGAGGTATGGTTATGTTAGAAAGCCACCTTAGAATGTGATCGGATTAAAAAACAACTTCTAGTGGCTAGATCAGATCAGATGTATACAGATGTTGTAGAACAGACTATTCTTGCTCAACATGTAGACATTTTCCAACCAGTGGTCTGCTTCTTGAATTCACAAGAAACTAGCGTTCTTGAAATTCACAAGCATAGAGAAATCTAAAACAACATGTTTTCATTTATTAAAATAGCCTCCAAATAAATAGAAAATGTGTGCTTATATCTGCGCATCAGAACCCCTTAAAGAGTCCTAAAACATTTTAGGTAATATAATCTCTACTAAAAACAAAAATAAAAAAATCCTATTTGCAATGAGCTTTGGAATAATTGTAAACTAGAAAACGCCTAAGACAATAGCACAATTGTAAGGCTAGTCAAATTTACAAATAAAACTTCTATGATCCCTGTTCTGACTGCATCTATTTCTTTTGAATAATTGAACATTCTCATAGAACTGTTGGATCATGTATTTTTAGGTTGCTCTTGGAGACATGGCTGAGCTATTACAGGCAAAATATGATGCTGATAAGTTGCCATCGGGGAAGCTAAGGTCTGTTTTGTTTTTGTGTTGTATTTGAAAGTTTTCTTCCTGCTTATCTGGTTGCTCTATGTGTATATAGTTATATTGAAGAGATGAAATGAAATTGCATGATGGAACTGTTAGGTGTTGCATCTGCACGACTGATGAGACTCGTCTCTTTACCCATCCATAGGATCTACATGCCTTAAAACATTCAAATTTCTACCAGATTCTAGTCCATGCTTTTTAGTCATCAAGGTGAAATGTTCTGCCAGCATAAATTTGAAGTTGCAGTTTGTGTGATAGTCTGTGAAGAGACATTGCCATTTATAATTAGTGTCATTCTCTTCCCTTTTACAACAGAGTTCTATTGCATTCCACTAGAACATGGTTGATGTGAATTATTTTTTCTTCTCATACTTGGGAGATTAATGCAAAGTTAATATAGTCTAAACTTAATTATTGCAGCACGAAAGGAGTTGGTGGAACTGCTCCGGATATTTCAGATGCTAAGGTACTGGATGATGGTGTTGTTGTTCCCCTTGGGAAACCCAAACAGCAACGAGGCTCAAAGGTAGTACAAATTATGGTTGTGTGCATACAAAGCACTCACCGACTCATAGACATATTAGCACATATGACTGTTAATCTCTGTACTATAACTGTTGTTTTTTTTTCCTCCAAGATTTATTGTTGAAATCTAATTTGAAAACATTTTGCAGGGTTCTTTGTTGTACAATGAGTACATAGTCTACAATGTGGATCAGATTAGGATGCGATATGTGGTCCAAGTGAATTTTAAATACAAGCATTGATAGCGTTAGTTTGATCTTACATTTTTGTTCTCGGATTTGTTCGGCTATGTATTTACCTTACAGATTTTTCTAATTGGAAATTGCCCTCAACCATGTGTATTTATGAGTAGTGGAAGTGGATGGAGGGGGTTAGAAAAGAAGGTCAGCGCTTGAATTTATGGCATTATGCTACAAGAAGACGAGTGTGCGTATATGTTTGCCAACTGAAGGGAAGCTAAAAGCTTATGCTTCCAAGATGTCTACAATTCTGCTGGTGAACTTCAGAGAGTTATTTCAACGGTGTGGCTAAACTCTAATCAGCTAGAGACAAGTGCTGACGGGGGAGCCGAGGAGGTTGATAAAAATATATTTTTATTACTTTTTATGGGTCTAGATATGACTTTCTGTGTCCATCCCTCGCTTAAGTATTTACTCTTAAGTACCATAACATTCTTCTTCTTCTCAGAAGGTTGTTGCCAGGTTCCTACAAACATTCTGCTTTAGGAAAATGAGTCGACATGTATGTGAATATTAGACGTTACTTTTCTAATTGAAGATTAGAAATTGTATATAAGCATACACTTCAAAGATTGGTAGTCAGGGATTCAGTTGCCAAACTCAGGCGGCATCGTAGAACATTAATTAGCTATAGAAATTGGAACTGATTTATTTTGCCACCCTTGTTTGACCTTCCCTTGATTTAAAATTTGACCATAAATTTTATCTCGCATGGTTGTTCAGTCTTAAATGTGCAAAGGTAGGAAAAAGCAGGGCTACATATAGAGAGAGAGAAAAGTGCTCCATTACTTGCTTCATCATATAGTTGAAGGGTAGTAATTTGTTTGCGTACTACACGAAGTCAATGAAAAGAAGATGTACAGAGGGTGAGTTCAGTCAGGTTGCCATGTCCGCTGCTGCACTGCCAATTCTGAAATTAATCAGGCTTAAAATTTCACACACTCAATGATCCCAACAGAAGCTTGTTCCTGCTATTGCCTATTTTTTGGAACGTCACCAGCTTAAAATTAACGAGGCATGTTCCTTATACAATGGATATTTAACGAAGAATGTTATGAAATAATAAATGTCCATCATCATGTTCATCTATTTTTTATATCCCCCACTATTCATGATTCTTAATATGATTCAATTCATCAATAAATATGAAAAATTGAAAAGGTTGTACAATTGATTATTCATAATCTCTTTCAATTCCCTTCTCAAATTTGAAGTCTATAAATAATAAGTTTAATTGTTCATTAGTTAATGTATAAGTTTTCTAGAGAGAATGAGAGAAACTTTAAAGTTCTTATCATCTTTTTGTCATCATTTTTTTCAATTCTCTTATTATTTTTATTTCTTTTATAACAATATATTAATTGTAGAAATATTTTTATAACTCTATTTTATTGGATATTTCTTTAATTTGATCTATTATATATCTTATACTTAGATTTTTTAACCAAACTTTAATCAATTTGTTAGGAGAAGGAAGAAGAAGAAAAAGAGTTCCTCAAAAGATCAACATCCAATGTGCTTAACACGACCGTCGTCTCCTCCAGTCCCAGGATTATTATTTTTGTTTGAGCAAATCATAGGATCATCGATTGTACATTTATAATTACCTATATATCCCTGTTTCCTGGTATAAAAAATAATGCTCAGGTATAAATCCCATGTTGGACAAAATTTAAGTGGTTGTGTATTGTAGATACCTGGCATATATCTCTTTTAAATCATCTCAAATTTGGTGCTTAAAAAATAATATATATATATATACTGCAGTTTTTTTAATTCATGAAAAATTTACATAATAACAAAATAAAATAAAATTATCAATTATTATAGTTTTGTTTAGTGAAACAGAATTGATAGTTTTATATACAGCATATATAAGTTTTCAACAATTCTTTCTGAAGTGCTTTACTTTTTTTCTGTAAAATATTTGGGTGGTAGCTTTTGGTTATTATTATTGTTTACATAAATGCATGCAAATATTTTCCTAATTTGTTTTTTCATAACATATTTTACCGAGAAATTATTAAAAAATATATATTCTTTTCATTCGCAAAATTGAACTGCTCCTAAACCGCAGTGGGGCCATGCTCGTTCAAGAGTAAAAGTAAACAGATAAAGAAGTCGCGCCATTATCGTGCTCTGAAAGCTTCTTAGAATTAAGAAAGATTCTCCTTAAAATTCCATTTGTCTAAAAAACGACAACGTTTTCTCATTGCCTAGTGCGCTCCACGTTCTCCCTTTAAATTCCCTCTTTCTTCCCAGAACTCTTCAAAATTCCTCTCCCCCCTCTTAATCTTCCTCCCTCTCTCAGCTACCTTTGAAATGGCAAACAAGCTCAAAGTTGACGAGCTTCGGGCCGAGCTCGCAAAACGTGGACTCAGTAACACCGGAACCAAGCCTTATCTGGTTCATCCTCTCCTCAAGTTTTTACATTTTGCCGTTTGAACGTCTCAAAAACTATACATGAAAAAATTGTATAAAATTATTGTGTTTTTTTTTCAGGTACGGAGACTGGAGTCGGCACTCAAGCAAGAAAACAAGCAGTCAGCAGCAGGCTTGATCGATGTTGGAGGCGGTAACAAGAAAAGAGAAAGGGAGTCTGAAGATGGAGGAGAAGATTCTAATAATGGACCAGAGAAAATCAAGGCTACTGACAAGTTTCGGGACATGAATGTCAAGCAATTACGAGAACAGGCCAGGCTTCTGGGAGTTTCCACTGCCGGAACCAAGAATAAATTACTTGACAGGCTCTGTAACGCTGAACCAGACAATCACCATTCACTTCAACGTACTACTCAAAACTTCACATTGTTTATTTATTTATTACTGGGTTTTATTAGGAGTTATTAGAGGCCAACATTATTTGTTTCTGGAAATTGACATTGATTATGTGTGTATGTGGGTCTAAATTGAATGGGTTTTTTTTTATTAATTTCTGTTTTGTGAAATAGGAAAAATAATTTTTTTTTAAATGATTGTGGTGCCAGCAATAGAAGAAGAAGAGCAAGAACAAGGTGAAAAGGAAAAGGAGAAAATTGTAACTGCAACGAGAAAGGGCTCAGCGGTGCTAGATCAGTACCTTTCTGATCAGATGAAGTCAGAGTATCATGTTTTGCAAATAGTGAGTCTTGTAGCAGTTTTTTCTAGGATCATTTAATTGCAGTTGTGTGCGACTGCGCGTTAAGTATCTTTGGTTTCGATGATTTTGTTAGTGTTGTGCCAGCAATGAATCGAGCTTCTCTCGTTTTTTTCTCTTCTTTTTGGGGGGTGATGCAGGGTGATGATGTTTATGATGCAATGCTGAATCAAACAAATGTTGGGGACAACAATAACAAGTTCTATGTGATTCAACTTCTAGGCAAGCTTTCACTTCTGCCCATGTGGCTGTTTAAATTGCCATACCTTAATTTTTCGAGGAACATTAGATTTGCTATAACTGACAATCCTCCCAAATTAGCTCTCGTGTTCTACTTAAGTGAATTAACTTTTAAGGAGCTCCTTTTTTACTGTTTTTTTTTTTTAATGGCGTATGCGATGGAAAATAGTACGGGAATATGCTTGTCCAAATCTTGAGTTGCATGGATTAGTGTTCCACAAGCAGAAAATGATATACGTTACAGTAACATTAATTAATTTCAGACGATTTGTGCTGGTTTTGCTAATATCTACTCCTTTTTCCCTTTTCTTTTCAATGAAAATCTGTTCCCAGAATCTGATGATGGTGGCAGATTTATGGTCTATAATAGATGGGGTAGGGTTGGGGTGAAGGGTCAAGATAAGCTATTTGGTCCCTACACTTCACGAGATCCTGCTGTTTCTGAGTTTGAACAGAAGTTCTACGCCAAGACAAAGAACTGTTGGTCTGAGCGAAAGGAGTTCAAATGTTACCCGAAGTGCTACGCTTGGTTGGAAATGGACTACAGTGATCAGGAAAAAGAACCTGCAGCTGTGAGTTTCATCCATACTCTATATCTACCTCTTTTCAGCTAAGTGCATGAGTTATGTATTTTGATGATTACAACATTAAATTAAGCAACCCTCTTCCTCATAAGGAAAACGGGTGGCAATAGAGAAGAGTAAGAAAATGTGTAACGGGAAAACAAGACAATCCTTATTAGTGGAAAGGCAATCTGAATTTTGTTTGCTATAATAATCAATCTTGGTTTCTTGAGTTCTTTGGCAGAGAGGGGTGTCAAATTTAGCGAGGATGTTGAGTGGGTGAAACAAGGGCGCTCCAGATTTCACCCTAATAATTAAACTTTGCATGCCATGTAGTCCACTGCTTTTGAGATACTATTGTTCTGTTTTCAGGTTAAAGAAAAGCCCAACTCTGCTATAGCAATTCAACCTCGGGAGACGCAACTTGAGTCACGTGTTGCCAAATTTGTCTCTCTTATATGCAATGTTAGTATGATGAAGCAGCAAATGATGGAAATAGGTGGGTTATTCTACCTTTCACTAAAATCCAAAAGTAAACCAGATGCTCAATTTGTTTGTTTAAATTTTTAGACATTGGTAGTACTTCATTGGTGGTTCTTTTACTCTTGAGTTTATTACTTCGATTCTATATGCCTTTTCCTTTAGTTAATTAATGGTCACCTGGGAGGTCACTAATATATCTTATCTGTCTTATCTTTCAGGATACAATGCTAATAAATTGCCACTTGGTAAGCTAAGCAAGTTAACTATATTAAAGGTAAGTTTTTGCTCCATGGATGGAGATAATCATTGTTATGCGTTTGATTTCATGATGCTTTTAACAGAATCTGCTAGTTAGTGCTCATAATTTTAAAATACCATTGCAATGATTAACTATGTAGAAGACATGCTTTAAGTTACTAATACAGAGAATGATATCACAGTCACAAGAACTACAAATACTTTTAATTGATGAATGAACTTAAAACTAATTTTGGTCTGTCCCGCTTTAGATGTTAAGAGCAGCATGGGGTGTAAATTTTTCTTATGATGCAAAGCCTTTTTTCCACTCTGTTTTCAGAGCTCTTATTTCTAGTAATATGAGTATTGAAGATAATATAGATGCATTCTCTGGGAATAACATTTCTTGTTTGGGAGTTAAGAGTGCTGGATAAGACGAATAACTAAAACTCTGATAGAGACTGTTGTTTGAATAGTAGAAAGCAGAGAAGTGCGAATGGTGGAAGAAGTAAATACAGTAGAGATTGGAGGCAAGTGGGAATGTTGTATTAAATCGAATAACAATGGCAGTACATAATGGAGGACGATTCGAGAGGTCCCTTTTCTCTCCTCAGACGAAAACGTCTACTTCCTACCAATTCCCTACTTTTCTGAATGCCCTCATATTCCCCACCTCTCTCTCTTTTATTCACAGCTGCTGCCATAACAGAAAAGGCCAGCTCAGCACAACAGACACAAACACACACCATACGCACACCAATTTCCCCCTACTAACGACAACGACACCAAACAACTAACTCGTAATTAATTTGCTGCAGCCACTAATGGTTGGCCTTCAGATTCCTTTTTGCCTTTCTTCTGGAATAAACCATTGGATAGGGAGTCACTGGGCTTGGGCTTGTCACTGGGCTTAGGTTCGTATCAAACTCATAGTTAGTTGGCTTCAATTTGTTTATTTTTGGTCCTGCCTAGCTATTGTGTATCAGAATCTGATGAACCAAGGATGAAGTCAATGCAGTTACTGGCTACTGTGTTTTGAGGTTTTCAATTGTATGATGCATAATATGGTATCTTTTCTTTTTCTTCAATGTTCCATGGAATATCTAATCAATTAAATTTTCTTTAAATTTATTTAGGGTTATGATGTTCTGAAGAGGATTTCTGATGTAATTGGGACAGCAGATAGATTAAAACTTGAACAACTAAGTGGGTAAGTACAAGCACATGGGCTGCATCTTTCACTGTGTATTTTTCCTTTAATTCTGTTTTTTTGTTAAGACACTGGACTCTGGCTTGGAAGAAGTTTAGGAAAGTTTGATTTTTTTGTTTAATTTATTGCAGAGAATTTTACACTGTCATTCCTCATGATTTTGGATTTAAAAAAATGAGTGAGTCTCTCTCTTTCTTTAGAGAATTGTTATTAAACCATAGATTGGTGTTCTTTATCTTATTTTCTAAAAAAGTAGTTCTCAGTAGTAGGATAAATTGATTATGGCAGGAGAGTTTGTTATTGATACTCCTCAGAAGTTAAAATGCAAGCTGGAAATGGTAATTTCTTTTCTTTTTCCTCAAATATCTGTTGTTGCTTTTAACATCAAGTCAGTTAGGTTTGTTAGTATACCTGCAGTCTGCTGATAAGATATTCTACCTACTGTCTTCCTTGGTATTAATCTTAAAGGATTTTCGTGATAGTGATACCATCTATCATGCTTATAGATATATTATCTTGACTAAAGCCTATTGGTGAGGTTTTGTATGGAAATTGGTTTTATTTCATTAAATTATAAGAGGACTCCTCAGCTCCCTGTTCATAATTGCAGGTAGAATCGCTAAGTGAGATTGAAGTTGCAACAAAGTTGTTGGAGGATGAACCTGGAATGCAGGTATCTTTTAGGTTCTTAGTTCCTGTAAATTCTTTGCGTTTTGCAAAATGTTCTGAATCTCAATTTGTATTTAATAATAATCTTATTAATATATGAAAATAGAACTATCCAAACTTATTGCCTTTTTTAGTTTATAATAACAATCTATAGATGCAAATAGAAAATGATCCAAACTTGCTCTAGCCACTCAATTACTGTGGTTCATTATCATTCACAGGACTTCAAAATCGACGTGCTGCTGGATTTTGTTTGCCTGTTCATGTTTCTTCTGATATATTTCTTTTTCAAAAAAATTCAAGAAAACAAAAGCTACCTCCATTTATGAATTGTATCACATCATATTTCACCATTTCTTTCTTCTTCTTTTTTTATGAAATCACCGTTTTCTTTCTGATGTTGCAAGTGGTGTATTCATGAGTTGCTCACTATCTTCTTCTCTCTTTTGTTTAATACTAGCACACAATGCTCTATTCTGATGCAAAGTTTGTATGATTTTTTGTAGGAAGATCCCTTGTATTCTCATTACAACCGGCTACATTGTGAATTGACTCCAGTTGAAGTTGATTCTAAGGAATTTTACATGGTATTTCTCAGTAACACAATTTTAGAATTTAACCAACTTAAGCTCTTCCATTTTTTTGTTTAGCTGTTGTTGTTTTTTTTTTTTTTTTGGGGTGGGGGTGGGGGGGGGGGGAGTGGCGGAGGGAGAGACGATTGAGGTGCAGGAGTGGCATCTGGAGTCATTTTCAATCCCCTTTTGATTACTCTATCTAAAAAATCCACCCTAAAATTGCAATAAAAGCATTGTGTTGTGCCTTTTTAAAAAAAAAAATTCTTTAACATTTTGCTTGATAACTGACATGTCCTATCCATGGCAAGATTGCCATGTATTTGCAGAATACACATGCAAAAACACATTCTCAGTACACTGTTAATATCGCTCAAATATTCAGGGTCTCGAGAGATGGTGAAAATGAACGCTTCAAAAAGGTAACAATGCATTTTCTAGTCAGATAAGTCGTCACCATCATCAAATAATCTGGTCTTTTTGGATAAGAAAAAGCTACCCATTACCAAAGTATTGTCTTTGGAGGGAGAATATACAGACAATTTACTCTGTAGCAATTTTCTTGAAATATCTATTCTCAAAACTTGAATTTGTGCTGTCGTGGTTGTAAGCTTAAGATTACATGATCGTTAAAGAGACGCATGTGTGCATGAAGTGTTGTTGTTCTGGACATCTAACAATTAGAAAATGTTCATAGTTGGTTCACTTTCACTCCTGCAAGCAATTTTTAAGCTGTTGTAAAATAATGTCATTTAACTTTTGTGAGCAGTTCTCTAATACAGAAAATAGAATGCTTTTATGGCACGGCTCGCGCCTCACAAACTGGATTGGCATTCTATCCCAAGGTCATCCTTTCGTGCTTTTGTTTTTCTGAATATCTGATTGTATATGCTGTGCTATTGCATCCGCTGTAATTGTGTCCATGCATGGGTGTCCTATGAATTTCCTGTCAATAACTGCAAAGTGCAACTTCTGCCTTGAAAACCACCAGGCTTGCGTATTGCTCCCCCTGAAGCACCAGTAACTGGTTACATGTTTGGAAAGGGAGTTTACTTTGCTGATATGTTCTCCAAAAGTGCCAATTATTGCTATGCAACTAGTGCTGCTCCTGCTGGTGTGCTGCTTCTGTGTGAGGTATGGTTATGTTAGAAAGCCACCTTAGAATGTGATCGGATTAAAAAACAACTTCTAGTGGCTAGATCAGATCAGATGTATACAGATGTTGTAGAACAGACTATTCTTGCTCAACATGTAGACATTTCTCAACCAGTGGTCTGCTTCTTGAATTCACAAGAAACTAGCATTCTTGAAATTCACAAGCATAGAGAAATCTAAAACAAAATGTTTTCATTTATTAAAATAGCCTCCAAATAAATAGAAAATGTGTGCTTATATCTGCACATCAGAACCCCTTAAAGAGTCCTAAAACATTTTAGGTAATATAATCTCTACTAAAAATAAACATAAAAAAATCCTATTTGCAATGAGCTTTGGAATAATTGTAAACTAGATAACGCCTAAGACAATAGCACAATTGTAAGGCTAGTCAAATTTACAAATAAAACTTCTATGATCCCTGTTCTGACTGCATCTATTTCTTTTGAATAATTGAACATTCTCATAGAACTGTTGGATCATGTATTTTTAGGTTGCTCTTGGAGACATGGCTGAGCTATTACAGGCAAAATATGATGCTGATAAGTTGCCATCGGGGAAGCTAAGGTCTGTTTTGTTTTTGTGTTGTATTTGAAAGTTTTCTTCCTGCTTATCTGGTTGCTCTATGTGTATATAGTTATATTGAAGAGATGAAATAAAATTGCATGATGGAACTGTTAGGTGTTGCATCTGCACGACTGATGAGACTCGTCTCTTTACCCATCCATAGGATCTACATGCCTTAAAACATTCAAATTTCTACCAGATTCTAGTCCATGCTTTTTAGTCATCAAGGTGAAATGTTCTGCCAGCATAAATTTGAAGTTGCAGTTTGTATGACAGTCTGTGAAGCGACATTGCCATTTATAATTAGTGTCATTCTCTTCCCTTTTACAACAGAGTTCTATTGCATTCCACTAGAACATGGTTGATGTGAATTATTTTTTCGTCTCATACTTGGGAGATTAATGCAAAGTTAATATAGTCTAAACTTAATTATTGCAGCACGAAAGGAGTTGGTGGAACTGCTCCGGATATTTCAGATGCTAAGGTACTGGAGGATGGTGTTGTTGTTCCCCTTGGGAAACCCAAACAGCAACGAGGCTCAAAGGTAGTACAAATTATGTTGTGTGCATACAAAGCACTCACCGACTCATAGACATATTAGCACATATGACTGTTAATCTCTGTACTATAACTGTTGTTTTTTTCCTCCAAGATTTATTGTTGAAATCTAATTTGAAAACATTTTGCAGGGTTCTTTGTTGTACAATGAGTACATAGTCTACAATGTGGATCAGATTAGGATGCGATATGTGGTCCAAGTGAATTTTAAATACAAGCATTGATAGCGTTAGTTTGATCTTACATTTTTGTTCTCGGATTTGTTCGGCTATGTATTTACCTTACAGATTTTTCTAATTGGAAATTGCCCTCAACCATGTGTATTTATGAGTAGTGGAAGTGGATGGAGGGGGTAGAAAAGAAGGTAAGTGCTTGAATTTATGGCATTATGCTACAAGAAGACGAGTGTGCGTATATGTTTGCCAACTGAAGGGAAGCTAAAAGCTTATGCTTCCAAGATGTCTACAATTCTGCTGGTGAACTTCAGAGAGTTATTTCAACGTTGTGGCTAAACTCTAATCAGCTAGAGACAAGTGCTGATGGGGGAGCCGAGGAGGTTGATGAAAATATTTTTATTACTTTTTATGGGTCTAGATATGACTTTCTGTGTCCATCCCTCGCTTAAGTATTTACTCTTAAGTACCATAACATTCTTCTTCTTCTCAGAAGGTTGTTGCCAGGTTCCTACAAACATTATGCTTTAGGAAAATGAGTCGACATATATGTGAATATTATATGTTACTTTTCTAATTGAAGATTAGAAATTGTATATAAGCATACACTTCAAAGATTGGTAGTCAGGGATTCAGTTGCCAAACTCAGGCGGCATCGTAGAACTTTAATTAGCTATAGAAATTGGAACTGATTTATTTTGCCACCCTTGTTTGACCTTCCCTTGATTTAAAATTTGACCATAAATTTTATCTCGCATGGTTGTTCAGTCTTAAATGTGCAAAGGTAGGAAAAAGCAGGGCTACATATAGAGAGAGAGAAAAGTGCTCCATTACTTGCTTCATCATATAGTTGAAGGGTAGTAATTTGTTTGCGTACTACACGAAGTCAATGAAAAGAAGATGTACAGAGGGTGAGTTCAGTCAGGTTGCCATGTCTGCCGCTGCACTGCCAATTCTGAAATTAATCGGGCTTAAAATTTCACACACTCATTGATCCCAACAGAAGCTTGTTCCTGCTATTGCCTATTTTTTGGAACGTCACCAGCTTTGTTCATGTTCCTTTTTCCCAAGGCAGAGTCAAACGTATGCATCAAGTGCAGTGGAATTTAGCTGGTTGGGAGTATTATTGAGTTTCAAAAGCACTAGAAAACATATGAGTGTATGACCAAATAAAGCATTTACTGCAACACTACAAGAGCAGGGTGCACACGCTAGCATTTATGTCTAGATTTGATGATGACCTCATGCCAGAATCTATGTTCTTCCTTCACAAGACAAAAATGGTGATTTAAGAGTGACAACAAATCCAACCATTTTCAAAAGGACATTTAAGATCACTTGCTCACTCCATGTATACGGACCTGACCTAGCAAGCTAGCTGGTCTTTAATGTAATGGATGGCCATATATACTTGCACGGTACTACTTCAGGTTTAGCATTAGCATTCTATTAAGTAAAAAATATCATGGCCCAGAAAATAACAAATCTGAATTTCAAAATTGAAATCATCTGTCTGCAAGCTAACATGCTAAGTACTTAACCTTAAAGTTACATAGCCAACTCGATCAAGAAGCTTTTTGATTGTTAGTACTAGGACATCAGTTTTGTTTTGCCAAGAAAAAATTGGCGATCGTGTAAATGTCTTTGAAAAATTCATATGCTATGTTGATGTCTCTTACATATAATTAATACTGCCATTAACGCGGCATTATAATGTCAGCGTGATATATATATATTCAAAGTTGGAGGAATGGGCAGCATAGATTCATTTCTCATTTCGATTCAACATCACAAAACACGCATGCTCCTTCACCATTCGCTAGGTTCCTTCAAAGGAAGGGTATGGGCCGGTATTCTGATTATAAGCTGTAACCATGCCCTATGCTGGCTACCTGTCTCAACTCAATTAGTACTAAGCTCAACATTAATTAGAGGCTAAAAACATAATAAATTGGCTTGAAGAACGGATCCATAAAATTAACCACACCATAAATTCTGGGGGAAGGAAGCTGATGCCCACTCCTTATAGGGAATCATACCTACCTAGGTAGCCTTGATCCCAGCTCGGCCTCAAAAACTCATATACTCAAAGACATTTGTACCAACACGCAAACCCTACGTGCACTCTTACCTTATTCTTCTGATTTTACTGCTTGAATTGAATTGCACTAAGAAAGTTCTTCCTCTCCCAAGATAAAGAAATTAAAAATGACACCACCAAAAAGACGGTGGGACCCAAATCATGGCACGAGATTCGTGATCCAGTGGCTAGTAATATTGCTAGCTAGGCAAAAAGGTTGCTATCTTGTTTCATACAGTGAGACTTGTGCTTTGTCTGTCTATCTCTAGCCAGCTACGATATATAGCTAGTGCATTGGATCCGGCAAAGAACAAAAGATCGGTGGCTTTTGTGAAATTAAGGCATGACATGACCCTTCTTGGTCTTTCCTTAGATATCTCCTTATCTAGCACTCTATTTTAAATTTTTTTCTCGACCCACCATGATTGCATGGCATGCTAGTAATGCTTGCCAAATATTTTTTTCTTTTTTCTTGTACAACATTAACAACACTTTGAAATTTACCCACTACTGCTCTTTTTTTTAATGGTTTAAATGTAGCAATGAGAAATCTCTTTCTGACTTCTGTACGTGTAATCTCTTCCCCATCTCTCTCCTGCCACTATAAATACCTTGAGTTTCTTCGCCCATTTCAAAACATCAAACTATCTTCACATTTTATCATTTAAACAAGCTAGCCAATGGTATGGAATGTCAATGGGTGAGTAGTTCCTCGTTGGAGAAGCAGGGCACGTGCAAGATCGTTTTGGCTTCTCGGATGCCGATGAAGTTTTCTTAATTTTGCACGCGCTCCCCTTCTCCAACATGGATTCCTCACCCCTATCTATCTTCAATCTCTATAATCGGTGGATGGTTGTTCTTGCAGGTAATAATCACCTTACTAATTTTTATGTAGACTGGTTTGATCTCTGTGGCAATAGTAATTACAACAGACGACGACTGATCTATACATTCACTGTCACTGTTAACGAAAGCTCATGACCTAGCTAATTAAAGATATTACTATGGACCTTCTTCCAAAATCATGCATATACACAACGAATCATGCCTAGACTGGCATGCACGTATAAATTAGTGTTTCTGCAAGTGCTGTGGTTTGAAATAGGCTTCCTGTCGTTGCCATGGTAAAAGGGTAGTGCACTGCAGTTGAACGTCTTTCACAGTTAGCTAGCGCGAAAGTTTCACCCATATCCAGACCCCGTTGTAGCTGGCCAGCTAGGTTGAAAACCATTTTTGGTTAAGACGTGAAAACAGAGGGAGAGTTCTTTGCTTTGCTTGTAAAATGGGTTTTATTCAGATTTGTTTCCAATATTCTTTCAATTTTTTTTTAATTTTTTATTGTAGCCTGCACTCTTTGTTATCATGATTTAAGTTTTTCTACTTTTCCTTTTGTTTTAAACGGTCCCTCCGTTTATGTTTAATGACATTTTTTGCTCATGAGCTATAAAAATTGTGGCAAATTGAGATCAATAATATTAATTTGATCAATTTGAACCTTAAACTGTCATATTTTGAGCAAATATCGTTCGTCTATTTGATTTGACCGATTCTATCAATCAAAAACCCATTTAAAAAAAAAATCAAAATTTGGTATTTTCAATCGAAACTTTTCATATAAAGGTAATTAAAATTCATTTCATTTTCACAAATAATTTCACGATTTTTAGGATTTATAACTTTTTTAAAATTTTCTAAATAATAAAAATTCAATAAATTATATATAAAAAATAAGCTGAAATTACCTCAATTTTTTAAAAAAAAGCTGCAGGAGGTCATATGAATTTACACATTTTATTTTGGTGTGGTTCTCAATTCAAAATTAACATACTGTAAGCCTGGCTGAGAATTATGCATTTAACCAATGAGAATCATACCAAGATAAATATAATTTTTTTAAACCTCTCAAAAAAAAAAAAAAAAAGAGAGATCATTTGAGATTATTTTTTATTTTTTTTCAATCAATATTATTAGCTATTGTTCACGAAAACATAAAAATTGTTTCTTGACCTCAAAACTTTTTGAAATTATTTTGGAAAGTATATTGAATTTTTATTAGTATATATGAAGAATTTCAAATTAGTATATGTGAAGAATTTCCACTCAAAATATCAAAAATTAAATTTTTTTTATTAATGGTAACAATCAAAACAAACAGAGGAACAATATTTATAAAAAAAACATAATTGCTCAAAGTCAAAATTAATCAAATTGATAGCGTAAGTCTCAATGTATCACAAGTTCAATAGATAAAGGGCAAAAAATATCATTAAACGCTCCTGCATGCATGGAACCTTTCTATCATGGTGTTAATTAAGTTGAATGTTTGACGATTTACAATTCCATTTTTAAAAAATTTCTCATACGATGTGAATTAAAATGAAGTAAATTAGCCATAAAAAGAACAATCTGCAAGAACATAATTAATTAGAGTATATTAATTTTCATGTGTTTAATTATTTTTCATTTTCTTATTTTTTTAACTACGTAGTTTAAAAAATAGAAAAGTTATTATAACATAATGTAGGTTTACAAACTCACACTATTATGATAGAAGGGTTTAGATAACAAAATAAAGAGTAGAAAAAATCAATCAATATAGAAAAAAAATCTAAAAAAAAAATTTAGAAGAATACAGAAATAAATTGTAAAATAAAAAATATACATGAGACCTTTAAATTAATTGTAATCTATATCTCTAATTATAAAAACTAGAACATTTTTTTTCAACTTAGGGCCGGTTTTCACACATCATATGTCACAAAGACCTTGATGAAATCAGTGGCTAGGCCAAAATTTATTTTCAACTGAGTCGTTTAAAAAGTTTATTAAATTAAATGAATTCTCAAAACATGCTTAAGAAAAAAAAATCAAACATCCAAAAATGTTATAAGTTGTGTGGGTACATTGACATTTCATGATTGACTGACATTGGGAAAAGAGAAAATAAATTCTTAAGTTAAAAAAAAAAAACATTAATGTAAAAAGTAAAGAGGATAAAAGAGTTAGAGTCAATGGTCGAGGGTTCTCTAAATACAAGTTAACAAAAATGCAAGGATAATTAGTTAAACTCTTAAAATTTATTAAGGCATTTAAAAGAATAAATGTAATTATGGAATAGTTAGGAATTAACAATTGAAATATACAATCACTACACCAAAAAAGGGTATTGCGGGCGGTTTTTGCCTTCAGAGGCGGTTATTTGAACCGCCTCGGAATTCCTCGACGGTTGGCAAAACCGCCCTACATCGTAGAGAAGGCGGCATTGCGGGCGGTTTTGAAGTGGTCCAAAAACCGCTCGTAATGCCGCCTTCTCTACGATGTAGGGCGGTTTTGCCAACCGCCGGGAATTCCGAGGCGGTTGGTTGAGGCGGTTCAAATTATTTTTTTTGAGGCGGTTCGACCGCCTTTATGATGCTAATTTTATCTTTTATAATATTGGTACGTAATTTTTTAGGCGGTTTAGAACCGCCTCTACGTTCTCCTTTTTTTTAAAATTTGGCACAAAATATTTGAGGCGGTTACAACCACCTCAAGGTTTAAAATTTATAGGGGCGGTTTACGGTTTATAGAGGAGGTTGTAATGGCCTCATTTGTTTTTAGAAATCTTTGGATAATAATAAGACATTTTTTAAGGTAATACACAACGAAACTAAGTAGAAGAAAATGCATTCAAAGACAAGATCACATCAAACGAGAAAATCTTTGGGTAAATAACGGTGTCGGTGCACCATCTATTGAGTTAAAAGTACTAGAGAACAATCGGATAAAGTTACCGATTGCTATCAAACTCTCATTCGGTTTAGGTTTCGGAGGGGATTGTTATATACAAGAAAATTATATGTCACAAGTATAATATCAATAAATATTCAACACGAAGCTTCACGGACGATAAGGTGTAGAGGCGGAGGATGCATTGACAATCCGTCCCTTCCATCCCTACGAGCATCCAATGGCCATCTTCTTGTGCACATTGAATTAGAAGAGTCCTCAAATCAACAACTTGTATTTCCTTGTCTCTTAGCTCGATTTTTGCTACCATTAGATCCCTTTGTTTGCCCATTCTCGCTGCAACGTTTTGCTTGGCTCACATTGTTCAATCTAACATATCAAACATCTCCGATAGTTTTCTCTCATCTACGTAAACTCGTAGACTACTTGTTACTTCTTTCTTCATCAAAATCTCCATCCTCCCGCTCATGTTTCTTCTTTCCTGTCAACCATTCAATCAAATACTCCCCGTTTTCCTTTTGAGCCTTCACTCGCCACCTTTGGGGCATTTCGTTCATCTCCGGAGCCAATGAACTGGTCTCCAAATTCGATCAACCTAAGCGATCATTTGAATAGAAAAAATAAACAAAGGCCATACTTATTGAACTAAAAGTACTTACATCATAAACAACATCCCTTAATGCTTTGAATTGCTCCTCGAGACTCGTCCCGACTCGTTTATAGAAGAATGCATCGAACAATCATATACATCGTGTCGGTGAAAAAGATATATTGAAATGGAATATGAATATTTTGGTAAAAGCACCTTCTTGAATATTGTCCAAACAACACCTTCGAGTGCATGGAGGAATCGTAAGAGAACCAACATATCCGTAATATTTTTTGCTCCCAAATTTGATGTCTCCCGGGTTGATAATCCCCACGTCTCTCTCTTTATGGTCAACATAGGTTATATGGTGGAAGAACCGCCAAAACGAGGAAACAATAACACTCAAGAAGAGAACTTCGATTTACTGATTTGAATCGAACCATTAACATACATGTAACTAAGTTCAAAAATCAAACTCCTCATATGGGTTGTCATGTTAAGGTGTCTTCTTAATATCATACATTTCAATACAAAAACCATTTCAACAGATACGAAACACATGGATAACAGACACTAAACAAACGGATAGACCAACTGAAAACATCACCATAACTTTGTAAGAAAGCTTCCCAATGTGGTCAATCTTTCCCCACTTCTTTGGTCTTTTTCCAGCTCCTTCTACATATGCAAATTAACTTTCATCCTCCGAAAGAAAAGAATTAAATTGATTGAATTGATTAAGAAATGAATGCATTTATGAAGGTGATTATTCATGACATAAAATGAATCCTCCAACAAAACAAAATCATTTTCGATGTTTAATCTTCCATAAAACTATAAGAAAACTCTAACAAATAGAAGCAAATGCTAAAATAATTTAACATATAGGCCTAAAGTCCGTGATGCAGATTTCAGTTCTTAGGAATCAAAGTAAAGCTATATTAAAGTAATATATAGGCCTAAAGTTTATGATGCAAAGTCATAGCAGAGAGGTCGTGTGATAAAGTAACATGAGAGGAACAAACGGATAGGTGAACAATGGCTCCATCATCAACATATTAGCATTCCTTATGCAACTTTGCACATTAACATTTCGATTCAATAGCGATGCGAGTAGAGGCAACTTAGAAACATACCATACATTAACCGAAAAAGGTTTTCTTTTGTATCAAATGGCTCACCTTCAAGCCAATTCAACATAAAATATGCGAGGGCAAGTTTGAAAAAAAAAAGAAGGTAATTTCTAAAAATATACAAGAACTTAACAAATTGATTTTCATGACTGGACCCTCTTGCATTGCTTGACTCAAAGACACATAAATCGACATCAAGAAACTAATTGATGGATAATACGAGAAAATGGCCAACCTAATATATTTAACGACAGCGAGAGGTAGTGTATAAGAAAAATCAAATTGCATAAGATCATATAGCATACTCGTCAAATTTGCACAAGCAAACCATCAACTAACTATGAAGCCGCATTTTCCGAATAAACCATTGCAATATTGAGTTTGCAACAAAAAAGCGAGACAAAACCCAATCGATTAATTAATTTTTTCAATCAAAAAAATCGCTTAGGATAAGTTTTAGGCAAGAGTTTATCCCTTCAAAATTCAAAAAAAGAGCAAGAAGAGAGAAGGACGATGCTTTGGTACCATTGAAAGAAATTTTTAAGCAAAATATATGAGATTAGTAAAGAGAGTTTGAGAACTCACGTTTGAAGACCTTCTCACTCAAGCATCAATGACGATTGAGAGAGCAATTGAATTGTCGCATATGCTTTTGTCGGAGGAAGAAGGCGAAGGGGAAGATGAAATAATATCTTTGTGGTCGGAGTGGAAGATGAAAAACCCTAATTTCTATCCATAAGAGGGGGTGGCAAGGGAAGATTAAATAATTTCTATGTGGCAAGACGAGATGATGAAAAAACCTAATTTCTATAAAACAAGAACAAGGGCGGGAGTATGAAGTATTTTGTTTCTCTTTAGAGAACCAAATATATATATAAAGGTAGCTAATTCTTTAAAATTGAGGCGGTTTTATCAACCGCCTCGTAATATTCTTTTTCAACTTCAGCTATTAATTTTTTGAGGCGGTATTCATAAGCGCCTCGGTGATTCCGCCCCTATTATCATATTTTGGTGTAGTGAATTATTAATGACTTCTCCTACAAAATAGCAAAATTAACCTTCTTCCATTGTCCTTCACGAGGATCAATCGAATAAAACGATAAAAACATAAATAAAAATCATATCAATTAAGAAAATAAAACAACATATAAAAAATAAAACTAAAAATCATATCAACTGCTTACCATATCTCATGAAAAAAAAAATGGATTTATTTTTCCCAGTGAAATTTATAGGCGTAAGATTTTTGTACTGCACAAATGAAGGATAATCCTTCTTCATCTCTTAAACTTCTGTCAGATTATTTTTTTATAGATGACCTAGTTTTTTATTCTTTTGAATAGAATACCTAAATTTTCTTTTTGATTATCGAATTAACCTTTGGAGATAAGCCTTTTCCAGAATAATTTCCTTTCTTTTGACAAATTTTTTATTTTTTAAAACAAATGTATTATATTTTCTGAAATATCATATCGGGAAATCAGGATATTTAATGGGAGCAATTCCAGAACACGACTGAACACCTTGAACATCGATGGAAACATAGCTTTTACCAAAAACCTCGAACTTCGACCAAGTAGTTGCTTTCTGTGAACTTTCAACTTCGATACAGTCACTTGTCATGGTACCGATGAATGTAGAAAAGAATCTTGCTCACATAAAATGATATATATATATAGCAAAATCTGGTCATGGGTGATACAGTGGATACGAATAAATTCACCTTTTCATTATATGTGTGTATATAATGTAAAGAATTACAATGAAAAGGTGAATTTATTCGTATCCACTGTATCATCCATGACCCAATTTTGCTCGCAAATTTGAGCGTTTCTTTTCATGAAGAAATTGCTTAATACTTTTAATCTATCATCTCTACATATACTGAAAACTGAATGATGCAATCGGCAACGGTGTCGTGTGAATTGCTGCTTACCCGGTGGGGATTTTAGGGCTGCATAGGACTCTGAGACATGTGAATGGCTGATTCATCTCGGTTTGCTTCGGGAGAAAAAAAAAAAAGGCGAGTTTTCGGGACTTCTCAACTAAGTAGGAAAGACATTAATAATTAATTCTTGTCCTTCAACAGAAATTAAATGAAATCAAGCCGTCAAAATCAATGTTTTTTCCAACAACTATTGTCATCAAACAACCAAATAAAATTAAGTAATGGAAATTAAGTTTTTTTTTGTAATTCGAAAACAGGTATATTTTAAAATGAATTTATATATTAATCGAGATTTTTTTCGGATATTATGAAAAATACACTCTCCACGTCAATAAAAAAATCAAAGAACAAAAAAAATGTTTTTAATTATTAAACCAATCCTTTAAAATTAAAAAACAACAAGCAACTAATTCACTGATAATGCATGATCATTAATTATGTTAAGCGTGGTAGAAATCGTTGAAAGGTCAAAAACCTGTTCGGCATTTGTGTGCCATGTAGTGAAACTCGGATCCTCTCGTCCTGGAGAAAAATCAATGTCCATGGCAAATTGATTTCTACGGACGCTATTGTTTTGTTTTTTTTCCTTCAAAAAAGTTATTGTCTTTTTCCATTTTCCATGAATTGTTATCTTTTAAAATAGTTGAAGAAAAAAGTTAATTTCAATTGACGTTGGCAAAAAAAAAGAATTGTGCTTCTTCTATTTGGCTATTCTATTTTTTTTTAACGAGGCGTGCTAATTTTTAGAGATAAATAAACAATTAATGCTTTTATAATAAGTATATCGATTTTTATTTTTTATGTAACTTTATATATATATATCTTTTTCAAGGAAAAGACTTACGATACATTAAATATAAGTAATTAATATTTTCTAATTCTAAAAATTCCACAATCACAGATTAATTAGTTAAATTAAAAATATTAGAGAAAAAAATTAACGTTAACTATAAAAAATACATTCTGATTGTAAATTGATTGAATCATTGGTAATTTTAATAATTATGAGATAATTATGTTTAATTACAAGATGATTAGATAAATGTTTATGGAACATCCTTGATAATTCATAACCTGTTGGAAGGCAGTTGCCAGTAAGTAAATACTCGACAATTTCTTCTGACAACCAGATCTGAAACGACGTAGTTTATAAAAACCCAAAAGGCCAAAACTCTCAAGCCCCTCACGCTTGAAAGACCTAACCTTCTTCATTCACAAAAGGGCGTTTGCCTCTGTACATCATACATCCATCCTTTGTTACAAGCCAGCGTGTATAACTTTGCGTTGGTATTTTTACAAGCACCGCCGCTGTTCCCATAACTCATCTAGCATTTCGAAATCCAAAGCCATGACGATGGTTGAGAAGAAGAGAAAATCGAGAGACGGTAGACCACCAAAATTTAACAAAAAGTCCAAATTCAGTAACAGATTCAACAAAAAATCCGGTACGAGAACGGACGAGAAGAGGCGGACCGGTCCTCGTTTGCCTCAATCTCTACGGAAAGAGCTCGATCGATTTAACCCTAATGATCAGCACAGCAGTGAAGAAGAAGAAGAAGAAGGTGTTAACAACGACGTTTATGAATACGAAGAAGGAGTGCCTGAAGAGGAATCAAAAAAGAACCGCCGGTTCGATACCGTTGAGAACTACGAGTATGAGTTACCTGAGGATTTTAAGGTTTCTAGCTCTCCCTCCCTATTTATAGTCTATATTGTTTGGAAATTAATTTGACTGAATTCTATTTTCACTGCTGAATTTTACTTTGAAAAATTGAATTTTTTTTGTGTTTTATTGGATGGTGTTCTACTTCTTGACGGTACCAGAATTTGCCATCCTGATAGTTGTTTTTTGATGATGTTTTATTTACCGACATCGTGGTCTTTTTAGTTCGTATTCTAAGTTTTTCAATTAATGTAGGATGAGAATGTTGATTCTGATGATGACGACGACCATGACTTCGATGGTGGTGAAAATAAGATTGCTGGCCGTAATGGTAAAAAGGGAGGCCTAGATCAACTTGGTGATGATGTTGAAGATGAAGATGAAGATGTTGAACGACATTTGAGGATGTTGCAAGGAATCACTGGAATGCCAAGTCAGGCCTTTGAAGGTATCTCTTCCACTTCTTAAGAGTAGTAGGGTACATGGTATGCTTTTCATGCACAATGCATACTTAATTGACTACCATTGGAGTTGGTGTATTTGAAGCTGAAATATGTATCTTTTACATCTTATGGATATGTTCAGAAATGGAGACATGAATTATGCATAGGGGATCCCATGTTTGAGGAAAACATTCTTCATGCTCCTGTAGTTATTTTTTGCGGTTCTAGTTGTGCTAGAGTAGATGTCCTGTTTTTGCATCTATTTATGGGTTACTATTGTGTTGTATATTTGGCCACGAATAGAAACTTAATCAAGCTAAGCCTCATATACTTGCGTTTGTAAAATATTTTGATGTAAAATTGTGAGTCTTTTTATGTGCTAGCACTGTGTTAAGAAGTTGGAGAGATGAAATCATGAACATTTTCTTAGGTGCTGTGAATTTATATGCTGACATGTTCCAGAAGTCGCATGTATGTTGCTTTTGGTGTTTAGTAATTAGTGGTTTGACTGGCTCCTAATCTTATGTTGATCCCAGGCCCCAAGAAGAACAAAGTTGTTGTATCCGAGGGATATCCAGAGTCTGAATATAATCCTACTCGCGACATTCTGGATGGTGATGGCCGCGTTGCTATTGAAGACCTTCTGGAAAGCCTTCAAGGAAAGCCTGGTTATAGAGAGCTTAGAAATATAACCCGTCATGTGGATAAAAAGGGAAAGCTGCTTCAAGCTCCACTTGCCAAGGAAGATCGAGACAGGTTGGAAAGGAAGGCTGCTTATGAACAATCAAAGAAAGATATTACAAAATGGGAGCCATTGGTCAAGAGGAATAGGGAGGCTCCTACCATTATTTTTGACAAAGATACAGATTTGGGGTTTTCAACTGTAGGGGCAATAGCTTCTGAATTTGAGCCTAGAACTGAGTTTGAGAAGAAAATGTCTTCGTTAGTTCATGATGACAAGGTTATGGCAGCACATAAAGAAGATGGGTCAAGGCTTCTTGAATTAAATAAGGTATGGAGGCCATAAATATTCCTTGGTTGATTCAATATTGTCTTAATATTTGCCGTATGCAGTTCACCTATGCCTGCTGTGTTCTTTCTGGTTACTTGTGGTTTTGCAGTTTTCTTGCCAAACTGCAGTCTCCTTTTTCTTTATTAAGCAAAATCTTAATTTCCTCTAAGCAACTTCATCTTCATGATGTGATTGTAATTTTTTGTAATTCACGTTTCTCAACTTTTTTCTTTTAATGTTTTGAACTTTAAACAAGATTTTGATATGCTTTTTTTTTTTAAATGCCAAAGAGTTTGATGGGAAAAAGAAAAGCAAGGTAACCAATTTTTAGATTCACATGTTTCTGAATAATGTTGACCTTCTCTATGTCTTTAAAAGCAAAGATCGAATACTTTGATCTTCATTTGGTTGAATATTTTTCTCCATCGGCAAAGATTTTCTCAAGTTAACCATTGTTTATGAGAACAGCAGGGAAAAAAGAGAGGTGATTTTGGGAGAAGGGTTGAGTAATCTTCAGAATTGTTGTTTAATTTTTAGCTTTGAGAAACCATTTGTCATAGTTTTGGTACTGTGTGTCAGCAAACTGTTTTTCTCGTCACTTGATTTATGCATGTTGATGCTGGGATCGCAGTTTTATTTATTTTATCACAGAATTGAATGTTCATTTATTTATCTTTTTTATGGTGCTTGGAAGGTATCCCTTGAAGATTACATAAACAACCAAAATCATATTGCGAAAATGCGCGGCCTTCTTTTTCGGCATGAAGTGAAGATGAAACGTGTCAAGAAGATAAAATCAAAAACATACCATCGGTTGTTGAAGAAAGACAGATTGAAAGGATCTGTAGGGATGCCAATGGATGCAGAAGAAGCCAAAGAATTGGCAATGAAGCAGGAGTTTAAACGTGCAGAGGTGATTGATCATTTTCTACATATTTAATGAGTACATTAGGGAAATCAATCAGTTTATGCCCCTAAAATTCTTAGCATAACTAACGAAACTATCAAAAAAATTTATACTGTCATTAGTTGACATAATTAATAAACTATAAAAATGTTGGTAGTTTTCAAAAAAATCTGAAAATCAATTCCTCATGTCCCTAAAATTTTAAACATAATTAATGAAACTCAAAATTTTACTCTTATCCCCCAAAACATGTGATGCAGGAACGCATGACCTTACGGCACAAAAACCAATCAAAGTGGGCACAACGCATTGTCAAGCGTGGTTTGGATGTCCAAGATGAAGGTACTCGAGCAGCTATGGCTGAACAACTCCATCAGCATGCTCTTTTGACTAGGAAAATGAACTCTATGAAGGACAGTAGCAGCAGTGATGACAGCAGTGATGAGGAACATAGTGAAAATGCGGGTGGTTCAGACCAGGACGAGGCATCAATGTTGCTAGCAAAAGCAAGAGTGAAAACACAGCAAGCATTAGAAGAAGATGATGAAGTGCCTGATTCAGGAGTTCTTGCTTTACCTTTCATGGTAATGTCTGTTTTTTATGTGCTTTGCTTCTTTAAACTGATGTTCACCTTCTTACTTCCCCTCCTCTCTTGCTCCTCTCCTTTCAGAGAGAATTTCAAGGACTTACTTGAAAATGATACTGTTCCAGTCATTTGCTTCCTTTTGTACTTAGATTTTTCTTATTTTTTTCTTTTTAATTTGCTTTGGTATAGAAAAGGGCACTGAAGAAAAAGAAGGAAGCAGCTGATGAAGAAGGTAGGCTTGCCATTCAAGAGTTTGAATTGTCATTGAAGCAGACCGAGGATACAGATGGGGCAGAAAATTCAAAAAAAGGCGCTGTGAGTGGTAGAAGGGTGTTTGGTGCATCCAAAATGCAGGTTGTAGAACCGAAAAGTAAGATCAGATCAAGCAGTATTTCTAGTGATAGTGAAGCTGAGTTGGAAGCTGAAGAAGACATTGATGTTGGTTTTAGCAGAACAGATGATATGCAAAAGAATATTAATGTGAGCTCTGTTTTGCTTGATGTAGATGCCAACATTCCTCAGGATTCTGTTTTGAAGGTAATGGGTTTTTGGTTTCTTTCCTGACTGTATCAATATTGTTATTGTTTTGCTTAGGCTGCAAAACTGAAATAACATGTTTCCCTTTTGCAGATTTCTGAAATTGTTAGAGAGCGAGGTCCCAAGACGACATATGAAGTTTCAATGCTTCAATCAGACACATGGAAAAAGGTAATGTTGCCTTCTTAAAAAATTCTGTCTGTTCTTCGACATGGATGGCTTGGGTAATCTAAGAATAGACTGCACATGAGTAGCAGATGAGTAGCAGTGCAAATGAAGTGGACACCAATGGCAAAAGGTCTCGGAAAGTTGCTGAACCTGTTACTCATAATCAAGATATAGAATTAGAGGTATGACCTCATCTGTTATACTCATTTTTATCTTATGATTGGCTATTTCTTACCTTTTTCCCTTCTCTCTGGAACCGTGAAGGAAGTAGGGGAGGATAGTGATTCGGATAGTGAGGGACAGATGGTGGATGGGATTTTGTCTTTAGGGAACAAATCATCTTACAAGCTTCCTTCCCAAGCAGAGCTTATACGTGAAGCTTTTGCTGGGGATGATGTGCAAGAAGAATTTAGCAAGGATAAAGAGGAAATTATGAATGAGGAAAATCCTGAGCCTGAAAAACCTGTTCAACTTCCTGGCTGGGGCCAATGGACTCGTGTACAGAAAAAGAAAGGTTTGCCTTCAAGGGTTTTGGAAGAGCATAAAAATGCAGAGAGAAAAAGGGAAGAGGCTCTTAGGAAAAGAAAGGATGCACATCTTAAAAATGTTATTATCTCCGAGAAGTTGGATAAAAAGGTTAGTGATATCCGTTGTATGATTCACCAGGCATCTTTTGCTGTTGTCCCTCGTTGAATCTTGCATCATGATAATGAATTTGAAAATCGGTATCTTTAAATTCTGACTAGGAAGCTTTTAATTGAACGGGAGGATTTTTTTTTTTTCAGATTGTAATGTTGATGAAGCTGAAATGCTGCATGTTTAGAGAAATTATCGTTTGTGAAATGCTGTTGAAGATCAAACTGTTTTCTTGTTCTTGTTCTTGCATCAAAATAATTGTTTGCTAGCTTGGGTTTGGGTTGCTGTATTTTGGAAACATCAAGCCTTGAAGACTTGAAGTAGCAATTTCAAAGTGTTGTTTATCTTGTAGGTCCAAAGATTTCAGTATTTGTTATGGTGGTTAATAAATCTGTCTATCTAATTGGATTTTGCAGGCAGAAAAATTGCTTACAGGAACATTGCCTTACCCATTCACATCAAAGGAAGTTTTTGAACAGAGCTTCCGCATGCCTATTGGACCTGAATTCAATCCTGCAACAGCTGTCAGAGCTCTTAATCGGCCAGAAGTCAGTGATTTTCTCACAAATTCACATTCTTACGTTGATATGATAAACTTTGATTTTTCATTTTTGAATGTGGAAGGTTCTTGTATCATGAAAATTTTGATGAGTGTGGCTAAATGCATTATTATTATTATTTTTTTTTGGAAGTCTTGTACAGTGTTAAGCTTTCTCAATTTCTTTCGGATGCTTTATTATTTTGCACACAGTTAGTCTCTAACCTGGAATGCATCCTATGCAGGTGGTGAAAAAACAAGGGCTGATTATTAAACCAATCAACTATGAGGATGTGGATCCACATGAAAGAGGGGAGGAAAATAGAGGAAGGGGACAGAAACAAGGACAGAAGCAAAGGATAAATCGGAGCCGAGGCAGAGTAAAGGCAGTAGTGGCGAAGTCATGACGAGGAGAAGCAAACTTAGGGCATTTGCAACTCAAGCTGCTTTCTGAAGGCTAAAAATTTGCTATGTTCGTCTGTCCTGGATTTGAGTTAGAGTCCCTGTGTTTGCCAATATTTGGGAAGCATGAAGTTTCGTTATTGTTAGATTTGACGCAGTTCGAGGTTGGCTCTGTATTGGGCATTAAATTAAGAGATCAGGCAAGTGAAGTTTGACCTGGTTATGTTTGGGGCCTGAGGCCTGTTATCCAGCCGTTCGTCAATCAACCTAATGCTTGGTGTTTCAGTCGTTATTTGAAGCTGTGTTGGGGAATTTACGGAAATATCCTACTTAATTTTCACTCACATACAAAAAGGTGACGTGACCAGTGACTAGAATTTCTTCATCAGTTTTTTTTTCCCAGAAATGACAATAATGTAACAGTTTTTCGTTTTCCCCTTATAAATGAGATGATGACTCAAATCAGTTAAAAGCAGATTTACATCCACTCAACAGTAGGAGTAACTATTTTATATTTATAATAATTACTTTGTGAGTCAATTTTTGAAGAGAGAGAGAGAGAGAGAGAGAGAGAGATTGATCAATGCAGAAGAAATAGGAATAGAATTGGGCTATGTTTGGAGCAGATTTGGGGTTAACTGCCATTTAGAGCTTAATGTTATGCCTCTTTTAAAGGAGGGATTATTTTAGAACCTACTGGGGACGTTAGATATTTATAGGGAATCATCTAGATAGGATTTTTTTAAAGAATTAATTATAATCGTTAGATCAAATAGATCTTAGTCATTCATTGAAGAGATGAGGGACTATATATAGGTGAGGTCTTCATTTGGTCAAGACATCTAAAAATCTAAGGAAGTGAAATTTTAGGGTTGTAAGCTTTAGAGAAAGTAATGCAGAGAGTTTTTTTATTTCTTGTGTGTGTCTTTCTTGCTTAACAACTTTGTATAGGGAAGGCATACTTGGTTTGACTTAGAGAAGAAGTGAGCTAGGTGTCGCACGACGACTTGGAAAAGGCCAAGTCCGTGACATTAAGGTTGGCATTCGGACTTGGGTTATTAATGTTAAATATAGGCATGTTAATATTATATGATCTTGTCACTTAAGGATGACTAGTATAAGAGGAAAACAAAAACGCTTAATGAATATACAAGAACATAACGGACTTTCTCTTCTTTTTTCCTCTCCTTCTTGCCTCTTTCCTCTCTTTTGTCTCTTTCTACTTTATTTCGTATCAGCTTGGTATCAAAGCTTGCCATTGCCTAGACTATAATCACCATGGCTAAAAATGTAAAACTTGATAATTTTAACAAACTAGAGTGAGCTTTCAAGGTGTTGGCTCAAGACATTTCTAAAAGTTTGAAACAATGGCTTAAGGATTAAAAAACCATTCGGAAAAATAAGAACAAGTTCATAAGCAACAAAAAGATGGGTTTGTAAAGATTAAAAACATGTTATCAACGTTGACGACTTTATTATCCAACCATCAATCATTAACCGACCATGTTAATCCACACCTACATGGTATTCCAACCTTACCACCACTCTCAAATCTAACATTACTCATACCCATAACCACAATGATTCCTCTATTTTCTCAATCTTTCACCCATGTCCCCTACAAACCCTATAACCCAAATTCTAAGTTCAACCACCGATGTAAACCCAAGAAACCAAAAAAAAAAAAAAAAAGATTTTTTCAGTATTTAAAGGAGCGAGATATCAACAAGTGGTTATATAAATGCAATCGGTTATTCGAGATTGAACTTATGAATGATTTCAAAAAGTTTAGTATGCCTCATTCTTTTTAGATGGCGAGGCATTGCACTAGCATCGGGCTTACACCCAAAGCTTGAGTATATATATGTAATGACAAAAAGATTTTGAGCAAAGTTAGATTCATTATATCAACTAAAAAACCTTAATCAAGCATCTCATTTAGAAACATAGATATGCTTGGATTAAAGGAAGATGTTCAAGGGTCGGTCTCAAGGTTTGAGCCACTAAAGCCTATAATCTAGCTCAAAAGAAAGATAGTACTAATACCTAAATTAAGAAAAAACACCGAAAAACCCTATCAACATTCACAACCAAAATGTTATCTCTATTCACCAAATTTAAACCAACTATCAATCCACCATATAACCCTTTGATCATAACACCATATACACACACCCAAAACCTTATACACCTAACCAATAGTAAAAATCATATCAACTTAAAACCCTAACTAGCAAGGAGTTTGATGAAAAAAAAGATAAGAACCAATTTTTTAGTATGATGAGACATGTGTTTTAGGACATAAATGTAAGCAGAAACAACTTTTTTTCATTCAAATAGCTTATGATGATGATGATGTTAAGGAACTAGATGTGGTAGAGGAATAATAGACTAATGAAAAATCTCAAGAGGACCTTCTCCCTCACATTTCGCCAATGCCTTAGAGGTCGAAGTGGGTTTAAAACTTTAGAATTATGAGTCATATGAACAACAAAACCCTACACGTTCTAGTAGATTCCGATTCCATTAATTTCTTAAATATGACTACAATGAGAAAATTAGGTTTTGGACTATCTCTATCAAATCTCTAGTTATGGAGGTTGCTAGCAAAGGTACCATGCTTTGCATAGTAGTGTACAAAGGGTTTCAACGAGTTATGCAAGGATTTTAATTTTATACGGATGTGTTAGGGATGGAACTCTATAATAGTGACATAATTTTGGGAGTTCGATGGTTATCTTAGCTTGAAAAGGTTATCTCTAACTACTAAGAAATATGGATGAAGGTTCAACGAAAAGGTAAGAAAATTAAATCGACAGGACACTCTAATGTTAAATGAAAACAATTTCGACTCACAAATATAAAGGCTATTAGATAATTCCACTCAAGTGGCATAAGCACACCTTTGCAACATTACCCCACTTGAGTTTTTTACACCAACGAAGGGAAATATGACAACAACTCTTACCTATCAACAACAACTAATTCATCCAACCATTGCAACACTTTTGGTTAAATTTCGGATTATTTTCTTTGACCTTAAAACAATATCACCAACTAGGTCCTATGATCACGAGTACCTCTTCAAGAAGGGACTCAACTTGTAAGCAAAAGACCATATAAACACTCAAAGTTACAAAATAATACGGTGAAACAGTTAGTGGATGAAATACTTACCACATGAATTATTCAATATAGTGTTAGCCTTTTTGTTTCTTTCAAGGTCTTTTTTTTTTAAAAAAAAAAGATGGTTCATGGAGGTTATGTGTTAACTATCGAACATTAAACACCATCATTATCAAAGATAAGTTTCATATTCTTTTAATTAATGAGTTATTAAAGGAACTACATGAGGCTACTATTTATTCAAAAATTGATTTACGATATGAATATCATCATATTAAAATGTTTCCTCCTAATATGTTAAAAACGACCTTCAAAATCCATAATGGTCGTTATGAATTCTTAGTTATGTGTTTTGACCTTACCAAGTACTCTAAACAACCTTTCAAAGCTTGATAAATGATCTATTTATGGCTCGACCAAGGAAGATTGAGTTCATATTTTTTATGATATTTTGATTTACAGAGTGACACTTCTGAGAATCATATTGTTCACTTAAAGGCAGTTTGACACTCTTGCAATCTCATAAATTGTTTGTTAAACTAAAAAAAAATTTATTAGTGATAAAATTGAATATTTTGGGCATTATATCTCAAGACAATGTGTTTTTATTGATCCAAAGAAGATCTAAGATGTGGTAAGTTGGCTTATTTTTAAGAATTTGAAGCAGTTTAAGGGATTTTTAGGCTTGATAAGGTATTATAAAAAATTTATTAAGGGGTATAGGTTACTTAGTAAACCTCTCGATACCCTTACTATAGAAGGATAATTTCAATTAGATCGAACAAGCTATTGAGGCTTTTAATACCCTTAAGGTAGTAATGACATCTCGCATTAGTGCTTGTCCCGCCAAATCTCACTAAAAAGTTCACCATTGAGATTGATGCTTCCAACATTAGAATTAGAGCAATTCTAATACAACAAAAGCACCTCATTGCCTACATTAGTAAGACATTATCTCTCGAACACCGAACCCTATCGACTTATGAGAGAGATTTATTATTGAATCCAATCCTAATGTTGTCGGATAGTAGAGACACTACCCGGATTCTAGACATTTAAAAATCAAGATTGACCACCATAACTTGAAATACTTGCTAGAATAAAAATTGTCCACTTCCAACCAACACACTTAGCTAGCCAAACTTTTGGGGTTTTATTAAAAAAATTTATTTAAGGATGGTAAAGAAAATATAGCACCAAATGCTTTATCTAAAGAACCTAATTCTAAGATTCTCTTCATAATTATCTTTACACTTTATGCTCGATTTGCTCTAAAGGGTCGAGGGTTCTTAGGAAACGGACTCTAACATTTCAAACCTTCTAACGAGCTAGTATGAGATTTTACTATTCATCCTAGTTATACATGGAAGGATGACCTTTTTATAAGAAAAGGTAACTTAGTGACGACTAATGATGGACAACTTAAAATACATATTCTAGGTTTGTTTCATGACACTACCCTAAAAGGCCACTCTAGGATGACTATTACAACTAAGAAATTGAGAGGTTTCTTCTACTAAAAGAGATAATAGAAGGAAGTACGATAGTATATCGGGGTTTGTCCTATTTGTTGCGTAAATAAATATGAACTTACAGACTACTCCTAGTCTATTGCAACCACTTTATGCACTACATGTAATGTTTATTGACATTTTCATAGATTTTATTGAGGAGCTACCCAAATATAAAGGCAAAGCGAGTGATCTTTATGATGGAAAATCATCTTTTATAAATATACTTATTTTACAAGTCTACCTTACCCATACATAGCTCAATTGGTGACTCAACTATTTTGAGATAACATGTTCAAACTACATGGATTGTTAGCTTTAATTTTAGTGATAAATATCCTATTTTTCTCGGTAATTTCTAAAAGGAGTTATTTTTCCTCTAAGGTGTTGATCTTTGCTATTCTGCAAGCATACCATCCTTAATCAAATGGTTAAACCGAGGTGGTTAATTATTGTTTAGAGACTCATCTAAGGTGTATGGCGTAAGACACCTCTTAGAATGGTCTAAGTGGCTCCATTTGATCGAATAGTAGTATAACATCAATTTTTACTCATCTACTAAACTCACATCATTTAAGGTATTATATGGGTTCTCACTTCTTCTTTACCTATCTCACCTAAATAAAGGTTGTGGATTTTTACCTTACTATCAAAAAAGTTGTGCTTCAATATCCAAGCGGAACCTTCAACGAGGCATGAAATCGAATGGTTCGACTTCTTGAATGAGCATCGAAAAATGTCAATTTGAAATTGGTGACTAGTTGTTCTTGAAATTATAGTCATACAAACAACATTCAATGATCAAATAAAATTTTCACAAACTTCTTGTCATATATTACGACTCTTTTTTGACCGTTAGGATCATGTCACATTATTCAAGTTTAGATCGGTCGATTTGGCTTAAAGAATTTAGGTTCTTTAAGCTAAACTACTTCAACTTGTTAGCAGATACTAAATGAAGTAATAATTGACTTTTCTTTTAACGGATCCTACACCGAGTGTACTAAGCTAATCTCCCTAGTGTATCCCAAAAACAAGGTATGGACACCGATCCTACTGGAACACCCATGTTCATCCTTGCAACCTATGATCTTACGTTGAATATGGCTCATTCTCGATCCAATTTATTTTGTGGCGTAGTTTAGATCCATGTCAAAAACCAAGAAACAATAACATGAAGTGATATATAATAACAAAATAACTAAGTTATTTAATTATTTTTTATGGACAAATTGAACCTTTACAATCTCTCTCCTAAAAAAATCCATCGTGTCTCGTATAGTGAACAAACACCTCCTCGAATTGCATCTCAATTCTCCACCTTATCTCTAGCAAGTGATTGACATATGTATCATCAAGAAAAGAAATAAAATTGTTATCTAATGGATGATCTATTGGAGTGACTTGTCACCAACATAAGCCATATGAGAATTCACCGAGGAGACTAACGGACGTTTTCTAGCCTTTTCTCTCGAGGACAAGGGCAATTCGAAAAAAGAGGCAATGATATATGTAGAAAAAATAGGAATAGAATTGGGGAAGAAACCTAATTGATTTGGGAATTAGGAATTTACCAATTATATGTAAAAACGAGCCAATTAATGTTTGAGAAAAATTTAGGGTTAATTGCCATTTAAGGCTAAAGGTGCATTTGGACTTGGGCTATTAATGTTAAATACGAGCATGTTAGTATTATATGTTATTATCATTTAACGGTAGCTAGCATAAGAGGAAAACAAAACAAATAATATACAAGAACATAACATATTTTGTCTTCTTCTTTCCCTCTCCTTTCTACCTCCTTTGTCTCTTTTATCTCTTTCTCGTATCTACTTTATTATATACCATAGAAAAAAAAATTGCATTTGAATCTATTAAAAATGATAAAAATATTTTCATATCGGCTCAAATTTTATTTTTTTTAATTTTCTCTCTTCCATTTCTTTCATCTTTTATGTCTATCTCTTTTTTATTGAGTAGGTATTAGTAGTTAGTAATTATTCCATGAGTAATATAAAATTTCTCAACCCATCACAAACTCTTCAATTCCGTTCTAACAATAATTTGCCTATTTGGCTCCCATTTTATTGATTTTGTGATACGGTAAGAAAAAAAAAAGCATTAAATGTTGTGAAAAATATAAATATTATGTACCATCTACTATATGTCCGGTTGGATTAAAATAAATAAAGAAATAATCTCATCTTTTAAAAAAATTTAAATTGTTCGTGAAAATGGATTGAATTCATTAGTGTTTGTGAAAGAATTCAATTGTAAATATCAAAATATGAAATTTTTAAGATGAGTTTTGATCAACCATCAAAGTTTGACTCGTTGACTTAATAGTCAAATAAAAAAAAAGGACAATATATGCTCAAAACATAACAATTTAATGAAAAAAATTGATTAAATAGATAGTACAAGCTTGAATGTGCTACAATTTCAAAAATTCAAGGACAATAACTGCCATCAAACATATATAAAAAGTAGGACAAATATGAGAGAACAACTACATCCACAATCATTATATTGATCGATAAAGCCTTCAATTTTTGGTTTCATGTTTATCGCTACAATTTTTCAATCTTTTTTTTCTTTTAAACATTGACAACGTTATTTAGTTAAAAATCGAATAAAATACACCAAATAGTTTGTTATAATCCATGAATAATAATATGCTGCTATCCAAGGCATTATAAAATTTTCCTATCCAACAAATGACAATTTTTTATACCATCTACATGGTGTATGGCATATATTGTTTAACAAAAGGAATGCTACCAACGTTTTCTTTAACGTTCTCGCTTAAATATTTATTCAGTAAAAGTATCCACGTCAAATTTTTCTAATTACTTCTAACATCCAAGCAAAACAAATAAATAAATAAAAGATAACTCATGTTCCCTGTTCTTAAAAAGTTTTTAAATTACAATCAATTTTATGTTATCTAAAAGACTAAAATACTGATCTTTTTATTTGTTTAGTATTACAATTATATGAAAAATCATTAAGTTGAAACCAAAAATTAAGATTTATCTTCTTTTGAATGTAAATACCGAATGTTTTATCTTTACAACAAATGAATAACTATCCATTATATTGGTATTTTATGCAAAAGAATTTTTTTAAAAAGTATTTTAGTCCTTTAGACAATATAAGATTAGTTGTAATTTTAAAACTTTCTAAAAACATGGAATATAGTTATTCTTTGATTCCTAACTTTTTGTTTGAATGTTGGAGGTAGTTAAAAAAAATTTGAGGTTGACATTTTTATTGAGCAAATCATCAAGAGAAAATGTTAAAAAAAGTGTTATTGTGATTTCTCATTTAACAATTCTATTGGAAATCGAAATCAATCATCAATAATAAAAAAATAATTTTTTATAGACAAAAGATTTTCATTAACTAAAAAATTAAAGAAGTAATTAATTCTATGCACGTGTGGTTGTTTAAAAAACCATCACGAGTTGTGTCAAATGAATTCTTGCTACTTTGGACAGCAGGAAATTATTATTCATAATCTATTATCATGTGCAAGGCCACGATTCTACCAAGGTATCATGAATGAATCCTTGCCAACAAGAATTAAGGAACTAAATTATGGGTTTTTTCAACACCAGTTATAACTCGACAACTCGACATAGATGATTTAGAAAGTTAATCAATCTGCAATATGAAAAAAATTCCATGTTTTTACAAAAACATGATTTTATTTGTGAAAAAAAGAAAAAGAAAAGTGGAGCTGAATTTTTTTTTTTTTTGTAATCAATTTGAAATAAATTTCTTTATCTACATGCAGGTATTTAATTGATTGCACTTTACAATTTAACATTGCTAGTTATAACCGCTTTCTAAACCCAGAACTAACACAAGTTACTTGTAAATGGACTAAATTCATTTTTTCCAATAATAATAATAATAATAATAAATACAACTTCACCATAACTTATGGAAAAAATTTATAAAGAAAAAAAAAAGAGAAAAAAAGGGAGGGATCCAAAGCCACTCCGAGGCAAGCCGGCAAATTTCAAATCCATCCGCCTCCGCTCTCCTTTGCTCATTTTATTATTACTACTGCACGCAATTATGAGATGGGAAGAACTATCGAGCCAATTTGGTGATAAAAAACGAATGTAAAAAAAGAAAATGTTGCACGAACTGTTACTGTCACTCTTAGGCTACACTGGAGATCTCATAATCGATGAGAGAGAACACCAAAATTCTCTCGGGATTCCCATCTCCGACGACCACCGATCCTTCAAGCTCGCTCCTGATATCTCATTCATCCAACCCAGCGACAGGTAGTCACCTCCTACACTCTTCATTTTGGACTACTCTTTCTTTCACCTTTACTAATTCTGAAAAATTAAAAATTGCAGGGATCTTATTGAGAGGATAATCAGTCTAGGGTTTTATTATAGAGAGCTCGATCGATTTGCGACAAAGTCTCGGAATCTGAGTTGGATTAGGTCTGCAAATCCTAATAATGAATTGTCGAACAAGAAAATACAAGAGAAACCGAGTGTATATCGCAGAGCAATTGCTAATGGCATTGTTGAGATACTTTCGGTTTACAGGTCTGCTGTTCTCCACATTGAACAGAAGTTGCTGTCGGAGACCATGCCTATCTTGGCTACTATTACACAAGGCCTTAATAAGGTTGGTTCGGAACTTAAAAATGCTTTTTATTGTTGGGAAATTTCCTTAGTCCTTCTCGCTTTTGTTGCAGTTTTTTGTTCTCCTGCCACCGCTATATGAGCTGGTTGTTGAGATTGGGCGTGATGATATTCGCGGAGGACAACTCCTGAACCTTTTACACAAAAGATGTCACTGTGGGGTTCCTGAATTGCAATCATGCATTCAGAGGTTTGTTTTTGATGTTGTTTTGTTATTTGATTATAGCAAATTTTAGTTGTTGATTGTAATTTTATAACACAAGAAATGAAAGATAGCTGTTTATTATCTAGAGTTGTGAGTTGCTAGGTAATGACCTTCTTTACTGTTTATTGCCGTGTCTTAAAATGTAGGCTTCTTTGGCATGCGCATCAGGTCATGTATAACCAACTTGCTTCCTGGATGGTTTATGGGATTCTTCAAGATCAGCATGGCGAATTTTTCATCAGAAGGTAAAGTCATTTTTATGGTAGTGATATGCTTAAATAACTATCTGCTCTAAAGACAAAAATTGGAAGAGTTGAGAATAATTTATGTGATGAAACTTAAATAAACTGTGGTCTTTTTTTCTTTTTTGGTTTACAGCCTTACACATCTATTAGATGCAATTTTCTTGTGGGTTTTAACTACCAAAATTGGTTATATGGTTACATCAATTTTCAGGCAGGAAGATAGGGATGTAGAGTACGGCTCACCTAATCCAGATGTGTCAGAAAAATTGGCACGCTTGTCAACTGATGATACATCTTTAACAGATTGGCACTTGGGGTTTCATATGTTTTTGGTATCTCTAAACTCTTCCTATGTTTATGTTCAACTCTCGCAGAACAATCAACCCTAAAATCATGTTTTTATTGCTTTGTTCTATCTTATTTGCATTTTAATGAAACTGGTCGGGTAATAATTGGATGATGATAGGTGACAATGTTCAGTTAATGATTTAACTTTGACTGTCTCTTTCTTGTCTTTCATTCTTCTTTTACTTTTCCATTCCCTCCTGCCCTCTTTTTGATTTATATTCAATAAATAATTGCTCTGTTGAATGGTGATCATTTTAATCCAAGTTAAGCCTTTATGTGGAAACAGTGCTTTCTTCTCATTCCTGCACATGAAACTTAGATGGATTGATTTTCTTTACTTTGATGCCCTAGAACCTTTGCTTTTCCTGTTCATACATCTGCTTTATTTTTAACTTAGCATCATTGCTAAAAAACAATAATAAAAAAAACAAATAAAATGGCGTGCATGCTTTGGTAAGCAGGATTTGAGCTTTCTTCAAGCTGCAACAAACAGATTTGTTCTAATATACCCCTTTGGGATTCATTTTTCTGACACATTTACTCTTTCAATGGATTTCTGCAGGATATGCTGCCTGAGTATGTCCATATGCGTGTTGCTGAATCAATTCTTTTCGCTGGAAAGGCCATTAGGGTTCTCCGGAATCCAAGCCCAGCATTTCGGTTTAAGGATCCTGTATTTAATCAGCAGGTATCAAAAGTTGCTCAAAAAAATCAAGGATCAACAGGACGCTTCCCCTTTAAAGAGTCTTTTGAAGATACAGACTTGATTGGAGAAGAATTACTTCCACAGTCTGAAGCTGATAAGATTGAAAATATGCTTCGAGACCTAAAGGTTCACTTCCATAATTTGTATCATCATAGATAACATCTTCTGCCACCCTTTTCTTGATATATAGCTATACTGGGTGACATTAATAGCTCCATGTTGTATTTAATTCATTTCACAAAATAAAATGCACTTATATGTTGCTGTGGAGCTTTGTTCTTTTATATATTTGGATAGATTAAACCTTTCTGTTTTCATCGAACTACAATCCACAGCTGAGTGTGTACTGAATTTTGGTTTCCTTATATGTAGGAATCATCTGAATTTCACAAAAGATCATTTGAATGTGCTGTTGACTCTATTCGTGCTATTGCTGCTAGTCATCTTTGGCAGGTGCAGTATGCAACGCTTTTTTTTTAAAAAAATAAAAATCAGAGCACCTAATTCAACTGTGTTTTATTACTGTTGAAGCTTGTGGTTGTGCGTGCTGACTTGAATGGCCATCTGAAGGCACTTAAAGACTATTTTCTTTTAGCGAAAGGAGATTTTTTCCAGGTAAAGGATAGATAATATTTTATTTCTTTAATATTGACATTTGCCCTGTTTCAAGTTTATTTCTGGAGCCTTGCCCTTGTAAGATTACTAGATTCACTCAGCTATATTTCACCTCCATCATGCAAACTTTGGAATGGATTACAGTGCAATTTAGATGAATGCGCAACCTTGTTAGGAAGGATCCTCTTATTGAAATTATTTAGCTCAGTTTTGGGATAATTCTTATACTTGTCCAATCTTTAGTTTGTGGTTTGTAGTTTATACTTTGTCGGAACTCCTACTATTCAATCACTACATTGGTTTGGTATTGTTCCCTAATCGCAAATAAACTACAACAGATTGAAATCATTCTTGCATAGGATGTGAGTGCTGTGAGAACAATAACTTGTTGATCCTTCTCTTTCCTGAACTTTCGTCGAGGGTTTCAATGAATATCTTTTTATTCAAAATTTTTATTTTGTATTAGTTGTTGGAATGGTGAATCTTTTTTTTTTTAAAGTTAAACCTTGGTTTAGAGTCCACGAATTTGAGATTGCACTGACATATTGGTGCATGTTTTGCAATTAGAAGTGAACAGAATTTTCAATTCTAACAAAGCAGTATTAATTATGCCAGTGTTTTCTTGAGGAAAGTCGGCAAATGATGCGCTTGCCGCCTCGGCAATCAACTGCAGAAGCTGATCTCATGGTCTCATTTCAGCTGGTAAACTTAGGACAACATAGTTCCCTAGTGAACATAATTATACTCCCTGATCCAACCTAAATTTTGATAATATCAGCACACTCCATGTCAAATTCAAGAATTGCCTGCTATAAAAAAATAAAATAAAATCATTGGCACTATTTGCTTTGTAGGCCGCAATAAAGACAATTGGCGAGGAGGAGAAATACTTCTCCAGAGTATCCCTGCGGTTAGAACCTATATTTTTAATGAAAATTTTATCTAACAATATTTCTATCAATCTTCACATGATTTTAAATTTTATTAATTTTGGTTTTCCAAACTAGGATGCCTTCTTTTGGAACCACGGTTAAATCCTCCCAAGTAAATTTACCCAAAACTAGGAGTACAGGTGCTTCATTGTCAAATGCTGCTTCAGAGATTTCTTTGGATGGATGGGATGGTATTGCTCTGGAATACTCTGTTGACTGGCCCCTACAGTTGTTCTTTACTCAAGAAGTGTTGTCTCAGTAAGATGCTGGTGCTACTTATGGATGCCATTCTTTGTCCTCCTCTACTTCTTCTTCTTCACTTAGATATGCCTTCTTTTACCATCTGATAAAGTTGAAACATAGCTTGTAAATTGCTTCTCAAATAATATTAAAAAAGACTACCACAAAATGTAGTTGATAGTTGTTGAATAATTCCTCTTTATCTCATGCACCTGTTAACCTCATGCTCCAGGTACCTTAGGGTCTTTCAGTATTTGCTGCGGCTGAAACGAACACAATTGGAATTGGAGAAATCATGGGCTTCTGTAATGCATCAACATCACACAGATTTTGCCAAGCACCGCAATGACCGTTTGAACAGCTCGGTGTCTCAGCAGCGACGTCAACGTTTTAGTCCAATGTGGCGTGTTAGAGAGCATATGGCATTCTTGATCAGAAATCTTCATTTCTATATCCAGGTATTTGATGCCATTTGTGTGGTTAACTTTTTCTGGAGATAGTCTCTAAACGACTGCAACATAGGAATTCCATTTTTAATTATAAAGCTGTAACAGAACTGATGACTGATATACATGTCAGATCTTATCCAAGAACCTTGTTTTGGATAAGATGTTGAAAGTATCGAGGACAAAATGAAGTCTACATTGGAGAGGCCATATGCTGGTTTACACGTAACTTCATAAATTATAATGTGTTTTGTGATATCTTGAGTAAAGTTTAACCATCATCATGAAGGATGGTGAGAATAATACTAGGTCGATGTAGGGAAACTGATTATGACTTCTTTTTGAAAATCGCACCCCAATAATACTAGATAAAACTTTTATTGTTTTGCTATTTCTCTTTCTAATATTAGTCAGAAATGCCAGGGGATTTAATGTGGAAGCTTATTTTCTTTATTTCATGCACATTTTTACCTCATTCTTGATCAGAAATCTTCATTTCTATATCCAGGTATTTGATACCACTTGTATGGTTAACTTTTTCTGGATAAAGTCTCTAAAGGACTGCAACATAGGAATTCTATTTTTAATTATAAAGCTGTAACGGGACTGGTGACTGATATACACATCAGATCTCATCCAAGAACCTTGTTTTGGATAAGATGTCAAAAGTATCGAGGACAAAATGAAGTCTCTACATCGGACTGGCCATATGCTGGTTTACATGTAACTTCATAAATTATAATGTGTTTTGTGATATCTTGAGTAAAGTTTAACCATCATCATGAAGGATGGCGAGAATAATACTAGGACGATGTAGGGTAACTGATTATGACTTCTTTTTGAAAATTGCATTCCACTGATTGACTAGATAAAACTTTTATTGTTTTGTTAGTTCTCTTTCTAACATCACCTAAAATACAAATGTGGAAGCTTATTTTCTTTATTTGTCACCTGTATTTACCCTTCTCTTTTCCTCCTTCCATAAATTTATTCTATATTTTCCATTTACTGATTGATTCCAAGACCATATTCTTTTTCTTTTCTGCATTTGTATTTTAGGTGGACGTAATCGAATCCCAATGGAATGTTTTGCAAGCTCATATTCGAGATTCTCATGACTTTACTGAACTTGTGGGCTTCCATCAAGAGTAAGTAAAGTGAATGGTTTCAGTAGCCTCCTGCCTGATTAATTTATTGAAGCTCACACCTTTGTAGACATAACTGCTCTTATGTTTTCTGAGTATATAATCTGTTTCATAAATTGATAGTTGCAACATGATGCTTACACAACATGACATTAAATTGCAGGTATTTATCAGCTTTAATTTCACAATCTTTTTTGGACATTGGTTCTGTATCAAGGATATTAGACAGCATAATGAAACTTTGCCTGCAATTCTGCTGGAGCATTGAAAACCAAGAAAACAATCCAAATACATCTGAACTGGAACATATAACAGAGGTATTTGTGCTAATGTTTTGTTATTTTGAGTTGGTAGTTTATGCGATGCTGAAAGGTCCGTAAGCATGTAGTCTCAATAATATGTGCCTTTTGTTTTGCAAAAAATGCAAATTCAGATTGTGGTTTGGTGCTTTTGCACGTCAATGATGGATGTTTTGCATTGCACTCCACTGACATGCTTATATCTTAAGCATTTGACCAAACACAATCTACTCTGGATTTCACTGGAAAGAGGAGTTGGCTGGTATATAGACATGCCATACGCCTATAATAAATCTTTGATTTTGTCTTTGGGTTCCACTGGAGATTTGGAGTTGTGGGAATTTGTTGTGTTGGTGGTAACATGATCGTATATTTATTTTGGACATACATTCCTGAAAGCCAGCAGTAGATGCTGTCAAATCTAGTTATGCTCTTCTACTACAATCACTTTTTTTTTTTTTTTTAATCATAGCTGTTGGTTATTTTAGCAATTTTGTTGCCACCAAATCTAAAAGGTTCCTCTGCTTTTAATGTTCTTTTCCCCAGGAATTTAACAAGAAATCAAATTCGTTGTACACTATATTGCGCAGTAGTAGGCTAGCTGGGAGTCAGCGAGCTCCATTTCTCAGGCGTTTTCTTTTGCGTTTAAACTTTAATTTGTTCTTTGAGGTAATTTTTCCCTAAACACATCCTCTTATTTTAGTCCTTCATTTTTCTGACCTGTTTGTTCACTTTTATTTTCTGACAGACTACTGCACAAGGTGTAATGAATATTGTTAGACCATCTCCAACACTTGCTGTTTTTAATCAAAAATAGCAGTAATTATCTACAAAGTCACGCTCCATGCAAGTACTGTTGTCATTCGTTGTTGAGGAAATATAATCTTACCCAAGGTTGGCATCAGACTCTGAAGCATAATGCCATTGACAATCAGGCGGTTCTTTTGGTGGCCATGATGAAGGTGCCTGTCTCCATAGCCTGAAGGTTTTTTCTATTAACCAATCCTAATAGGTGGTTCTTTGCTAATTGGCTTGTTCAGGTCTTGGGTTAATGTTTTGCTTGCTTTTTGTTAACTAACAAGTAACTATCCCTTGGAAGTGAGACAAACTTCGGTTACCAGGGTTTGTTACTGTTCAAACCGCTCGTGGACCCTGCCTTGGCATTCCTTACTCGTCATTTGGTGCTTGTGGTAGTTACCTCCATCTTATGCTTAAGACATTGACTCGTCAAACAATTCATGAAGTGGTATTAAGCTTGTACTTTATAGAGATGGTCCATCCATTAGTTTCATCGCCGGCGAAGTTTTGTTTGTAAATGTGTGATTTCCATCTGTAAAGTGACATCAAATATATTATATATATGATTGAAAAAGGTTTTGACTTTTGAGGGTGTGCTTGGCGGATTTGATGTCTTCTGGGGAGGGAGTTACAGTTGGAAAACTGTCTTCAATTATTCAAATAAAAGAGAAGAAAAATGGATTTTCATATTTCTATGTACCATGGGTGAAGCAAATAGAATCCTCCATGGTGCAACTTATTTTCAACCTGTTTCTTGCGCCAGGAGTCCAGGATCCAGGAACCCTCTGGGAAGCACGATTATTATTATCGTAATTGACACTTATCTCGCGGGCTGTAGCTTATTAACAGGGGTATTTTTTTAAAAAATAAAATAAAATAAAAATTCCTGCGGAGAATGAGTGCGCTGGCGGTCGAGTTTCTCCTCTGTGCTTAGCAGAGTAAAAGGAGAGGGCTTGTTCATTAGATTAAAAGCGGGCAATGCAAAGTCTATCCCTGTGCCTTACAAAGCGTACCATGTCAGACCTTGAAGTTCCAAGAATTCCTATTATATCTAAATTGACTAACGGTAACCAAAAGCTTTTTGGATGAAATTGTTTTTCTTGAAATTTACAATTTTGACCCTTGAAGTTGGAAAATTTCCCATATCAACCCTAAAAATACATTGATACGAGTTTTTAGTAAAATCGCCATGAAGACTTTCAGGTATTAAAATCAAATGCATGTAGTTTATATAATTTTCATGCTTTTTTAGACATTAGATTTTATATGTTTCAAATAATTATGAAGGCATGCCTAATTTAATTATGCTCATTACATGAATTTTGTTTTGCACTGAAATCCATGCATACCATACACAAAAATTAGGTTTTACTAAAACTCTCACTTCAATTCCAGATTTCCTCATATTGCTTTCATGCATACCATACACCACATGGAAATAGTCTCATTGCTGTATTTGCTCTTATTTCCTCCATTGCTAAAACCAGATACCTTCATCAAAGAAACCTACCCAGAAGTGGAAGAACAGAAATTATGATTTAAAAAAATTAACATTACCATAAATTGCAACTTATGAGGGTAATTCTGAAAATTTTGAACTTTAGTAATCCAAGTGAAACATTTTGCAAATGACCGCGCCGGCGCGGGGGAGGGGGGGGGGGGATGTTGGGGACAATATACTTCATACAAAAAAAGGGAGATGAATAAACACAAACAAACAACTGTTTTTCCTATTTAAAATGAAAATCAATCCAGGTAAAATGAGCAGGGTCATACTGATTTATTTGTTTGGATAAAGAAGTACAGTTCAAAATAAACTAGGAGAATTGCTTATCCAATGCAATTCTTTGTCTACATTAGAGCTCCTCAAAACCTTCTTCATCTCCTTCCTCCTCAACCCTTTGTGATTCTCTCCTCCAAGTTTCCATCTGGCAAAAAAAAAAAAAAAAAAAAAAAACAAGGAAATCCATAAAATAGCTAGTAGCATTGCAAATCATCTGTACAGAAGCTTGATACTTCTGTCCTTAATAATCTAGTCATCCATTTTCCATGATAAAGAAAAACTCATGGTATTCCAAGAAAAAAAATCACGGAATGAATGAATGTACATATAGATGCATTAAAGAAGCGTATTATGCAGAAGAGAAAAGACAGAAGAGCAGAAGCACATCCTTTGATCAAACAACTATATGTGATAAGAACCTTTAACAACAGATTGAAGAACTATATAAGAAATATTCGTGATCAAATAATTTGACAACTGCTAATCCACAAACTATCAAGTTACAGGTACACATGCTTAATATAGATACATGTATAAATTCCAAATTACTGTCACTTTGAGAATTTCACATCAACAGATTAAAAATTAGGAGATAACATTTTCAATGATTAGCCCCCTCCCTTATCAAGCAAACCCGCGAATCAAACAGTAAGTGCTTTATATTCAGAATCATAAAGCAGTAGTCACACCTGGTCGTCTGAATATTGCAATTGTTCTGCGACAAACAATATATTCTTGTACTCTATTGATGCTACTTCCTTGCCTAAACTCCTAGCAACTTCATCATAGCCAATCATGTCTACCCGGAAGCCATTGCTCATGAAGAGTTTGCTCATCCATTTCTCTGTGCAGGGCTGTGCAAGTGGCCAGACAACAGGATAGGGCCTTATTTATTGAGACAAAAGGTGAAATAGAAGAAAAGGCAGTTTTGAAGTCTCAATCTGACCTTGATCCCAATTTCAGTTTCTGCCAACCATGCAGGCAGTTCGCCTAAAAACAAACATCCACTCATGGCCAAACTACTGGCAACCAACAAAATTTCTTTGAAATTTGCCAAAGTCATAACAGGCAGTCCCTGTAAAACCGTATGATGACAGTAACTCCCTTGTTAAGGTAACAAAGTTACATGCTGGAACAACTTCCTCACAAAGTAACAAAGTCAAATGTTATTAATGCCACATTGGAACCCTCAGCTTATTAAAAAGAAAAAAAGAAAGAAAAGGAAAATATTAGAAGCCTCAATCACCTGGATAGCCCATATACTAGGCCGATTGCCATTCAAGCCTTTAGCAAGCAGACTGTGCTGTATATCAGGGGACTCCAAAGGAACATGAAGGGACAAGCAACTTCTTGGAACCTTAGCCCCAACACCTAGAATCTTCAAGAAGATAGTGTCAAACAGTTGTACTAACTAATTCAAATTTATAAGTCCATGCAGAAGAACCACGTTTTTAATTTTGACGAGTATAGATTTGTAAATGGAGTTACCACCAACACTTCTAAAACCCTGAACTTCTTAAGAGATCCTAAAACATAAAAAAACTTTTCACTCAAATGAATGTAACCTGATTGTAATATGTAGAGCACTCAATTCATTTGCGAAACCCAACAATCAAAATGCTGGGATGGTCAACATTTCTAACATAACCATCCCATGCAGCAACCTTATTCTCTTGGAAGGCTGTAAATATTTGTATTCGTGATATACCACTCACCTTGAAGCTTTTCAGCTGATTTTTTAAATATCCTTTCTGAGGATATGTCAAATATTATAGTTGAAGTTGGCCAGTTAAGCCTATATGGTCGAGTGTCCATCCCATCTGTTAACAGAACAACCTGCAGGATACAGATGAAAAACATTAAATTACTTCAAAATGGTGCAAAATTGATCCATGTAGCCTGAATCTGGTAGGCATAGTACCTGCTTGAGCCCGTCAATATGGTTCACCGCACGAAGTAACTTATCATCAATGAATTTAGTTGCGAGGCAATACTGGTGTGAGCACTTCTTCAAATCCATCGTTACATTGGGATGAACAAAGCAACCGGCATATGGATCCACAAAAAGAGGCTCTGGAAATGCAAGCATCAATGCAAATTACATTCTAACCAGCTAATACACAAGCCTTGCACAGCATCAGAAATGTTAGCCTAGAAAAGCAACAAGAAGCTCTTTTTGTCTATTTCTCTCAAGTCTTCACTCATCTGGTGAGTGAATTGGACAATAGAAGAAGGTTATTTCTTTCAAAACAAAGATAAAAGACAGTAAAGTTTTATCAAGACCAAAACACACTTCGAAAGGTTTCCACAACCATCAAACAATAAAATGACAGAGCTGGCCAAGATAAAACATTTGCAAGTGATGCTAATTTAACTATCCATCCAGGCTTAGCAGACTGGCCAATACAGCCTCAAAGACAAGTTTTCGAGTTCTGGAATTCAACTTCCCACCTGGCCCATATTCCAAACCTTCCCCGCCCCTTAATCACTGCTAACAGCAAACCACTAATGCGTGCTGGCTTGGCAGAAAAGAAAAATAAATCATAATGCCAATAACTTGGGAATTAAAATACAGATTGTAATAGTAGATGGCTGATGACTTAATGGATGACATGGTTCTCCGTGAAACAAAAAAGACAAAGGTATACAAATCCTACATATCAGAACGGGATCAACATATATTATGGCATACATTATATATTAAAAAAGGATCATATGATCAGCTTGTTTGCACAGGTTTGATAACATCAAGCCATTGTTTCAGTTGCTTATCTAACTGTTCGACGAAATGCCTGACAGAAAGAATGCAGTGTTAGACAGCTAATGAAGAGAAGAGGTTTGCCTGGTCGATGCATTTCCTGGAAACGAAGTGAAGCAGCATCAGTAGCGGCTTGGAATAATGGGTCATTTTCAGCGTTGAGTTTCGCTCTCAACCAGCTATTTTTCTTTGATTTTGAAGCGTAAATTAGAGAAGGGCGACCAATGGGAGTAGCTGCAGGTGAATGCAGAAAGCACAGCAAACCTTCCATATGTACAGTAAGAGAATATTTATATCGTAGAATTTGACGCTCAGAGATTGTAGAGCTTTAGATGCCCAACAAAATCAAGAGCTTTCATAGTTTACCCCTCATCGCTCCCTGAGTGCAAAGAAATATAAAGGGTTAAATGTGGACTATCGTATAGAAGAGAATGCAGTTTTGAGTAGGTAGTTTCTCCCTCGTAACCCCACCCCGTCTAACGAGACTTTATGGCCTTAGGCAGTGCAGTCATAACAGCACTTGAGGGAAAGAAAGACTGGAAAAAGGATTTCCACATATCACGGTTGTAATCCCAAGATAATTTTTCATAGCAGATAATTTTATTTTTTTTGGCTCCTCTTGTATTATTTTATACACCATTGTTACTTAATTTTATTTCCTTTTTCTAAATATTTCTTATTGTGATTATATTTTAGTGTTTAATAAATTTAGTTTTGAAAAAAAAAATTCTTGAATCTAATTCATTCGTTCTTATCAACAATCACTCTCAATTAAGGAAGCAGTATTTAGAAAAAAGAAAAATAATTAAGAAATAATTGTATTTTTTTAAAGCATTCCAAAAATTTCATCTGAAAAACCAAAAGTATTCGCAGTTTTAACATTCTAAATAGGGTTAAAGTTCCGTACCATTATATACTATAAATAATTGTTTAATTAGGTCCTTATATCAATTTAATCGTCAATTTTGTTAGTTTTTTTTTTCGTTCCAATTTTTATCACTTACCGTATTTATAGAAATTATATAAAAAAAATTGAAAAAAAAATGATTGGGTAAATTTTTCTAAAATTTTAGTTTTTTCTGATTTTTTTATATAATTTTTATAAATGATTTAAGTAATAACAAAGGGAAAAAATAATAAAATCAATAGTTAAAAGCATGTGTCATCTGATTGTGCCATTAATTTAATATTGTTAACTAAATCACTAATGAAAACTCATATTTAATAAATTGATTCGGTATAAAAATACAATTAATGTTTGATTTGGTACAAAATCTAATTAAACAATTACTCGTGATATAAAAATGATACAAATCATTAACCCTTTGTGTGTACATAAAAATAATTACCCTTCCTCGTTTCAAATAACATTTAATACATTTTTTAATTTCAAATAAAAGCGAGCATAAATTTTCTTTTCTTTCATTTATTATTGTTATTTTTGGTAGAAACTTTTTTCACTAATTGAATTAATTACGAAAACTCTCTCTTTCGCTTTTTTTTTTAATAGACATAACCAGATGTTAATTAATTAAATTCTCATTATTTTCTACGCTTATGTATTGAATGAAGCGGTAAATATAATTGTTTAATGATAATAATAACAATAATATAAATTTGTGTTTGAAACAAAAATATCTTTTAAAAATTACGTTGCTATGAAGATATTTTTACTGCCAAATTAAAAAAGACAAAAAGAAAAATCATTTATGGATCCACCATGAACCCATTGCGAGGTGTATATAGTTCAAGGTGTTCGATACACAAGTTAGCTCACAATTTTTGTTGTTTATAATCAGCCACGTCTAAATTATAAAAGGAGGCGGCTGTTTATAAATAAATAAGAAAAAACAGCAGCATCCAAATACAACTTCTCCAGGATCTGGGGTTCCATGGGTGACCATGTGATGCAGATTTTGGTCACATGCAGTCGCCGCATATAAAGAGTTGGCAAAATCCATTATTTACAGTATTAGTGTCAATTCGAAAAAAAATTCTATATTATTATTTCGATCAACTAAACCTTTGTATTTTCAATTCCAATCAATTGAATACAATTTATTAAATCAAAAATAGAAACTACTCAATGAAAAGGTGGGGATAAGGAAGATAAGTAATGATATTAATCGGAATGAAAAGAAATTTAATGATAATGACTTAAGCAGTGGAGATGATCACTCAGTGGGTTAATATAATCTTTAATTTTGATAAATTATATTCAATTGGATAAAATTAAAAATACAAAAAACTCATTTGACCGAATTGATAATAAAAGAGTTTTTTAGAATAATTGGTGAAAATACAACGTGTGAATAATGAGTTTAGCCTTTAGGATTTTTTATATATATTTAATTCTAATTTGTTACATTAATATACTTGGTTTTTCATTTTCTACCAAACAATTTTAAAAATTCACATTCACCCATGCTTTTGCATACTTAAAAAATGCTTAATTCACTCCTACTTTTAGCCTCCTACCAAATGCATTCTTAAATGGGAATCTGAGGAAGGACCTTTTTGTTGGGTTATTAATTGAAAGAATTTATAGTTTGGTGATGGATCTAAAATTTCCATTATAGCCAAGGAATTGATCTGTAATTAATCTTTTCTTCTTTTGATTCGTGATGGCAGGGAAGTAAAATAGGAAAACAATTGTTAATGGTCGTGACTGTTGCAATCACTTAGGGGCACTGGTTACTTTATTATTATTATTTTTTGTCTGAAAAAATAAGTAAAATGCTTATTCTATGTAATTCATTTTTTTTTAAAAGAATTAAATTTAACGAGAGTTACGATAATTTGAAATCATGAAATTAAAAATCTTGATCGCCCTCCTTTACAATACTTTAAATTAGTACCAACTACAATAGTATTGCAAGCTATGTCAATAATTTTATAATTAAGCTATTTTTTACGCTCATCTAGTGTGATATGATGACAGAGTTAGAAATGATATACGAAAAACTCATCCTGACTTGAGATTGTAGTTTTAGAAAAATAATTATGAAAACTAACTCTAAAAAAAATTATTATTATTTATAATAGAGTCTTATATATTTATTTTTACTACAATATCATTATTGATATTCGATGTCTTTGTCAATGTCAAAAATACTTATCGTTTAACTATGTTTGTAATTTGTGACAATAGAGAAGTAAAATAGAAAAACAATTGTTAATTATCGTGATTGCTACAATCCCTTAGATGCATTAGTTACCTAACTTTTTTGTCGTGTGAAAGTAAGTAAAGTGCTTATTCTATGTGATTTAGTTACAAAAAAATTGAATTAAATTTAACCAAAGTTACGACAATTTAAAATCATGAAATTAAAAACCTTGATCACCTTTTCTTACAATGTTGCAAAGTAGTACAAACTACAATGCTATTGCAAGCTATGTTAGCAAGTTCATAATTAGGTTACTTTGAGCACTCATCTCTCATGATGATAGAGTTAGACGTAGTGCCCTAGAAGCTTATCTTGACTTGAGATTATGGTTTTGAAAAAACGATCATGGAGACTGATTCTCAAAAAGCAATCAATGCTATTTGCAATAGAGTTCTATATACTTATGGGACCTAATCTTGATCTGAAATCGTGGTTCTGAAAAAATATTTATGGAGACTGATTCTCCCAAAACAATCATACTATTTACAATAAAGTTTTATATATTTATCTTTATAATAATTTCATTATTTTTTTTTCAACATAAATGATATGTATCTTTTAATCATATCTTGAAGGAAGGCAATCGAAAAGTTGATCACTTCAATCATATTAGTTTTTCGAATGACACTTCGTCTCGAGTTTGAAATCATCATTTAGCTGGCAATAAAGCCATCATGTGTTAATGATGCTGCTGATATATGTTTTTTTAAGTTCTTAGCTTCTGCCTTCCTCTTCTGTAAAAAATAAATAAATATAAGGGTATGGAATTTGTGGAAACAATGATTAGCAAGTCAAAATGCGGTCTACCACGCGACAAAACATATCGATGTGATAGTTAATATGCAAGGAGGGTAACAATTATATCACCATATCAATGTGTATTCATATAAAAAATAACAAATTAATTCATCCACGGTTATATTGATATATTGATTGTCCAACCCGTTAAACAATAACCATTCGATGTGTCCCAAAACATGAAAATGTTGCTCGAAAAAACCCATGCCAACGGGAAAATACGAACCCTTTCAAGAAAAAAATTCAGTGATTTACCAATTACAATTTTTGAGATATACTTAATTCTTTAAATACAATTCCAAGTATTATTGACTGCACCGTTCCTATTCTACCAAACCAAGTATGTAATTTCCAAAACACCCCTCCAAGTCCAAAGTCCAAGCTGGGAATAAAATATTGGTGAAGGGTGTAGGAGTTGAAAAGGAAGTGTTTGGTAGAGTCAGAAACGTAGCCCCGGACAAAACCTTGCATATGATAGCGTTTTAAATCTCCCGTACTATTATTTTTTTTAAGGTCACAAGAAAAAGAAGAGGGAGCCAACCAAGCACACACAACGAAAACCAACCGAACCCAACAACTTATCTCTCCAACAACTCTCTTCTTCTCCGAACAAAAAATGGATCCCAATCTTCAAAACCTAGAAACCCCAGAATCCAGTTCAGAAGACCAAAACCAAAACCAAAACCAGCAAGAAAAACAACTTGCCATTGTCTCTTCATCCCCATTTGCCACTGCTTCTCTTTCTCTTTCTCTCTCCACCATTATACAAACCCATTTTTTCACTCAACCCAAAATCTCAACTCTTTTTTCCTCTCCACCTACCAAGGCTAAAATAACAACTCAAGCCACCTCTCTAACTCACCTTTCTCTCACTTCCTCCACTTCCTCTCCTAAAATCTCCTTCAAGTCAACCATCTCTGCCAATCCTCTTCAAACCCCTCTCACTCTTGGCCCACGCCGCCCCTCCGATCCCTCCAGTGCTGCCGGAACTCGTCGAGCTTGCATCGTTTGGTTTCGCAATGACTTGCGTGTCAATGATAATGAGTGCCTCAACTCTGCCAACAATGACTCTATGTCTGTTTTGCCGGTTTATTGTTTTGACCCGATGGATTATGGCAAATCCTCATCTGGGTTTGATAAAACTGGGCCATATCGTGCCAATTTCTTGATTGAATCGGTCTCTGACCTCCGCAAGAACTTGCAGGCTAGAGGGTCTGATCTTGTGGTGAGAGTTGGGAGACCAGAGACTGTATTGGTTGAATTGGCAAAGGCTATTGGAGCTGATGCTGTGTATGCACATAGAGAGGTGTCTCATGATGAGGTGAAGTCAGAGGAGAAGATTGAAGAGGCTATGAAAGATGAGGGAGTTGAGGTTAAGTACTTTTGGGGAAGTACTTTGTATCATTTGGATGATTTGCCTTTCAAGTTGGAAGATATGCCATCGAATTACGGTGGGTTTAGGGAGAAAGTGCAGGGGTTGGAGATTAGGACGACCATTGAGACTTTGGATCAATTAAAGGGTTTGCCTTCAAGAGGAGATGTGGAGCCTGGGGATATCCCTAATTTATTGGATTTGGGTCTCAACCCAGCTCAGGTTTGGCGTTTTGAAACTATTTTTTTGTTATGCTTTTGTGTGCTTTGATTATTATGTTAGAGATATTTGTATGGTTATGGCTCACTGTTTTTGTTATGCAATCTTTTGTTTTGAAAACTGTAATTATGATGACTGTGTTATTGGTAGGAAGAATGTGAATAGAAATTAGGCTTTGACTAGAAGGCTAAGATTTAACTTGAAATGAAAAGGTTTTATGTTTTAACCATACGATGTTCAATGGATATTGGTGTGAATAATGGATGAAAACAGCGTTTATTTAGTAGATCAGTTTGGCCTCGTAATGCTATAATCATGTAATCTGAATTGTTAACATTACAGTACTTGCTGCATTGTTTCATTTTTCAAAATGGACACACTGTTAAAAAGTGGATTTCTGTTTGCATTGCTACCTTTTTTTTTCTAATTACCATTCCTCTTGAAACTGCAACTTTTAATCCAGTTTGTCTTGCATATTCCAGAAACCGTCGACCCAAACAGAATGCTTTGCAACCTTCTTATCATTATTTTTTATTGCACTGATGATACTGTCCTTCAATGAAAATGCAGGATGGAAAGGCAGCTGCAAATGCTTCTATGGTGGGAGGCGAGACTGAAGCACTACAAAGGCTCAAAAAATTTGCAGCTGAGTGCCAAGCACAACCTCCCAAGGGAACCAATGGCAGCCATGACAGCATATATGGTGCAAACTTTTCATGCAAAATTTCTCCATGGCTCACAATGGGATGTATCTCACCCCGTTCCATGTTTGATGAGCTTAAGAAGACTGCTACAAGGTGTGCCGTAAATTTTTTTCTCATTTCTTCCATTTCCTCTTTTATGTTGTTTCAATATATATAGAAACCACTTACTCATGAATGATATTATTTGATTGATAGAACAATTTCTGCTGCCTCAAATCGCAGTGGTGATGGTAACGGTTCACCTGACACTGGAATGAACTGGTTGATGTTTGAGTTGTTGTGGAGGGATTTCTTCAGGTAACTTGAAAAACCATATAACTTGTATGCCTGCATTTAGTATTCTATATTTCATTGATATCAATACATTTTTTTAGGATTTTATGGTGTGAACACTGCATAAAGAATGAAAAATGAAGGAAAAGCAGGTTTTCCTTCAATTTCTGTGAGGTTTTGTCTTATTTTTGGTCCTCTTATGGTAGACGGCAGAAGCGTAGAGGGCTACATCTAAGTAAGCCATTTTAATCACTTAAAAAATGCTATGCTAACATCTTAGATCATTGTTCTTTTGCAGATTCATTACCAAGAAATATAGTGTTCCAAAGAAACAGCTGGAAGCAACTCCAGCCACAGCTTGTACGGGGGCACTTGCTTAGACAAGACATTGTTTTGGTGGTGAAAAGGAAGTTTGCCCTGAATTGGGGGTTTTTCCCTACCACTGATGATTTTTCCAATATGGAGCTGCTACATGCTGTAGTAGGATTGTTTAAAGAGGGAGTTCAACTGTGGTTCTTGCTGGAATAAATTGATTGAATTGGGACTTCTGCCTTATTTAGAGAATCTTCTATTCATGTGCCCTTCTATGAATAACAAATCTCCTGGTTCTGCTTTGATAAATATTCTTTTCAGTATTTTTATTTGTTTGTTCCACTTTTAGCTGTGGAATTTGGCTTGCCAAGCTGGAATTATATTCACAAATTGGGGAATCGATCCTCTAGCCAAGTCAGACAATGAGACGACAATTAAGAAATTCTCTTTTGTTTGAAATATTCTTGTGCTTTGCAACCTTTTCGTTTAGAGTCTTTTGCAATCCGAGTCACTGAATGATTTTATCCATGAGAATGTATAAAACTTAAAAGCCAAAAACAAGAATAAAAAAAAAAATAGATCGCCCGAATTTAAACAGACTGTTCATCTCATTTTTCATCAACAACCGCGCGGTGCACGTCTTATCGTTTATTGGATTTCAAGTTTCAACCCCGGAATAGTCAAAGATTATTGAGAGCTAGGTTTGGTAGCATTTTGATGCTTGAATGAGGTTATTCAAATTGTTAAACGTCATCTGACAGAATTAATGTTTCAAACATTGGTACTTGGTAATATAGTCCTAGTCTGTTCAGCAGCTTGCTGATGAATTGAGAAGTCCCCATTTTACTTGCGTATTTAGATATTTAGCATTTAATTTTCACGGTCACGCCATTTGGCTGTAGAGTGACCGTAATGAACAATGCATGCATTGATTTTATGTTCTTGGCATCTTAACTGGGCGTTGTCAGATTTTGTGCTGTTCCTATTCTCTACTTTGTGCTGGCCTCCCCCGCTGTTGTCAAGTAATCCAATTTTGCTTTAGAGCAAAGATCCTTCTGTTGACAAAGCACCTTAGTGCCTCACTGTGTCACATGGTGCTTTAGGCTTTCCAGAAAAAAAATCACATACTATGGCATTGTAAGCAGCCTCTTAAATTCTTGCACACACATAGCAAGTTACAATACATGCGCATTGGATCTTTGCAGGGTTAGTATACGCTCTTGGGATCCTATCTTGTGAGCAAAATATGCACAGCAGATCAATGCCCTTGATACGAATCTGTAGTGCTGTATTATATACATAATGATACAAAAGGAAGCCCAAAAGACCTTAATTGGAGAGAGTTCAGTGGATAAAAGATACCTTTTAAATTATAGGGAAGCAACCAAAAAGAAATGAAAGAAATTTTAGTGAAAAGCTTTCTATCAAATAATGTCCGAGACTCTGAGAGAGGAGAGCACAACAAAAATAATCCAAAGCAACATGAAATACACACATGTTACCCAGGCCCAGATCCTTGGTCCTCCAAGTTCTGCCCCCAGTGTCAAACGCCTGAACACAAGAACAGCAATACAGCCTATAGCAGTACAGAAGAAAACAAGTAGCGAAAAGCTGAGTCCAGCAGCATTTTGAACCCGCAATGGTTCGTTGTATACGAAAAAAATTGTAGGCAGTGTCAATAAGCCATGGAATGCCGATTCCTACATATATGTTCACTGAATTGCTGTAAAGAAAATAATGGACAGATCAGTTTATGATCATGCAACTACTTCTGCATGATAATAGAATTTTAAAAAGTTCGGCAGGTGTAAAACAAGTTTTACAAAAGGAGAAATCTGAGGCTAGGAAGATGATTAGAATAAACAGAAGTCCAGTCCTTGTATAAAGAATTCTCTACCTCTCAAATTTACCACTTATAATTCCTAATATTATCATTGCAGGGGATATCTCTGCACTGTTAATTTTGTTGAACAACACAAAGAGATTGAAGATTGGGCATGTGTTTTCCTCTAACATTTCAGTTTACATATCATTATAGTATACATAACGGTCAGTGTTAGACTTGCATGACTTTCTGTCTTTGGGGTTGAATTTTAACTTTAACAGCAGACTACAACAAGAAAAGAAAAGAAAAAAATAGCAAACAATCTTTTCTTAATTTGACACCAATACCAAGCATAATTTGACGCCAACATCCAGCATTACAAAACCACAAGCATAACAAATCCCATTACCAGCTTTAATCCTCGAACCAATCAGGTCTCCCTGAATCTCTTTTAGAATAAGAAACAGTCTGATGGAAACATTTAGGTATTTTAACTACGACCTAATATTATGTAAGGAAGTCCTAAATAAAGTACAAAAATGAAAAACCTGCAAGTGATGTTTGCAATGGCAGAGTCTGCTGTTGTCTGGCGTTCAGCGGCAATCTTACTCGCCACTAAATCCGGCCATGAAGTTCCACTAGCTAATGCTGTGAATGCAATGACATAAGCATTCATTCCTGCAATGATATAAACCATTTGTGAAAAAAGGGGGAGTAGATTGAAGATCTAAACATGATAATCAACAACCCCAGAAAAGGAAACTGGGATAATAATTTGTAGATTGGAAACCTGTGACACAGCTTATGAGATCGGTGACCCTTGTTACAATGTAAGCTATTCCACTGATGAAAAGTAGAGAGCAAATAAAGGCAATCCAGCCATGAGCAAATTGATATGGGGGTACAAAAGGGAACAAAAGTCTCCATGGTGCAAGGATTAGTTGCCAGGAAATTCTTACTGCCTGCAGATTGTTTAATTTTCTTGATTCTGGACTTTCCAATTATTCCCACAAAATATAAGGAAATGTAAGGGAACAATAAGAAAACTTTGCGGTGGAAATGAACAAAAGAAGTTTAAACATAGACTTGTAAGCACAAAACTGTTTGATAAGATAACAAAATGAACTCAATCAAAAGCAATGGATGCCAAGCACTAATACAATTCACATGAGACGTATGAAATTTTATTTAACACAGAGAGAGATGATCCCGAGCATTATCTTTTTTTATCAGTAAGTAAAATATATTGATCCAAGTAGAGATGCCAAAAAGGGGCACCACCATCTTGATGCTGGAAGTATCCAAAGAACCCCTAGCATAATTCTTGGCCAGAAAACAGAATTTTTAGCCTTCAATTTCTTACGGTAGTTACTAAAAATACATACATATATATATATAGCATGAGTTGCAATATCATGATTGCATCTACAAATTGCTCTTTCCAAAGAGAAAGCACATGAAAATGTTTGCTGGAGGATTCAGCTGCACCATCACACTTTTTGATAGACTGGACCTGCACAGAAAAACGTCTAGGTTGAAAAATAAAGACAGTAACTAAAAATGCATGATTGAGCTATCTGTCATCTTCTCGCATATGCAAAACCTAACTGATGCGGCAACTTGATTGTTTGATTATAACACTACACAGAGCGGCTTATCTTTCTAGCATCGCCTATATGCTTTTTTTAAAAAAGAGGGGGTGGCGCTGGGGAGCATGCTTGATAATCTTAAGGAAAAGATCCTAGCTGTAACAGAATCCTTTAGCCTTGGTTGGGGAATGAGACAATAATAATAATAATTTCACTGCCCTTCTCCTAAAGAAAACCTCACAGTTCAGTTTAGCTCCCATTCCTTCCCCCCCCCCTCCTCCTCTCTCTCTCTCTGGATAAACAACATGGAATATGTCTTAAGTTGCACTCTCATTCCACCACCTATTCTGTCAGTTGCAAGTTTAATATTCCATAATCTGAATGTAGAAATGCACCTGTCACATTATCTGAATGGATAGAGAATATGTCAACAACATTTCCTGTTTTCTTCACCACCATGACGTGTCTCAGAGAAATCTTCATACACATTGTTCTCATGCTTAGGTGAAGGAGCCTCTTCCGGCACCCACTCCTCTGGCCTTTTTGTTCTTGGACTTCAGATTACAAGAAGCATCAAAAGTAGGATAATTGAGCAGGAAACCAAATTGGAAAAATGATTGCTTTTATTCCACAAGAAAATAAAAGGGGAATTAAGAAACACATACATAGGAAGGGATAAGTAGGGCCAACGCTTGTCTTGAGCATAAGCATGCATTAGCAGTAAATCATATTGCAACACTGTCAATAAGGCTTCCCAAAGCGAAATGACATTTGGAGTACATACCTGCAACATAAAGCAAGAGTCGAGACCTTTTTATTGACAAGAAAGTGTTTGATATAGGTCAACTCAACAACTGCATCTTTTCAGATGCAGTTAAGTTCTGTTTGTAGGGGCAAAAAAAAGGGAGAGATAACCATATCATGAGACCCACATGCAGTAACATCGTGTTTTATCCATTTCATGGAATCCAGCTATAATTTCAAGAACCACAGTTGGGGAATAGGGATGTTTAGTTAATTATCTAGCTACGACATATCATAGCAAGACCAGTCTATATGAAAATAAACATATGCAAAATGCATATGTACATGTAGCTGAAGTTGAGAACATTGATAATAGAACGTAAAAGCACCACTATTGGCATGTCTAGAAAAGTAAAAGATCCAGTGGCTGAAAAATGAAGATCTTCATTAATGAATCAAAATATATATTGCAAATCATAATGTATTCCAAAAGCTACACACTGCCGCAGTTCATATTTTGTTGTTGTGGGGGGGGGGGCGGCGGGGTGTGGGGGTGTGGGGGGATGCATATAGCATATATTACCTGTAAATTATGTAAAGCCAAATGTATGCCCAGAAAGACCAAAACAGCTTCACCAGCCAAACTCCTATATCAGCAATCTTTTTCAATACTCCGGCTTTTGGAACCACAACACATACAGCATGTTTTGGAAAAAGGTCAAATGCAGCAGAGCCAATGAGTGTTCCAGGACCCAACCCTAAACATTATGTAATTTTGCAAGCTTTCAACAATGTCAACTTGACACAATACCACTCATCATTCACACCAATTTTGCAAACTGTCAATAATAGGATGCAAAATGATTCAAATGTAAGACAAACATTACCATTCTGATTATTATTGATTAATATTAATACGCAAACAGTCAATCATACATACATTAAAAAGAAGTATATATGAGAAGAAAAAGGTGGAGAGAGAAGACTCTAGTATCATGAAATCAAAATTGAAATGAAGTTTATCCGCATCGTCACAAATTAACAGCATATCCAATATTGGACCAAAAAAGAAAAAGACTTCCAACCTCTTTCTCTCACAATAATCTTTTCACAAACTTTTGAAACTCTAAGGTGGTAACATGCTGTCAATAACAGTATATTACTATATTCAATCTGTAAATTTCAAAGCCTTTCAACCTTTTCCCTCACAACAATCCTTTCACTGATTATAAAGATGCACAAACTTTCATCAACCATAGAGATCTTAATCGATCAGGTAACTCTAACCAGCTCACTGGTGGCCGATCCCACGCAATAGATAAAAGATAGAAGAAAACAACAATGTCATTTTCCGAATATTATTTAGCTTGCAAACTGAAGGTAGGGCATAATTTGCCAACGCCTGGCAAAAAACAATGTAAAAGAAAAGGGAGATAATTGACCCCATTTGGTTCAATTGCTAGTGGCTAGTGAGTGAGGGAATTGTGGATGGCCGAAATAGTAAAGATAACAATGTAGGATTAAACAACAAGCTCATAGACACAATATATATGATATCACAAACTTTATACTTTAGCATCCAAATTCAATCGAAAATGTCCATATTGAAAGAAATTTGAAATGGCGTGCAAAAGTTACAAACCTCCAGCATACAGTTGACCAACATTTCGTATGGCATCAGTAGTAGCTAGTGAGATCTGAGGAAAGCTTGTTCCAAAGGCAAGCAAGGAAATGTCTGCAATTGCATAGTTCCACACCTACTCATATCTGATAACTTCAGTATTCTTGTACGGATCAATCTCCACCACTTTCCTGGAATGCTTAACAACATTCATAGACAGGAAAAAACGAGCAGTTATTGCCGTTAATCCAATGAAACAATAAGCAAGACCAAAAAAATATAAGAAGGTCCGAAATCCTCTCCAAGGGCAGTTTCAACTAGGGATGGCAGCGGGCAGGGTAAAAAATGGGTACTCTACCTAGCCCGCTCATTAGTTACCGTTTTCAAATACCCTGGTGTTAAATATGGATAAAATAGTATTACCTATTTATGTTAATAGATAATTTATTTATAAATATGAATATTTTTTTATCCTATTGATACCTATCCTTTACTCATTAACATAAAAAGTACTAAAATACAAAATTTTAAAATAAACAAAAAAATAAGAAGAAAAAAGTATATAATTAATTATTCGGATGGTTTCGTTATTATTATTATTATTATTTATATATTAAAAAATAGTATTTTTAAGGCACTTATATAATTAACTACGATTTCGTTGATATTATTATTATTATTATTATTATTTATCATTCAGTTTAACATTTATCCAAACAATCACACAAGTAATTTGACTAGTGAATCTCTCTATTTTATTATTATAATAATTATAATTTGTGAATTATTCTTCGCAAATCTCATTATTAATATTACTCTTAACATGGATAAATAGCTTAATTTTTTTTTATTGGTCAAGTCAATCTAGACATTATCGTGGATAATATTTATTCACAACTTAATTATTAGATTTTGGACATTATTATCATGGTAATATTATTGCCGTACTTGAGATTTTTTGATATTATCTCGCACCTGGCAATCAATATCTTTAATTACTTAATTAATTATATGTAAATAATAATAATGATAATAATAATAAATAAAGTGATGTTATTACCTGATTTATTTCCTTTCAAATGATCCGTGGTCATGAAACATACCAAAAAAATCAAAAAGTTTTGTTTGTTGTTTTGCTTCATTTTTCAATCTCAAGTGTGCTCTGGTACTTTTTTCTCCCACATGCAAAAGCTTTTGGATTTATTTTGGTTCAATAGAACATCTTGGAGCAAATTTCAAGTTTAATTGTTGTGGTGTCCTTTTGGATTTATAAGAAAAATAAGAGTTAATGACACTGAGAAAAACCACTATGAGTTTTTTTTCATCTTTCTCAATTAAGAAAAAAACTTTGTATAAAAAATAAAAAATAAATTAAATAATGGTTCGTAATATAATCCAACTCGTAAATCTTAATTTACTTTAACAACCACTTCATATTAATTAACATCATCATTTCAGTTAAAAAAAAATTCAGTAAAAAAATTTTAAAAAAAATCCTCAATTTAAAGAAAAAACGTTAGCGGATAAATGAGTATGAACAGAGTATAAGCAGAGTATAATATAACGGATATGGGCAGAGTAAAGAAATGAGTAAATGATTTTTAGTGGATAATGAGTAAGATAATGAGTATAGTATTTTTTAATAGGTAAGACAAGAAATTAGCTTAATGCCCGATCCCATCCCTAGTTTCACCACGGAAAATAAAATAGCTTTCACATTTTTTATGTCCTAAAGTATTGAAAACTCCAAATCTTCCCTCATCACTTTCGTTATACGCGGAGGCCATATCAGTTAGCCTCAAGTTGCAGCTTAAACGAGCTGCAGCATCAGCAATTCTTGCAGAACACCGACAAAACCTGAAGAATTTACAATTACGCACAGATAAATCCTAATTCAAGACCAAAATAGATTCGTTTTTTCTCTCTTTAATGCTGAACTATTGGATTGAACAAAGGTGCTCTTGCTAATTAATTTCGAAAGTAAAAAGGAAGAAGAACGACCACGAATATCGAAAAATTAAATCTACCACCCAACCAAATCAAATAATTGCAACCTCAAAGAGGAAAATTAAGTCTTTGATCATGTACTAGAACCGCACATTTTGATACATAGGAACTGAATTGATAAAGAAAACTAACTAAGAAGAAGTTCCCCGGAGAATCGCCGACGACCGAACGGCGATACGTGAGGAGTGTGTGCATTCTAAACAGTGGAGATTCAATGATGAAGAAGAAACACGCAGAAATACATGGTTCCAATGGTTGTATAAATCAAATAATTTATTCGGTTATTATATAAAAAGATAAGTATCCCCACATTGTGTAACCTAATAAACACAGACCCGCTGATGAACGAAAAAAGAGCACACAAAAGTTAAATAACGCATGGTGTCGGGTTGAGAAATTTTATAATATTGACATGTAATCTAATTATTTCATATATTTATTTTAAAGAGAGAAATATAAATATTGAATTATATTCAAACTCATCAAAAGTGATAAGAAAATTTTTATATTTTTTTTTTTTTTAATTTTCTGTTTCCTATATCTCTCGTCTATTTTTTTTTAATTTTCTCTCTTTTGTTTTTCTCTCTACGAAATAAATTCATGAAATAACTATTATACATGTTATTAATTACTTTTTAAATATTATAAACTTTCTCATCTTGGGTTTGGCTTTGTTCTTCTTCAACATTTAAGAAAAATACAATAATTAGTACAATCTGCACCATCTCTCGAGTACAAACAATTCCTTGATTAGATTTTTATATCAACTTAAATTCTAATTGAATTTCTATACTAAATCAAATTGTTTTATGTGAGTTATTTGTTAATAATTTAATTAACAATATTAAGTTAATTGCAGGTGACCCATGTATTTTGATAGTTGATCGTGTTATTTTTTTCGTCTTATTTTTTATTACTTAAAACATTTATGAAAATTATAAAATAAATAAAACAAAGACAACCGGTACCAATTTGAAAATTCTAGTTTCTTTTCATTTGATTTTTTAACAATTTTTATAAATGTTTTCTATCAAATAATCACGTTCAGCTTTTTCCGTAGATATAATACCCAAAATCTGGGGTGCAAAATATGTGTTTTCTATCAAATAATCCTCAATCCGAAGGGTATAATTTAAGGGACTAAAATGTAAACATTTTTCAAAAGTTTGGGGGTGGCGTTTACCCCCCAGTTCCGCCCTGGTTCTTGCTGGTCGAACTCAATTTTAACTTGCAACAGCCAACAAGTTATATAAAAATTTTAAGAACTTAAGAACAATCACCTTATTTATGTCATAAGTAGCCAGTATGTTTATATAGGTAAGAGCTTCAGTCCAACACCTTGTATTTATCGTAGAATTTCACCCCTCATACTAAAATTTTATTCAACTAGCTCTTGTATGATCGGATTTTGTTCAGTTTCATTTAATTGGTAACTTCTTTTAGATCTATTCATTAAATCTAATAGTATGGTTTTAATCCATATGAACATTTTAACGGGTTGTCGATTGGATGGAAATTACATGACTAATGAACCAAATTTATAACATGCGATTAAATAATCAACGGAAATATAAAAGTTAAATAATTCACCCAATAATTTCTCTCTTGAGTCGTACATTTTGGACAGGATCTGATTTTTCATTTAAAGACAAATTTTTGTTAACTTAGAGTTTGGCCAATACCAAATATACCGGAGGCTGCTATTATCCTTCAAGTTTATCAGAGAGTCAGAAAGAAATGTGCAAACAAGATTAGAACAATTATCAGTAATCTTTGGTAATACATAGCCTATCTCTAAAATGGTGACATCGATTGCAATCTCCAACAATAACCTCCTGATCAAACGCTCCAGATATCATTTTCGTACGCCAATACCTGGACGCTAGAGTCCAGACGAAGTTGAAAATGCAAAGGGTAGCCACTAATTGCTGCACACATTAAAGTAAAGCCACAGTTATGGTGCTGAATACTCGATAATTATTGGATAGAGTATCTTTAACACGGAGTTCCACGTCATAGGTTTTTTGCATGTAGATCATTCCGTACGCACTTCCTTGCACGTTTATAAATAACACATATACGAGCTTTTTGCTGTGTTTTTTTTTGCAAAAAATCCAATACAATAGTTCTCGTACAAATAAATCACAATAGAGTATTTTGCAATCCAACAGTTCTTATACAAATAGATCACAATAGAGTAATCTTAAAGTTCTTAGACAAATAGATCACAATATATTGCTACAAGTTAAGTGTACCATTTATATATTGCCATAAACTAATGCTCATGCTAATAAACAATTTTTCTCTTTTGCATCGATAAAATCTATAGCAAGACCTCAACTCCGATGGCTTTATTATTATTGAAAAAATATGGATTGGATAAATAATAAGTTAAGTGTAGTAAAAGAGAGTGTTTTCAAATAGAATATTTATATATATAATAGTCAAAATATTAAAACTGATCATATAACAGTTATGATAAACTTGTGCTCATGCTAATAAACAATTGTTCTCTTTTGTATTGATAAAATCTATAGCAAGACCTTAAATCCGATGGCTCTATTGTTGGAAAAACATATCTTGGATAGATAATAAGTTAAATATAACGAAGGTAGTGTTTTCAAATGGTATGTTTATATATATTTAATATAAAAAAAATTAATACTTACTCATTATGACTGTTGAATTGATACTGCTGAGTATATTTAAGATGAATTGCCAAAATTCCTATATCGTGTTCTCTTGTTTTCATCTTTGAATTTCTGCAATTTTGTTTTTTCAAACTCAACATCTATCGTGTATGTGTATTATATATATAAAGCATCCTCATGTCTCATTTCTTTTTTTAATTCTAAATTGATTTAGGTGTTGCTTAGAATTCTATAAATAAAAGTTATTAGAGATATTTTTTTCCTTGATTGAAAGTTTAGAGTTATTTAATATATTTAATGTCACAACTAACTGTAATTAGAGATATCTTTTTTTCCTCGATTGAAAGTTTAGAGTTTTTTTAATATATTTAATGTCACAACTAACTGTAATTTAAAGTTGACAATAGAGAATAAAACAGAAAAAAAAAGTACCCATTTATAGTCTTTCTATACGAAGAGAGTTAATGAAAAAAAAGAAATACATATAATTATTATAACTAACTATGTGCTTTGGAAATATATATGCTTGGAAAGATTAAAATCACGAAAATTCTCTGAAGTCATTTGTCACTCAAGACAAATTTCATGCTATTATAAAGTTTAATAAACATCTTGCAATTAAAAAGTAAAATAAACTTCATGCAATTAAAAAGTAACGCAATTACACAAACAGTAAAAAATCTTATTGTAGCAATCCCATATAGATAACTAAAAATTTCCCTTGCAGTGAATTTTGTACAGAAAAAACAACAAAGAAATATATTTAAACAACAATTTTCTCTACAATTGGAATCAGAGTGTGGAAACCAAACCAACCAAAAAAAAACAGAGAGAGAGAGAGAGAGGATGCCAGTTATATGACAGGTTGTTTGTGAAATGCAGAAAAACATATAAATGACATTTTGTTTGTGAAATCTAAAAAAACATAATAAAAAAACGTATGTGCAGTGCTACTTTACCTCTTGACCACTCATTATATTTTAATTAGATTGAATTGGAAGCTTTCTATGTTTTTTTTTTTTTTAAAAAAAAATACAAACCGATTCATCAGACAAAAAAAGAATAAAAAAAAAAAAAAAGAAGAAAGAAAGTGTGAGATAACCTCCAAAAACAGAGACTGAATAAAAGGTGAATTAAAATGGGAACAAAAAAAAAACCCAAAAGAAGAGAACTTAAACTATGAAGTGTGGTATATAGCCAAGACACATATTAATTTCACCTATTTTCAATGGGTGCGTTGTATGGTAGGATGAAAAACGTCCAAAAGAGAGGGAAAAAAAAGGTTGGAAGAGATCACTATGTAAGAATAAGGTTGAGAACAAAGGAAAAAACTTTGGTCATGACTCTGTTAAAAAAGAAGCTCAATAATACATTTCTCTTGAAAGAGATTAAAATTGGAGAGGGAGAACAAACGTTAGGAAAAAAGAAAAGGGCAAAAAGGGAAAGGGAGCGAGAGCACGCAAGAGACAGACAATAAGCCTTGGGGGAGTTGGAGAAGATCTGCCATCATTGAGATTGCCTGCATTATTTTCTTTAAGGTTATCGTAGCAGTTCAATATAAAAAAATATATCATTTGACCCTTGGACATCGTTTAGAGAGAGAGAGAGAGAGTAAGATAGCTGGTAGCAAAAATAAAAGAGAAGATAAGGCTGAATGTATATATATATATAAAAAAGAGAGAATGAGACAAATAATTATGTTTGGCAGGGGCATAAAATCTCTCCATGCCTGCAATTATTAAGAAAAAACCAGATTGCTTGGTGGATTTTATTGGACTTTAGCATTAATATCACATAATTGTTTACTTGACAACTTAAACAAAATAAGGCTCTTCAACTCTATGACTACAATTCGAGGTAATTAAAAACATAAGAGTTCAGTTAGATTGACTATTCGTTAGAAAAATCGTAAGGTTAAAATCGTAAAATACCATCTATAACCCTAACCCATTGTGAGTCCGCCGTTATCATTAAAATCTTCAATCTAGACTTTTTAAATTTATTAATCGACCCATTTGTATTAACTCTTAAAATACAAATAAAACGTTCATAAATATAACTAATATGAACAAAGAAGATAGAAGTTCAAGACCAAACATTGCAGCATCGAAAAAAAGAATTTGGTTACAACAAACACAAAACAAGGAGTCAAGGACCAATACTATGTTAGGAAGCAGCAGCAACCATGAGCATGATTTGATTTAAGACATGGCTGGCAGCAAAAATACCTAGCCATGACAATCTCTATAACCAAACTCTAGCTAGCAAGAAATTTGGATTGTATTGATAGCATCTAATACACGAATTGAAAATAAAAATCCACTTAACAGTAGCCAAAATTTCCAAGAACAAGGAGTGAGGAAAATCACCAAACAAAACAAGTCTACAGATCCAACAGCTGATATAGATGATAAAGGCGGACCTAAAATAAGTAAACAAAACAGGTAATATGAAGAAATACTGAGCCAAGTCTTTAGTCTTCCTCCTCTCCCTCGTTCTCAGCAATGTTAAAGTAGCGCAATTCATAAACATTCCTGTCTTTGTTGGAAGCAATAACTCGAAGCCAGTCCCTCACATTGTGTTTCTTCAAGTACTTTTTGGTCAAGTATTTAAGATACCTGAAAAAAAAAATCACGAACAATATGAAATAATATCTAGGTCAGATAACAAAGTTGGATGTAGAAGAGAAAATAATACTACCGTCAGACATCTACAAATTCTACATAATAACAATCAATATATTTCATCAATCCAAAGATACAAAACCTGCTTGCTTCCTTCTCTCTAGTTGCTTATTAGTCAATAGCATAAAAGAGAAGAACAACTTTGTTTCAGATATCCAATTGATATTGCAAAACAAAACATTTTATCATTTCCCAAACTTCAAAATGACTATGATATTGCAAACCATAAAAAATAATGTTTTATTCCTTCCCATTTTTTTACCCATTTTCACCTAGCTACTTTAAGAAAATAAAATTGCCAACAAGTCCAGCAGGTATTGTAAACGAAAACACAAAATTCATAATAAATTCATAATGAAAACGCAAAAGTCATAATAAATTGAGAAGGAAATGTTTGATTTTCATCATCGTCATTATCAGCAACTACATTAAAGACTACGAGCTTTTTTTTTTTTTTGAAGAAAGAATTAAAACAAATATTTACTGATCAAGGATCGCTGAGACAATGATTTATTGCTGTCCCTAACAAAACAAAATGTATAGTTTCTTATTATGAGCAACAGTCAAACTCCTAATTCTTATGAAACTTGGTCCTTTGAATTAGAACATAAGAGGATTCCATAAGCAGAATGGAAAAGGTTCAGCTTTTATATCAAAATATAAGCACAGAAGACACTGAATAAGGATAGATTCAGACAATGAAGAGAAATAAAAATTGATGAGTAAGTACCGCTTAGAGAAGTTGCTGTCCGAGGTAACGGTTATCTTGTTCTTCTCACGAGTAACGGTGACAGCGTCACCAAGAGCACCAGCCTTTCCACCAACCTTGATCCTCTCCTGGAGGAACTTCTCGAGAGAGGCGATATCCATGATCTTATCCTCCACTGGCTTAGCGCAGTCAATGACGAAGGACGCTCCCTTCTTCTTCCCCTTCGCTCCTGCTACTGCCGCCCGACTCATTTTTGCTCTATCAAAAAGAATTCTTGATTTTCACAAAAACAAAGCACCGAACTCTCTCTCAGCTGATAAAAGGGCGCCGTATGGATGAGAGACTGATTATATTGGACGAGATGGAGAAGGGCTCTAGGGTTTTTCTTTTCTTTTGGAAGACTCCTTCTCACGACGTCGTTTTTAGGCTTCCTTTTTCGTCATTTAAACGTACAGTGATACGGCGTTTTTGCTAAAATAATGACGTCATCTCGGCACATATAAGTAATATCTGCAAACTACGTCGTTTTTATTTTTGTTTAGCAAGCGGAAAGAAAAAAAGGGGAGAGAAATGGGAATCGGGAAAAGAGAGAGATGGAAGAAGAGCTCATCGGCGTGGTACCGTGCTCTTCACTCGCCGTTGATTCCATCTTCCGTCTTGGAACGGTAATCGTAACTCTCTAAAGAGTTTCATTGACAGGCAGAGAAACCTTGATTGTTCGATTGATTGGTCAAAACTGAATAAACTTTTGTGATTTCTGTACAGGCAGGTGCAATTTGGGGGTCATGCATAGCACCTTATGATGCTTGTAAAAAAGGTGATTTCCTCCTGAACTTGGTAGTGGCTACCATCTATTCAAAATTGATCTCTCTCGCTCTCGCACTTATTGAATTTGTTTTCCTCTTTGTGTACAGGCCTGACTGGCGTGGCTCAGGCTTCCTTTATGGTAAGATAGTTTCTATTACTATTACATTTCTTGAATGTTTTTATTTTTCTTTTTGGTGTGATTTTTTTTTTTTTATTAATTTTCATGTGCAGGCAAAGACAATGGGCAAGTTCGGTTTTCAAGGTGGTAATTAGCTGAATCTATCTTACTTGGTTGGCTTTTTGAAGCTATGGCATTACACTTGAAATTCTCATACATCGAATGTGCGGAAACATGTATTAGTTTATATTTCAATCAATGCTATTAGAGGGAGATGATTTAGGTGATCTTCAACAAGTTTCTAACTAGTAGAAAATCATAATGTATTTGGGGATCGGATAGTTGCAAATGTGAAGTGGCCTGGATGGGTGTCTAAGCATCTGTCCATCTTATTACAACCGCATATGAAATCATAGACATATCATGAGGTCAATAAAGAGTAAACCAATGAATTGTTCAATTTGGATTAGATCATTAGTATGAGATTTAGGAAATAGAAATGAGCGAAAATAGAATCATAGAAATGTAAGTTTCATGGTTTGTGATTCTGTGTAGCACTTGAATATTTAGTGATAGTACAACATCATATGGTTATTACGTATTGGTGTTCCTTTGAAGACACTTTTCAATATCGCTTTTCTGCCTGTTTATTGTCTTATTGCTCAGGGCTTGTTGCTGGAGTTTTTACTGCTACTCGTTGTGGAATTCAAAGATATAGGAGGCAGAATGATTGGGTTAGTTATATATCAGGCATGTTGTCATTGCTACTCATAGATCAATACAACATAAATCATTACCTGTTTGACAATTGTAAGATCTAAGTTATTGTAATATTGAATTTTTGCCCCTACATGCATCTAATTTTTAGTGAGATACCTTTTTTGAGCAGGGAAGCTTCACACGAGAAAAGCAAGGATAAAAGATCATGATAATATGAAGTATCTTCATTTTCTTATGAATATAATCAAAGGGAATTTTTAGACTATCTTTTAGTCTCTATTATTTTCTTTTAAGGAATATAATGTGACAAGGCAATGATTTTATATAGTTTGCTCTTATTGGGTCTTTCTACAAAGGCTCTACCCTTTGGGTGGTGTCATTCCTACTTTCACCAATTGTTGTTTCCGTTCCACTATTATTTTCAGTGACTAATATAATCTTATTTAATATGTTTCTTGGATTATAATTCAAATTACAACTATTGCCAGTTGTTAACCTGCACAAAAAGAGAGAAGAAGAAAAAGAAAAGAAAAGAAAGGAAGTTAGTTCTTTTATCAAACACGATGCACTCTTGGAAAAAGCTTGACGATCCAGTCAAGAACATATCAAAGTTTTTTTCTTCATACAGGTGAATCCTTTAATTGCGGGTGCTGTGGCTGGGGCAGCTGTTGCTGCCGGGACACGAAGCTGGACACATGTTGTTGGGATCTCTGCTCTGCTATCTGCCTTTAGCGTTGCTGCTGACCATTCCAAAACATTCTGATTTATCTGCCAAAACATACCATAGATGGTAAAGCTAGGTGATCTTCGGCCCCTACCTGCCTACAATCTACATCCTTCCTGTTTTTTTTAATAAGATATTTTCTGTTACTGGAACATTGTTATCTGATTCAACTGAAATTGAACTTAAGGTTGTGTCATTTGCTTCCATTTGATAGAAGACTCGCCTAGCTAGATTTTCCAACATGGATTAGATTTTCTTTCTTTATTTAGATTTGGTTGACTCCTGCAATTAGCTATACCTTGAAGTTCCATCTTTGTCTTATGTCTATTTAATTCTTCCTTTATCTTCTCTTAGGATATCACCCTCAAATCTTTATATTTCACAGTTCACAGCAATGTCATCTATTCTTTTTGATGAACAAGGTATTTTAATTTCCACTAAACCATCTTCTATTGTATCATACTTTTCGGAATCAGGTTTTTTTTTATTCCCCCTATTTTCTTGATTATTTTCTTGATTGTTTTTGCACCCCCCACTCCCCCTCTTTTTTGGTTCAGCGGAGAGCATAGAGGCACGGTTCAGTACTAGGAAAGATGAGATATTGCACCATTAATGTTTAGTAGTGAGGGATGAAGCAGTGAGGTGTGAGGGAGGACTGAACAACTTTTAGCAGGACTGGGTAGCAAAAGGAGTATTTTCGCATGTCTAAGGGAGGTAGTCGTAGTAGTATGTCTAAGGAATGAGCAGTGGGCACGATTTTCTAAGAGAGAATGTTTAGCAGAGTTAAATGAGAGGGGAAAAAAGGGTAGGTTTTCGCATTTGGGATGCTACCAAGTGCCCTAGAAGGGTTTGATAGGATAATAAGTTTCCAGGGGATACATGGTCACACTCTCAATTCCACCATGAAGGATCATTAAGGATTGTTTGACCATTGTTGACAAGCCGTGTTCCAAGCTTACCAAGCCACGACTCTCTAAAGGTATTGTTGATTTAGAGATTAACAATGGATCTTGCCACAAATTCTCAAATTCTACAGTCTGGCCTTGTGTCATGCTCCTTGCACATTTTCCAGTCCATGCAAGAAAAATTATGCACAGAGATAGTAATTAGTATAATAATTAGCCAATAATTATAGGAGTCGTGCTTATTAAAACAATGACTGGAGGATGATTGTTGCAGTGACCTCAAGTCTTTAGTGACCTCACTTTTTTGTAATGTAAAAATAAGTAAAGTGTTTCTTTTTAGGTAATTCAGTTTACATGTAATTAATTAAATTTCATGGAAGTCGTTGGGAGGCTTGACCCATGGTTGGAAAATAAAGGACCGCTTATTCACAAAGCTATAAATCAAGTTCACGAGGGTGCCGTGAATCTCTGTGTTGCTGCTTATTCATCAGAATGTGGCTGGAATCGAATCTATACCATAAGCTGCTATCCAACCGAAAATCAAACCCTAAGAGCCTTTCCTTCCTGATTGTGCGTTCTACTTAGCTTTCGACCTTCCGCTGTCATACTTGAAGTCATGTAAGAAAATCCCGATTGGAAGCATTAGAATTAAGGTAATCATGAAATTAAAATATAAATTATCAACACACATGGAAGTAGTTGATTTTAAAATGATCCATTGCATTACTTGTGTATAGAGGAAGAGAGGGTGATCGATCTTGCATCAAGTGGAAAAAGGCCCGAAAATGTATCTAAACGAAGGAACCCTCGGAAATGCTCTAGTTTTCTCTGAGCAGCTGTAGACGGCTGAATCAGTTCTTGTGTTCAGTTAGTAGACTTCAGAGCCCTATAGATTTTTCCGGGTCAAAATCCGTCCCCATTTAAAGTTAGGAAACCAAACGCTTTAAAAGTGAATTAACATGCTAAAAGAAAGTTCGTCTACAGAATATGGATGCAAGTACGTAATGGATAGATGGATGATTATGTCTACTTATTTACCATCAACTATTAAATAAAATGTCTCTCCAATATTGTAGTGAAGTGAAAAAAAGAGGGAGACTTGTTTCTGTCCGTAAATCAATTCCATCTGATGAACTGTTTGACAAGTAGCTTATTAAGACTTGGGAGATCAGCTCTGATAAAACTTATTGTTGTATTTTGCACATAAAATAGTTTTAGTATATTTAACAACAAAATTTTAATATATATATATATACACACACATTCATATAGCAGGCCCAAAGGTCTAATCATCCCAAACCCCATCCCAAACCCAAGAGTTTAAAAAACACAGGACATACTTAACGAGCAATCCGGTACCAATCATCAAGCAAAATGTAGTATAGTTGGGTCTTAAAACACTTGATAGAAAAAATTGGGCAAACCTCAAAAAAGTTCCTCAGGTATAGAATTCGCCACCATTAGAAGTAATGTACAAGGTGTTATGAATATCTTATCGCATAGAAATGCCATCAAAATTGAAGATCCATATAGTGTTCTACGTGAAAATATTGAAACCATTCTTCACGGATAATGAGAATCCAAATGGAAGAGTTTTGTTGACGTCATAAACGATGACTGCATAGTTTGACACGCGTGAAATGCCATAAAGGAAACAGTACTACATGAAATAGAAAGAGTTACCATAAAATGAGGTTAGTTAAGTCTTGTAAAAGCAAAGATGGCAAGTTGTCCCGCCCTAGTTAACGCATAGATTTTTCGAGTTGGTTGAATAATGGGACATGATGGAACGTTTTGCTATGTGTTAATTTTGAACAAGAATAGTATTTGTTCGTCTTGTCTTATTTGTTTTATTTATTTCACTCTATCTCTAAAATTATAATTATATTTTATATAAAATTTATAATTATTGACTCTTAAATTTTATTTTTTATATTAATTATTATTATTTTTTGTTATAGTTTAAAATTTGATAATAGAATAAAACAGGATAGGACGAAAATAAAAAATTAAACGATGCATCAATATCTCACGAGGATTCTCATCTTTGTTTAGAATAAAAATGGTATGAGAAATATTACTCTATATGAGACATGAGACTGAGCATGGTACAAAATTTTCAGAGACAAGACAAGGACGAGGGCAAGGTCTAATGAACATGATATGTTGTGTTAAAAGTAACACCAGGGACAAATCCAAAATAACTACACTCAATGTTGTCTACTCGATTTTTTTTTCCCCAGTCTTAAGATGTTTCATAAAAATAAGTAACAAAACTTCATTGCATTTTATTCAATCTTTTTGTCGGCGTTTTTAGATCACTTAACAATGATTGATTCCATGCATGCTCTTTGATTTATTTATTAATTAGCTTCACTCTAGCTTTTCTTCTACAACATCATTGTCCAACTTGCAAATAAATGATTACCTTAGTTTTTAAAACAAAATGAGGTAAATGGATTAAAGTTTTTTTGAACTTTAATATACAAATAATTCGATGATAGAAATCATTCAATAAAATTTATCTAGAACTTTTAAAAATATTTTGAGATCATTTTAGATAATTTCATATTTTTCTCAATTTTTTACAGTTTTAAAATTCAAAAAATAAAAAAATATATATTTTTCAGTATTGAAAAATTTTGAATTTTTTTTTAAACAGATTAATTTTTTCTTATAAGCAAGCAAAACGTTAGCTCAAAATACTAGAATGATTTAAATTTTTTTGGAAAGAGAAATGATATCTAGAAATCATAAGATGAATTAAAATTTAAAAAATCAAATCTAAAATTGAAAGTTAATTACTCATTCAAATGAATTAAAATTGAGGGAAGATTTGGCTTATTTAGCTCTTTAAAAAATGATTTGCAAAACTGCTGTAGGGAGGCTGAAAAAAAAAGACAGAGAGAGAGAGAGTCCATGGAAATTTTGTTTGGTCATCCGTACTATCTTTGCGAATAACCATTATTGTGTTCTGTGGGTTTAAACGTAAATTAGCGACATAATAATAAGATAAACATAAATGCTGAAAATAGTAATTATTTATCTTTTATTGTCTTAGACAAATATCCAACTAATTAATTTCTCTACTTTCATTTATGGTAGCCGTGTCGTGTACACATCAAGATTGCTCGTAGATTAGGTGATTTGACCAAATTTAACCCTCTAAACGTATGTTAAAGACCACCTACAATATCTACTATGTTGAAGAGAGAGAGAGAGAGAGAGAGAGATAAACGTTTCTTAGTGGTCACTTATTTTATGAACAAAGTATCAAAAGTATACTGAACACTTAAGAAAATAGAGAAAGTTCCTATTTGAAGGGAGCTGGAACATCTAAAGGTTGATCTAATTGTTAAGGAAATGTATTCTATTTTTTTAATTCAAATTTTACAGATTCATGTGAAAATATGTTTTTAAAATAGATTCAATTTGATTGAATCTAACAATATCTCACACTAAAAGAATTTATTTGACTAAATTCATCAAATTTACATAGAAAATGAAGAAATTTAATCTTGATAAATCAATTCAAAGATATCCCACTATTGAATAACAATAATAATAATAATAAAAAAAATCTCAGGATCGACGGATCACATCAAACAGATGGGTCAAAATTAATACATTGGGTTTCGTGATAAGGATGGGTGGAGTTTAAAGGAGTTTGGCAGGTAGCATCCTTTTATTTATTGGTAATCTAGTAACAGCATGGGCATATTAACAAATGCCACCTCATCACTTCTGGAGAAGTTCAAACTCCTATAAATATAATAATAAAGCATCCTAACAGTTCAACGATCGAATAAGGATAGTAAACAAACCTCACCGGATCTCTCTCCCCAAATGCTTCCACATTTTTCGCGTTATTTTTCACTGGTAATATTTTTTTCTTCACAGTATAGAAGAGTTCTCTCTGTCTGACCTTAAGCCACTCATGTTCTTCCTTTGATCCTTTCCGACTTTGATCAGTTTATGGTGGTTTCTCAACATTGGTTTTTCTCCTTAGCTTTGAATGAAGATGGAGTTTGAATATCAAGAGGTAATATACATAATTTAAGGTTTTGAATCCATCTACCATTAATTCTTTTCTTTGACGACTGCCTAGCTCCTTTTGTTTTAATTAAACTTGGTAATGGAGATATTTATGATGACATATATGGTTGTGTTTCGACAGGAGTATATAAAAAGTTCAAGAGGAGTGCAGCTCTTTACGTGTAGATGGTTGCCTTCAAATTCATGTTCTCCAAAAGGACTTGTTTTTCTTTGCCATGGTATGGCCTTCCTTCAACTCTCTCTTTCTCTGAATTTCTACAGATCTTTCCGTCTCAGTCGTACTGCTTTGTGTTTTGTTTGTTGAGTGTTTGGTGGGAATTATTAATTGAATTCATTAATGGAGTTTGCAGGGTATGGCATGGAGTGCAGTGGTTTCATGAGAGGTAATAAATTCCCTTGAATGACGTCTTTTGTTTTTCTGTACGATATTTTGATGCAATGTCTTAATTAATTGTTCATGCTAGCTAAGCACAATGCCTGCCCAGTTTCTTCTTCTGATCACTTGTCCAATAGTCATCATATCCAAACACTCTTTCGATCGATTTTATTTCCATAATGACAACGTTAATTGACATTTAATTTTAAGTGCTCAAACATAGTACTTTTTCTTACTTATGAGATTTATTTGTGATCAAAATTGATGAAAGCTAAAAAAAAAAACCATTGATTTTGCATTTCCTGTGCTAGACTTCCGTTCTAATCGAGGAAGCTGAAATTAGATGGATATGATAATCTTTTGACCGATTAGATTTTTGGTAACCAATATTCCTAGTTTTTTATTTCATTGCTGTGAAATAAATAATTCACTTAAATTAATACAATGTCCACTACATCGGTGACATCATTTCCTTTGGATACTAAAATTTGAATGTAGAAAGCGTGTATATCATGAATAAATAAATTGTTGACATTTATAGCCTTTTATATCAATTGCTCATGGAAGCACGACCAATTTAATTTTTATGGGATTCGATGTGATAATGGTTGTCCATATCCTTTAATTTTGGAAGGGGAGTTTGTAGAAAAGCCTCAGCTCGATTTTTGTATGGAATGGAAATAGGAACACAGCAACTAGCTAGGATGCCCCAACAAGTGCTTTTGCTTTCACACGTGACACATCTGTCTTCGGTTTGGCCTTTTGCATCCATTTAATTAGAAGAGTGGGGATGGTGCCCCGAAGAAAGGACAGCTATTGTCAATAATCAGACAAAAGTGATTAGAAGATGAAGCTAAAGTTGGCCATGTATGCACTGTCGAGTGTCAATTCGTATCCCATACCTTCTGTTGCACTTGTCCCCATCTTTATGTGACCTCACAATACACTCAGGCCACTAAAAGAGCGTAAGAGCACAGTATTGTTTATCTTATCCCCGTCGCTTTTTCATGAATTTTGGGACATGCATGGTTCCGTATGAAACTTCTTCTTCTGGCGACTTGAGCCCCATAACGTGGTGTCCTTACGCGAGTACATATATATATATATATATATATATATATATATATATGTATGTGTGTGTACATGTATGAAGTTATTGTAAAATGGAGAGCTATATATCTAGTATTTCCTCGAATTTCTATTAATCAAATTCATAATTTTTTATTCTATTTTAACAACTTTGTTTAATATGATTGTTCGTCTTTTTGGGATTAGAATAAGTATTCTAATTAGTCACATCACATTCTACTATGAAGCAGAGACTATTTGGGAGATTTGAATTAGTACTTTAGTGGGTCAGCTATGCATCTGTCCGGAAATGGAAACGTGGGTTAGCTGAAATGTTTGGTTAGGTTTGGCGACCAGTCTCTAGTTGGGCTGTAAGGCCCACCAGCACATTTTTCCAATTTTTCTTATATATTCATGGGAAATATTTATGACCCTACCAAACTAAAGGAAATAGAAATCGCAGGACCTGTCTTAATTTTGAACAGAAAGGTCCCTACACTTTATTGCTATACCTAACAAAGTCTTTATATTGGCATCCTAATTTAATGAACAAATTTTTGTTTTGAATAGAATGTGGAATCAGGCTAGCCCATGCTAAATATGCAGTGTTTGGAATTGACTACGAGGGGCATGGACGGTCCACTGGTTCTCGTTGTTACATCAAGAAGTTTGAAAATATAGTGAACGATTGCGATGAATTTTTCAAGTCAGTTTGTGGTAAGCTACCTGGCAATTCATCACTCATTACTTGAGATTTTGTTGAATTTATGACAGTGGACTGCAGACAGTTGAAATTAATTTGTTTGCATTGTTTTTCAGCCGAGAAAGATTACAGGGATAAGGGCAGGTTCCTGTATGGAGAGTCCATGGGAGGAGCAGTTGCCCTGTTACTCCACAGGAAAGAGCCTTCTTTTTATAATGGTGCTGTTCTTGTTGCCCCTATGTGCAAGGTAAACAGTGTATTGGATATTTGCATTTTTATTGTGGATAGATATTTAATCATTATAGGGCATGCTTATTTACTGGGTTGACAAAATTTTGTTAGATATCGGAGAAGTTGAAGCCACATCCGGTAGTTGTTAATATATTGACTGGTTTTGAGGGCCTTATACCAAAGTGGAAGATTGTCCCATCAAAAGATGTCATTAAATCTGCCTTCAAGGATCCTGTTAAGAGAGAAGAGGTAATTAAGCTTCTTTTTGTTTTTTTTTTTTTTAAAGATAATGCTACAATAAGGAATTTGCTATAGTTACAATTTAAATTTCCGATGACAACTCCTGCTCTGACGATGGTTTAGATAAGGAATAACAAGCTGATATACCAAGACAAGCCTAGGCTGAAAACAGCCCTGGAAATGCTCAGAACTAGCATGAGGATCGAGGAAAGTTTAAATCAGGTGAGTCAGTAACTCTGCTCTTTAGCTCCCTTTATTTAATCCACATTTTTTACTCAAGTACGATGCGTTTACGATGATTTGGTTATTAATTGGGTTGTTGAACTGGCAGGTGATACTGCCATTCTTAGTGTTGCATGGTGACGCAGATACAGTGACAGACCCTGAAATTAGCAAGGCCTTGTATGAGCAAGCAAGCAGCGAAGACAAGACCATGAAATTGTACCCTGGAATGTGGCATGGTTTGACAGCGGGAGAAACCGATGAAAACGTTGGAATCGTTTTTGCCGATATCGTAGCTTGGCTTGACAAGCACACCAATCTTGTTGTTGAACCATTGCATGAAGCTTTCAATATTGGCATAGAGAAATTTTCATCCCCACCCTCTACGACTAATAAACAATCACATGGTAGCTATCTATGTGGATTTAAGGAACCACGCACGCTTCATTCGGCTATGTAGCTCTTCTCTCATGGCTGTTGTTCAAGAGCTAGATGTTTTCACGTCACTGAGAATGTGAAAATTATGTCCATGGAGGAAAAGGTGATGAAGTAAGTAATTGTTTTTGTTCAAGCTACATCACATTTTAATTCCCTACTGCTGTTTCATGGAAGAGCTTATTTCTCCAAGCTTGTTTAGGAACCGCGGTCGCAAATTAATTAAGAGTGATTTATTATAAGTTGACGAAACTAACACATTAATTCATGCGATGCATGTTGAGTGGAAACTGATGGGACCATAAAAAAAAAAGGATTAATATCATCATTTTATTTGGACAAAAATCCAAAAGTTTATCTGGTGAATCGAGATGTTTAAAGGTCGGAAACTTTGCAGTTGCAGTTGATTAGCAATGAGATTAGAAAACACTCAACAGATTGGTTAAGTAGAAAATGCATTGCATGTAAAAGCGCAAGATGTAATGCAAATCCTCAAAGAGACTGAACCTCCTCTTCACGCATCCTTAAGTCCAACATACTTTTTTAAACTGGATTGTAAGAGTAAATTTAAGCTCGTTTCACATAGACAAGCGTGAGGATTACCAAAAAAAAACTTACATAAAATGTGTAGTTATTATTTACTATATTATTTAAAATACTGTTTATTTAATTTATCCACATTATACACTTAGATTTAGATGTATTATTTATTTTACTATTTAATAGTATTTTTATAGTTTTTAAACATTTTTAAGATATTTATTATAAAATTTTTTGTGGCTTGATACCTTTTTTTTAAATATTATTTTTTAGTCCACAAATTTTTTTGTTTAATTTTGGGTCCTCTTTTTTATTTCATTTTGATCACTTTAGTCCTTTTTTCTTTTAATTTTTTTAATAAAAAATTTTAAGACAAAAAACTATTTAAAAAATAATTTATAAAATAATTTTTTAGCTAAGAATCCATTAATTTTGATATTTTTATACTATTATAAATTGCTTAGTTTGTAGATAGAGATAAATAAACAATGTTTTTTCAAACATTATAAAAAATATAAAGAATAATCAATCAAATATAAATTTTGAATTAAAAAATTAAAAAATTGAATAAATTTTTATTCAAGTTTGATTTGATATATTTTAGTATATGTATAATATAACACGGAATGTTGAACTAAAATAATTTTAAAAAAACAATTTTATGTCTTCCGTTCGATAATTAGTATAATGCGGATAAAAAAAAACTAGTATTAACTAATTGTAACCTCTTGTAAAACAAAGAAAAGAAAACTGCACAGGGATTCCTATTGTAATAACTTCACAATGCTAATTTTTCCACACTATAATTGATATTAATTTGGATAGTGCATAATTAGAATCATTTAGACAAAATGGTATTATTGGAATATATATATATATATATATATTAGATTTGACTATAAAACAAGGAAAAAAAGAAGAAAGAAATGCAATCATACATGTTGGATGCCAAGAGAATACGGAACCAGCCATTAGAATATAATAAGGACATATTGAATAAATTCTAACTCCCTTCTACTAATTATATAACCTAACATCAATTTAAAACGTAAACCAAAGCTAGCTGGGAAAAACCAAACAATATAAGATCTATTTTCCTCGATTTCATGTCGGATGCAGGAAAACCGACCCAAAAAAGACAAAACGATTCGAAAAGAAAAAGGAAAAGGTTGCGTAACTAATGAAAAATAACATGAACTAATTAGATACTCGCGTTACGTTGCGATTGGACAATCATTAAATGGATAGGATCAACAATTCATATTGTACAGTATGGGTAGAAGTTTTGTTTTTAACCAACTCCTAAAAAACAAAAACATATGGACTAAAATAAAAACTTGAAAATATCAGAGACCAAAAGGTAAAAGATCATATATTTTGTATATAATTGCCCAAGAAAGAAGCAAAAATTACACAAAAACCAAACTTCAATGAATAGTGTTCGTGGGTCAATAGCTACAGTAAATGAATGGTGGAAAGTTCAGTTATTTTAGTTTTTTTAATATACATTTCACTATTATTTACAAAATTCTTAGAATTCATGATATGTATTATATCCATTTATTTATAAAAAAACAATCATTTTTTAAAATTTTATTATAAAATCTAAATATAGAGAAAAATAAATTATATTTATTAGTAAATAAAATTTTATATAAAATAAAAAAATCAATTGAATGAGAATTTTCATAAGAAATGAAAAATTCAAAAAATAAATTTGAAATAATAAGCGTAATATAATCTCAAATATATGTTAATTTTAAAATATAAAAAGATATTATATGTATTTTATCATCACAATATTGCATGAAAAAAACAAATAATTGGGCTTGATATTCTATAATTTTTTGATTAAAATTTCTTAATTAAAAATAAATTAAAGAAAAAATACAAAAAAAACAAAAACAAAGGTACAGGCCTGTGCACTTGGGCCTAAAGCTCTTGGCTTGCGCGCGTATAAAGGAGCAAAATACACAATTCAACTCCCAAACATGTGAAATGGGAGAAAAGAGGGAAATGAGTTTTTTTTTTTTTTTTTTTTTTAAGTTGTCAAAGACAACAGCATTGTGAAATCGGGCGGCTGATCGCAAACCATGTCACACACATAAAAAAACAGCGGTCCAAATGCATGCAAGATAGCTTGCATAATAGCATGGAGTCACGATCCACAGCGAGCTGAGTCTGTATATACACTAAGGAAATAGTACCTTCACCATATGTTTAATTTTTTTTGTTAATTTTAAAAAATGATTTTATTTAAAAATAATTTGAAAATTAACCCTTGCAAAATAAGAGTAAAAAAAGTGAGAAAATTTTAAATTATTAGTAGAGGGATTTATTTGGAGTTTTTTTTGACATTTTTAATATATGGAAAAAGAATAAAAAACAGTTACAATAAAAAATCGCTAAATCAATATATATATATATATATATATATATAACACGTGTTCATATTGATTTAAGTTGATATGATTTTCAATTTCTAAAAGCAAAACATGCTTGAAAAATGAAATTAAATTTTAAAACATTTCAGGAATCACAAAAAAATGAAAAAATAATTTAAAAAGTATAAAATCCAAATAAATCCCTCTACTCATAGTTTGATTTTTTTCAACTCGTTACATATGGGACATGTGTCCTATTTTTTTCCTAATATTTTAAAAAATATTTTTTATTTTTTAAATGTAATTTTATCAGAGTAGTTTCTTTTTTAATTTTTTTTCTTTTCAATTTGTGAGTCAATAAATTAATATTAATAGCATTTTAGATAAAAAAAAAAAAAAAAACCTTAACTTTAAATAGAATATATTGTAAAGACACTCTAATAATCATATTAGTAGTAAAAAGACATTATTAATCAATTTCTAATGATAGAGGGACTTTGGGTATAATTAGCGTGAGCAAAGAAGCTGACCCGTTTGCTAATACTACTAGAAAATGAATTATCAGAAGGATCCAAATGGGTGAAGATGGAGATAAGATGAGAGGATAATAGTTTTTTAAAACAAATGGGTGTAGCACATCATTGTGCTGCATTAAATACACCGAGCAAGAAATAATGGAACTTACAAAACATGGTAGAAAAGGCAGCCAACAAAGGATTGGAAATGAGGCCACTAAGGTAAGTTCAAAAGAGCATTGACTGCCACAAACATAAATAAAGAGAAAAAGAAAGGGCATTAGGCAGGCTTTGAGAGGAGAATGAGTAAAATAACGGGAAAATTATTGGCAAATCATTCGGTGGGAACAAAGCCAGAAATGACGGTCGAAATGCATGCAATAAAAGCAAATAGTAATACTGAGTCATACAGTAAATAAACAGCAAACTCCTCTTTTTTTTTAGTAATGTAATTAGAATATATCCCATGTGTTATCATGGAGTGAGCTATACAACATCTTATGCATTCATTCATATAAATTTAAAATTTAAAAATAATTATTTAAAGTATCATGTGAAAAAAATTCAAAAAAATAATTATTTAATATAATATTGTTAATTAAATATTGTTTGATATAAATATGTATTTTATTTAAAATATGTATAATAACTAATAATGAAAATAATAATGTGGCATTTTTTTGAATTTTAGATGATTAATTTTTATCATATGTTATTCATCCGTAATTTATTAATGAGACAGAGAGACAACTCAAAATAAAAAGACAAAAAAGCTTTGTCAAATTGAGAATTTGACAAAGAAAATAGAGATAAAATTACACAGGATAAAAATTAAATGATTAAAACAAAGTAAAGATCATAAAAAGGATCAAAAAAAATAAAAAACTTTCACTAAAAGACAAAAAAAAACTTATAAACAATAAGATTAAAAAAAATTCATTATGCATAAGGCAGGAACAAAAGTAAAACATTATAGAATTTTAATAACTAAAATAAAAAAAGTTAATAGAATAAGAACCAAAACAAAAAAAAATTTTAACTAAAAAAAAAAATTAGAACAGTTAAACTATATTTAATTTTAGTGTAGGATGAATAATAATCAAATACAATAAAAATTTAATGATCAAAATAAATGAAAGATAAAAAAAAAAACCAAAATATAACAAAATTTTTTACTAAAAGTAAAAAATAATTCCTTAGAGGAAAAAAATCAAATATAATAAAAATTTAATGATTAAATAAAAAACAATTACTAAACAAAAAATAAAATAAAAAATTCTACTAAATTTAATGAAGAAAAAAAAAGAAAAAAATCACAAAAAAGAAATTATAATAGAAAGATAATTTCACTAAAAAAAAAAAACCTTAGGATAGTAAACTTTATTTAGTAAGGATAAAAATCAAACATGATAAAACTTTTATGAATAAAATAAAAATATATCATAAAATAGGAAAAAAAACATAAAATTTTACTAAAAGTTAAAAAAATATATTTATTATAAGAAAAAATCAAATATAATAGAATTTTAATATTTATTATAAAGCTAAAAATTAAATATAATAAAATTTTAATGATCAAAATAAAAAAAATTAGAAAAAAGGGACCATAATAAAAAGCAATTTCCTTAGAAGCTTGGAAACAGCAACCGAAACGGAAGAGAAGAAAGAAAAAAGGAAAAAACAAAGGGTGTAAAAGCTTGGAAGCTAGCAACCGGGGAGGAAAAAAAAAAAAAGTGAACAGAAAATGAACAGTAGAATGCTATAGTTGTTTTATGTTTTGTTTTAGTATTTCTTGTAATTGGGCCATTGAATCTCAACATTCGTGTAGGATAAATCAAGCCCATTGGATCTACTACTATGATAGAGCGCCAACTATATCAGTAGTACTAATCTGCACGGTCTTAAACCCCTTGTTATTTTGTTTCGAATTCGTTGAGATCTGAGTGGCGAAAGAAAGAACGAAATCCCAAAACCCACTCCCTAAACCCTAGCATTTTCTTGTAAGTTCGCTGAAATCATCTCTTTTCTTTTGTGTAAGCTACTTATCTTTTTTATTATTTGTATTGTCTTCTGGGGAAAATTTTACTAAATTGGAATCCCTAATTCTGTCTTTCCTTTTTCTGCAACTTTGGCTTGCTGTAGAGATTCAAATTCAAAAGTCAGCATGAGGTAACTTTCTTTAACCCTAATTTCCCCGTTTCTTGCTATGTGTCGATTTGTTTGATCCGTTTATTTACTTATTAGCAAACTAGAGCTTATTTTTAGTAATAGCATTACTACAAATTTATGCGTCGTTTTGGAACTCCAAGCTCTTATACTATATATTTACTTATTATAATTTTTGTTGTTGCTATTATTATTGTTGTTGTTGTTGTTTATTTCCTTTAAATCTTATCTGGTGTAAATGCTCCCCGGAAGTTAGAGAAGGTAGTTTTTTTTTTTAAAAAAAAAATTGCTATATTTCTTTGTGGTATCACGATTCGTATATGGAACAAGCTTATGCATACCCAATTTCTCAACAGTGAATTGTAGCGTATTATGTTACCTCAGGAGTACTATGGAATTTGTAATTTCTCAATCACTTTGTGTTTTTTTTTTTTTTTTTTTTTTTTTGTCGTGAAGAAAATACAATCTGTCCATTGAATCCAACAGTTTTCTCTGTAATTCATCTACCTTCATGCGATTTGTCTATAATTTGTTACCGGTTGTAGTTGTGATAAAACAGATAATCAGCTTCTGATATGGGTCTCTTTTTTTTTTTCGATATTATATTGAACCTGGCTAAAATTTACACATTTATTTATTTTTTTGTATCTTTTGCAGTCGCCCGATGGAAGAGGATGCCCCGGTATGTTATTTTTCAGGAAATACAAGTGATCTGTTTTATTTTTTCAAACACTGAAACTTGTTTTTAGAGAGAATTTAATTGAATCAGATAACTTTATTGTAAGTTGCTGGCTTGATTGTCTTTCACGCCTTTTAATTCAATTTTTTGCTTTGCTGTCTTGCTGAACTTGAAAACAAAGCAGTATCTTTATTTTTCTATGTGTATGTGAGCAATGACCTTTGCTGAGGGCAAACATGGTTAAATTTCTTACATAGAGAAGGCATTGAATTTGAGTCAAATGTAATGTTCATTTTGCAATTCCAAGTAAGAATGAGATATTACCATTTGTTGATATATAAATTTACTTCGGTCTGCAAGGAAAATGCTATTAATTAGTGAGATGCTTCTACTACTTTCTGTATAACTTTTTTCTGTTGCTTGTAACACTCCTTCAAACTGTTTTACAGGGAAAGAACGAGGAGGAGGAATTCAGCACTGGGCCACTCTCGGTTCTGATGATGAGTGTCAAAAATAATACCCAGGTAATGTTTTCAGACCTAGCAACTCATTAAGGGATAAAGAATAGAGCCATTAGATTTTACTAGTTTTGAAGTTGAGTTCTTTGCAAACAACATTCTGATGTGTGGCAATTTTGCTAATGGGGCTGTTTGGAGAAAACTTTGTTATGGTGAGTTTGTGGTACTGTAGACTTGTTTGCTAGGCATAAAGAGACAGTTTTAAATCTGTCTTTTGTTGACTTCTTTCACCAGAACTAGTTTGGACCATACATGTTGGGCTCCAATCAAAGTTCCCTAATTAACTGATGCCATTTATAGGAATTGGAGTTATCAGATGTGATTTTGGCCTCATGAAATCACTGACTGTTTATGAAATGGGTATGATTTTGCTTGTATGCTGTTAGAATCTTGGGTAGTTTGGACTTTTGCGTTACAATCTGATGGTTGATAGCCATTCAGGTACTAATTAACTGCCGCAACAACAAGAAGCTTCTCGGACGTGTGAGGGCATTTGATCGACACTGCAACATGGTTCTTGAAAATGTCAGGGAGATGTGGACTGAGGTTGGTTACTCACACAGACTCTGTACCTACAACTTCTCAGTCATATACTACAGTTACCTTCGAAGTAACTACTGTATTCAATTAAATGCTCAATACTTTTCTGTTTCAGGTGCCAAAAACCGGAAAAGGCAAGAAGAAGGCTCAGCCAGTCAACAAAGATAGGTTCATCAGCAAAATGTTCCTCCGTGGTGATTCCGTTATTATTGTCCTTAGGAATCCCAAGTGAAATGTGATAATCCTGTGATTTTTATGTCAAACAAAACTAATATGCTTTCCTGTTTGATAGAATCTCTATTAGAAAATGGATGAGAACCATCTGGTCTGTGGGGGACTAACATGCCATGCTTAAATTTTCTTTGTAGTAGTAGTACCATTACTTAAAAGTTTGTTTGCGTAAAAGGCATTTTGTTACTGCAGGGCTGCTCCTTCCCCTTTCCTATAAGCTAGTTAAGCTCGCTGAGGTTTCATACTGTACTGATCATAACTTTATTGAGTTTTCAATATGCTAGCCTGGTCAAGGCATCCAATGCATTTGCTGAGTTCAGACAAGTTTGTTTTGGATACTACATGGTCTGTGTAAATAGCCATGTTTTATTATCAGACTGCTGAAGGGTTGCGTGAAATGCATACATGATCATGCTTGCTAAATTAAGGCAGATGTCTGGTCTTTGTTGATCAACATCTCCGCTCTCCCTCTGGTGCTTTACGCTAGTTGTGGTCTAATTGTTTCTGTGAGCTCCCGTGCACAGCCATATGGATGTGTGATGATATCATTTGAAGGAATGTTTGTTAGAAAAATGTACTACTTTTTATCAAATTCAATTAACTAATTGGTAGGCATTTGTTCTTGCCGTCTTCCCAAGTAGGTCTTAGGAGAGGTACACAGTAGTTTGCGGAGAATTTTCCCCTGAAGAGTTGGATCCATCAATCAGATGGCTCAGGATTCCAGGCTAGGGTTATCAGTGTCTTTCAGGGTTATCCAAGTCATTTTTCCGCATGCTTCAATGTCTATGATTAATGAATGAAATAGGTTTATTAAAAAACATTAAATAATTGGTCCGGTAAGAAAAACAATAGTCACGTTAATTTGTTTGGAATATTTGTAGAACTTGATCGTTTGTATAGCATTACTAAAAAGAAACACCAGAAAATTGCGAATGCGTAAATCATCAACACCAGGAAATTAATTGCCAGAGCATAAATCATCAAATATCATGATCTGTACTGGCAAAAGCGTCTTTATATTTATTGTTTTAAAAAAAATATTTGATGCTCCATCCCCCCATCAACCATGACTTTCAAGATATATTAAAATGTCCTCTGTGGCAAAATTGGATGATTTTCTGTAGATCAAACAAAGCGTTTTGACCTGATAAAGTTAAAATGCATCCAAAATTTACAGTGGTTAACCAGCAATTTGACAGGATCTTAATTAAGCACTGTTTTGCATACGCACTATTGGCAGTTATGGTCCTCACGAACTTCTCACGCCACTGAACTGGAGAGAGACCAAGAGAAGGCTAAAATATTGGGGCAACCTCAATTGAATCCCGTACGTATATATATCCATTATCAATTGAATCCCAAACCTATCAATTTTATCAATTAGATTCCAAACGTTTCAAAACTATTTTCAATTATGTCTTTGTTAATGTTCATCAATATTTTTGTCGAAAGTTCTTCAAATTGATGTTGTTATGGCATATAAATATGCACACTAGATAAAAAAATATATTAATATTTAATAATTTTTTCATCGATTTTTTTTTTAATTGAAACCATTGAAGTGCATAAATTATTCAAATTGGACTTAAGCTATTTAAGCAAATTACAAAAGGATACAATTGAAAAATATAAGAAACGTTCGGGGCCTAGTTGATAAAATTCACAAGTTTGGAATGCAATTGAGAACGGATAGATACGTTTGGCACTAAATTGAGATTCCTCAAAATATTGGATTCTGAGTGCAATGTGCGTTCCAAATGATTTGACTGCTTAGTGATTAGAATATCGGAAGCTTTAGTCTCTCCTAGATCCAGCTCTAGGATTAGGGAATCACTTCCACCGTTCCTAAAAAATGGTGCAGTAAAGAAGGCTCACGCATCTGAGAGGGGATGCATAAAGATTTGCTTCAGGTTATTTTCATCAAAGTAATAATAAAAAGTAGACTACTCTTTCATGGTAAAGTCTCAAAACTTGTCTATGCACGCACATGCTCGTTGTCAGACAAGAAAAGAAAGTATCCTGCAAGCTTTAAAATCCGTAGGCCCATGTGACTTCCAACTTTTCCATTGGCAATAACAAGACAGGGTGTACGATTTATGAAAGAAGATTAACACATTCAAACAGTAAATGAGGAGGCAGGAGGTAAAGCTTATTTCTAATGCTGCTAGACATCTCGATTGCATCAGAAACTGGGTAAAATTTAATTTTAAGTGCAGTACTCACTGTCTAACATTACTTAAAGGAATATAGTAACATCGAAATTACAAAGATGACTTAAAACAAATGCCAAAAGAACAACTCCAAACCTATTCTCCTCATGGAACAAATCTCATATGTTGCTGTTCCTGCTACCACCGCTACCTATATTGTTTGGGATGAGGAAAAAATAAATTGGTTATCCACTGGAAAGATTACCATTCTGTTGCCTTCAAGCATATATATGCCAACTTAAGATGTTGACAAATTGGTACCTTCTTCCTTGTGGTCACCAAAGATGCGTTGCCTGAAGTCTGAGACCATCATCGGCAGACCTTTGTGAAGGGATATCTTAGGTTCCCAACCGAGGAGATCTTTAGCCTTTGTAATGTCAGGTTTTCTCTTGTGTGGGTCATCTTCTGTGTTAGGCTTGAACTCTATCCTAGCATTTGGGTCAATGGTTTCCTGGACCACCTGAACAAACACATGGAGACTTTCTAAATTTGCTGGAAACAGAAGCATGTGACTAAAATAACAATACATAACACTTTTTATTTTTATTTTTGGTTGACACTCACCTGAGCAAGCTCAAGCATGGTGAATTCACCCGGATTTCCAAGATTGAAAGGGCCTACATGTTCTCCTTCCATAAGGCGCATCAGACCCTCCACCTATTTCAACACAAACACATATAACAAGTTGTTTAAGTAAATCCCAAGTAGCAGCTACTAAAGAGCAGGCTAGATGCTTAACCATGCATAAACTACCACTAATCATCAGAATCTGTTATCTTGATGGAGAATGCTCTACAACGTAAAGCATCAAGAGACACAAAACCATTGATGCAATTCCCTCTCTCAACCCATAAGGAAAAAGTTTTCCCTTTCTTAAATAAAATATCCAGATAATTTTTTTCACCAGGATCCCACCTTTAATGAGCACGTGAACTGTTTGCTACAAGGTTTGCAAGTATCTGTCTTACTTTTAGAAACAATAATTGATAATGCAAAATATCCCACACTGGACCTAATTCTAGACAATCATAAAGACAGTCTACTAAGCATTTAATACAAGTCATGTCATGTGGTATCTGTTATGTTAAAAACTTGCAGTAGAAAACTTGAGAACGAAAAGGGAGACAAACATTTGAGTGATTGAGCAAGATAATTACATGCTGAAAGTCCAAAATCAATTACTGGTTACCCAGAAGCCATGTTTTCAGAGTTTGAGTTGGAAGCGTTCCACATCCAATGCAGAAATTATTTTCCCTTTAAATGTGCAATGCAAATGCAGAATAAATTGCTAACTACCCATTTTCAAATTTGTATTGGAAAACAGAAGTTAGTATAAGAAAGCTAAATCGAATGGAAAAGCAGTAAAGCATCTATCCAAGCACCAACAAAAAAAGAATAAAAGTTTTGCCCTTTCTAGCTTTCAATGAAAAAAGGGAAAAATACTACGCCTTAAAAGGCTTACCAAATCAGAAACAAATTGAAAACTCCTTGTTTGTTTCCCATCACCATAAACAGTCATAGGTTCCTTCCTTAGAGCCTGCACAATACCCGCCAATTACTATTAATAATCATTTTTCATTGGGAAATTAACATTTGATTAGCAAAAGCAACTTTGTCATAACAATGTCTTTGAGAGAAAAATACCTGAGCAACAAAATTGCTAACAACACGGCCGTCATCAATGCACATTCGAGGTCCATAAGTATTGAAAATTCTAGCAATCCTAACCTGAAAAAGAATGCGTTGACTGTTAATAAGTTTGATTTAGTTTAAAAATAAGAACATGTTGGGTCGCTGTCAAATTCCACCCACCTCAACACCAGCACCACGGTGATAGTCCATAGCCAATGTCTCAGCTGTTCTCTTTCCTTCATCGTAACAACTCCTGACACCTGTACAAACGACAAACATCGCAATTGTTAAGATCAAATTTGTCTTAAAAAATTCAAAAAATCAAAACTCCACTAAATCATCAATTTTCTCTTCTTTACGAATTTCTTTCTTCTTTTTAGTTAATTATTAACCGTCCGATTAACTGATCCGTCAATCACGGGCCGCCCCTTGACCATACAAAACTACCAAAACCGGATCTAAGGCCCAACTTCCAAACCGGCCGCCACCATGCGATGCCACCAGACACCACACTTTTTATCTAAAATAAATAAAGCATAAAAAATAAAGACAGTCGGTCTAAATTGTCTCTCTTTGTAACTTAGGCAGCACATGTTAGCTACGGGCTTTATCAATGCTATCATGCACCTCACCTGTTACAGAATATCGATCACCGGTTACCGATTAAATTAATTGATTAGTTTAAGAAAAGAAAACGCACCGATGGGATTAACGTTGCCCCAGTATGTTTCGACCTGAGGATGCTGAAGAGGATCACCATAAACCTCGCTGGTACTGGTAAGCAAAAACCGAGCACCAACTCTCTTGGCCAAACCCAACATATTCAATGTGCCCACGACATTAGTTTTTATTGTCTTAACCGGATTGTGCTTGTAATGGACAGGCGATGCAGGACAAGCAAGATGGTAGATCTGGTCCACTTCTAACAACAGTGGCTCGACAACATCGTGTCTGATTAACTCAAATCTCGGGTTCTTAAAATGATGCATCACGTTCTCTTTCCTTCCCGTGAAAAAATTATCCACCACGATCACGCTATCTCCTCTAGCGATCAGACGGTCCACTAAGTGAGACCCAACAAACCCAGCCCCACCTGTAACGACAATTCGGAGCCCTTTTCTTTTGAGTCCCAGCGGAATCTTGCCGCCGGAATTGGCTGATTGGAATCCGACCGGGTGGGGCTCGTAGAATTTGTAACGCATAGGGGTTGTTAACTCATGAGAGACGTGAGAGAAAGAGTCGGGGATTGGATCATATTTGTGAGGAGGTGGGGAAGAGGAAGGGAGAAGAGTGAAGAAAAGAGTAGCAATAGCAATGCCAACGAGGACAAAGACCAGTCGCTGCTCGCGAAGGAGGTAACGAATGGGTCGGGTGACTGAGAGCCATGGCTTTGGAGGTTTAGGTGAGTAAGCATCAGATGTTGGTTGAGTCTCGTCGTGACCTCTAAAAATCAGTTCTGAAGACCCCATATTTTTTTGTATGAGATCACAAGAACCAGGAAAGGAAACAAAAATGTATTTATGTTTTGTTTGGCCCAATTCAAAAGGAGAGACAGCGTCGCCTGGAGAGAGGGAGTGGATCTCTCTCTTTCGGTTCACGGAGGTGGTGATTTGTGCGGGTTTGAATCCGTGTTGGCTTCAGTATTTAAGGAGCAAGGGAGTGTTAAACAAGGTTTGGAAGTGTAAGAAATTACTGAAAATTGCCATTGCTTCGCCTTTATTGGTTTTGAAAAGTAAACGGTTGTCATTAGGCGAGTTAAAAAAAATATATATCTACAAAAGAGGAGAGTATTTTGCATTAATTACTTATTAAGTTAAAACCTTTTGCTATTACTAGTGGGGAGGGAAGGTAGTTGGTTTTTTTAATGTAATTTGACATTTTTGGTCCAATTTGATTCAAGTCAAATCATAAAAATGAACGTTTCAATTGGGAAACCATGGTCCAAATCCAATCCCTCTAACAATAGGGGTAAAACTTGAAAAAATAAATTGAAATACAAAAGAGAACAGAGGGTATAATTGACACTACAGGTTTACGTGCCTAACATTAGATTTCGTGCTGCAATTTGGGGGAAGCTTCATCTATCTTTATGTTTTCTTTGTTTATTCCTACTTTCTTCTATTTGTATGTGGACAGAACTGTTATATTAAGTATCTGGTCAAATATGTACTGATCTGACGCAAATTTTAGGTTGCTTTTGGATGCTGAAATAAGACAATTTATTCTTTTTCTTGGAAAATTTTTTTTAAAAAAAAAAAGAAAGAAAAAGAGAAAACGGTTGGCACAAAACTGCTGAGAGCATTATTTACTCTTTTTTATTGCTACATGGTAGTATTAAATCGTACCAAACATTAATTTAATGTCAATGAGACCACTAACGTTATTTCTGCTGCAGTGTCTGTACCATTCGGATATACGCTTAATTTAAATTGTTATTCCCATTAAAAGAGTTTTTTTAATTGATTTATCGATAATAAATCAATTTTTATGACGTTAAATTATTCAATCTAAATGTTAGCTTACAAAATTATTTTTTTTATTACCTTTTACATGATGTTGATCGATATAGATTGTTTTTTTATATAATTTTTTAAGTACTTTTATTAGTGGTTTTTTTTTTTTTTTTTTTTTGACCTTTTATTGATACACTTGTCTATATGATAATTAGATTTATCTTGTGACAAGGATAAGATGGTGATTTAACTTAGGATTGTCAAAAAGGAATAAAAAAAAAAGAAGATATTTTCCTATAAAGCTTGATCTATTTTTGTTAAACAAACAGGAAGATTTTTTTGAAGATGTTAATGTTTTCATGTGGATTACTTTCTCTATCAAAGACGGTTTTTTAAGGGAAAGCAACATTTTGCGACTCAAATTTCATCTTTGATTTGTATTTTTTTTAATTCATTGGAAGTTCGTACATCTTTGGACCATACATTAGGATAGCCTTCTTTTATTTCCATAATCACCAATATATATATATATATATATATATATATAATTATTAGGATTCGCCTTTTGCTTCACTACAAAAGTTAATTAAGTATATAATTGCCAGACTAAATCTACTTGTATGTGTGCGATTTGCATTTTTTTTAGAATCTTGAGGTTTTTTTTTTGCTATATCTCTTCAAACTTTTTATTTTTCAATTAATTTTGTTTTCTCTAGCTCTCTAATAACTGAACAGGATGACTACCAACACTCTTAAGAAAACAAAATGTATTTTGACAATTAGCTGTCGTCACCTTTAATGGCAACTACAGCCTTCTATAACAAAAAGCATAGATTTTTTTATTTTTGACTTATCATTTGTATCATATATAGAAAGAAAACCAAGTTCACTAAAGTTCAACCTTCTATAACGAAAACAATATTATTTTTATTTTTTTTACTTTTCATTTGTGAAATATCTATATAAATCAAATTCATTAAATTTTGTTTCTCAGTGATCAATTATGAACTCGTGATAACTTTAAAGTTTGAAATATATATATATATATATATATATATAAGCATGGAGGTTTTCATATTATAGATACAAAACTACTGATTGAAGAGAAAAGAGGAAAAATGGTATAAAATTTCCATTTTCTTCACCATCGCATCAGTTTCAATTATGAAGTTCCCTTTTCTTCTTCTTTTAATTGTTTGAAATTGAGCGCCAAGGCTTAGTGATTTTTTCCACCGAAACGAGACAAAACGGTCTCTTGTTAATTATTTATGCGTTCCAGCATATAAAATGCGTTACGGGTGCACAAAAATCTTGCCTGGCTTTACTTTTTTATTTTTTCTTTTTAACTTTGCTGGTTAGCTAGACATAATCAAATATGACATTATGGTCGCTTTAGGAGGAAGTTAAAGGCTTAATTGTAATTCTGTTGAACACTAGGCTGGATACTGCTTGCTCCACGATTTGGGGCTTTCTTGGAGTGTTTTAAACGCTCGTTAATTTATGGCTAACCTAACATGTAGCTACTTATAATATTATTACTATTACTTACTTGTAGTATTTAATTAATATATTAGCTGGTTTGATTCTTTTAAGACAAAACCACTTTGCGTTTGCTAAAAATATTTCACTGATATTAGTAGACACCTCCGCTTTCTTCATCGTTTCATCATGCACAACGCAAGTAAAACTATAAGATACCAATTTTATATCAATAACCAGCACCAAAATTGCATGAATAGCTTTATCTACATGAGATTTTCGCGTCGAAGAAAAATGGAGGCCGGAAGGTGGGGTTAGACACATGCATTTCATTTAACGTAATAGTGAGGTATGGTTTTAAGCAAGCATTCCCTGATTTCTAGCTCTCCATCCAGTAAAAATATTTACTTATATATCTGTTAATATTGCAGTGGAAATTTACCTGAGTTGAAATTGATTAATTCTTTTGAAAAATTTTGGGCAAGAAATCACGTTTCAAATCGAGCAAAGAAAATGGTCCATTTAGTTAGATGACGATGATGATGATGAAGACGTTGTACCATAAAACAAAATGTGGGGGCATCCGGCCACCCTGGACAATGGGGGATCTCAACTGCTACATTCTCTCGTGAAGTAATAATCTTAATTTCACCGACATCAGTGCTGCGTGGCCCGTTGTTTACTTTTTATCATTTGGGCTTTGAATCGATGCACTTCTAAAATATATATAGACGCGTTAAGGTATTTTAAATATAAAAATTTAAATTAATTTTTTATTATTTTATTAAATACATAAAATTAAAATAATTATTTGAAGAATTTTTTACATACATAAGATTTAAATTTCTCTATATTTTAAATATAAAAATTTATAATAATTTTTTATTATTTTATCGGATATAGCTATTCTGATAATTTTTTACATACATAAGACTTGAATTTAAAACATTTATTTAAATGATTAAAATTTTTTTCATTCTAACATGCTAACTTGGCATACGTATATATATTTTGAAGATGTATTCCAGCGGATGAAAAGAATATAGTTAATTTCATTTTCAAGATGTAACGCGAATTTGTATTTTTTTCCTTTCAATTCCATGATAATTAGTACAAAATCGTTGACGTGACATCAACCAGAATCATTGACGTGTGTCTAATTTAATTGAAAGCGACCATGCTCAACCTCCTCGATTACAATTAATTGAGAACTTTTTAAATTAATTTCGCACATTATTCGAAATCAAATTTTATTACCAACTATATTAAAAATATATCTTTCATATTTATATGATGCATTTCATATAAATTTTTTGATTGAGATTCAAAATTGCCACTACAATTTTGATTGGTATAAATGCTGCCCATATAAACCACTAAAAACCAGTACAGTTGAAAATTTGTTATGCCAAATATGTTTTTGGATTAGGAAGGGAAAAAAACTTGAATCTGAGACTTTTTAATAGGAGTGAAAACATTAATATTACTTGAGCTATATCTGATTTACAATGCTAAACATGTTGATAAATGTTAGTCTGCAGTGACGATACTCCTATATTCTTTTCATTAAAAATATTGGTTAAGTTACATGTGGATGTTCGTCCAAATATGATTAGTTTTGTGTAAATCGATGATTCGACGAGTAATTACGACGTCCCACTTGTGTTGCGGGGAGTGGGTAACTGAGGGAGGAGGAGAAGACCAAGAGCCAGCCCGGGAGGGGAAACCGGGAAAGGGAGATCTGGACGAGTTGCGAACAGGACCCACAACAGAAGAAAAGTATTGGAAAGAATATGTAACAGAACAGGGACTTTGATTGCACGTCGTTCGCAGGAGATGGAGCAAAGCAATATTCGTTCTTAAGCAACGATGACTCTTCTCCAGCCACGTAGCGCGGGACCATTTCCATTTCCCACGTTTCTGCAATGTCTTCGTTTAAGCCACCAAACTGCCTCCTCATCGTCATAAGCATCAAGCCACCGCCCTTTCTAGTTGCGTTTACATTTTTTTAAGAGAAAACTGCGATTTGAACTTTTAATCTTCGGTTTTTATTTTATTTTAATATCTAATTTTTAATTCTATTTATTTAAATATTCAAATTTTTTTTTTTTTTTTAGTTTTTTCAGTCATTATGTATTTATAATGAATTGTTATGTGATGGTTTTTAATTAACATGTTGCCAGAAATTAATCGCAATTATCCATAACTTTTTTTTACTGGAGAAAACTACAATTTAAGTGTCTAACATTTTTTTTTCTTTTTGTATATTCAATCTTCTGGTCTCACTGTTTCAATGCTCGACATCTTTTTTTCCATTTGAGTTTTCTTAATCATGTGAGATTAAAAAAATACTAGAGTAGTCAGAATCTACTAACATACAATAATCTTTAACTTGTAAGTGAAAAAATTGATTCTATTCGAATTTATTAATAAAAAATTATAATATTTTTACATAAAAAATCAAAATTAATTACTATCAACTGAACGAACTCAAATTAAATCAAAGTTAAAACTCTTGAGTTAGGCCAAAAGAAAAGGTTCAAATGATGATATCTTTTAATTGTTTTAAGAAATTAGTTAGCAAACTTTTCAAATTCATTTGACTAAAAGTAATGAATTTTAATTTTTTAGCTCTTTATTTTCTTTTATAAAAATTTATAGGTTTTTTTTATTTTTTCTTAATAAATTTAAGCAGGACTCGCTTTTGCTATGTGTTAGCAGATCTCGATCATGTCGGTATTTTTCAATCGATTGAAGGACTCAAATTTTGAATACTCAAATAAATAAATAAATAAAATTATGCATGGATCAAACAGAAAAATAATCAAGGATTAGGCACTCAAATTGCAATTCTTTTTGTAAAAAAAACCTGATTTTTTTCTGATTAATACACATGAAACCTATATTTTTTTAATCACGTGAGAGTTCATATTGTCTATACGAGTTTTTTTTTTTTTTTGGTCTCAAGTGATTGATAAAACTTAAACAGAAAAAAAAACATAAAGTTTGATCAATGAAATAAATATAATTAAAGATTGGAAAAAAAAACTTTTTTTGATCAATTAAATAAATATAATTAAAGTTGATCATTCAAGTGTAATAAAAATGAAAGATTAGATACTTAACTTGCAGTTTTCTTTTTCTTTTTTTAATTATTAAAATATTTGAAAATCTTTCCAATAATAATCAAGAACAAATTGCAAAATATATAGTACTCGATATGGTAAACATGCAGTGACTTTTATAACCAACCGCGAATATTCGAAGCTTTAATTATAATAGGCATTTGTATATTGGTCATGAAATGTGTGAACACATGAAGTTCACTTGAAAACTGACTCAAGACTGATTTTGTCTTCCGTTCCATTGTCATCCTGCTTTCCTGTTTCATACCTATGTTCATTTTGCGAGTCTAACTACGCCTTCTCTTGAAGGACTTTTTATTTAGCATTTTATTTTGAGTATTTTTTTTTAACACCTGTTCTTGAATTTAATGGATTTAAGTTTGTTTGAATTGTTTTGTCTTATTCATGTATATATGGAACCTATCTCAATGCACTATCAATGATATTAAATATCGATCAACAATAGTAATTGATTGGTTCCAAAAAAAAAAAAAAAAGAGCCAACAAAACTGCATATGCGACCAAAAATTGAATCTCGCTACAGTCACAACAACAACTTAAATTATTTTTATTCTACAATGAAAATATCAATTTAGAGGAAATTAATTTTGTCAAACGAATAAATAAATAAAAATAAATGATGTATCTTTAAATTCATTTATGTCTGTTCACATCTTGCTCAAACAATGACCCAATCTTACCAAAGAAATTCTCCACAAACTCTTCATTTTCTATACCAACCAAAAGACAAAAACAATTCAAACAAAACTTGAATTGATTAAATATCAAGAATAAGTATTCCAAAAAATGGAGATAGGAGAAATATAATGGTAGGAAAGAAGAAAATGGAAAAAAGAAATGTTTTCTGATTTATGAATTTGTTTTAAAAAAAAAACCTTATTCTCGAAACAAATGCATAATGAGACATTATCGTTTGAAGAAGCGAAAGGATATTTTTCAATTATATTCTATTGCATATTATTCATTGATAGTCAATTAAAATTCTATTCATTATCCACTCAAGCCAGCATAAAACTCATTGCTTTGTTTTAATTTGTCACCTTGTGTTGAGATGACAATCATTGTATATGCACCACAATAGATGATGTAGATGAATCCTCCAAATATATGTACCACAGCCAGCTAGCCGATGCTCATTGTTATCTAACAGTCCCAAGAATTTTTCTTTCCAGCCCCAAATGAACATATATATATATATATATATATATATATATATATATATATATATATATAATACACAGGTAAAGTAATTCTTTTACACAAATTAACGGCTTAAATGAATTAAGTTTCTTGCAATATAGTAATAACAACTTTCGGGACTTTAGAAGAGTACCATACAAATAAAATTTTATTGGAACATAAAAAGCTGTCGAGGATGATGAATCAATGGAGATCTAAGATCCTATTCAATGTGGCATTAGACCGAATTATTTTTCTACCGTATGATTCGGAGATGATGAGCATAAAATTGGCATACCAGTGAGAATTTCAATTTTATGTTGCATGTAATTGGTTTATCTTTTGAAATATACATATATGGTCCTTTGATCATTTCTCCGTCAGAAAATGACTTCCACGAAAACGATTTAACTAAAAGTAACAAGAAGGAACCCTTGAAGAAGAGACCTTAACTAGACATTTCATCTCCTCCGCACATCGGTCACCCTGACTTGCTGACAAATGTTTGATGATCATGACTCTTACTAATTTTATATAATTTGATTTGATGCCGACTTCTTTGAAAATTTAACTACTAACCATTTAAAAGATTCTAGTGGAACCATTATGGTCCTGGGTCTCTATCAAAAACGAACTACTTGTGCTCTAAATTTTGCTTTCATTATTTAGAGAAAAGAAAATTGCTAATTACGCACCCATTATTAGTCCACCATCATGTTTGGTGAGCTAATAATTGCGTAATCAGCCCAAAATGCCTCTAGTATACTAATAATATATATTCGGGATAATAATGTATTTTCGAGTTCCATCCATCGTGAACATAGTGACATGCGAAAGAATTACAATCCATTCTCTCTTTTTTTAATTTGAATTGTGAACTTTTCTCTTTTAATGTTATTAATTTTTTTTTTACTGACATTTATTTTCATGTACTGACTTGATCGTATTCTCCACCACCTGAGCACTCGTTTTGCAATTTTTTTTATCATTATTGTTGCCGTAATTATCAAACGTCACTTTTACATTAGCTGTAAAGGAATCACATTATCTTTTAATGTTTATACGTTGTAAAATATTCCAAGACTATCTTCTTTTGTATATAGAAGGGTAATGGCACATTTGTCTAGGAAGTAATAATCCCTTGGTGAAGTGATTCGGCCTGATTTTCAAGTCGGCTCTCGAAAGAGAGCAAAACTACAAGTTCTCCTTAGTTGTCATTTCCAATCCTACTATTTATCACTAATCTATCCTATAGATAAGAAAAAACTTGTCCTGGATAAAGAAGACTAAGGTCTTCCCATACTCAAATATGATTAAAAAAAAAAAAAAAAAAAACCACATGCGCATATATATCAGATCATGCACGAGATCGTAGATCAGTTTTATATGTGAGATGAAATACGATAGGAATTAGATACTATGAACGCATCTCGGAGATGCTCGGTCAATTTGCCAGCAATTTTTTAAAGATATTTACAGAGTACTAAAAGAAATTCGCGGAAAAGAAAAAAAGACTTCAAAATTTTTTTAATTTCAAGGTTTCGGCAACCTAGCAGAGGCATTGGAGAATTTGTCCATCTGGGAAAGCACACTTTGACGTCACAAATGAATCTGCATTTTATTCTCTTCTTTTCTTCTTTGGAATGATTTGCACATGGGCTATATTTATGACGTCAAATTGCTCTCAGGACCAATATTGTTTTTTTTTTTGTTTGTTTGTTAAGTTTGCCAAAAGCCAACTGCTAAAAGCTAATATACTAGAATATGTTTTTGGATGGTTTCACGGTGAGTCCAAGTTCAACCCAGAGAGCTTTTCGGCCCAGCCCATCCACACGAAGGAGATGAAATTGACTAGTTCTTCTGACTGTTATTGGGTTGAAGATGGAAGCAAAATTAGCCTGTAGTTGTCGGCGGTCAAGGCAGATGAAAATGGCCTTTGGGGATGAAAGCAAGGTTAAGGTTGTGCCAGCGATCTTACTTAGTCCTGTGGTGTGATTTTAGAAGGACATGAAATCAATTCAGAACCCATAAGAATGGGCGAAACTGAGGAAGGAGAGGGGCAAGAGCATGATAGCCTCAAGTCCTTGACAACCCGAAAGAGGAAAAGAATAGTGCTGGACAAAATATTGCACATGATAGCAAGGACGAGTGTCGCATTATTCTTAACTGTTGTTAGAGTATTGTAACAATAACACCTACCTTAGACATGAGACAGCTTTACACACACCGAATGAATGGGGCTCATGTTGATTACGATGGTGCAATAGAACAGACATGTCTGGTCTTTGAACTCTCTTCATCGATAATCATGCAAGGTCCCCCAGCAGCACCAATAATTGAACAAAATTAAGATATGTGTGACAGAAAATATTAATCAAGGAAGAATAGATGCAATAAGTAGGCATTACCCTGCTTTTACTTTCAGACTCAAGAAACCTACATTCAGCCCAAGTTTTAAGGCCGGAGCTGTATACAATTGATAAACTGAAGTTAATCTAAGTAGCCATGACAGCCAAACAAACATATATACCGGGAGAGATAGTTTAGCTCTGATAGGCTAGATTATTCCATTTATATTCTGATTTATGACCGAATTCCCACATGATATACATGAAGTAACTATGGACCGTTTAGGCTTCCCAAACCAGTGGCCGCAAGTTTGTTAACAAGAGCCAGTGCATTACTGGTGATATAAGTGACTCTTGAAACCTGATTTTGAAGCATTTTAACTTGTTTGCTGTTTTGATCTTCAAAACCATCCAAGCAAGTGTCTTCATCTGTGAGCGCAGCACTCAACCATGTAGTTAGGTCCCCCATCTGTTTATCAAAGTTTGCCGCGTCAAGCTTTCTGAGTATGCCAAGTGATTTGTGAAGATTAGCAATCGCGTCTTGGAAGCACTCAATACAATCTGAAAGGGCAATCCTGTTTCTGCTTCCCATGATCCTAAATTTCTTCAATCTGTTCAGATACTGACTAGCATTATTAGCCTCACATATTGTCACCGAAACCCCAGCTCGTGCCCACCTGCTGGGACTTCTCCTAGCAGAGTTGGAAAAGGATGCTAGTGAGTGGATGCACAGATTGTGATATCTAGTCACACTACATGCTTCTCGAACATAAGTGTCCCCGTTGTTAGAAACCCAGCCCTTAGCACTGGTTAGCCATAAAAGAAACAGGAAAGCAATGAGAAAGAAACCAGTTCTCATTCTACAATATTTATGATGCTTTCAAAAGAAGAAAAAGAAAAGGAGGAATAAGAATCAAAATTGAGTTAAAAGCACCCCACTGGTAGACCTCACTGATTCTAGGTAGATGATAGAGGAGCGGTAGAGAGAAACTATAATGTTCCTTGCGATGCAAAGTTGTGAATTGAAGCTAAGCGCTTGGAGGGAAAGCTTTAAAGAGGGACATAGGATGTGAAGTGAATGCAATTAAGATGGGAGCTTTCTAAAGTGGGTTCGATAGAAAAGCAAGAGGCTGGTGAATGCAATAAACAAGGGGAGAGTAGGGGAGTAAGCTGAAGGGAAATATTTAGGTTTTGACAACGAGGACATGTGACTGGGCAGGTGAGTCTCTCATGGACTTGGGGTGAGGAGATTTGTTAGGTGATTCACTTTATATGGGTCTCTAACGCATGAGCAAAACACATTGCAGCTGCATCACGGAACTTGATCTCAATTGTCATACATGGTAAAATTAACAAAATAAATCATGGCAGCCCTGGAGTTGATTATGTGATAATGCTAATTGCTGATTGAAATGTACAATCATATATTATGGTTTTTAAAGACAAGGGTTTTGTGAAAAACCACAGAAACAAAGATGGGGAAGCGGGCCATTGAGAGCCAAGCGTGGAAAGGAAGTTGTTGTAGGTCAGGAGGCACAATAAGCTGATATGTTCTAGTTCTCTTCTCGCGTGAAGCATCTATTTTAGGTTGCCAAAGCAGAGTTGTTTGTAACAGATCCTGATCACTCTTAGGTTGAACTCTCCTGATTCTGCTAAACCAATGATTCAGTCCACATGAAGGTAATAAATCACCACAACCACCTGTACAAAGTCATGGTCCTCTATTTTGAAATGTTAATGGGATCTCACTGGAACATCTTGTCCTCCCTTGGCTTTCATTGTGCTTTCCTGTCACATACAATCTCCAAAAAATTACTCTTCTGGGAATATGCATGTCCTACAATTTAAATCTTTTTCATCGCATCCTAAAATTTAATCTCATGATGCTTCGGGGTTACCTTTCATGTTCTTCTGCTTCATGCGACTCTTCCAGAGCCTCTGAATCACAATTACACAGGTCAAGCAACGGCTCTTCTGGAACCACGAGGGTAACTTGTTCAGCATCAGTAATTCACAATTTCTGAACTTCTCTTAGCCGCAGTCTGCTTGAACGGTTTCTGATACACAACCAGGTCATCTCTTGATTAAAGATGCAGGTAATACTTCTTGTTCGTAAATAAAGGATGAGAACCTCGTTTGAAGTCTTAGTTTCCTACTCGGGTTGGTGTTTTATGAAACAAAAAGATCAAGTAGAAACAACTCATGAAGCAGGAACACCAGGTTGGTTGTTCCCAAAAATTTGAAATTTGAGTAAGGTGTTTGCAACATGGAAATTTCAGCAATAAGGCTGGAATAATCTGGCTCATGGGTTATCTCCAGTAACTTTGAGTTCTTTCCTTGATTGATCTAGTTAAAGATAATTGCAGCTGAGCAATGAACGGATTTAGGCAGCAAACGTTCTTATATAAAAATGACAAGGGGAAAGAGAGAGAGAAGAAAGCGATTGTATAACTTACAGATTAATAACAATTCTTACAAGAGTTGTTTGAATACAATGCACATCCAATATTAAACAAATACACTACTTGGACATGCTACTAACATTCAAACTAACAAGTTTGGATTAATCCACACAGCAGTCAGCAGCTGCATGATGGCAACAAAATAAGGAGAAAATCCAACCTCAGCAGCAGCAATGAGATTCTAAAACATCTCACAAAATTGGGAAGGAACAAAAAGCAGAAGGCTGCAAGACATAAATACACCAAGTACATCACTTGCGATATGATCAAACACCAGTGGCAAAAGAAGCTCACTTTCTCCTATTTACCAGCCGGGGGAGCTATCCCACTGAATCAACCATTCTACAATCATGTGATTTATCTCACTGAATCAACCATTCTACAATCATGCTTCTTGCGACGACATCTGTGATGGTTTTTTGGATCAAATGTGTTCTCCCCAACCATTTCCATCTTAGAATCTGCATCAGGTGCAAGGAAAGGTTTGATCACCGTGAACAAAAATATCTTAAAAACAAAGATGAGTAAAAGCTGTGTACCTTGAAAATGGTGTCCCCAAAATAACAACCTGGCATCATCCTCTTCCTCATCGACCTCATCTCCATAACCAAACTCAGCATCCCCTCTATAACCAGGCTCACTCCCATACCCAGACTCGCTATCCAAATTTCCAAAAACACTACCCCCTCCCAACAAAATCTCTTTCTCCTCCCTCTCTTTTATCGAATTCTTTGCTTCACTTACATCCGAAGCCCAATTCGCATCCCCATTCACAAACAGCTCCCCACTGGAGTCCGTCCCCACCGCCACAGGGAAATCCGAGCAAGTCCCATGAGCCGCAGACGCCGCACCCACAGAGCAGCACCGCCGGGTCCCACTTCTATCGGAGCTCCGGCCGGACACGGATCGGGATCCTCTCCTCCGTCTCTTGCGCTCGATAAGGCCTAAGCTACCTCGCTTGTAGGGGCCGTTGGTAACAGCGGAGGTGGCGGAGATGGGTTTATTGCTATTGTTGTTGGTGTTTTCGTCTTCGAGGAGTGAGAGCTTGGAAATATCGATGGAATCGATGTTAGAATGGAAAGAAGTGGCGCGATCGGAAAGGCAAGGGCGTTTAGTCAGAGTGCGGGAAGACGCGTAGGGTTTATAACTGTTGGGATCGGAATCGAGAAAAGGTCTCCATGAATGGAGCTGGAGAGTGCATGAGTCTATGGAGTGGCGTGAATTGTGAGACATATTCGATTTCGATTTTGGGATTATTAGGGCCTGCAGTACTCCTAAGAAGAAAAATATCTACATTGAATAATCATCGCTGTTTCAATTAGCAGATGCTTCGAAGAAATGGAAGACAACAGGAGCGTTAAAGGAAGCAGCAACCAGAGAGGAGAGAAAAGAGAGAGAGTGACCTAGTCAATTAATAAAGGAGTTTCGTTTGTTTGTCGGCCCACAGTCCAGATATTATCACTTCACTCGATTCACTTGTGGCGCACTGTCTCTGGCCCTGAGAGTTTTGTCTTCCTTTTCCTTTTTCTTTTTCGTTTTTCTCTTTCTGAATGAACTGCTCTTTAGAAAACAGATTATTTCTAAAGAAATTAAACGATACAGGTGACAATATATCAGATTTAATTTATAGTCGACAACTAGTTTGATAGCAACCACGATACCATCAGCCTAATAAAAATTAAATCTTTCAAAATTAAATGATGTTAGAATTCAAATAAATAAATAATAAGTTAGACAGATATTGATCCATGAAAACAAAGGAAATGAGTTGCATTTAAATCGATAGATTATATATTAAACAACCGATAGTATTTTAAGTTTGTCGCTTGAATATTCAGAAAGCTGGAAAATTAACAAAAGCTTTTTCTTAGCTCATAAATATGTTTTCTAAAATTATTTTTTCAATATTTTCTTGCTTCAAAAATAATAATTTGTAAAATTATTATTATTACAACTAATTATTGTTTAATTTGTAATTAATAACATATTTATTTGAGTTTTTGATATTCTATTTTACTAACTTGAAAAAAATAATAATTTAAAAAAGTTATATGTAATTTTTTAATTTTTCATTCTCACATGAATTTCTTTTGCTTTAAAAAATAATTTTTTATATATATTTTAAAAGCGAGGTTCAATTAAAAAGCAATGTGATTCAATTGTTCATAAATAAAATTATATGAGAAAAATAAAATAATAATTAATTTCATAAAATTGCAAATGAATCATTTTATGCTCATAGAATGTTCTTGAATTTAAATATATATATTTTTAAATAATGTACATTAAGTTTATATATTATCATTCATAAAATAAACACTAAAATCAACATATAAAAAATTCGAATACATTAGGTGTTTTTAAAATCTTATTTTTATCATTTAATTTGAAGTGAAATTAATTCCATAATATTAAAATAAACAAACAAATAAAGAAAATGGATAAAAAAATATTGGAAGCCAAAATTAAGCTTCATAAGTACTGGCAAACACAAATAAAGTAGATAGACTACATAATAAATTGATAGATCATTTTATGATAGAATCTATAGTTTTTTTTTTTTTTTTTTTTCAATTTACCACGTGGAGGATTGTAGGAGTTAAAGTCGAAAACAAAATTCCTAAATCATAAAATGTTTTTAAAATTGATTTGCTCGATATATTTTTTACTGCAAAAACAATATTTTTTAAATACTTATCATTAATATAGTTGTAATTAATTATTTATTTGAGTGTTTCTAATATTTAATTAGATTAAAATTTCAAAATCCAACAAAAAAATAATATGCTAAATATATTAAAATAAAAATTTTATGCAACAGTTAAATAATTAAATTGTTGCACAATAGATTGACTATAATTGAAAATTTTATAAATAGGAAGACATAAAATAAAAATTAATTTCCAATATATATATACACAAATACGTTGCTTGATATAAATTTTATCCTACAATCAGATGAAACTTTTAGTCCATTAATTTAGTATTTCATTAAAAATAATATACGAATGGAAGAAAGAAAATTATATTTTTTTTCATATGTAATATGTATATATCATAAATATTTTAAAATTATAAATAATTCAAGTATGCACATCACAAAAAAAAAAAAAAACACATAAAATTATTTTAAGGTTGTATAAAAATTGAAATTAATTTTGGAGAATTAAAAAAATAAAAAACGCAGAAATATATTAAAACGCAAAAAAAAGGGGGCCAGGTTGCGTCAGGCCTACTCGGCGGGGCGCCGGGGCTTACCGGCTTGGCACTCGTGTGCGCTTTGTCCTCTGTAAATTACGAAAATCAAGGGTCGTCGATTTTGTCCCTCAAGACATAATTGTTCCGCCGTTTGTCACCCTAAATGCAGGAAAATGATCCTAAAGATTGAAACGTGACAAAAATAAAGTATGGATGCGAAAATTTAAAAAACGGAAATTACAAAAAACGCCATTGCAAACGATGCTGATGAATAATGAAATGCAAGGGGATAAATAGTTTAAGAACAGTGACATGAATAGTACAAGGACCTCTTTTTTTAGTTTATTAGTAGAGTAGTAATAATAATAACAATAATTTATTACATATATGTTGTCGAAATAAGAGCATATTATAACCTAGCCTCTTCAGCTTTGGAAAAATTTTAATTTATTATTTTTATTTTAAAAATTAATTATTTACTTATTTGATCGATGTTAATAATATTTAATTTAATATTAACAGAAATATTAAAATATTTTTTTACTATTTCTGCATTGTGTTTTCTTGTATAAGCAGACCTAAGTTCATTGTAGATTAACCCTCATTTATACCATTTGTTTTACTGTCCTCTTTTTTTCTGTTTGTGAGCCGTTGAGTTGATCATTTTTGTCAATGGATGGATTTTTTGTTTGACAGCTGGTCTTTTATAATTTCTTTTTACTGTATTTGACCCTTTTTTGTTAGTTTAGTGGGAGACTGGGAGTTGCTTTCTTTTGTTAGGTTAGTGGTTTTGTGCTATTACATTTTTACTCTTATTTTTTGTATTTCTTATTTTCTCCTCGTATCTTTTTTTATCATTAATTTTTTTTTTTTTTGCTGGCAGCACATTAATGTTACTGGGAGTTGCTTTCCTTTTGCCCTTTGATTTCATTTTATTTTCATTCTTGCCACTTAGCGATTTCGTGTCATTACATTCTTACTCTTATTATTATTATTATTATTATTTTATCTCTTATTTCTTCCTCATATCATCTTTGTCATTAAATTTTTATTTTTTTTCTGACAACACATTTAATGTTGCTGCACGGTTTGTTCTATATATAATTGATTGGATGATTTCTAATGGGCTTTAGACATGTCTTTCTGTACTTAAAAAAATGGGCTAAAAGCTTTACAATGTGTTGGGTTAAAAGTGAATTAGCAAGTTGAGCTTTAATCTCTTAATGTCTTATTGAACTCAATTTGTAATCAGAAAACCTTTTTGTGCACGTTTGATTATAGATATTAAAAAGGCCGCTTAGTGCTTTGGTTTTATCAAATTTTGGAACGCAAACACTTTAAATCTTGAAAAATTATTTAGTATAATTGTTGGAACCTAGAACATATGTACTGTAGTTTTCTTTCCTTAATTTAAAAAAACATAATCATCGTTCTCTCCTTTGCCTATATATATATATATATATATACACACACACTTCTAATTCTTTTATATTTTATTTTTATTTAATTTCAAATATATAAAATTAGCATTAATCTTTTAAGCAGTCGCCAACTTATATTAGACATACTATATGTCATTATACATAAAAATATTATATGTATTATGATAAATTTACCCTTTTTTGAAATTTAAAATCATGTAGGAATAAAACGCAATCTCAATTATACAAAATTAATTTAAAAATATTCTTAAATATCTTATGCTCGAACCAAACGATGGGCATTTTTATCAAAATTCTTTTACTTAATAATTTCAACAACCTTCTTCTATTATCTTTTATTCCCAATCATATGAATCACAAAATGAAAGGATGATTTTAATCATGCATTTTGTCCGAGCGCTGCTTTGATTTGGAAAGTAGTATTCTGATTTATAATAATATATGCTTTAATCTTATATTATTAAAAGAGATGAGAAAAACACTATAAGTAAATTGTGTATTCTATTGTTTTTTACCTAATAAAATACTATAAACATACACATAAAATCGCTGTACATTTTGCTATACAAGTGATATTTTTGTAATTTCAAAGTTATTTTTAGTCATTTCATATGCAGGTTCATCAAATATTGCATTTTGTTTCCTAATTTTTCATACAATTTTGTTTTAATTTTGCATTCTATTTGTATGATAGTTTAGTTATTGGTTGTGAGGAGAAAAGAGAAACAACAACAAGAGAGATAAAGCCACAACTAGACTCATTCTAGCCATTTTGATTTGTTCCTCGCGAAGAGATTTTGTTTGTAGTGGTCACCGGACATGAAACGAGAGTTGGAAGAGATAAATTAAAAATTCAAAATATTTTGAGTTTTTTAAATTCAATTGGATTTTTTTCATGTTTTATGTACATTAAAATAGATTTTAAAATTTTGAACGAGTTTATATGCTTTATTTCTGTTTGTTTTTGGATGAAAACAACATTGAATTTGACATTAGAGATGCCGAAACTTAAAAAAAGAAGAAAAAAAATTCTAATGATTTTTTCATGAAATTACGGACAAACGACACTCCTTCTATCGCACAACGAGTGGACGACATGTTGTCCGTTTTTGTTTTTTTTAAGTCGACTCGTGTAGGCATACGCCCTAACTCGGTTTTTTTTTCCCCTTTGATATGGATTTTTGGACGAAGATCATTAATTTTTGAATTTCACACATAGCTTAGCAAGAAAGAAATATATATGATGTGTGTTTATATTTTGAAATAAACATATATTTTATATTATATTACTTTTATTATTTAAAATTTATTCTTTTAATTTGTCATTTCTTTTAGAGATTGTCATCCAATTATTTTTTTTATTTTTTTGTATTTATTTTATTTATTGATAAATTTGATTTATTTTTCTATATGTATGGATTTTTGAATTAAATTTATGATTACTTTCAACAAATTGATATAATTTATATGATGGATTCTTTTAAATGACAATTGCATGATTATATATGTTTGTGTGTATATATCTATATCTAAAGATCAAAAGTCTTTTTCATATTATTTGTCTCAGATTTTTAGAAAGAAAATAAGCAGCAAAATAAGTTTTTAATTAAGAATCTTTGGATTTTTATTATTATCATAAGTTTTAAGTTAATAATTTGGACAAAGAAGAATAAATCATATTTTTTAGCATAAAATTTATGAAAAACACAATGAATAATTAGTCTAACACACAATTTTGATTAAAAAAAATCATAAAATTGAATGGTTTTTTTTTTTTTTTGATATATTTTGATAGACTCATAGTAAGACCATTAAACTGGATGATTTTATCAATAATTTTACACATGTTTTAGGACCTGCAGCATAGTACAATTAAAAAACTAATTACTTCTAAAAAATCTCTCTCTCTCTCTCTATATATATATATATATATATATATATATATATATATATATATATATATATATATGCACGTTAAAAAACAATTTAAAAAGAACACAAATGGACTAGGATGGCTAAATAATTAGTTTTTACAACCAAAAGACTAATTAATTTGTTTTTCAAAACTAAAAAGACTGATTTATATTTTACTCGTTAAAATCATGATAAGATTCATAAGTATGTGGATGTCTTTTTTTTAAATATGATTTTGGCTGTTAAAATAAGGTAAATTTTTATTCCCTAACCTTAGATTGGAATCCAAACCTCCAAAATTTACAGGCCTCATCTGCAGTATGTTGGCGGTTGTCTTTCATACCAAAGCCATCATGTCAGTGTTCGAGGCTGCTGAAGAGAGAAGATTTAAAAAAAAAAAGTCTAAAATTTGAAATTCCGTAGACTATATCTGTGAGGCTGTTTATTTCTTCTTCTGTCAATCACAAATTTCTCAAACCCATATTTGCAGTACTTTAGTTCTCTTGAAGAAGCTGACGAAATCATACAGCAGGAGTTTTCATGATTGCCTGGGCATGAACGATCACACCCTTATTTCAGAGTGATTATATCCTCAATAAATCACATGTAAAAAAATGTTAGAAAGCAGAAGTTTAAACCAGATATCCAGCTTCGAATAACAAAATGTTCCAAACATATACGTACATATGCTCATTTATTTCTGCTTGGGGTTTCCAAGTTTGAACTGATCCAAGGGTCATCATTTTGTGAAATGAGAACCAAAAGATCGCATGCGAACCAGTAGCTGATAACATCTTCGTTGATATCCATCATCTATGATATCTATAATATGAAGTCCTAAATATACAAATTGTAATATTATGCACGCAACCCCTGAAAACCCTTTACGAGGTTACATGGACATCATGGAGATGTTTGTGAAGTGTGTCGGCATAGTTGCCAAACATAATGTCAGTAGGTGGCAGAAGGTTAAATACGTATGAGATGGGCTTTGATACCAACATCGGTTTCTTTGTTGCGACTTTATCTGACATCTGACCAAAACTTTCTTCATCATATGGAAAAGACTCTCCAAGGAAGAAGAAGCTGTCTCTCCCCAACTTTTCTACCTGAAATAGCAATAAGAGACTTTCAGACTATAATCGTTGCAAATACCAGGATAACACCACACTGTAAGCCGTACAGCCAGAATCATAATTGGATTTTGCTAAATTGTGCTAGCAATTGACTGCAAAAAGAAGAAGAGAAAAAGACTGTTGTACATCGGCCATGCAGAAGTTCAGCGCAAATAGGAAATGACATTTTAATGATGCATAGATCAGAAAATACACGTACATGGGAAAAACAATTACCTGTAGCTGTGAAAATTTGATGTTGTTCATGGTGAGAATAACTCGCACTTCATACAAGGAATCACCTAATATTCGGATGGCTAAATACTCGAAGAAATTCTGCACTAAAGTTTTCTGCCTCTCCAAATTTTCACTGTAGCTATCTAAGTTAGGCAACCACAGTACGCACTTAACTTCACTCCATGGAATTGGACTACCCCGAGAAGTGGAAATAATTGTCTGGTATAGGTCATGGAGACCCCACAGAATTCTGATACCAGTCAATGATGTGTCACACATGAAGGTGTCTGACATGCATGTTGTAGAGATTATTTTGGATGAATCGTAGTGACGAGCAAGATTTGAGGAGAAATGCAAATCAGTGTCATCCAATAACAGAACACATCCATCCGAAGACGTTGGAAGAAACCGTAGTAGGGAAGCAACATTGACAGCACCATCTTCGGGCATGCATGGGGTTGAGCTAAATGATGATAATGATGGACCCAGATCATGAGAAAAGGAACACATCTCTCCATTTCGACATCCCTGAAAATTTACTTCCCATTACAATATACATACGAATGGCAAGGAAATAATCAGAAACAGAAACTTGTGTCAAATTTTTCAAGAGGGATCTTATTCTACAAATACATGTTCTCAGACACAGCCCTAACATGTAGCTGAGGAAAACCATGAGATCCACAACCGGGGCCTTGATATAGCTGGTTCATACACCTGGAGAACCATGTTCTCCACGGTCAATCAGGCAAATTAAACTACTAGCTATGCTTAAACACTCAGTTACATAAACAAAGTGAAGGTATTCTGGCATTTCAAACTCTGGGTTAGCACATGTTGCTTTCAAAACACACACACACACATATATGGTTAAGCCCACATTATTTTTTCAAGATCTGATTTAAACAGAGGTTCAATGGAGGAACATAAGAATTCAGTAACCTGGAAACAGAATTATCAATGACTTAAAGGCTTCAGAGACAAATCACATCCTATGCTAAACTGCTAAATAAGGAGCTTTGCAGCTATTGTGCTGGTGCTTCTACATGAATTTTCCTTTCTTTCCAACATTACAGAGGATGACAGGAATAAAAAACTCGTGATGTCAAACCTTATAGATTAAATTATAGTCAAAACCTCATTTGCAATTGAAAATGTAATTGATTCCTAAATGCAAGTTTGTCTGCCTATAGTGTTAAGGAGGCTTGCAGCGACTGCAAGGGGACTTCTACATGATTTTTCCATTTTCTCCAATATTACATAGGATCACAGGAGTAAAAAACTTGTGATGTCAAAGCTTATGATTAAATTATTGTCAAAACCTCATTTGCAATTGCAGTTGTAATTGATTCCTAACTGCAAGTTCTTCTGCCCATAGTGTTAATTGCAAAGGGCAATTAATTATAGTTGATTCCTAAATAAGAAGGTCTGCAGCTATTACAAAGGCTTTAGATGATTTTTCGATGTTCCCAATTTAAATAGGGATAAAAGAACTTGCATTGTCAATGCTTATATATTAGAATACAGCAGTCAAAACATCATTTGCAATTGCAATTGCAATTGAATTTCATTCCTAATTGTAAGTTCATCTGCCTATAATCTTAATGGTTCTACAGAATGAAAGAGTTTTACCTGTCATATAGAACTGGAAAATGATTTAATAAAAAAATTCAAGTTGAATATAAACTCAGAAACTTTAAAATTACGCTTCCCACACTATGTCAACAAGAAGTACGCATTAACTCCAAATTGATTGGGTTCAGCTATATCAAATTTTTTCCTTCCACCCCTAAAACCAAGCTTTCTCCAAATTTTCTCCACTGTTTTATCAAGGAGTTTGTTTCACTCAGCACTATGAAGACACAGTACAACAAGAGAGGCATCATCACCAATCCAACTTTCTAAGTCAATTTTTCTCTTTCAAGTTACTAGCACAAAATATTACTAACAATAAGCCCAGCCTTTGAATGGCAGCTAGGATCCATAGAGTTAGAAAGGCTCTAAGTCAAAGCTTTGCCACCTAAGCATAGTGTTATATATATTACTGCAATATTGACCGAAAAGAAAGCAATATAGAATATAAAGAGAGAACTGAAGCTACAGAAGTGATATACCTGTAAAGTGAAAAAGAATTTGCATGCATCTCTTTTTGCTTGAACAGAATGAGAAAACAAACATTGACTGCCTTTGTTGCAGGATCCCTTCATAAAATATATACACTGAGAAGCTTCTTCGTTGCCACGATACCCATTAACAATATACTCATGCTTATTGTCAGATGTGCTGTCTGTATGCTTAACTCTTATCTGTTGAACACAGGAAATAAGTGAAATGATAATTGACATGTCAATAAAGCAAGCAGAGCACAAAAAGATAAAAGGCATATTACCTCTTTGATAATATTTGAAAAATTTTCAGCCACTTTAATGGTCTGAAAGTGACTTGGAGCCACAAATGGCACTGCAAAACATTTCCTTGTTTCAAGAGATGGCTCATCATCCTCATCATCTGCAACAACAGTACTGATATCTCTGTTTGGGAGACATTTTAGAAGACAAGTGTGCTCAAATTCATAAGGATCATAATGAGTTGGTAAACCATCACAGGCACCCAGAAATTTTGGACGAAACCGGTGCAGCGAATTTAGTATATCTTCATCTGAAAGAAAAGATCCTCAAACTGGAGATAAGCTTGGAAGGGAAAATAAAACAGAAGAAAAGCAATGAAAATGAGAAAGATAATCTGACCAAAATGAAAAATCATAGAGGTTTACAATACAAGACTAGGTAATGATTGCATATAATAAATGTATAGATGCTATAGTGTTTAAATACGCACATATCTGAGAGACATTATGGAGCGATGATTGGACAAGATTATGGAATGAGCACCATTCTTCTTCAATCTTTGGCAGTAACACAGTTGTAGCTTTCATTTCATCAATCTTTAAAAGGCGTTTCAAGTGTTCAAGGCGATGCTTATCCTTCAGAATAAGGCAGAATGTTTAAAATCATATGCTAAAGATCTACTAATAAGAACACTCTTCAAAAGGTGCGAGCTAAACAACCAATTTTACCTTAAATATACGTTGCCAGAACTGATATGCACACAAGTTTCCAATTAGTATCATCTCCTTTCGACCAATTTGGACAGTGTAGTCACAGTCTCCACCGTAGTAGCGATAAACATACTCGGTATACTAAAGATTGATAAAAAATAATCAGAGAGAGAATTGTTCCAACAAGCAAGCACATGCAAATTATAAGGAAAATACCAAATTTTCCTCTCCAAACAGACAAAGAATCGGTTGAGGCTGTGTATCAATCAATATGCCCAGTAGAATGCCTTCATGGAGCAATCCAATGTCCCCAAACTTGAGTACAAGCACAGAAGCATCAAAGGACAAGGAGAAACTGGCTAGCAACCGTCCATAAAATGTAGGCTCACACCGCCCCCTAGGAGATGGTCTATCCAATGCTTTCATGCGAATAAGCAAATTTAATGCATCTTCAATAACTTCAGGATCTGGAGGATCCAAAGCCTTCTGCAACAAGACTGGCACCAAAGTTACAGAGATTAGGAAGCTCAAAATTTCAGCATAATGACACTAAATATAAGGAATTTGGATCAGATACTCTAGCATGACCTTTGAAACCAATCTCAACAACAATTAATACCAGCCACTAACAACCGAACCACTTAACGATTATTTCACACTAAAAATTACATATGCAGCATGATAGAAAATAAAGATAAACCTACATCAAGTTTCAGAAGAATGTTATAACTTAAAATGTGGTTCAATCAGATTAGGCAAATCTCTAAGGTACCAAATATATATAATGTGCAGTTAGACCTTCTTGACAGTTTTAGATTTTGATCATAACATTCATCCAACACCAACAAAAAGGTTCACATCAATGCATCACACTAGGTTCTCTACCGATTGATATGAAATAACAATACTAATTTGAGTTGAATCCAAATTTACAGCACCAGGTCATTTGAGTGTAAATAAAACTACTAAGAAATTCCAGGATAGGGAAGAAAATGCATTATTTCCAAGTCAAGCATCTATGCAAGATACGTGGCCGCACGTGAAATGAAAAAGATATTCTGTCCCACTCATTAATTGTGAAGTACGATTCACAACAATATCAGAACCATACCTTTGGGGTCATTAATGGCTCTAGATTCAGCACAGCAAATCAGAAGAACTTGTTGCCGCAATGACAACCTCGATATGGCTGGACATTCATGATCCTCCAGCTTGCTGAAAAATGAACTTGTGACCAACCGATATATCTGGCCATCACAAGTTCGACCAGTTCTCCCTTTCCGCTGATCAGCCTAAATCATAATTTGCATTAATAGGAGAATGAGATGATGCAAATCCAAAACCAACCTTTAAGATGCTCACAATACCTGAGATTTAGAAACCCAAACGAGCTCTGTAGAATCCTTTTTCCTGGCAGCATCCCAGAAAACTTGTAAAGATCGGCATGAATCAATGACATACGCTACTTTGGGTATGGTTACAGATGATTCCGCAATATTTGTGGCCAATATTACCTATGTAAAGGGAACAATTGCAACCATGATAAGTTCTAGAACCAAACCTAAAATTGGCTAAAAGCATGTGTGATAAACATTTGTGAATTAAAGAATCGAAGAATCAAACTCTATTGCTAAATTTTAATGTGCCCAGTCTTTATGTTCATGTCTGATGGAATATATGCATCAAAACTTAACCAACCTTAGCACAAAAGGAGCACAAAATAAGGATTTAAACATATTCAAGCATTAAAAGAAAAGGGGGTATAATAATATGTGAACATTTTGTTTGATATTTGAATGTCAAATGTGGATTCACTTCCCTATTGCCTTCCATTAACTTGAATGCAAGTAGCAAGGCAGAACTAGTTAACAGTGTCCCAACCAATTAAAGGCATACCTTACGATGAGATTTCAAGATTTTCATAGCCATAAGAGCTTGTTCAGTGTCAACGCTTCGATGTAAAATGTGAACTTTAAAAGATGAACTACGTGGCTTCAGAAGATTCCACTCCTGCTCCAAGTCATGGTATGTTGGAAGGAAAACCAAAATGCCCTTTTCAATGTCTGGTTCATTGTCATTGATGTGCAAAATCAAGTCAAAAATAAGTTTATGCACTTCTGGTTTGATATCAGCAGCAGCCAGTTCTGGATTGATATCAGCAGCAGCCATAGAAGAGCTTGTTCCTGAACAGCAGGCATGGGCCAATAAGTCTGAACTCGTTCCAAGAAGTTTGGTTACCTGCTCAAATAACAAAACATAATCATTACTTGTACTTGAGGAATGGCTATGCTGTCAAAAGGTTGCATGCCATCAAAGAATTTAACCTGCCTCTATGGCCCCATTTGTTCAGATACATGCAAGGCCCACACACCAATGCATCCCATTCGTTCAGATATATGCAAGCCCCACACGCCAATGCATACTTGCATGGTGATGTTTTTTTAAATCATAATTGCACGTGCAGTAAAGTACTTAATAAATGATCTTTCCTGCAACATGATTGACTATAAAGAATTTCCATTGCATGCTTTTACCTCCTCCAATATCTTCATCGAACTGTATGATCCCTTCAAAACCTAGTTATGTGGGAATCTTTCTAAACAACTTATTTACCAACTGCATCACTATTTTTTAATGCTGTCAAACTACACCAAACTAATCCTTCAACCACATATAAACTGATTTACACTCACAGACCAACTTCTTCATTCTTAAAGGAACATATTGATAATTCAGCTGGTTTAATCAAATTTGCTAGTCTGGAATGTCAAATGCTTCCTGATGGAGATCTAGAATAAATATAGCAATCATAAAACAATCAATATAAACACCACACTCAGAGTACTTTATTTCATCTCACGCCAAACAATCATTAAATAGTGCCAGGAGAAGACATGTGTTACAAAAATTGATATTTTACATTTATAGAATGCTCAAAGTGAGGCATTTTGCTCAAAAACTGTCGCATTTAAACCAGTAGAATTCTTCATCAGTTCAAGGTCTTTGATGAAGAGTACGAATTCCATCAAGAAAAGCATCTAGGTACAAGTACTTGCCTGTTCAAGATATGACACTCTTCGCTGGAAAAGGGATTGCTGGTTGGAGCTAGGGATTGCAAGCACTTCAACTCTTTCACCCCTACCAAGGTCTTTGAAGTAATCTCGGTATCTTGAAATATCAGCAGTTGCCGACATCAATACCACCCTGAAGAAATAAAATATTGATCAGACTTCCAAATCACATGACCCAGGCAACTAATCTGCATTGTGTGACGCAGAAAATATAAGAGACAAAATGTCCCACTCTTGTAGAAATTTGCTGAAAAGGGGAGGGCACGAAAGGAAGGAAAAAAAAAACATGAAATTAGCAACAAGTCTACAAACAAACAAAGGTTTCAACCAAGCAATTTAGGAATGGAGAAAACAAAATTCAATAATCCATAAAACATTACTATACATGATAAAATTAGGATGGGCACCTCAGGCCATTGTTTTTTAACATAAACTGCTTGACACAGACAAGAACAAGATCAGATTCAACAGATCTTTCATGCACTTCATCAAGAATAATAGCCTTGTAGTTGAGTGCATCGAACCCTTTCTCTCGCATTTCATCTAACAAAACTCCAGCCGTTTTGAAGACAATTTCTGATCTGCTAAAGCAAATAAAAGTAATTAGGGTAAAGGCTACCAGTTATTGTAAAATACACATCACATTCCCAACTCCCAAGACCTCAATTAGGGCGTCAAACAGAAAGAAGGGAAGAATGTAACACCACACTTGAGCAGAGATGGTCCGAAACATAAAATGGTTATGGAAAAGCATGTAAAATCAATGCACGGGCTAGACGGTACCTTGCTGATAAAAGCTTCGAATGACCTATGTGATATCCAACCTGTGCTCCAAGTTCACAGTTACGAGCTTTTGCAACCATTTTAGCAACAGCAACAACAGCAAATCTCCTTGGTTGTGTGCATAAAATGGGTTTCATGTTTTCGTCTAGCAGAAACTGTGGAACTTGAGAGCTCTTTCCTTTGGAAAAAAAAAAAAAGGTTGAAGAGAGAAAAAATCTATCAACAGCACAAAATGCTAAAAAATCATTTAATAAAAAACATCTAAGTTATAAATTCATAAGCCCTCCAATCCGAAATACTTTAAATTCAATCTACATTAAGAACTCATCTGGGATTATAATTGAAAAAAAAAACTTCCTTCATTGCTACCAGTGATTTTTTTTTCAAAAACGATGAACCTCAATCAAATCATAAGAGGAGACTCTTTTGCGAGCATGTTCACTTTAAAAAAAAAAACTTTAGTAAATGTTCTAGCGATAACAAAATCTCAGGTAAAACCTTGAAATTACCTCATTTTATTTCTTAAACTATGAGATAATAAAACTTGTTTCCAATATTTTCCATTATTACTATTATAGTTTTTATTTGGTTTGATCATTTAACAAAACAAACAGATTTTTGCCTATAGTTTTTCCTTCGCCGTTTCTAGCAACCAAATTTAAAAAAGAAAATGCAAAAAAAAAGTATGAAAAGGTTCTGTACCGCAGCCGGTCTCGCCGACAATGAGAGTGACGCGATTTTCCATAATTTTCTCGACGATTTTGCCCTTGAGAGCCATTACTGGAAGAGAAGCGAAGTTCGATTCCGAAAATGTTGCATCACGCGAAGAGCTACACGACAATGTAGGAGACGACGGCGATTCCATCTTCAATACCCTTGCTCGAACTAACTAACTCACGCACTCAGAACTATCCCTCTTTCTGTGCTGATAGGGAGTGAGTAGGAGAGTGGAGAGAAGGAAAATAGAAAGAAACTTTTCTTAAGAGAGTAGTCTCCTCCCGGACTACTTGTTTTGCAAGGGATGAGCAGTTTTTCTCTCTCCCGCCTATAGGAGACCAAGACTTTATTTAGGCGTTTTTTTGATGATTGGGTTGTGATTTGAGACGGTAAGATTTAGATGTGCTGGAGGAGTTGTTCTACTCTATTGGTTGATGAAGTTCTTTTTGGTTTTTCACTTTTATTTTTTAGCAAATAGTCAGCGTGAGTAAACTACACCTGTGTACTTGGAACAGCAGCGTCGTCTCCTTCTTGAGCACGTCGAGGGGCTAGTGGGGTACCCGTCAAATTTTAGGAATGTTTGCCGTGGGACCGATCACTTTTGAATCATTGACGCCTTTTTGACGACTATTGCTGACGGACGGCCGTGATCTCATTTATTCATCCGCTAATTCTATATTTATATATATTACAATTACAATTATAATTCCAATTACAATAAATTAAAAAAAAAAATACTGTAGCACTTCTCTGTTCATTCACTGTTACCTTTTTTTTTTTTTTTTGGATTGCTAGCTTCCAAGCTTTCAAGGAAATTATTTTTTTTTGTCCCTTTTTTCTTATTTTTTTATTTTGATCATTAAAATTTTAATATATTTAATTTTTATCCCTCTAACAAATATTAAAATTTTATTATATTTGATTTTTATCCCTATAATAAATATTTTTTCTTGACTTTTAATAAAAATTTATGTTTTTTTTTATTCCTACTTTGTGATATGTTGTTATTTTGATCATTAAGTTTTATCATGTTTGATTTTTATCCTTATTATACTAAAACTAAATAAAATTTACTATCCCGAGCTTTTTTTTTATTATTATATTTGGCATTTAGTGAATTTTTCTTTTTATTATAATTCCTATTTTGTGATTTTTTCTTTATTTTCGTCATTAAATTTAGTAATGTTTTTTAGTCCCTATTTTGTAATCGTTTTTTATTTTGATAATTAAATTTTTACTATATTTGATTTTTTTTCCATGCAAGAAACTATTTTTTACTTTTACTAAAAACTTTTGTTACATTTTGATTTTTGTTTTGTGATCTTTCATTTATTTTGATCATTAAATTTTTATTATATTTAATTATTATTCATTCTTCGCTAAAATTAAATACGAGTTTAACTATTCTAAGTTTTTTTTTTAGTAAAAAAAATATTTTCTTTTTTTATTCTTATTTTATTAATTTTTTTATTTTGGTCATTAAAATTCTATAACGTTTTACTTTTGTTCCCGCCTTATGCATAATAAATTTTTTTATACTTATTGTTTATAATTTTTTTTAGTAAAAATTTTCTATTTATTTTTTTAATCATTTAATTTTTATCGTGTATAATTTTATCTTTATTTTCTTTGCCAAATTCTCAATATGACAAAGGTTTTTTGTCTTTCTATTTTAGGTGGTTTTTCTGTCTCATTAACAAATTATAGATGAATAATATATGGTAAAAATTAATCATCTAAAAATTCAAAAAACTATCACATTGTTATTTTAATTATCAGTTGTTATACATATTTTAATTATATTAAATAATATCAAATTAGCAACATTATATTATTTAACTTTGCGGATTTTCATTTAGCTAACCTTGCTGCAAATTATGAAATACATGTTTTAATTCTTTTTTTTAGAATTTTTCTCGCGTGATACTTTTAAATAATTATTTTTAAATTTTATATTTTATATGCATGAATGCATAAAAATATTGTATAGCTCATCCCGCGGCAACGCGCGAGATGTATGCTAGTAACTAATTAAAAGAAGTGAAGGTTTCACTATTCACTTACTGTAGCACTAGACTTGGTGTACTTTGGATGGCATTTTCGTGGTTTTTTGGATTTTGATGGATGAAAATTATGCTACTTTTTATGTTTTGGTCTCCGATATTTTCAAATAAATATTTTGATCCACATCTTCATTTGCTAATCCATTTTGGTCCTTAGGTGTAAAAAGAAGGGAGGGAGGAAGAGAGAGAGGGGATGAGAGAGAGATCGCCAACCAAGCTTATTTAGGTTGTTTTGGCCGGCGAAAGTCCATTAGATTTTTTTATCTTTGAGAAATAAGTTTGTCCATGATGGTTTCAAGTCATTAAACAATTAGAAGAGGTAGATCGAGCTAAAAAAGGAAAAAAAGTTATGGTTTGATTGTGTTTTGTTACGCATTAAAATGATTTTTAAGGTTTTATATGTATTTATTGACTTTATTTCGGTCATTTAGAGGTGTTTTGAAAAAAAAATAATGTCGGAATTCGATTTTTAGGAGTTTGAAACTTGATCCTCGATTTTTTGACAAATCTTCCAGCGACCTCAAGTCCGTCGGAAGTTGCGGATGATTTTTTTTTCCTTCTTCGCATATATATATATATATATATATCATGTAATTAGGTGTAAAAACTATAAAAAATAAATTATTATTTTTTTACTTTTACGTATAGTTTAAAGATGATAATATATATATATATATCCGATTATATTACTCTTATTGTTTAAATTTTATTTTTTCAATTATTTGTTTCTTATTAAAATTCTTATCAAATTAATTTTTTGATATAATTTTATTTGTTAATAAAATAAATGAATTTTGAAATAAAATTTTAGAACATCAATGTTTTATTATTTTAAAATATATTATTATAATTTATACAATAAATTATTGTTTTGCTTCTTATATATATATATATATATATATATAGAGAGAGAGAGAGAGAGAGAGAGAGAGAGAGGTATGTTTTAGATAGCTTAACTTAGTTTTTTTTTAAAAAAAAATTAATAACCAACTAAAATAATTCACAAGTTTTATTTACTTTTTTATATATATTTATTCAGAATTTATTGAAACCAGTTTTATTGTAAATTTTTTTAATCTGTTGGCTTCAATATATTTCATATAATTTAGACTTTTTTTATATATTTTTTTATTTATTCTATATATTCTTAATCTGTTAAGTATTGTGTGTGTGTGTGTGTGTATTATTAAATTTGTTAGAAATTAACTATATATCTACACATATGATATCAATTATTTGTTACTTATTTTTTCATTTTTTAAATTTTTGAAACAAAATAAGTTCGATAATATTTCGAATGAGCCTCCCAATTATTTAACTACAAATTTTTATGTTAATATTATTAAATATCTTGTTAATAAATATATATAAATCAAACGACTTCACTCGGTGTATAAATTCAATTTACATTAATCATCGAAATAAAACTTCTACTCACACTACATCGTACGAATCGTTAATTCTACATATGCAATGATTGTTTTATCATAGCATAGTGTGAGTATCTAACTAGTATATGTGAAAAAAATTGGTATTTTAAGAATAAAAAATTTAAATATCTAAAAATAAAGTCAAATAGTTCGGATACAAACAAAAAATTCAAAGTTCAAAAAAAAAAATCTAATTTCAAACTTTATGTTTTATAAGAATTGAGGAGTTAAATGATAATCTCTTTAGTCATTCAAAGTTTGGATCACGTTCATGTGAATATAATAATAATCAAATATGTTGTTATAATATTTAAAATTGATGAGTTTGAATAAATTTAAATTCAAGTTTTGCATAAATTTCAAAACAGTGTTCGAAATTAATTTTTAAAATTTTCATCAAATTCAAACTTGTTCGTCAACTTAAAAAAGCAAACTAATATCAATGTAACTAACTCTTTTACTAAATAAAATCAATGCATTTAGTGGTATGATGTCAATGCAACTAACTATTTTATCTCAATGTTATATAAATTCGAGTGCATTGAGTTGTATTTAAGTTTATATAATAGGATAATTGTACAATCTGTTTTTATATTTTAAAATAAATCAATTATGTCTCTTTAATTTAAGTAAGTGTCTAATTTGTTTTTTCATAAATTTTTTCAACCAAACCATAGGCAAAAATCACCTAACTTGTACAAGATTATTATTATTTTTTATCGAATGAATCCTAACTTGTGCACGTTCAATTGAGGGGTTTTTTCCAAAGAAAAAAATAGTTATGTTCAAGTTACATGACTTTTTTTTATAATTTTTTCGAAAAATAAATTAAAAACTCACTTAAAATATAAGTATATGATTGATTTATTTTAAGATATAAAAACAAATTGGATATCAACTTCGTTATATAAATAGACATTGAATTATTACCCTTTTTTGTTTTATTTATTCTAATATATCCATGTTGTTTTAACCAAACAATTACATGAATGAATATGTAAGGATTTCATTTCCACTATGGAAAGCACTTACTAAAAACTCGAACATTATCTTCTTTTTTTAAGAAAATATATAAATAGCATCTCGATTGAAGAAGTTTATACTCAAGTAAATTACACATTGGTGGTCGTTATATATTTAGCTATAAATAAGGTACAAAAAGATATAGTAGTTAAGGTTTAAACATTCAAAAGAAGTCCTAGTATATCTAAACTATGTTCGAATAGAATCCTACTTTATTTGCCCTATGTTTAAATAGAATCCTTTCTTAATTTGTTATCTTATCGCCTCTCTCAAGTTGAGTCAAAAAACATTGAGCGGTCAACTTACAATGAAGAAATTAGAAACTTTGGCTAGACGAGCGCTTTGGTCAAACAATCTACAATTTGATCATTTGTGGAAATATAGCGAACAATTAGATCTTCTATACCAACATGTTTACAAACAAAGTGAAAATCAATCTTTAATTGCTTATATCGAGAATAAAACACTAGATTACAAGCAAGATATGTAGCACTTAAATCATTACACCATAAGATGTGAGCAATAGAAGGTGCCGGATGTATTTC